TATAATAGCGTTTAACTTACTATTTAATCTTACTATTTAGTTTATAATTATACTTAAATCTCTACTTTAAGATTATTTTAGTAGTTTATTAACTCTCTCCTTTTAACGAGCTCTAACTAAGGACTTAAGCTTAGTACCTATACTAAGTAAGATTCTAGGATTAATAAACCGATCCTAATAGTTAATAGCCTATAGCTTATCGTATAGCTAGTTTTTATAGTATTTAAGTACGTTAATAAGATCTTCCGTCGCGGTAGATTACCGTAGTTATATTATATTAAATTCCGCTTACTATACTTTATTCTTCGAGTAGTATTCTCTTACTATATAGTCTAGTTTACTATATCTATAGTATATTAGTATTTTAGATCTTTTAGAACTTTTCTAGTTCCCTCGTTTACTATTCTTTCTTTTAACTTTATAACCTTTCTATATTATATTAAACTCCTAGTCTATTATATTCGGATTACGACGTAGCGGTATAGAGGGTCTATAGTTACTCCTATTCCTATTAGGAACGTATCTAGCTCTTCCTCTAACTTTAGAGTTATAGTATCTCTCTAGGCTTCTTTTATAGAGTCTATTATTAATTTCGATAGTAGATTAGATAAAAGCTCGGAGGTCCTTAATAGAACGGACCTCTTTTATTAACTCGTTTTTAATAGAGTTTTTTAATCTTTTTCGATATATAACTTAGAGAGCTTTATTATCCTAATCGGTAAACTAGGCTATTTCCTAGAATTAGGCGGCGTATTTAGCTATAGAAGTCTTCTAGGTAATATACTAGATAGTACATATAGTAATAGATTATTTATTAGTAGTCCTAAAGATTCTTTTTATAGCTATTTTAAAATAGTTCTAGGAGGTAAATAATCTAGAAATATTATTTATCCTATTACTATTAAGATACGTCGTTAGAAATAGTTAAACCTAATATTTAGCCTTTTCTTAAAAAAAACGACGTAGTAAAAGCGGCTTTTTTTCCTAGTTTAATAGATTTATCGAAAAAGAAGAAAATATCTATTTACTTAGTCTAGGAAGTAAACTTGTCGTAGTCGCTATAATAGAAGTCGGGCTTACTAAGCTTTATATTACTAATACTATAATTTCTAGTAGAGATATCGTAAGTTAGTTATTAGGATTTTTCTACTTTAGAGAGAGTAAGTATTTCTCTTAGTATAGATTAATCTTCTATCGTAGAGGGCGTTTAAAACTATTAGAATCGGTTTATTAATCCTAGAATCTTACTTAGTATAGATACTAAGCTTAAGTCCTTAATTAGAGCTCGTTAAAAGGAGAGAGTTAATAGACTACTAAAATAATTCTAAAGTAGAGATTTAGATATTTTAGTAAACTAAATAGTAAGATTAAATAGTAAGTTAAACGCTATTATTAATAAGTATAATACCGTTCCTATATACAAAAGAGATACGCACCGCTCTACGCTCTATAGGGTAAGAGGGAGAGCGCTCTACCGCTCTCCTAGGGGAGCGAGAGAGCGGTCACGTGCGCCAAGCCCAGGAGGCTCGCACGTGCCAAGCTCGATCCGTAACATAATAGCACATGCCACGCTCGAGCACTAACACTTATTAACTTTGAGTCTTCTCGTTGACTTGATGAGTCTTTCCAATGACTGGATCAGTGCATGCTCGAACGTTCTTCGACTTACGGTACCATGGCTGTGAGAGCAAACATGCCGTTGGTGAGATGCCGCCAGATGAGGGCCTGCTTTGTCTTCGACGAATGTCGCTCAATTCATTGCAGCATCGAGTGTATAGCATTCTGTGAGGTGGGGCGCAGAGGACAGACTTGCACGAACACGTTTTTCCTGTCGCCATCATTGAATGAGAGTTCGAAGAATGGATCAGGCCAAAGCCAAAGTTCTGTCGCAGCCTGTGGCTTATCTCTGTTGACGTTGACACCAAAGAAGTCTCAACTCATACTCAACAGCTGTTTTTCGATGATTGGGAAGTCACGACTCCTGGCGTGGAGAGTCTGAAACTTCATGTTGTGTAGTGGCTTGTTGAAAGCCTTGGAGTCCTATCTGCGACAAATCTCCATTCCTTGCATGCCCATTCCAACGCACTTCTACTGCTCGTCCTCGCCACCCGCCCTTGCACTGTCCCCGCCCGCCGCGTGCTAGCCCTCTAACCCGTGCCACGACCGCAGAAGTTGGAGCCTCTGCTAGAACAGAAGTTCTCGTAGCCGTACGCAACTTCGTACAGGTTGTCCTGGATCGAGCCAGGCTGATACTCGCCACAGCCACTGGTAATAATTTGATTGGCATGAACACTGCAGTCAGCGAAGCAAGTCGTGTAATCGTCGTTAGCCCCTGCGGGCGCGTTGGAGTTGTCGTAAAAATTGCAGGCGTATGCAACAGTGCAGCCGTAGATGGAGTAGAAGTCGTCGCCGTAGTTGATGTTCGCCCCATAGCCGCACTGATTCTGCAGGGCTGCGTTCGCAGCGTCGGTGTCGCCATGGTTCAGTTCTCCGCCCTCATCGCCACCATAGCATTGTGGTCCTCCATAGAACTCTCCTTGGCGCTTGCGAAGCTGGAGCGCAGAGCCTAGCGGTGAGGGGTTGGGGAGGCGGTTATGCTCCTCGGTGCCGTTAGGGTAGACATGAACGGAATAGACACCATCTTGAATGCCTTCAGGGATGTGGAAAGCGCTCGTGAGGCTGAGACTGAGGCCTGCAGTTGCAAGGACGAACTTCATGATGTATGACTTTGGTAGAGAATATAGAATCCGGTTGCTGAGACTATTGCGTTTCCAAAGCTCTGCACGAGGTCTTATGGGCAATGAGTGTGGTGGTACAACACTGTCCGTACGGCTTGTGGAGTTCAAGGCAGGATCGGTTTCGCTCCGTGTAGGACGCCCAAGGCACTCATCCGGGGCACTTCGAACGCTTTTTGCTGACCCACTCAATGTAAGAGGCAGACTAAGACGTGCACGTGGTTGGGTAATGTTGGCATACTGGTTAGCACTACCGCGAGTGCTAGAGATGCAGCCTAAGTGTGCGTTGAGGAATGTATCAAGCGTCGAGGTATTGCAGTCGCTCAAGCCGGTTCTCCACGATACGTGCCAAAGAGTGCTTTCCAGCACGGGCGGCAAATGTTTCGGCACAGCTTTGGTAGAATGGTATGATTCTCAGTGCAGATGTTGAGCAAGGCAGTACCTCACACTAAAGCAAGATCCTCCAAAGGATGATTGATACCCTGACGAGGCTGGCTTTAAACCTGACTCAGCAAAGGTTCCTTCAGGGGGATGGAGTCTGAAGTCCGAGCCTAATTATGAAGTGCAGCCTGCCTTTTGCTTCTTCTGGCATCTTTCTCGGATGCTGCCGCATGTAAGTCGCCAGCGACTGTTCATGGCTTTAGCAGTTCTGCCTATCTCCTGAGCACGATGCGTTGTATCTACCAAATAGATCTGCCACGGCGTCCTCTATCGGCATTACGATATAGTAAAAGGCAAATCTGTGATTAGGGCAGGGAGAAAGCAGGACAAACGCCCGGTCATGAGAACAAACACAGCACCAAAGGCCCAGAAAGCTTTGGAAGGCTTATCAGCAAAAGCTGGACTCGGACTGCCGCGATTGACCAACGTGCTCCCCACGTGTCTGTCTCCAGGTACTGGGAGCATCCTGGAAGCAGCTAAGAGAACGTTGAGCTGTCACAAACTCCTTCAACTCGAATCTATTGAGGCTAGCATCCATGGCGTAGGCCCCATAGGTTTGACCATGTCCCGTTTTGCATGCCCTCGGAAAATACCCGTAGACGAAACCTGAATGGCCACAAGCCACACGCGAACAGGTTCAACCTGGGTATTGGTTACTGGGAAGTCGCGTCTTATTACTCAGACGCAGACTGTATCGACCTTCTTCCTATAATGCCACCCAATCGATACGCTAGGAATAGAGTGTATGTGTGGTGGGTTTTGCTACCTTCGCGATGACTGAAGAGCGACATTTGGCCAAAAAGTCTGTATAGATGCGCTTCAGGCTGCATGTGTAGCCTTCGTAAAAGCAAGTGTAAAGGCAGGGTGCCGAAGCTTAGATCGTGCCGGCACAGGATCGTAGTGACCGTTCACATGCCAGTCGCTGACAGAATGAGCCATGTGGGGCACCACAAGAGGGCGTAAAGAGTAGCGTCGTTACATGCGACTCCTGCAATCAAGCCACAAGGTGTCAAAGAGGAAGGTGGATCTTTTGGATCGCGACTTCACCTGACTGGAGGTTAAATGATGTTGCATTGTGACTGCTTGTAGGTCGCAACGCCAACTTGACGCCTTGACACAGGGGGCATGGTTTCAAAGTAATGGTTCACATCCCTTGCTCGGTGAGCCTGTCCATGCTTGGGTATGCAGCCTGACGGAGCCTCGAAGTTGAGCTAGTGAGCGGCTGATTTTCTGCACCACAGTCTCCCGAGTCTGGGCCTATTCACCGCAGCGCAGTACAGAGAGATGTCTACGGACATAAAAGGAGGTGCCTGAGACGCTATTGCGGCATGACCCAAACCAAGTCACGCCCCCGTCTTTGACTCAGGTCTCCCAATGTTGCGCATGGTAACTCGATGTGGGTTCTTGGCGTCCCTGCTGGCAGTCACTGCTTGGGCTCGCCAGAGCCAGGTACCAGAGAGCGATGTCACGTCCAAACTCCATCGTCGAGCACCATTTCCAGTGCCCCTCAAGGTCTGTTGTGTCGGAGACTCCATAACGTCAGGGATCGGGTCTACTGGCGACAACGAGGGCGATGCCTGGCGTCGATACCTCTATGATCTGATCACACAGGGTATGTTTTCAGTAACTCCAAACATGCCATTCACGACGAGGGGGTAACATTCAATAGGCGGCACGTCATCCACCTTCGTTGGCAAGCAGACCGGTCAATACTCCGCTCCGGGCGGCGGAGTCGCATCAGTCTCCTCGCCCAACTTTCCCCAGCCTGAGTACGTTCCCTTGCCATACCATACCTCGCGTCGAACTTACTCTCGCTAGCAACGAGGCCGCTGGGGGCTATCGTATCAATCAAATCATTGGTCTGCTCCAGCAAGATGGCACTATTGCGGCGGAGCAGCCTAACCTGGTCGTGATTCACGCCGGAACGAACGACAATGTGTTGCAATTTGTTTATCAAGATGAAGCTCAGCCCAATACACAGAATTGTGTTGATTTCACCTGCATTGGTAATGCTCATGCAAGTGAAACTTGGGCTGATGCACCGAACCGCTTAGGGAATCTAATCGACTATGTCCTTTGTAACAACCCCAATGCCGTCGTGCTAGTGTCTGTTCTGATCCAGAACTACATCAACGCGACTCAGGGGAACTTGTTCAAGGCGGCTGTGCCAGAAGTCGTCGCATCGAGGTACGAAAAGGGCTTCAAGGTTCGACTTGTCGACCTGTCATCGATCTATCCATCCGACGACAACGAGTTACACCCCACGAACCCTGGCTACCAGGACATGGCAAACCGAATCTATGCAGCGATGCTGGACATCCCTTCGAGCTGGTGGACAGCCAGCAATACGAAAGCCAAACGCGCAGACTCAGGTCCAGTCGAGACGTGCGATCGGAACTCGATATCCTTCACTGCGGCTGTGGGCGGTGCAAACGTTGCCGCTGGTTGGCATGTGTCAGGAGATCCGGGCGCCGGACCATCCACCCCGGCGACGTCGGGTCAAGCTAGCTCCAAGCAGTGGGTGCCCCAGTGGGGAAATGATGGAGACATTGCAATTGGCACGGGCTATCCTGGTTCTGGAGTGCGGCTGGCCGATCTTGACGGTAAGTGTATGTCTGTCCACAATTGCTTCAGTGGCTAACAACAGTCGTGTAGGAGATGGTGAGTGGAAAAGCGAGCGGCATCGACTGGATCAACTCTTCCATGATGTCCCACTTACAACAAATTGCTGATAACACTTGTGTAGGGCTTGCTGACTACATCTGGGTGAATACAAGGGACGCCTCCTTTCGTGCTTGGTTGAACGGAGGCAAAGACGCATGGTTCGCCATCGACAATGCAAATGAGATCCTCTGGGGCACTGGGGAACCTGACTATGTTGAATTTGTGGACCTAACTGGCGACAAGCGAGCTGAGTATGTCTTGGTACAGAATGGAGCATTCCGAGTGTTCGTGAACGGTGGCAAAGACGGCGACAGCTGGAGCTTCAAGGAGTCCACCCTGGCCGGTCAACAGCTTACCAACGCCTTTGGTAGCGGTGGACTGGGCCTACACTACTTTGGAGACCTAAATGGCGACAAACTGGCAGATCTAGCTATCCTACGAAGCAGTGGCGTCGTGGATTTCTACATTCAGCAGGGCACGATCGGCACAGACAGCTTCAGTTGGTCCCCCTGTTTGAACCACGCCGAACTTACTGGAAGTATGAATCTAGTGGACATTGATGGAGACGGCCGTGCGGATTACGTTTCCATGGCCGACAATGGCTCGCTCTCCGGCTGGCTTAATACTCCCGGCGGCTCTTGCGACATTACACGGGTTCCCATCAGCGGACGAGGCGCAGACAGTCTTGCATTCACCTATGGTGTGCCGGCATCGCAAGTACGACTAGCAGATCTAACGGGTGACGGCAAGGCCGACTACGTGACGGTAACAGACGACACAGGACAGCTCAACTTGTACCCAAACAACGGCTACTTCAGCACTCAGGACAGCGGCGCGAGAACAGGGGGTATCGGAGGTTATGGGGCTGCTGTTCGTCTGGCGGACATAAATGCTGACGGAAAGGACGACTACCTCTCTGTTGACGATGTCACTGGGGTGTTGGCCTACCTCAATGAGGGTCAGCAAGGCAATAGTTGGTCTTTCGCCGAACAAAACAACGGAGCAGTTATTGCCCTAGGCTACTCAGGGGCGAGTCGGAGCGAGATCCAGTTTGTGGATCTTGATGCCAACGGCTATGCGGACTTTGTGATGATCAACGCGAGCACCGGTGCCCTTCACACCTACCTCAACTTTGGTCCCACCGACAAAGGCTACAACTTCGAGATCATTCCCGCAGAGATCGCCATAGGTGTAGGAGGCATTGGCGCTGGCGTTCGCCTGGCCGATATGACTGGAAGTGGAAGAGCCGACTACATCTACCTAGACGAATCAGGTGCCGCTCGAATTTGGGTCAACAATGGCAACGGGTCTGACTTTGCCGACTTGAGCGCTTGGGTTGTCCTTAACAACGGGTATGACGCGGCCATTGGCGTAGGAGCACAGCGGCAGGACGTCCACTTTCACGACGTTGACGGCGACGGACTTGCTGATTACATTTGGGTACATCCCGATGACGGATCCGTCAGCGTCTGGTACAACGATGGTCCGCTGAACTCCGCCCTTGGTTGGATCTCGGGTGGCACAATTCAGCCTGCTATGGGCGTTGCTGGACAGAACATTCGGTTCGCGAGAATAGGAGATTCTGGTCGGGCTGACATTGTCGCACTCGCGGAAGACGGATCCTTCAAAGCCTGGCTCAGCACTTGTTCCAAGGTGACGGGATACAGCGGTAAAGCTCGGCAGGGAGGAGCAGGCGGACAATGCAGCCCAAAGCCGCCGCTCCCAGCTCAGTCTGGGCCAGAAGCACCGTACAATGCTGCGCCCGATTCTGGATGCATCACAGCTCCGTGCTCAACCTGCTACTCATCTGGATGCGGCGGACCGTGTTCTGGTGAGGGCTGTAGCACATGCTCAGGCACGGGATGCGCAGGTTGCAAAGGCGGAGACTGCCATGCTGCCACAGGGACCAACGTTGGGGTCTGCACCGACAAATGCTTCGCATGCCAAGGCGTCGATTGCTCCCTGGCCGGTGGTGCTACAAAGTGCAGCGGTCCCAAGTGCACAACGTGCGTGGGCGGAGCATGCACAGGCTGTCAGGGGACCTCGTGTACGGCGTGCATAGGAGCGGACTGCTCGACCGACAAGTACAGCTGCAACGGTGATGACTGTCGCGTTTGCTATGGCAGTGATTGCAAGCAGTGCAACGGCTCGGACTGTGAGACGTGTACGGGAAGCAGCTGCAATGGTTGCAATGGCTCCGACTGCACTATGTGCACCGGGTCAGGCTGCACGTCCGCTTGTCAGGGCGGCAACTGCCCCGGAGCCACTGCCCCGACGACTGGATCGTCCCCCACGACCGTCACGGCGGCTCCAACTGTATGGGACAACGGTGGCAGTGCCTTCAAAGACCATCCTGCCACGGCAGCGCCATCCACTGGTTGTGCCGTGACTTCGCGACAATCCACCACCATCACCGAAGCTTTCCCCCAGACCACTGAGTACAACACCATCCCTGCGGGGCCCTATTGCGCGTGCGCCGGCGATGTCGTTGCCGGGGTTGACTCGAGCACCGACCGAGCGGGCACAGTATTCCTCTACTGTGCGACCGGCATCACAACCTTTGCAAGTACTAATGCCCAAGCTACAGCGACCGCCACCGCCTCACCCGGAAGTGCCGATAACCCCGACGTAAGTACTTGGACCTTGATGCTTCCTCTCCCTTACCGAGCATTGCAGCTAATTCGCCGGCCAATACGCAGTGGGCCCACGTGTCGTGCAGCTATGGCAGTCTCACGGACCGATACAACAACCGCACGCAAATGTGGGATGATGCCGGAGCCTCTGCGGCTTGGGACGCCGTTGTGTTAGCCTGGAAGGAGTCCAACCAGGCCATGTACCCGAGCTTTGCAGACTTTGTCACTGACTGGTTTGATGTGAGTCCTCCAGCATTCGACGCTTCTTGCCTAATCTTATGCTGACTTATGTTTTCTCGGCGTAGGCCGGCGACCAAGGCTGTACGATACTGGGATTCGGCGGATGTGCGTCCTATATGGGCTGCTGTATGATCACTTTGCCCTATCTACATTGTACCATCGACAAGATTACTAATTCGTCCGTTTTTTTCCTTCAGCGGATTCCACCTCGCCCGCCGCATGGCTGTATGTTCCACTCGTTCCGAGTCCCCTTGCTTTCTTCGCTAACGCCCCTTAGAATCGTCAACTCCATCGCCACTGTCTTCAACATACTCAATTCTTTGTTTGGGGATGTACGAACACTAGATGGTGCTCTTGCTGTCGACCTGGGAGCCTTCACAGGTGAGTGGGCGTGTTCGCAGCATTGTAATATGAGTCGTCTGTCCTAATTCCACGTTGCAACGTCAGACAAATTTTCCATCGACGAAAAGTACATTGAAGACACCATGCAGCAACAACAAGCATTGCGAAAGAAGTATAATACCGCACTGCTCGTTCTGAGCATCATCATCAACTTCACGTTCGCTACTGGTATGATAGCTGCGCGCACCTCAGCTGCGGTTCGCTAACCGTGTACAGCCTTAAAGACTATTGGAAATCTTGGCAAAGGTCTTCAGAGCAATCTGTTGTCCTCGACCGGAAGCACACTCTACGGCGAAGTAAGTCGATACTTCACCAGCATTCGGTGGGGGCTCATTTTGGTTCGATGTTGACAAATGTTCTGACCAGATCTCGAACGCGTTCTCATTCCACGAACTATCGCTAGAGACTGAGAATATCCTTTACACGCAAAACACTGTGGATCTATACGGCGGTTTCGTAGTCAGCGAGTGGACGGACACCATCCAGAATGTCACAACCGGGCTATTCAATAATCCCGATTCGCTCGGTGCCCTCATGAATTATGGAGCTTACTTCACAAGCTCGAACGAATCGCTATCTGCGAACGATCAAACGAACGCCATGACCGCGGCCCTTTTTGCCAATTTGCTTCCCGTAGTCTGGCAAGGTAGTCCTGCACTCGGTGAGCCACTCATTATGTGAGTTCATCCGGAGCCCGGTCATAGTGTCTACGCTTGGCTAACAATTGCGGTAAAAAGAACCGCTGGCACCAGTGCATGCGACAGATACCTCTTTGAAGGCTTCGCGTCGACCGATGGCATATTCCATGGCGTGAGTGATGAAGGGACCGGCAGGAATTTGAAATGGATCATCGACAGCGCGGACCTCGCCATGGACACTTGCTTCACTCACAATGGAGTAGCGTTCTGTGAGTCTACTTAGTGTTCGGTCGTAAAGACATCTTGCTAATCCACCAAGACCTCCTTTGGCTCTATGTTGCCTTTGAAGACAATTACATCGTACACTTCGGCATACCTCCTGGGCCCCCATCACAGCTCAACGGCACCGCTGGGTACTTCGGCGGCCTCGATATTGACCAGGTCACCGCCAAGTACGCACCCATGTCATTTCCGTCAATCTTCACGGCATCGCTGACCCTTTTCTCCAACATCTAGTGCGGTCAACAGTTGGCAAGCTAACAACCAGACCAACGACTTTAGTAATTTGGTCCCCACTTCCATATTGCAAGATGTCTTTGCGATCGGAACTGCCGACATTGCGAACGCCCCTGGCCTAGTACAGCTGCCCATTTGTCAGCTCAACGATGTAGCAGGCCAGCTTTACGCCAGCAGCCACAACGACCAGAACAGTACTTCATGGCCTTGTCAGACGGGCCTGTCCGGGAAAGGAATGATCTCTTTCAACACCCGTTGATTGTGCGCTGCGTATAGACTATGGGGAAGCATGCTAACGGACGAGTCGCATCTTTGGCAAATATGGAGGATGTCCTTTGGTGGGAATCAGACCGAGATACTGCGGACAGCAAGGCAATATCGTATATGCCACGGGCTTCGGTTGACTAGTTACAACAAGTCTTCTGTGTAGTCTTTTCAATGGGAACAAGTGCTGTTGTCGATGCACCAGACAGCATTTCCCAGTATCCAGCCGCAGCTTGAAATGGCATCGGCTCCAGGTGGCATGTACGCCGCTCTATATTACGGAACGTCGATTCTAGCGGAAGAATGTTCACGAATTTGGGGAGTTGGTTAAGACGATGCTGTCGCCTGCCTACAACGAAGACAGGTCCTTGATGCGGCTTAGCGGAAAGTGGCACATGCGTGTCGTCATATTGGTGCCTCAGGCCATCAACAACGACTTCTTCCCCACCTCCCTCAGACCGATCTGGATTCTGCCTCCATCAACTTACATTGCCGGTGTGACGTATGAGGTAGACAGCTTCGACGGTCCATCTATTCCAAATCGTACATACACCATAGTAAGTCAAGACGATCCAGAGCTAAGATATATCCGAAGGACCCCTCCCCATCCCCATTGCCCCAGCTCCTGCTCCTTTCAGTCCATCTGCCAGCCATTGGAAAGACAGCTCCATATCATGACCTTCCAACAAGAATTCGCCTCCTGGTTCGCGCCCAAGGTCCCCCCGACCTCCGAGCCCCCCAAAATCGGCGACGTCGCCCCAACGACCACCAAGCTCCCCCTCGACAACAACAAGCAAACCGTCATCGCCTTCCTCCGCCACTGCGGCTGCCCCTTCGCCGAGAAGACCTTCCTACGCCTGCGCGAAGCAGCCAAAACGCATCAAGATATTGACTTTATCGCCGTCTCGCAATCTGAAGACGGCTCGACGGACAAATGGCTGAAGTCGCTGCCGCAGTATGGCACGGAGCCGTCGAATCTTCAGATTGTGATTGATGATAAGAAGGAGGTGTATTCGAAGTGGGGCATGGGGATTTCCAGCTGGGCGCATGTTCTTGCCCCAGGCGCGTTGAGCAATCTGTTCACATTGGCTGGGGAGGGAATTAAGAATCGGCCGACGGAGACGGGGAGTCGATGGCAGATGGGTGGTGCGTATGCTGTTGGTGAGAATGGGAGGATTAAATGGGGTGGACCCGCTCCTAGAGCGGACGATGTGCCGGATTTTGAGGAGGTGGTGAAGAAGTTGAGTACTTGAATGTGAGAGGACGACGGGCTATCACGACACGATTGACAATTTGGATTCATGTTGCTGATATGTGTAGGCTATTTGCGATTCTACTTAGAGTTTGCGTTTTTCCACGAGATATGTTTGTTTTGCAATACGAGATTGATGAACTTGAAGCCCTTCAATGAATTCAACGGCCACCGACCAAAACATATTCACTCCTCGAGGGATCGGGTAATTGTTCGAAGACAAGATCATGAGCAAAAAGAAAGACATTAGCCTCACTGCGAATCGAACGCAGGTCTACCAACCACGATAAGTCCACCAGACGTGACAGTGGTCGATACAAACGGCTCTGCAGGACGAACTCACACCTCCTACGCTGCCTGTGCCTTTGTCGTTGAACGTGCTGACCGCTGCACCACGAGGCCATTTCCAAAACGACATGGTAGGCGCTGTATCAATCTCTTATATGCTTGCATTCATGACACATATTGCAGAGGTAAATATTCCAAGACAGCTGGCTTCCATTCAGTAACGCCCGGTTAAACATGGACGTCTCTAGACATGTCCCGTTACCGTTGAGACAAGTCTTTCAAGCTGTTTGCTCCTACGAGTAAGAGTATACTTACCTGGACTCCCGCATTAATGACAGAGCCGCGGCGCAACAACCAAACATGGACAATCCAAAAACTTCCCCTCCATCGACGACAGGGACGGAATCCGACGCAACAACAACAGCGATCACAAGCCCCACCTCCTCAACCCAAGACAACAACGAACAAGACTCAGATCTCCTAATCCGCATCACCCTCAACAACGAAACCCTCGCCCGAATTCCCCGCTCCACCCTCCTGCACCACACCTACCACGACAGGCCCCCAAACCCGCTAATCCTCCACCCCCAAACTTGCCCAGTAGCAGCAACCAACATCCTAACCTGGCTTCCACGCAACCCACGCACCAACGGCCCCTTCCCGTGCCTTACCCGAGCATCACCTTCGAGCAAGCCTGCCAGCGCTACGCCCTCGCCGCGTACCTCCGCATCCCGCGGAGCCGGCTAGGCGACGAACTCCGCGATGAGATTTGGCTGTATGTCTATAGCTTACCGGCGTTGCGGAATGATGAGTTTGCGATGGTGGTGGAGTTGTTGGCGTTTGATGGAGGGTTGGTGAGATTGGCGTGTCAGAGGTTGAGGGGACGGCGCAGGGAGGCGGAGGAGTTGATGGGGATGGTGAGAGTTGCGGAGGCGATGTTGGAGGGGAGGAAGGAGCGGAGGGGTGGGGATTGTTGAGAGTGTGAGATGGGAGTCAGTTGCTCGTCATTACGGGTGGATGCCGTGAAGAAGGGGAGACCGGGTAAGTGTAGAGAGACTGGGGTTGATGATTGAGAGTGTGGCTGACATTTGCAGGTTTATCAAAGGTGTTGGTTTTGATTCCTGCAAGACGTTGAATTCCTACAATGGTTCTTCTGCAAATCCGTCACGAACGATCTGTCCCTCGAAGCAGTTTACACTTCGACATACCTACCTTGATGGACCCTCTACCAAAAGCCTATAGCAACCTCACTCCTAGCCCCTCCACCCTATCCGACATCACTTCATCCGAATAACAAACCGAAACCTCACATCCGCCACCCTCAACCTCTCCATAGCCCGATTAATCGCCCCCGCCTCCGCCTCAATTACCTCCACCTCCGGCAAAATGCCATGCTCCAAACAAAACGCCCAGCTCTCCCTCGTCTCCTGCACACTCCCAATCATACTCCCCGTCAGACTCAACCCCGCCACTGCGAGCTCGAAATTGTTGAAGAGGTTCTTGTAGGGACCTAGCAGTGCCATGACTGTCATGGTGCCTCGTCGACGGAGCGTGCGGAGGTAGGGTGTTGGATCGAAGGCACGGGGACGGTGGAGAGGATGTGCGTGAGGGAGCGGTGGATGCCCTTCATTGCGGCGGGGTCGTTGGAGTCGATGACTTGGTCTGCGCCGAAGCGGAGGACTGCTTCGTGTTTCTCTTTGGGATGGGTCGTGAAGACGACAATATGTCCCGCGCCCATCTTCTTCGCCATTTGGAGCGCGAGGTGGCCTGCAGGTCGCAGGTACATCAGCCGTGCCATTCACATGACAATATGCGAGGAAAAACCAGCAAACTCACCAGGCCCTCCCAACCCAATAATCCCCAACCGACTCCCCCCATCCAACCCAAACCTTCTCAGCGGCCCAAACGTATCCGTCCCTTAGGGTTTAGGGTTAGGGTTATCGGCGCCACCCTCGCCAGATCCGCCCCCTCCGGAATCCTGACAACAAAATGTTCCTTAACAACCACATTCCCCGCCCACGCCCCAAACGTATTCAACCCCGCCGCCTCCTTACTCCCCGGCGTCAAAAACCCCCCGTGCAACATCGTCGGCCCATTAGGTCCCTCGCAGTGGTTCTCGACCCCCTCCACACACGCGGAGCATGCGAGGCAAGAATCCATGAGCGTCCCCACGCCGACGATGTCGCCGGGTCGGTAGTGCTGGACATCTGGACCTGTGGCGGTGACACGCCCGACGGCTTCGTGCCCGGGGACGCAGGGGTATTTGGTGGTGTTCCAGTTGTTGGCGAGGAGTTCGAGGTCGGAGTGGCAAAGGCCGCAGTAGATGATTTCGATGAGGAGTTCGGTTCCTTTGGGCTCGGCGCGGTGGAAGGTTAGGGGTTTGATGTTTTTCTTCTCGGAGGCTTGGGAGGAGCCGAAGCCTTGGGTTTCGATCATGGTGTTGCTAGAATCGAGGGTGAATGCAGTCGTGGGCCTAGGTTTGAATGTTGCCAGAGGTCTTCAGTTACGGCTTACCAAGTTGACGAGGCCTCGTGGATATTCACAGCCTTTGGGTCTTGCTTACAAAGAGAGCGGCGACTGCGTCCGAGACAGCTATGTAACAAGCTTGTGGGAGAGAGGTCGTCTGCTCGGTAAGGTGTTTCTTGCAATCGTAAAGGGCATCTTCAATGAGCTCAACTCGTCAAAAGAAAGACTCCAATTACCGGTGGGTTGTATATAGATAAAACATATGTGATTGATATGTCTGTCTATATGTACAGCATTCTTGAGCTGTCTCGGAGTACGACCATCCAACGCCACCAGATACGAAATTAGAGACTCTTCACGAGTCTAGGAGTAAGTCCTGCTTCATGTCCTCCCAAAAGAGCTCCTTGTGAGCCTTGTCAATCCCCATCTACTGCTCAGCAAAGCCAAGACGTGGCGAGCCAGTCGACTCGTCAAAGACAACGAACATGGCCTTGAGGAAGATGTCGCCGAAGATGGTAAAGCCAATGCCGGTGTTGGGCTGGATACCGCCGAAGCACTGCTGGCCGCTCTGGTCGACAGGGGCGTAGTTGATGTACTTGCCGGGAACAGTGAGGGTCTTGCCGCCGATGTTGACGTTGAAATCGGGGGTCTTGCTGGAGCATGGGAAGACGTAGCCGCCCTGCTGGTTGTCGATCTTGGCGCCGGAGACCTTCTTGTAGTAGGCGGAGGCGACGCTGGTGGGGAGGTAGAGGAGGGTGGTGCCGGTGTCGGCGATGGCGCTGCCGATGTTGCCGCTGGAGGTGGATGAATTGCCGGAGCCGACGGAGTAGCCGCCAGCGGTGAAGCCCCAGAAACCTTGAGAATCGTCGACGGGGACGTAGACCAGGCTGCCGGTATACTTGGAGCTGTCGATGTAGCCGAAGTCGTAGGTGCCGGCTTCGCCAGCCTTGAGGTCGACGGTGAAGAGCTTCTTGGCGAGGCTGCTCTTGACGGTGTCGAAGAAGGTGGTTTGCTGTTCGGGCTGGACAGTGTTGATGGAGCTGAAGGCGAGGCCGAGGAGACCGTCGTTGTCTTGGTCCTGGGTGAATTGAGCGGAGACGGAGGTAGCAGCCTCAACAGCCTGGGAAGTGGCAGTCACGCCGCCAACGACAACCTTGTCAGCGTAGACAGTGCCAGACGCACCGGAGCCGTCACCGTACTGAGACGTGTTAGCTTTTACTCAGAAAGGAACATGTGATGGGTCTATTCTTACGCTGATGTTCCAAGAAGCGCCCTGGAGCTCCTTGGCCGACGAAGAGGGCTTGTAGATAGAGTGGCCAGCCTGCTCACTCTTGGTCATGAGCGAGGAGAAGACCCAGAGATCCGCAGAGCCAGTATCAAAGTCCAGGTTGAGAGTCGTTCCGCCAACATTGACCGGGCAAAGGTAGGCCTGGTCGTTCTCCTCTGGGTTGGCAGCAACGCTGCCACTCTGGGAAGCAGCACGAGCAGCTGAGACGACGCTGGGAGGAGCCTGAGCGCCGACCTTGGCGTACTTCTCGTACGTCTTCAACATCTGGATGGGACCATTCTTGCGGACTGTGCCGTGCGCAACCTGTGCAACCTGGAAGGTCTTGCGTCCGACGACGTCAGCGGCCGGGGCGGCGATTGAAAGAGTGGCAGAGGCCAACAAGGCCGTGGATGCGTAGATGAAATGCATAATGAATGACTGTGAAACGAATGTGTAGCCGTTAAACTTCGTGTAGGGCCTGCCCTGGTTTTCGTCGGAGCTGGATAGAGTAGCGAGGATGGGATGAGAAGGCTTGAACATTGAACGAGGGTACCATCTTATATGTGTGCTTCACGGACTGTACGAATCCGTCTCTGTAGTGCAGCTGAGTATCCGTACTGATCGACAAAGGACGATCAAAGAGAAGCGCCCAGTCATGCGGACCAGGTGCTCGCTTGACCGGCGGTATACTAGTCCGGAAAACAAGTCATTGCTCTGTTGAAGCACGCACGTTCAGAAGGACTTAGTGTGGTCCTGCAGATGATTACCCAGCAAGGCAACTCACAGTCTCTCCCCAGTAGTACGTACCAGATACTGAACGATGCTAGGGTTGACGGTGCTCTCCCTTCATGCAAACCAGCACTAGGGCGCCATAGGGACTTCGACTATGATCTCGCATCGTATTGGCTGCCCATGGTTCTTAGGGAATATCGGATGCGTTTCGCATTGTTTGTCTCATGTCGTCGCCACAGCCGCAGTCGCAAGCGTCATTAGAGCTGAGCGAATGGGATGTCTTGCGAGACGTGCGAAGGCACTTCAAACAAGATCCTCGGCCCTGGCTCATAGCAAACAACGGAGATGGCGAGCGGGAGAAGGACACGCCATAGAAGCCTTCCCGCATTGTTCTGTGAATCTTGGCCAGCGGAAGGATGATCTACGTTGCCAAGTAGGATGTCGTACAAGCGTTTGTACCTGGAAGCTTGACTTCAGCAAGACATCGTTGTGCGATGCTGTTGAATGATTTGCTGGAGTACCACGGTGATGTGCTGCGTGATTCAAGCGGCTGCTGCTCTACCAGTGGACAAGACTCGATTAGGGTCTTGAGGCCGTCGCCAATCCCTTTCCAGATATCGGTACGGCCGATTTGACCAGCTTGACCTTGAACGGTGTCCTACAGCGCAATATGCATGGTCGCGGCAGGTACCCGGAAGTAGTTGGTTCGCCGTGCTGTGATCTGGGGATTGCGCTATCCGTTTGGCGTAGATTGCACACAAGCAATCAGGTACACTCTCCAAGCTCGGTGTCAAGACGAGATAAGGCGGGTGGCCGTGGGTCGCTCATCGCTCGGCATACGCCAATTGAAGCTGACGTCGAAGATCACCTAGGAGAACCGAGTGGCCTGTCGGATGGCAAGCATCTTGAACAGATGGTATGACAAGCGATCCGGCATGAGCGAAGATGAAAGAGGACAGTGAGATGGGCCAATTAGATAGCGGTAGAGGCGGTCGGCATATCTGGCGTTTCACCACAACATCCGCGCTGGTCGTCGAGGGCGTCCATTCGAACCGTAGTGTGCGGCAGTAGTTCATTGTTACATGAATGTGTAGGTAGTCGTTGATTGGGAGAACGGAGGTCGGACTAAGATTTTCACAGCCGCCGCGGGAGCGCTAGGCCGTTGGAGGAAGGCCAGTCGAAGGCGCGAAGAAATTTTAGACAGCAACCATCTCAAGATTACCAGCATCCACATCCGCAAAATCCATGGAATGCTACGAACATCTATGGGTGAAGCCCATTATAAACAGCAACCACTCATCAGCCGTCAAACATCCAACGGCCACATCCCACGCCACTCAACGCCGAACTCACACCACACTCCCTCGTGCACTCCGACAACCAAATCTTGGAACCACTTCCCAGTAACACCGTCGACTCGGCTGAACACAATACCCATGGGCGAAGACACCACCATGGCAACCTTGACGGTTGGTTCATTGCCCGAAGAGTGGCGAAGAAGATAACGCCGTACTACGACACTATCAATCGCATCATCACGAGAAGTCATGGCGAATACGTATGGATGCGCGAGACTACGGGGAGATGGTACCTGTGGACATCGGGACCGTAATTTCAACGTCACATGCGAAAGAAAACTACGAGTTGCAAGGTCCGCCGTCCAATCCCCCAAATCGTTGTCTGATGAGATCCGTTACACGCCATGTACCTTGCAGCTATCTCGTCTCATCAACGAACGAACAAAGCCCGCCTTTCAATTTGGTCAAAATCAATCAGCCTTGCCGTGCCTTCCCTCCAAGCGGCGAACTCCGCATACACAGACACCGTCACATTGTAGCAGATCAGATCCGTCGCTGCAGAATACGAACGATGCTACATCTCGTATTTGTTTCACCTAGTCTTCTTGACCTTTCTCTTGGAGGAGATCGCGTGCTTCGAACCACATGTTCCAAACGACGACGAAACGACGACCAGGGACACAGCACAGCACGTCTCACGCGTTTTAGACGGTTGTGCTTACGCATCACAGCCAAACGATCGTGCAATTCATGTTTGAAGAATGAGAGCGGGAGAAGGTGTGGAAATGCTCTCAAGTTGAGGCCGTAGAGAACATTCGTCATGGCTCATAATCACATATGTACATCAAAATACCCTCATGTCATAGCTCTCATGGCACGGAGAATTATTCCCAATGCTTTTCCTCATCACAAGAGTAGCAAGGACTCTACCAACCCCCCTGGTGAGGATATCCCCCCTTGCCACCATACTTCGCATACGCGGCATCGACGAGCTTGCTGAAGTTAGGCGTGCCGAAGCCAGTGACTGTATAACCAAAATCAGTAAACACAACAACCACGAAATTGGAAGAGATATTGCCAACTCACCAGCATCCCACCCCTCCTTCGCCGGGAAGCCCGTCGTATTACACCCATAGCTGCTCCCGCTCGTCACATCCGTAAGCGTCTTATAAGCCCCGCCATACAACCACGGGTTCAAGAAACCCAGCGTGGGTTTGCCCCTTGCAATAAGCGCATCGTTGACCAGACTGATGACCGCCGCGAACGTCGGGCTGGACGCGGAAGTCCCACCGACGGTGCGGACGGTGTTGTTCCACACGAGCGCGTCGTGGTTGCCCTGCGCGGCGACGTCTGGGTAGGCGCGACCGGTCTTGTTGTAGAGGCCGTCGTGCAGGCCCGCGAGGGATTTGATGTAGGCGCTTACGGCGGCGGCTTGGTATTTGGGTTGGGGGAAGTAGTTGGAGAAGCCTGCTCCGCTTGCGAAGCGGGAGACGGCGACTTCGGGTTGGAAGGCTTCGGTGCCGCCGACGGAGGTGATCCAGGGGCAGGACTGTAGTTAAGTGTCAGCATGATGAAGTTTGTGGGGGGGTTGTTGTTCGGGCTTACAGTAGGGAAGTTCGGCAAGAACTTGTACGTATTCTTCCCGTCGTTAGAGTAGCATGTCCCATCACCACCAACACCAGCGTCGCCGCTGCTGAAGAAGAGGGAGATGCCACGGGCGCCGAGCTGGGCGAACCCAGAGCAGGCTCGGCGTGCGTACGACTCGGGGACGGTCTGTTCGTCGTCACCATACGAAGTGCTGATGACCTGGGGCAGGTCGCTCTGTCCGAGGACGTAGTCGAGCCACACGAGGTAGGGTTCGTTGGTGTCTGTTGGGGTGTTGATATCGGGGATGAAGGGTGGGCTGCCACCAGTAGACCAGACGGTCAGTGGAGTAGGGTATCCGATCTGCAAGATGTCAACACAAATCACCACATCGTAGTATATCTCAACCCACCGAAAGAATCTGCTCCGAATCCAAGTTCGCCTCAATGTTGAGGTCGCTTCCAGGAGCATATGGGCCCTGGTTGTCAATTCCACCGGCGATCTGCACAACCTTGAAGTCATAAGCAGCCTGCTTGGCCTCGGGACGGAAGAGGTCCAAGAACTTGTAGATATCCTTGCGGTAGCTAGTTTCGTTGAGGAAGTTGTTGTGGCCGATCTTGTTCTTGCCGGCGGCCTGAGGCTTGTAGTCGTAGGTGCCGTACAGAGTGCGGATGCAGTCTGGCGTGGTGAAGGCTATTTCTTTGAGGTTAGGGCTGTGTTCCCGGTGGTAGGAATCATATGGCTGACTTACAGATGTTGCAAATCTGGGAGATTGGACCTGCACCTCCTCCGTTCTTTGCACACTGTCAGCTCAAACTTTCAAAATACTTTCCTTCCTACTTACACCACCACCACCATTCCCACCATGACCCCACCCATTGCCAGGTCCCCAGTTCTTCTTCACCCAAGCATCGCTAAGCGTCACAGCATCCACGAACGGCGCATTCCCAGACCCACCCGCAGCCTTAGCATTCGGACGGAAGAAGCTGGTCGTGGGCTGCACAACATCGATATGCTCATGAAGATGCATCGGCAGGGACCACTCGGGGGCTCTCGAAATCGTTGACCCATCCGCATGCTCAAAAATCGAATACTCCGTCTGAAGCAACTCCTCAGCCTTCTCGATCGGAAGCACCACATGGATGAAGTCCTTCGAAGGAGAATGAACACCATGCGAGATACCGTGCTCCTCGAGCCAAGCCCTGACAAGCTCCTGAGTCTCGTCGGAGGGCTGGATGATCTCTCTAATCTCCTCAGCGCTCATGTGCTGGCCATGGCGGTGGTGATTCGGGTCCGAAATCTCGAGCAGGTGCTCTTCGATCTGGCCTTCGTTTTGCTGCTTGAGGCCAATCTGGAGGTGGATGGTCTCGTGCTTGGAGGCGGAGCCGACTCGAGTCCAGCTACGTGGGACGATATGGCGTTCCTTGACGGCGTAGGTGGAGCGGGTGTTGCTCTTGGGGAGGGCCTGGACGGCGGTGAAGCTGCCAATGGCGAGCAGCAAGTTGGAAACGAACATGCCGGGCGACGGTAGGAAGGAGGGGAGAAAGGGAAGTGAGCGGGCATGGCTCGCAGTTTGTATTGTCTCGTCCTCGCCAAGGGCATCGGTGTCACCGCAGGTGTTAGCTACAGACGACGAACGAATGAGGCCGCGGGTGGTAATGCAGGTCCGGCGTGCAGCGTAACCTGAACGAGAAGGTCAATCGCATCTCGATGTCGTATCCGACCTTATCAACTGCGGGGACTGTTTGCATAGTCTCCTCTTCTGGCAGGCTTCCGGCGCTAGTGCGTTCCTTGGACGAACTGTTCATCATCGGGTCTCTTTTCTCTTCTTTTGCGAAGCTGCTATCCGCCACCGGTCTCGCCGACGAGGAGCAGACGAAGAACCCCATTCATCAATCCATCCCACCCTATCCTAACCCCAAATCCCCGTCCCAATCTCGGAACAAACCCGCAAACAACCACGAGCTGGTCGAGCTGAGGGGACCGACGTCCAGAAAACATGGTTGGCAAGGGAGCTTATCGCCAAAGCTAATTTCCGCCAAGCGCAGGTGCAGTGTCTTAGCCAGGCACACGGGCCATGCGACGATGATGTCGGCGTGTAACCGAGTCCGGCAGCTGGTCAACCGACCTTCCGGAAACATCAATCTTCTTCTTCTGCAGGATGGAGGTGATACGAGACGATTGGTGGAAATCGCGAGAAATGAGATGTGCAAGGTAGCAAGGTGAATGGCGACTTCAATCTTTCAGCTGCCTCCTGGGGCGGACCAACAAGGTCATTCCCCGAGCATTGCATGGTATCGTTGCATTTGGGCGCGATTGATGTACGAAGTATGGGAAACCATTGGCGAGATGGATCGAAATTCGCAATATTGCACTAGCCTTATGTCATCATCTACAGTTGTACAGCAGAACCGTTCCCATCATACACATGCTTTGCTCCCATTTTTGTGTAGGGTGTGGTACTCCTCCCTTCAAAGGTATCGACATCGACATCGACATGAACAACTATAATATGCAAAGGGCCCTCAAAACACTATGCCTTCCGCCAGACCAAGATTCCCATGCGATCATGCTCCGTGAACGACGATTTACTTCTTCTTCTTCCCTCCCTTCCCAGTATTCACATCTGCCAAGATCGAATCAAACGTCTTGGTCGTATCGACCGCATATCCAGGCGTCCTAGGCCGCTCAATCGGACTCGGCGCACTTCCATCAGGCGTAACACCCGCGGGCAACGGCAACGCCTCAAGTCCAATGCCGAAACTCGACATCCGTTTACTACTCCGCGCACTATTCCTACTATCCGGTCGTAGAAGGTCATTCCCAGACGGCGGTGGAGGGAGAGGCAGATCTTCCGTATCACCGGAGCTTTGTTGCATCTGGAGGGCTTCGCTGAGGATCGGGTTCGATGCGCACCATTTCTCGGCCATTTCCCAGCAGTGCGAGCGGCGGTAGATGCCTTCGACGCCGTGCTCGACGATGTCTGAGGGGAGGCTGACCACACCACCACCCTCGCCGCCGACGGAGAACCAGGTTCGCCGCTGAGCGCCTGCTCCGGCGGCGTTGGGGTTTGCCCAGGGAACGCCTTTTCGGGGTGGTTCGCAGAGGAAGTACTCGACGCCCTTTGTCCACTTCAAGCCGGGTGCGTCGCATGCTAGCATGGGCAGTGCTTGGAGGACGACGTACATGAAGATCCATTGACCGATGCGGAGGTCTTCCAGTTCGTTCATGTTGCAGCCGTGTGCCGCACGTTTCTCCATCTCGCGGAAAGCCTCAACGAAGGGCGTCCTGGGTGCATCTTCATTCCAGCTTGCACGAAGTATTGATTGGAGTTCGTCGTCCTTGATCTTCTTCTGCATGGCCTTTGCATCTTTCTTGGCGTCAGCTCCAAAGTCCTTGCGAGTGCTTCTTAACGTAGGGAGTCTAGGCAAGTCGAAGGGCACTGGAGGCTTGACAGGTGGTGATGAGCGATCGTACTCCGACAGCACCGCTCTTAAACCTCGCACGACTGGCTCGTCTCGACCACCGTCCTCGTTACCACCATCGATAGTCCTAGTCGTGAGATGGTTCCGATCGACCAACAGATCGTAGAGAGAAGACAAATCGTGGTAAACATCCTTCAAAACCAGCCGGTTCAGGCCAGACGTCTCCAGTGTGTTCTTCTTGCTGCTAGCCTTAGGAGGCCAGTCACCATATTTCGCCTTGTACATGCCCATGGTGAATTTGCGCATGCCGAGGAAATGCTCTTTCCACTGATCGAATCGCACACCCTCCTTCCGTTCGATCGAGGTCTTGGAGTTCATAATCCCAGAAAAGAGGAAGGGAAACTCAAAGTCGGTCATGATCAATCTTATCGAAGCGACTCGTTTCTCCAGATCCATGGCCGCGCGTGTCAGTCGGTTCTGGATGATCGGGCTGATCATGTTGAACTTGGGACTCTTCAACGATATTAAATCTTCATGCTTTCCGACCGCATGCGTAAAGGCTTCATTGAATAATAGTACGCTCTTCATTCGTTCTCCAAGGACAACACCTTCAATCGTCTTCTCTCGACTCGCTCGCACATCGGCAAGACCAAGCTCTTCGACATAGTTGTCGAAACTCGAGTTCGCAACCTCGCCGTATGTGGAACCGTCGACGTTCGAGAATTGATACGATTTCAGGATTCCAGCAATCGTCATGAAGATGTGGAAGAATGTGCTTCTCCTAGGGGTCGCAACAAGTGATTGACCGCAAAGGAAGGCGAAGAAGTTGCGGTAGTCGATCAAGGTTTGGAGGTCTTCCAGCGCGGCGCGGTCGTCAGCTTTGGGAGTAGTAGGTGTCTGCGCAGCGCCATCGCTGCTGAGTCTGATAGGTAAGTAGAGATGTGTCTCCTGCGATTCAGAAGAGAATGTTGAGAATCGACCGCGAGAATCGTGGGATGACGTCGAGCTCGTCGTCTCGGCATTGCGTTTCGGACTGAGAGGCGGCGTAGCGGGGTCATTGACCGCAAGTTGTTGCGCGCGAGTCTCCAGCGGCATCTGCCTGCGGTCTCCTGAGACAACCGCGGCACTGCTGTATACATCCCCAAACGCGAGCTTTGTCAACATTGGTGACGATGCAAAGACAGCTGAATCGACCTTGAACGATGCTCCTCTGCCTGATGTTCGCGGGAACAAATATACGAGGCAGTTACCATCGCCATTGTCCCACAATTCCTGCATAGGTTTCGCACTCAAGAGTCCATCGGTGTCATATGGGAGATGCTGTGGATGGCCGGCGATCCACGCAGCTGGGCCTCTGCTCGCTTCATCCTTCTCTTTACTGCGGTTCCACCAATGCTTCTTGTTCCTCTGCTTGTCTAGATTATCACCTCCGGGCGACGAAGGTGTCATAGGCGGCTGGTCGGGGAGTTGTATGCTCGGCGTGACAGGCCTGCTAGGACTGTATCCGCCCGGTGTCCCAGGCCTTGAGCGTTCTGTAGAGCCATTTCTGGAATGATATCCCGAGTTTAGAGTCGGAGGAGGGAGTAGACTCGGGTCGTTGTTGGCCTGATCATGCTGAAGATCTTGTAAACTCGGCAGGCTCGGCAGGGTAGGTTCAAGGAGCTGTCCTGAAGGTCTTCTCGCGGAGTTGTACACCGGGGCTTGCTTTGAGAGTTTGCTGGGACTCTTCGATCGTGAAACGTCCGGAGGCGAGGCTCGTCGAGGAGACTTGGATGCGCTCTTGGGCATGCCTGGCTGGGACTTGTCCTCGGAGGGAAAGCCAGAGGTGAAGATGGAGGACAGACGTCTAGCCATGTCGTTGTGGTAGTAAGACGCAGGAGGTCAGGTCAGCAGCACGACAAGAACTGTGGTGCGACTCGGGAATCACGCGAACATGCGTGCAAGCGTGCGTGCGTGGGAGGGTAGGTATTTTATAAAGGCCGGGGAGGTTGACAGGTTTCACAGGTACAACGGCGCAAGGCGTTGGAAAGGCTGGAGCAGTGAGGACACAAGCCGGTCATAGTATTTCAGGAAGAGGAGGAAGAGGCTGGAAACAAGCAGGAGTGCAGTAGTTTCAGCAGCAACACCAGCGCACGGCGTCAGGTACCCGAGTGTGATGCGTGAAGGGCGGCATTACGCAACTCTCGTGTATTTTGCATGAGGCGGAGTCGAGCAAGCCCCCAATCACTGCAGACCCTGATCCATGACCACTGCCTCTCGCCGGTTGGTTGCCATGTGAGATTCCATCCGCCCATCCAGCACAAGTCAGCCGCCCGTTAGATCTTGATGTTATGAACGGAACATAGCCCTCCCTCTCACGCTGTTGCGAGGCTTTGCGAACACAGCTGCTGATGTTCTGAGGCACAACAACTCCCTCACATCGCCGCCCATGACGCCGGCCAAGAGGGCCCAGACGTCTAAGATTAGCTCCAACTGTCCAACGGCGCGCGGCTACCGGCATGTCGGCGACGATGGCGAACTGATAGACGCCAGGAACAGGTAACTCTCTGCGTGTGTACGAGTTTTCGAGAGGCAAGATACGAACGTCTATCGATAAATTCGCCGCAATGGGAAGTCTCGATATCGATAGTGTCCTTGTAGCCGGGTTGGAATCTTGCATGATGAGCTTGTTGGCCGATCGCGGCCGCGTCGTCCTCCAACTTCCATCATCGCAGTCAGATCAGAAAAAGGCCTTCACCGTAATCAATGCCCACCCTCAATCTCCTCCACCTCGTACGGAACATCCTCTGGCCGAAGCCAAGCACAATGTCATCCACATCCACAAACTTCAGCTCCCTCCCAGCGGGCATGACGAATGCCTCGTCAAAACCAGCTATCAACCTCCTACGAGGCTGGCCCAACGGCTCCCTCCTCCCCGTCTCTCTGATCAAAGAAGCCGCCACCACCGCCCTCTCAGACCCCTCCATAGCCTACGACGGCCTCGTTTACGGCGCCGATGAAGGCTACCCACCCGCGCGAGAAGCCATCGCGGAATGGTTGACGTCCTTCTACAATCCAAGCAAACCGATCGAGGCGGAGAGGATATGCCTCAACGGCGGCGCCTCCCAGAGTCTCGGCTGCATGCTGAACGTCTACACCGAGCCCTCCTCGACCCTCAACATCTGGCTCGTCGCGCCCGCCTACATGCTCGTCTTCCGCATCTTCGAAGACGCAGGGTTCAGCGACAAAATGCGCGCCGTGCCGGAAGACGAAGACGGCATCGATATCGCATACCTGCGACAAGAAATTCTCAAGAGCGAGGAGAACGCCGGGAAGGATACCACGACGCCGCGGTATAAACCCCATCGCGACCGCGCGAAGGTCTATAGACATGTCGTCTACTGCGTGCCGACGTTCAGCAATCCTTCCTCGAGGACGATGAGTCTGCACCAAAGACGCGACCTTGTCCGGCTGGCGCGGGAGTTCGATGTCCTGCTCGTGTGCGACGACGTTTATGATTTCCTTCAGTGGCCCACAGCCTCCCCCGACACAAAGCTCGTAGAAACGCTGAAGACATCGCACTTACCCCGGCTCGTGGACATCGATCGCGAGTTGGACGGTGGTGCAGATCGTAAAGGTGCCGATGGTTTTGGGAATGTGGTGTCGAATGGAACGTTTTCCAAGTTGGCGGGTCCAGGTAAGATAAGAGATTTCTTGATCTGGTAAGTTTTCGTGTGGGCTTATGGTTTGTCCTCTTTCTGTAGGTCTGCGAAGTGGCTGGATTGAGGGAACGGCCAAGTTCTCGTATGGGGTGTCGCAAGCGTAAGTGTTTTCCATGTCTCTTCATTCAGTATCTCGTACTCTGCTATTTGGCATATGTAACCGTGAAGAGGTAGTACGATCATGTCGCACCAAGATCCAGACATCTAGTCTAGTCTAGTTTGCCTTTCAACTACAAAGCTAACTCCTTCCCTGCAACCCAGTGGCATCCAAAGATCCGGCGGCGCTCCAAGCCAACTCACCTCCACCTACCTCACTCGCCTCCTCCAAACCGGCCAACTCCAACACCACATTCAAACCGTCCTGCGCCCCGCGTATGCCACCAGATACAGCCTCATGGCCTCGGCGATCAAAGAACACCTCCTACCGCTAGGCTTCACCATGCCACAGCCCGATCGCGAGGTCGTGGGTGGCTACTTCATCTGGCTCGGGCTGCCCGAGACCCTGAACGGGGAGGAATTGACGCAGCGGTGTCAGGATGAGGAGAGTTTGGTCATTGCTCCTGGAAGTATTTTTGAGGTTCCTGGGGATGAGAGTGCGAGATTTGAGCGGAGCGTGAGGCTTTGTTTTGCTTTTGAGGAGGAAGAGAACCTGGGTGAGGGAGTGAGGAGGATTGGGGATGTGGTGGAGATGATGTTGGAGAGCGGGGAGGGTCCATGTGGGGAGTATGTGGTTGTTGAGAGAGGGCATAAGGATGATACTAAGTTGCAGGGGTTCATGTGAGGTGAGTTTGCAGCTGTCGAGGCCGAGACTTCTATATCCGAAGAGGTTCTGCTGAATCAATTATAGCTTTGGATGCTCAGCCTTGCAACAATCCACGTCTCAACGTTGGTCGGCCTCTCCGTGGGGCTCAAGTCATCCAAATACGGCTGCTTGTCACAGATGGATTCGTATGTAATTGAGGTCCTCATCTCGGATTTCGGTTGCTCTTCATCACAGCCAGCTAGTGAGAGGGAGTGTTGCGATGTACTTTGATTGTCAGCTGAAAACGAGCTTGTGATCGCGAAAGCTCTTTCGGTCAGATGGCAGTACGACTCAAAGTAGCTCTCGTCACACGGTCACACTCGATGTTGTGTCGCAGTACGTGTTTACAAGACAGACCGCCACATGGACACACGCCCCTGTGTCATGTGCGCATGCTCTCGAAAGGCGGGCACCCGCACGTCGTGCACTGGTGTGACTGGTGTTCACAATTTTCATTAAAGGGTGAAGCTGGAGATTCGGTCTAGTCGAAAGCCATCCTGTTGTCGAAGAGCGGACGATGAGATCACAATGTCCAACAGAGGGTATCCTGTGCCTTTTGACGACGAAAGGGTCGTGGTTGGACGGGCTGCAAGGTACCGAACTCTGTCTCGCTGGCCATCCCTGCGGCCCAGGCGGCCGGGGGGTTGGCGGCAGTCGTACTTTTGACTCGAAGAAGAGGTCTTCTCCGACCACAGATTGGGAAGGGTCAATGTTTTGATGAGCGCCACTGCAAAAGCGACCACTGACGATTGGCCGTCCAAGTTGTTTGCGGGAGGTTGAAGCAGACGTGCGGGCTGGACGCCGTTTCGCGCCAGCCGCACCAGCCAATCAAGGGTGGCTCCTGCCGTCCAACGGGTGTGGCTGAAGCAAGAGCGCCGATCCTTGCGCCTGAGTCTAAATCGCGTCGACTACACCTCATGCGCCGGCGCTGTGAAAGAGGAGGTGTTGGGTGGTGCTGCACGCGCGAGAGGCCCCTTGCCATTTCTCCCAGGTTTCACGCAGCGACACCATCTTGTCTTGCGCTGGCTGTCTCTGGGCGGCCGCAGAGACAAGCATGGCGGGTAGGCGTGGAGCACATTCTTTGCGCCTCCCACTGCATGCCCTTTCACGCCTCCAGATCGCTTAGGACGGTGGTCCACGAGGTTAACAGAATGACTCCCAAGACAAAGATGATGTAGTTGTACCGGCGTATGATAGTTTGAGGCTCGTGTCGTCGCCACAGATGGCATGCGGGTTCCAAGCAAACGCAGCAGATGGGTATAATAGAGCGGCGGCTGCAGACATGTGCAAACCGGATCGAAAGACTAGACGCAAACGAAGGTGAATGCCGAGCGACATCTGAAACGCAGGACGACTTGGACGGAGGTACCTGACTGGAGGCGATTCAATCGCGAGTAACATGTGAGTTCAGATGTCCCCACTCCTGCCCTGCACCGCTCCTTCCACCGCATTCAAAAAGAGACACACTGCACCTTGACTTGTCTTTTGCTGCGTTGCTCTGTTCTGTTCTGCTCTTCACTGTCGGCGTCGCCCTGCCGCGGCTTATTCTGCTTCTGTGCCTATTGACGAGGCTGCATTGTCCTTCCTTCATTGTCGCCCGCACACAATACCATTCATCGAACGCGCCTTCCATTCTTCACGCGCGTCGACCCTCGTTACGACACACCGCGACTTGCTACTTAACCACCTTTTCTTTCGCACTCTCTTGCTTGCAAGGACTCGCACCTTTTGGAACACCTTCTCTCGCTTTCCAGACACTGACCACCGACAGTTGCCTTGGCAACACACAACGAAACTCCACGAAATCTCTCCCAGTGCAGGACACTGAGACAACCACGACCGCCATCACGACTACGACTTCAAATCCGATCTTTATCACCCATACATCTGCGTCCCGAGCAGCCATGTTCTCCACCCGCAGCGTCATGCTGCTTTCGACGGCGTTGAGCGCCTTCCTCGCTCCCGTGGCTCAAGCCGCACCAGCACCACAGCAGTCCAGCCCTGCAAGCTCATCTGGCTACTGGCTCGCCGACATCAAGCACCAGGGCACTGTCTGGACAAACTCGAACAGCACCTCCGGCGGTTACGAGATCTTTCGAACAGCCCCCGCACCCAGCGGTGGCGACGACTCGGATGCTATTCAGAAGTTGCTGGAGGATGGAGGCCGATGCGGTGCTAACTGCAACTCTTCGACCACCACCCCAGCCATCATCTACATCCCAGGAGGCACCTACCAACTGAACAAGCCGCTCAACCTCACCTACTACACCCAAATCATCGGTGACGCAAAGAACCGACCAGTCTTCAAGCCAGGCCCAACTTTTGCCGGCATGGCCATGATGGATGCTGACCCTTACGCCAACCCAAACAACACCAACTGGTTCATTAACCAAAACAACTTCTTCCGCCAGATCCGCAATTGTGTCTTCGACTTGCGAGGCTCTGCCAACACTACTACTGCGATCCACTGGCAAGTCGCCCAAGCTACCAGCCTCCAGAACATCGACTTTCAGATGGACGAGGGATCTGGCCAGCAAGGTATCTTCATGGACAATGGTTCCGGCGGCTGGTGCAGCGACCTCACCTTCTCAGGTGGTGGTAACTGCATGTTTGTCGGCAGCCAGCAGTTCACTTCCCGCAACCTCAAGTTCACCAACTGTGGCACTGCCATCTTCATGAACTGGAACTGGGGCTGGACTTTCAGCAATGTCTCGATTGAAGGTGGATCTGGTCAGACCGGCATGGACATGTCTGTCAACCCATCAAATCAGTCCGTCGGCTCGGTCGTCCTCTCCGACAGCAAAGTCTCTGGCGTTGAGTATGGTGTCAAGACCTCTTATGGGGGCAATGGCACTGGTAATGTCCCAGCTACCGGAGGCACTCTACTCCTGATCAACGTCGACTTCACTGGCACGCAACAGGCTGTCTACCAAGTCCCACAGACCAAGACTATCCTCGAGGGCAACAAAATCGTTGCCTCCTGGGCTCAAGGCAACAGCTACACCGGCAACGGCAAGCAGCAAACCTCCGCTGGTCCCATTACCAACGCTCCCAAGTTGCCAACATCTCTCACCACCCAGAACGGCGCCGTCTACGGCCGCAGCAAGCCGCAGTACGAGGATGTCGCAGTCTCCAACTTCATCTCGGCCCTCGACAGCGGTTGCAAGGGTGATGGCGAGACCGACGACACCAAGGCTGTCCAAGACTTCTTGAACAAGGTCGCCAGCACACCGAACGCCATTGCCTTCTTCGACCACGCTGCCTACCTCATCAAGGACACCATCATCGTTCCACAGAAGATCAAGATTGTTGGCGAGATCTGGTCTTTGATCGTCGCCGATGGTTCTTCGTTCAATGACCCCACCAAGCCAAAGCCTGTCTGGCAAGTCGGCAAGCGCGACACCCAAGAGAAGGGTGCAGTCGAGATTTCCGATTTGATCTTCGAGACCAAGGGCGCCGCTCCTGGCGCCGTCATGATTGAGTGGAACTTGAACTCGGCTCAAGGCGAATCCGGCATGTGGGACAGCCATGTCCGCATTGGTGGCTCCGCTGGTACTGAGTTGCTCATGGAGCAGTGTCGTGGTCACACCGGCCAGGTCGGTTTCCCCGGCGAGGTCAATCCACCAAAGGTCGAGTGCCAAGGTGTCTTCATGATGTTCCACGCGACCAAGCAATCTGGCGGCTTCGTGCTCGAGAATGACTGGTTCTGGGTTGCTGATCACGACCTAGAGGACGGCCCTGGCCAGACTCAGATCAACCTCTACAGCGCTCGTGGTGCTCTCTTCCAGAACCAAGGACCATGCTGGCTCTGGGGTACCGCTTCTGAGCACTCCATCATCTACAATTACCAGCTGGACGGCGTCAAGGCTTTCTTCGGCGGCTTCATGCAGACTGAGACGCCTTACTTCCAGCCATCTCCAGAGGTTCCCAAGCCATTCACCTTCAACGGCGCTGCTGGCTATCAGAACGACCCTACCTTCGCCATCTGTGAGAACGGCACTGACAGCGACGGCGTGCCATGCAAGGATGCCTGGGGCCTTCGCGTGCTCAACAGTCAGAACGTCCACATCTACTCGACTGGCATGTACTCCTTCTTCAACGGATACCAGCAGAAGTGCGTTGCTTCAACAACCGAGAATTGTCAGCTTAATATGATCCGGGTCCAAAACAGCGAAGTCTACATGTACGCTGTCACGACCAAGGCGTCGGTGAACATGCTACGTGTGGATGCAAACGATCCGATTGTGGCGGCAGATAATGAAGGCGTTTACGGGGATACAATCGCGTACTACTTTTCAAAGTAGAGGGGGGGTTTCTATGCTTGGTTTCTTCTTTCAGTACGATTTTCTCGCCTCTTCAAGGTCTCGCGGCGTTCGTTGGGAGAGGACGGTAGCATGAGAATACCCGAGCTCGAAAAAGCTCACTGCTGGCAGATTCAGCAGCCTGGCGTTTGGGGGATACTACTGTGTGCAGAGACGAGCCTACCGGCGATGTAGTTAGCTCGCGAATTCAGAAACCGTTCAACGTTGATCTATCTGTCCTTTCCATCCACGTTGTTCTTTCCTTCCCCTTACGTCGAACCGTCACTGCCCCTTTCCCCAACTTCATGTTCGACAGCGAACAGACCACTGATTTTCTCACATTCGAGCGACTCTCTTCAATAGAGCGATGCCATAAACAGACTGATCAAGTACGACTTGCCCATGATAGTGACGACGACGGAGAGCACTCAAGCATAAGCGGAACATCAAGTCTCTCTTTAGGCCATCCGATTTCGAAGTCGAGGATGCTTGTACCGCGAAACGAGTTCGCGAAAGCAGAGCAGACCGAATTGGTGTGAAACTCGATACTCCACGGAATGTGGCATTTACAATGCTATCGAGACTCGTGATGGGGATTTGGTACTCGCCTGTGCAGTGGGGATATTCTCTCTTTCTTGTCTTGGAGGGTTTTGGCAAGGCTCCTATTCTGGATGGGTAGTCAATTGATGGGCCTCTGGACGACATTTCACGTGGGAGAAACACTAATTCTCCTTTTAAGGTGCGGGTTGCGCTGTGCTGTGCTAATGACATCTCGATATCTCGACTCGTCTCTGCATTGCTTTAGTCGCCATATCAGTCGCCAGAACGGTAAATTGTCTTGTGCGAGGGCACACGGGTCTGAAGGCGGTATTCTGGCCGCAGACCTGATGTTTTCGTTTTCAATGAAGGGCATCGAATCGATTATGCTGACGTTGGCGACAGTGCTCGATCCTTGTAAGTACCCTCTTTCCTCATGCAGTAAGTGCTCTTGCACGGCGCCGATGTGGTCGGAGTGGCCATCATTCTCGACATTAGGGTCGGTCTCGCGGGATTGACAGTCTTGAGGTGGCATTCACGACCCCGGACTGGTCTTTCGTCCCTGTCTTTGACGGGTTCAAAGTATAGCTGGACTTTTCGTCCGTTTCATTTCTTGGTTTCGATGCCCAACAGCAAAGAGACGAAATGGAGCAAGAAAGTCGACTTCCAAAACGCCATGTCCTCATCTTCGACCATCCGAGATCCTGTTCCAACCTCCTTGGCAAGCTCCTAGAGACTCACCCAGATGTGACGAGACTTCATCGACCGTGGAGGGATGCGCGAACCCGCGTAGCAGATAGAACAGGTCTTTCATTTACGCCAGAGACGGCGGTCAGGTTCCAGAAGAGACGACTTGGAGCCGAACAGCCTGACTTCAGCCACCTGACAGTGGCGAAAGCCAACGAACATGTGGCGGAATCGATAAGAGCGGCGCGTGAGAAGGTGTGAGATGCCCAAAACGAATATGGACCCGTGAACAACACGTTGACTTGTAACGTGAAGGGCAACCTCGCCATAATCCAAGAACACACCGCCATCCTCATCACTGACGAAGCCATCCACGGCACTCTGCACGACTTGTAACGTGAAGGGCAACCTCGCCATAATCCAAGAACACACCGCCATCCTCATCACTGACGAAGCCATCCACGGCACTCTGCACGACTCCAGCTCGCTACCCAACCCCTCCGCCAACACCACCATAATCCGCTCCGACATCCTCCAAACCTCCATCCCCCTGCTCCTAATCCGCCACCCAGCCCTCGCCATCCCCTCCTTCCTCCGCATGCACCTCCTCGAAGAAATGCTCGTCCCGGAAGACGAAATGTTCCGGTACTGGATCAGTTATCGCTGGCTCCGGATCATCTACTCACACCTCGCATCTCTAGCCCGGGAAAACAGCGCCAACGACCTCGCCGAGCCGGTCATCATCGACGCTTACGATATTGTGCAGAAAACCCCCGCCGTGATGGCGAGACTCTGCGAACTCTTCCATATCGGTCAGGGCGAGATACGCGAGACGTGGGAGGTTGGGGAGGGTGTTGTTGGGGAGCCGAATGAGTTGGACGTGAGGTGGGTGGAGACGTTGTGGGGTTCGAGGGGGGTGATTCGGAGGGAGGATGGGGTTGTGGATTGGGAGATTCGGGTTGGGGAGTTGGTGGAGGGGTGGGGGAGGGAGTTTGGAGGCGACCGGGGTGAGGTGTTGAAAGGGATGGTGGAGGGGGAGATGGAGGATTATGGGTTTTTGTGGGAGAGGAGGGTGCGGTTTTGATTTGCTTTGTTGTTCTGGCATGGATGGCAGTACGTAGGGATGAAGGGTGACCTTGCGAGGCTTGACGCTCTTCTCTGAGGAGGCTGGCGGGTGGTGTTCCTGAGGATTGATGTTAGCCAGAACGGGGGCGAGGGTGCCTGTTGAGTAGGTCCGTGGGCAACAACTCTGAAAGTGCGAAGAACAAGGGTGTCTAACTCGGCGTCCTTGAGAAAGGATGGTCATACAGCTTGCTCAGCTGCAAGGCATCGTATCATGTCATGTACAAGTCGTGTAGGTTTATCCGCAGGCAACGTGGACGTCTCAGCTCCTCGCTACTTCTTACTGCCCTTTCTTCTGACCCTCCGTCTCCCCTCTCGCAAGATCAACCAGCGCTTGTCCATCCACTCGCAACTGCACCCAGTCGTGCATCTCCTTCGCGCCCAAGCTCCTGTAGAACTGCAGACTGGGCTCATTCCATTTCAAACAGCTCCACTCCAGCCTCGCACCATCAATCCTCAACACCTCTTGCGCAAGCGCCTGGATAAGGTACTTGCCCCACCCTCGCTTTCGGTATTGTGGTCGTACGAATAGGTCTTCAAGGTAAACACCGGGCTTGCTACGCCATGTGCTGTAGTTGTTGAAGTAGAGGGCCATACCTGCCACTGAACCAGGTGCGTCGGAGGCGTACTTGTACTTGTCGGAGCGGTCGGTGGGTGTGCGGAGGATGAGGCATTTGGCGTAGCCGGGGTTGGAGTGTTGCGTGGTGCTGCCGCCAGGTGCGAAAGTGAGGGTGCGTTTGAGGGAATCTTCGGTTGCAAGGACCTTTTCCGGCTCTTTCTCGTAGTCGGCAAGCTCCTTGATCATGGCGAGGATTTCAGGAACATCTACCAAAGTGTCAATGCCGTCCATCGAGGTTGTATTTCCGAATGTGGGGTGGAATAACATACCTCCAACTGTTGCGTGGACAATGGATGGTCTGTCGGTGGCAGAGGACATGTTGGCTGATGCTTCAATAGGCAATGATGACGCTCAGGCAATTGAAAATGGTTGTAGAAATTTTCAAGGTCGTAGGGTTCGTAGTTGTAACGCCCTGTAGAGTGCAAGTCGAAGTCGAAGTTGACGTGCAGCAGAATTGTGGCAGAAGCAACGCTAATGCCAGGGACCATCGTCACCGCCTTCGTGGGGGTTGCTTGGGGGTACCATTTCCACGCTTCGAATCCGGGATACAGGCCGACTAATGCAAAGGGCAATTGCAGTCGCTTTTCCTTCTCTCAGTTGATGGTTGGGTCTTGTCGATCCTGTACGATCCTGTACGGCCGTACTGCATACTTTCCCCAAGTAACTGACCATTTGCCTCTCTCAGAATCGTAGTCCATCATGGGGCATTGCTTGAAAACGAGTGCGTAGAGTCTTTGCATGTAGCGTGCAGTGATTGTATGAGCCTCAGGGTTGCCGAATTCTCGCTTGTCGAAGTCTCCTTGGACAACCATATCAAGAGCAGTGCCCTTTCGCGTGGCGATGGATACAGCATCGGCCGGCGCTTTTCGTTTCTGAGGTTTCGTAGATATACCTCGACCGTTCGCCAAGTCTTGCAACTTGTACCACTCATCTGCAGGCAATGGAGGAAGTACTCGATCAAGCAACTCAGCATACCACTTTTTGGTCAGATTATTGACTCTACTTGCGGGCATTGGCCGCATCTTGGAGTTCAGTTCCGGGATGTCGGGTCGAAGTTTGCGAGGATTTGGCCTGGTCCTGTCGGGAGGATCGATCTTTTGCTGCGATAAGGCCAGGGCATACAAAGCAGGAGATAGACGGTACTTGTCTTCTACAGCATCCGATTTGGCACTCTGTCCCGTCGCCCCTTCGTTCCACACCAACTCACCGTCTTGGTTGTACATCGCGGTCAGATCAGAGTCCTCTTGCGCTGGCTTGGCGAGCAGCGGTATCATCAAGTCATGCCTGCGTTTCCCAGTCCTTCCGTATGTCATAAACAACACTTTCAACAGCGGTTTCGTCTCGCCCTCGTTGGCCCGGTTCAGTAAACGATGGAATAGGCGGAGCTCCTTCTGCTTGTCTTTGAGCCGACCTTCCAAGCCATGTATATTCTTCATGTTGCGACTCTTCCAAGTCTTGAACTGGTATGTTCGAAACCGGGAGAGGACATACTGGCTGACGAACTGCCTAGCCTTAGGGTCGGGTAGATAGGTGCATTCTCGTAATATCGCTCTCAGCCAGTGACGGGCATAGGCAGCTTGTTTGGTAGCTTTTTTCGATGCAGTGCCGTGGGCATTGTCGACAGCCTGTTCGCGGGACTGCACAGGAGGCTGGGCGGCGGTCGGCTTGGTACCGTAGCAGCGGCTACTTACACCAAGCAGTCTGAGATATGTCGCGCCGGAGAGTGTCAGAGATGGTCGAAGACAGAAGCAGCTCATGGCTCCGTGTCACGCACATCGCAGCTCATCAACGCGGCATCGAATTAGTCCTCGGCTAGGGAGGATTAGACTTCGGCATGGGCCGCAAATGACCCGTTCTTGAACGCGCACCTCCCACCCACACGCGTTGCTCTCGCGTCACCCAACTTCACCTCTGCGAAATTGCCCACGCCCGCGGCCGCTCCACTGCCCTCGTCGCTTCGCATCGCATCACGCGGACCGCCATTTACTTCCCCAGCCTGACGCTCCCACCTACACCTCTGGCCCCTTGCGGCCTCCCTCACCGTCGCCATGCCCCCGACCCCGCCGCAATCGCACGCATACGCCCACATGGCTCCCCAACCCTCGCCGCAGCAGGTCTCGTCGAGCCAGCCAAATGGTCTACCTTCGTACGGAAATCACGGGTACAACCTATCTTTCGACAGCAGCCAGCAATCGCTCTCCCAACCTGTTCCCACCGGCTTTTCGCAGAGCTTCCCAAACGGGCCAGTCTCGAATCCGGGGTACGCCAGGAGCTTTGGAGAAGGAGCCTCTATGAAGGGCATGAGAGGGTACAACGAGCCGGCGCAAATATATACTGTGAGCTTTGAATTAAGCGAGGATTTGGCGCAAGTTTGCTAACATCCCCTCAGGCCGCTTACTCTGGAGTATCAGTCTACGAAATGGAAGTCGGCGGTGTCGCCGTCATGCGCCGTCGCAGTGATGGCTGGCTCAATGCGACACAGATATTGAAGGTTGCGGGCGTTGATAAAGGCAAGCGCACGAAAGTGCTCGAAAAAGAAATCCTCACCGGAGAGCACGAAAAGGTACAGGGTGGATACGGCAAATACCAAGGTACCTGGATCAGCTACCTCCGAGGTCGAGAGTTCTGTCGCCAGTATGGGGTTGAGGATATTCTGCGTCCGTTACTGGAATACGACGTCAGCGCAGATGGCACCAGTGGACGAGGCCAGCATGAGACACCTACCAAGGAGCAAGCCATGGCTGCTCAGCGCAAGAAATTCTACACCAATGCGAGCCTGGATCCGCGCCAGAATGGCATGCCGACATCGAATGGGACTTTCTTCTCCAACATCTCGCCGACGACATCGGTGGCTCTGGCTGCCATGAACAAGGCAGCTCGCTTGAACTCACCAGCACCCAGGAATGGGAACACCCCGAAACCCGCTAATATGCGGAGACCATCGCAGCAGGATGGTTACGGTGGCGGTAGCCAACAGAGTATGGTGTCTGATATCGATGCCAAGACCGCCGACTCTGGGTACAACACTCAAGCGAATGGTGAACCACCGAGGAAGCGCATGAGACCAGATAGTCAGGAAGGCATGGGCCCACCCGTCCTACCACTTGACGCTTCGATGCGCTCTGCAACCCCGACAGAACCGAATGAGAGCTTTCTTTACGATAATGCCTTGATGCAGGAGTCCGTGAACGCATATGGAGAGCCAATCGCTCTGCCACCGTTGCCAAGCCCTTCCACAGAGGAACGGCAAGAGAAGATGAACTTGATCCTGGACTTGTTCGCGGAGCAGAGTAGAACTGACTACGCTTCTCATCGAGCTTTGCAAGAGCTCTCGAACGAAGATCTGAACATGCCGCTTGATGCTTCAGCTAATAATGCCCTCCACTGGGCCGCCACATTGGCCAAAGTCCCGCTCTTGAAACTCTTGATACAGAAAGGAGCAAGTGTATGGCGCGGAAACGCTGCCGGACAGTCGCCACTGATCAGTGCTGTCTCGGTCAACAACTGCTGGGAGCATTCGTGCTTCCCTGAAGTCCTGGAGCTACTAGGCCCACTCATTGAGGTTCGCGATCTGCAAGGCCGGACAATTCTACACCACATTGCCGTCTCCTCAGGAATCAAAGGTCGTGCGGCGAGCAGCAAGTACTACCTGGAGGCACTGCTCGAGTTTTTGGTCAGGATAGGGACCCAACCAAACAGCTCGGCTGCCCAGAACGTTGCCGCCGCAACAGCCCACATGCATCAAGCGTCACAGCAGACAAATGGCGATTCCTCCAGTCAAGACACGAATGACGTCTCGCTCGCGCAAGCACGAGGACCCGTCAATCTATCTCGCTTCTTGTCGCATATTGTCAACGCCAGAGATAAGGCTGGTAATACTGCTCTCAACCTCGTGGCCAGGATAGGCAACCGAAGCATCATACAACAACTACTCGAGATCCACGCTGATCCGAGTCTGCCCAACAACAAAGGCGTCTGCGCAAAAGACTTTGGCGTTGGCGTTGCTGAAGGAGAGTACCCTTATCCGAAGGGTGGCCTCGCCAGCCAACAGTCGATGCTAAATCCACCTCCATATCCAAGTGCACATCTCCAGTCCACTCCGGATGGCGAGGCTGCTGAAGGTGCATCCTTGAGCCATGCGGAGGACATTGGGCAAGAAGTCATTGCGTGTGTGTAGCCCTTTCCAGTTCCCTCATGCGAAGATGATTGCTGACATGAAATCTTTACTTGCAGCTATGACATCCATGCTTACGCAAAATCTTGCCTCTCACAAAGAGCTTTTGCGAACACGTACCGAACAGATTGATAAGCTCAACGAGCAGATTCGTGAGCTGAGTACGATGCAGAAGCAGGATCTGGAAACGCTGCAGGAAATGCGAGAACGAGTTCGACTTCGCGAAGAAAGGAAGCAGAAAGTCGCAAATCTCAAACGGGAGATTGAGAAGAAAAAAGCCGCTAGCAAGAAGGCCCAAGGGCGTCGTGTGAATGCGAAATCTGCAAATGTGGAACTAAAGCCCAGCTGGTTGGACGAGATTACCGGTGATATGTCGAACCTGGACACTTCGAACGGTCAACAAAAGCAGCTGGCAGTGGAGAGGCTACCCAGCGCGAGCACTCTACAGGCACGGCTGAACGCTTATCAAACGAGCAATGGCAAGCTCGAGCAAGACGCAAACCAACTGCGAAGTCGATCAATCGAGCTCGAGGCTCTGTATCGCAAAGTGGTGTCTTTGTGCACCGGTGTTGCAGAAGACAAGGTCGAAGAGAGCTTACCAGGCTTGGTCGCGGCCATTGAAAGTGAAAAAGGCGGTATTGGTGAACAAGAAGTTGGACGTGTGCGAGAGTTTCTCAGGAGAGTCGATGGATCCCGAGTGGAGCCATCTTCGCAGTCTTCTGGGCCTATGCTGCAAGTCAACCCGACTGTGGTGGCTGCGGCGGAGAGAGCTGCTGCTGAGCGTGCGCAGATGAGGGCGTGATTGACGGCTTTTCGTCATGAAATGCGTGTGAACTGATTTGGAGGTGTATCACGACCTTGCTGCGTTGAAGCGATTGGGATTGGCAGCGCTGTGGTTGGACTCGTGTTCAGGATGGTGTATCTTAACAAACTTGACGGCCTTGCTGTTCGTCTGAAACATGAACATATTCATATACGGAACGTGTATCGTATACATGGTCTTCCCTTGCCATGCCATACATGCGGTTAGAGTTCAAGCCTTGCATCTATGCCCGCTCAGTGCGACCACTCAGCGCGGAGTCGTTCGTTCCTTCATCGAAACATTGCCTCGGTCTACCATCAACAACACTATTCATGTACATAACTACAAACTAATGTAAGTATACGAAAGACACAATGGCCTCTACTTGAGAAATCTTCGCCATCTATAATGGCCCCCTCCCTCCGCCTCCCCCGCCGCACCTCACTGATAGAATTCCTCTTCCTGCTCGCCCTCGCCTTCAGCCTCTTCTATTTCTTCCTCCTCCCAGGCTTCCACAAAAACAACCACCATCCAACAACACCAGTACCTCGACGGAAGACCCCTCAACCACCCTTACCATGCTCCCAACTCCCCGGCGCCAACGACACCGTCGTCGTGCTCAAAACCAGCGCCGCAGAAATCGAAGCCCGCCTCCCAATCCACCTCTCCACGACACTGCTATGTTACCCCCATGCGATCATTTTCTCAGACTACGCCGAGAACTTCGAGGGGTATCCCGTCTATGACGCTCTCGCGAGCGTGGATCGCCGGATCAAGGACCACCATCCGGATTTCGAACTCTGGCGACGATTACAGCGCGACGGGCCTGATGGACTCGAGGACGAGGAACTCTGGGATGCGGAGACGACAACGAGGGGGGTGGACAAGTGGAAGTATCTGCCTATGCTGGCGGAGGCGTTTGCGAAGTTCCCGGGGAAGAAGTGGTTTGTGCTATTGGAGACGGGGACGTTTGTTCTTTGGGGGGAGGTGTTGCGGTTTTTGGGGAGGTGGGATTCGGAGCGGATGTGGTATTTTGGGGATGAGGGGGTGGAGGGGGAGGTTGTGTTTGCGAGGAAGGGGGCGGGCGTTGTGCTTTCGTGGGCGGCGGTGCGGGCTTTGGTGGAGTTGTATGCGGAGACGAGGGCGGCGTGGGAGGCGTATACGGAAATGCAGACGGCGGGGGATGTGGTGCTGGCGCAGGCACTGAGTGAGGTGGGTGTGGAAGTTACGCCTGCGTGGCCGGTTTTCCAGAGTCAGAGGCTGGCGGATGTGCAGTATGATCAAGTGTCTGAGGGGAGGAGGTTGTGGTGTTCTCCGACGGTTTCTTATGGTGGAGTTGAAAAGGGGAATGTGGAAGAGTTGTGGAAGTTTGAGCAGGGGTGGATGAAGGAAAACGTATGTGCACTTACAACTTACCGTGCCATCAGGCTGTCGCTGACGGTCTTTAGCCCGATCAACCCCTCCTTCATCAACACATCTTCACCTCGTTCATCCTCCCTCGCCTTGTCATGCGCTCCGGCCGCGTCGACGATTGGGATAATCTCAGCAACGACTCTCCGACACCCGCAGCCAACATCGACGAGTGTCGGGGGATGTGTGTGGAGGATGAGAAGTGCGTGCAGTATTCTTTCACCAATGGGAGGTGTAGGCTTTCGCGGACGCCGAGGATGGGGGAGTTCAAGAGAGGGGTGGAGAGTCGGTGGTTGCTTGCTAGAGTCAAGAGATGGGGGGAGGAGATGGGGGATTATAGTGAGGTTCAGGGGTGCCTGACGGATGATGTGTACTCGTAGCCTTGCCAGGGGACGAATTTGATCCGCGCTTTTGAAGACTGTGACGCTGCGTGGGCTTCCATAACGTCGGCAGTCGATGGACGAGACGTTACGTTCAGAGACGATTTGGACTGCATAATATGTTGCAGTAGATGCGATGGGCTCGCCCCTATCGGCCGCTGTGAGCTAAGATGGTCTGTGCACTCAGACTAGATGCTGCCGACATCGGCCAATGGGAAGCATGTGAATGTGTGCAATGCCCGACGTCAGCGCAGTGCTACATCACCAGATCCAGTTCTCATGGTCCTCCAACACCATAATGATTACAGATTTCCCGCTCCTACCAGAACTCTTATCGACTTTATCAAGCGCTAAAATCAACGAACAACGCAATGTCAAAACATATCGATCTCATCCGGAACGTTTCCTTACCTGGAAAAGCCATAGGAACTGTTTGGGATGTTTGGATTGTTGGACTGAAGATTGACGCCATTGTGCCTCACGACGATAAGTCTCCGTCGCATACCTACTCTACTTTGGATGGGCGTGGTGCTTTGCTGGCTCCAAGTCTTTGCCATCCGCGAGTTCGACTCGATGCGATGAATTTCTCTTCTGAACAGCAAGCGCTCCATAAATCAACAGAACCAAACGCCAAGGACCTTTTACCACAATGGGCAAAAGACTACGGTCTGTCAATGACGGGATATCGGAAGATGCATGGGCTTTGTTCAGCAGGCGTAACCCACATGCGCGCGCTGGTCGAGGTCAAGGCCGACGACAGTGCAACGCGGATTCTAGATGCTGCTGTGGAGATGAGAAACAGGTTTGAGCAAGAAGGACGATGCATTGTTCAGATTTGTGCCATGTTTCGTGGGCCACTCATCTCGTCCACGGATGGCGAAAGAGGGAGAGCCTCAAGTGAACGATTAATTCAGAACGTGGCGTCTCGGGCGGGCGTAGATGCTATTGGGAGTGTCCCTGCGCTGGAAGCGAACACGAACGACCGAGAAGCCCATATCGAAACGATGGTGGATCTTGCCATCGCACTCGACTTGCATCTAGACTTGGAGCTCGAGCGCAATCTCAGCACAAACCCGTCCGTGTGGGACGTCCTCGAAGTTCTTAAAACGAAGGAATGGTCGAAGAGAACGACGCGAAAGACAGTGTTGCTTTCGGGAAGTAATTCTGTCTTCGATCTGAGCGATCCTGAAAAGGGTAGGCTGAGAGATGAGATGGCTGACTTCCCGAGTACCTTTGTGTACACACAAAGTGATGAGCTGAATAAGACTCGCAAGGTTATTAGCCTCATCAGAGACCAAGGCATTCGCGTCTGCTTCGGCGTAGAAGCAAGCGACGACATGGGTCCCACCCCGGAAAGCTACGATCCAGTCAAGAGCATCAGCACTGACGACGACGCAAGCCGAGAACTTGGGGAAGCGGACGCAGAACTCCTGTATGAGGGCGTGTGCAGGAGGCCGCGACAGGGCATTGGCCACGGGAAAAAGATGATTCAAGGCCTCGAGCTCAAGGTGGGAGCTGATGCTAATTTTGTGCTTTTTGATCACGAGCAGACAACGTTCACCGAGGTGCTGAGTCCGCACGCTGGATTTTGGGGAAGACAAGTTCTTCTTCAAGGTTCTCTTGTGGCATGTTGAGAATGAGCTGGGATAAGTTGTGGTTCGTTGGCGGCATGGAGATGATGCTGGGGACTCTGGGGATTTCAGCAAGAGTAATGGAAACAATGAGTAATATGACGGCATAGAAAGCGGTTCAGTACAGAATCGTGCGGAGTGAGATGTCGAGTACAAGTACCTTCGAAAAAAAAATGTAACCAGCTAAGAGATGAAGTGAAGAGAAGGTTGTCAACCGTGGTTAGGGGTTGGTGTACAGTCAGCATCAACCTCCCGAAGATCTCCCGACGCGCTATGATAATCGCTTTGTCAAGCTGATGCATTGCTTGCACTAGCATCTGCATCTCCCAGCATTGCCGTTCGACGCCATTCCAGCTTCCATCATAGCTGCGCCTATAAGTATCTTCCTTCGCGAACGGTATGTGCTTTTAATGTCTTCAAAAGAGCAAAGCACGACAAAGCAGCTTCACCCAACGTTTCCCTTCAAAACAGCAGCAGCGACTCTCGTAGCACTTCTCGCGTTCAGTCTGGCTTTCTACACTCCTCTGCGAGCATCCCTTTCGAAGCTCGTCCAAACCAAGCCACAGATACAGCGCACAATGGCGACGACAACCACCACCACGAACGGCACCTCCAATCTCAAAATCTCAAAGCGTCCCTGGAATTCAAGAGGCCACGCCGACCACGGCTGGCTCTACACCTTTCACACGTTCTCCTTCGCCTCGTACTACGATCCCTCCCACGAATCCTTCGGCCCCCTGCGCGTCATCAACGAAGACCGCGTCGAGCGCGGCACCGGCTTCGGCAAGCACAGCCATAAGGAATTCGGCATCTGGAGCTACATCCTCTCCGGCGAGCTCGAGCATCGCGATTCAATGGGGAACCTGGAGAAGCTGAGGAGAGGAGAAGTCCAGTTCACGAATGCGGGGACGGGGATCAGTCATTCGGAATACAACCGCAATGAAGAGGAGGACTGCCATTTCATTCAGATCTGGTCGAAGCTGGATAAGAGGGGCTTGAAGCCGAGTTATTGCACGAGGAAGTATCCTGATGAGATGAAGCGGGATCGACTCGTGCGGATCATCGAAAGTAGCGAGAGACATAATGGCAAAGAGGGACCGCACGAACCGATTGAGATTCATGCGGATTTGAGCATGGATGCGAGTATTTTGAGCCCGGGAAAGAAAGTTGTGCATGAGGTTGTGGGGAAGGAAGGGGAGGAAAGGAATGTTTATTTGCATGTTGTTATGAGTACTGGGAGGACGCAGCCAAAGGCGGGCGGGGCGAAGATCAAGGTTGGGGATGTCGTGTTGGGAGAGGGAGATGGGGCGTATGTCACCGGAGCGAAAGGATCAGGTACGATTGAGGTCGAGAGTGTGGGGGAGAAGGAGGCGGAGTTTTTATTGTTTGATATGGGGGAGGAGTGATGGGGCGTAGATGCAGTAGAGTAGGGAAATGTTAACGACGTTTATGGTCTGCAAGGTACGTTTCACTCTCTCGGCAGCGTCCTTGTGTGGCTGGTCTTTTGTCTTTCACGAGAATGCTCGATATGGACCTCATTCATCCGAAATGGGCCATTCATAACCACTTGAATCGACGAGAGAACGCAAAGCCTTTATATGGGAGGTGCCAAGGCACTAATACGATTTAGCTCTTGAGCATGTGAAAGCACAGGGTTGAGAGGTCTTGATATCGCAGAACAGGACAAACGCCCTCAAAGCTACAATGGCTGTATCTGCAACGGGCGAGTCTGAACGTGAGTCAAAATTACGCGCGATCTGCGATGTCCAGAGAATTTGCAAATCCGCAAACGCTGCAATCGATTCATTGTAGAAAATTGGGCCGTATTAAGGCAGGAATGTCCAACATTGGGCGCATTGGCGTGGTTGCAACCGCAGGAAGTGACGTGGTGTCGGTCGGCAGTGTTTCTGGGAAATTTGCTGTCTGGGCATGATCTCGTGGGCATGGTCATTTATGCTGCGAGGTAAAGCGATGGATTGGCTTTAGTACTATGGTGAGCAATTTGTAGAGCTATGCACATTTCCGCTATTTAATGAGCACCAGGCGCGGGGTGGTAACGGCGAAGGTCGCACAGTACGTGTGCGATGAGGACGATGAGGACGACGACAACAACAACATGCGAGTCAACTCGCGGAACGCGACAGCAGCACCCCAAGGCAAAACCCCGGCAGCCGCCCTTCCAAGCTACATGGCTACTCGAATCCATAACCCACGTACCAAAGTAAACACTGAAAAGTGTTTCTCTGTCAACTGCTTAAATGGCGTAGCGGTAATCGCAGGAGTCCCGAATCTAACCGGTAGATTCGAAGCCCAGCGTAGCGAACCTAGCACACAGTTCTTTTGCCTGGAGAGCGGGTGAAAAGATGTGTCGTTGGTGGTGGCTTTGTCCTTTTGCTGGATGGGCCCGGGTTCGAGTCGTGGGCTCGGATTTTGGATGGCGGTTGATTTTTCAACTTTTTGGCTTTGGATTGGAGGTTGGCTTGGGTTGCGACCGTTGATCGATCACATTCCGGGCATTCGACTTAGTATGTGATGTTTGTAAAGTGCACAGGTAGTACGGGAATTAAACTTTCCGAGCGACTTTCACATGTGTACCTTCCTAATCGGGAAGGTACGCTTTTTCGATATCAAGGAAGGAATCGAATCTCAGCACGGATCGTTAGATGACGTTCTAGGCAATAAAACCCTAGTGGCATCTCATGGATTTCGATCGCAATGCGGGTGCTAATTTAATTTGACGTATTGCTACTTCCGCTGTGCCCTGATTGCCACTCGAGCTCAGCCCCTGGTCGGAGCTCGCTGCTAGCGCTTCTCGCTTCTCACTCCTCACGAAGCGTACCAACAACTCAAAGGTATTGCTCATCCACGTGGTTGCGTTGAACTATGATGCTAATCAATAACAATGTTGTGTTCCTACAGTATAAGCCAGGCTTTTGGCAGTGGTACGTTGCCCCAATGTATCCCCAGCACACCACTCATTCACATCCGCGCCAACCAACCATCATCAGCCATGGAATACTTCGCCTCAATCTAAGAGTCGTCTTGTACCTCGCGGAAAGATAACCCGAACGCTGACCGTCCCAACCAACCCCATAGGCCCTCCCGAACAACACCCATAGCACCTCCCACCAAAATTTCATTTCGCCCGATGACTACGCAACACAAGTTCCAGGGTACACATCTCCAAACAAGCAACAATCCCCCGAGAGACCGCCTATTACGACGACAAGTGGTAGGGATCTAAAGCTATACGAAGAAGCCCCCCTTGTCATCAGCCAAAAACTTTATCTGCCAAGAACACCACCACGCGTCTTAAGCCTCGTGAAGCACAGGCTAAGCGGGTTGGGGATGGGGATGGGCCTATCAGCGAGTGGCCGATGACACGGCTGCTGGCGCTGGTGTGTTTCGGGTGGGTGTGCGACCACTTGAGCCGAGGGACCGAGATGGAGGTTTTGTATACTGCCCGCTGAGGCTTTGCGCTTTGCGGAGGCTTGGTTGTGAGGCTTCGTCATGGTTCTTTAGATGATACCGATGGCGACGAGTCCGCTTGCGTTGCGTACGTGCAACAGCAATGCGGGAGGCGATGTGGTCCAGGCAGGTCCAAGACTTTCATATAACATCCCACCCATTCCCTATCATCTTTCTCCGGAAACATCTCAGCATCAAACACTTCCTCTCTCGAGAAAGCACAGCCTTCTATCACAATGGTCCAACTCACCACACTCGCCGCTCTCGCAGCCGCTTGCGTCGCCCCTGCCTTCGCCCACCCGGGAGAGAAACACGACCCAGCCAAGATCAAGCGCGAGATCGTCGCTCGTGAGCATTGGGCTCATGTGGGAAAGAGGTCTCTGGATGCTTGCTCCAATACCGAGTCTGCACGTCGGTTTGCGGCCAGGAATAAGGAGCGTCGTGCACGGGTTGCCAGGGAGTTGAGAGAAAAGAGGGGGATTACAGCCCGTGAGTTTCGAAGTCCAAAGCGATCCTCCTGAAGAATAGTGATTGATTCATGTTATTGTAGCCTCCCAAAAACTCCGCCGCGCAACGGAGCTCGAACGCCGCAACGCCACCGATCTCGCCAAATGGGAAGCCATCGACCACAACCGCACGGGCATCTACGACTACGACGCCAACACCCCCGAGAGCGATGTCTTCGACGCCGTGACCAGCCCCATCTTCGCCCCTTCAATCACAGATGGCCCGTACTACGTCTGGGGCGAGATGATCCGCTCGGATGTCGTGGAGGACGAGTACTCCGAGGGCGTGCCGCTTCACCTTGAGGTCCAGTACTATGACATCGAGACCTGCGAGCCGATTCCGGATGTGTATGTCGATATCTGGAATGCGAATGCTACGGGGGTGTACAGGTAAGCATCTTCCCTCAGCACGTCTCTCCTGAATCGACTCAACTGACTTCCTCACAGCGGCATCTCCGTCTCAGGCAACTACGCCGCCGACGGCTACAACAGCACCTACCTGCGCGGGATCCAATCCACCGACTCCACCGGCGTCGCCACCTTCGACACAATCTTCCCCGGCCACTACGACGGCCGCGCCACGCACACGCACCTCCTCGCCCACATGAACGTGACCACGCTCCCCAACAACACCCTCCTCGTCGACACCGGCACTGTGACACACATCGGCCAGCTCTTCTGGAACGAAGTCCTGCGCACCGCCGTCGAAGCCACCTCCCCTTACGACTCCAACACCCAAGCCGTGACGTCCAACGCGGAGGACTTGTGGAGCGTCCTCCAGGCCTCGAGCGATTACGACCCGTTCCCGGAGTTTCTGTACCTCGGGGATATGATCGAGGATGGGATTTTCGCCTGGAAGCAGATCGGCCTCAACACGTCGGCGGATTGGACGGATGATAGCTACTACAGCATTGCCGCGTATCTGCAGGCCGATGGCGGGCATGCGAACGCGGATTCGGCGTTTGGGGGTGGGAGTGGTGGGGAGGGGAATGGGACGATGTCTGGGGTGCCGAGTGGGACGGCGGCGCCGGGGGCGTTGTCGACGAGTGCTTGAACTTGAGCGTGAGGACTCAGGAGGATTCGTACGGGCGGATTCCGGGAATTTGGGGTTCGTGATTGTATGTATCTTGGGTCATTCCGGATTTGAGAAGTCCAGTCTCGCTTTTTCGACTCCTCTCTCAATCCTTGACGTTGGCGGCCTTGTTATATGTCGATATGAGCGAACTCACCTGCCCCTGTCGGGTTCAAAGGTATAGAGATCGGATCTTGTAGAGTTTGCCGTACCACGATCGCCAGTTGGAGAGGGGGCTGTCAAATGATCACGCAGGCACTTCAGAAGTGTGCTGCAGTCTGAGTCTCATTCCCTCAAAAGCACGTTATGGTACACAAAGGTTTTGATGTGCTCATCACTCAAATCGATCCCATTGACACAAAAACAGTCCTCCTTCCTTGTGGACCCTTATTCGAAACCAGATCCCCCAAACGCCATGCACACATGTCCATCGTGAAGTAAAAGCACAGAACAAGGAGAAGGCAGCGTCATGCCGCTCGTGGTATCCCATAATTACATCTCTCGGAAAAACAAAAACATCCCTCTCTCCTTTTTTTTTCGAGGGAAGCTTACACAGCAACAATCGTCCCAACGTCTATCCTTTACAAATCATTCGTATCTCTCGACCGGCGGCAATTCGTCCGCAGCGTCTCCTCGCTGGGTCGCGGGCTCGTCTCGATAACGCTGCTCGTGGGGGTATATCTCGATCGTCGAGATCCATTCGTGCTGCTGTCGACGCTGTGTGTTCGTGGGGTGCTGCCTGTGAAAGTGCCTCCTGCGGATGATGATATGGGGCTTCGCAGATCGAGGCCTTCGATGACGACGCTGTTGCTTCGGAGACTGCTGCTGCTGCTTCCGGCTTCTGTGCGGGTGTAGCGGGAGGTGTAGTCTGGTAGCAGCTCTGATGTGTAGGAGGGTAGAGTGGCTGTACTTGCTCGTGATCGCGTCGCCGGTGTGTATGGTAGAGGCACCATCGGTGGTGGAGGGTCGTTGATCGGCGTGATGAGGTCGTATCTGTGTTCGTCGACTCTCACCAAGCTGGAGACGATTTGATGAGCATGTCTCAGCTCACGAATTTCTGCTTCCATCACTTCACCCTTCTCCGCTGCATCGATATCCTGCTCCAGGAAGGCGTCTTGGAGGATAAGAGCCCGCTTTTCCTCGTAGTCTTCCATCCTGGGTGGTTCTGCTGGTGATTTGAAGCAGTTGATAGCTGCGACAAAGGCATCCCATCTTCGTCGCATTTCTGCCCGTCGTGCTGCTCGTCGATATGCTCGTGCGTTTCGTCTCTCCTCTCGGTCCGCAGCTCGGTCCACGCGCCTCCGCATTGACATGCATTTTTGGCGAATGAACGCGAAAAGTGCTGTAAGTCCAAGGGCTGCTGCTATTCCACCAAGTACTCTAAAGAGCAGGCTTTGTGGATAGACAACCTGAATCGGCTGAATGGCTGCTGACGACAGACTGCCGATTCTGGTAGTATTCGAATACTTCTCAGAGCCGATGCCAGCTTTCGTAGAAGCATAAGGCCTCACGTTCTCGTCATCCAAGTCGATGAGGTTCTGCAGGTGAGGGTCCTGCACTTGCGCGTAGCCAACCTTGGGCACAGTCAAGATACCCATCTTATCGCATATCCTCTGGGCAATGACTTTGGCGGCACAGACGAGACCGTCGCATTGCTGAAGCAGATGCTTGAGCGTGACATGGTCACGATGTTCTTTCAGACACTTGGCAATAGCGTGCTTCTTAGCGGCTATCGCAGTGTTGAGCTCCCCGGCCTGGGCCTCCAACAACAGTAACGACTCGATCTCCGCCTCGATATCATGGCTCTCGTCGTCGTCGTATCCGACCGGCTCGTTGGGGGTGACATCGTGAACGGGCTGCGCAACCATGAAGGATTCTTCAAGTTGGTCAAACTTGATGGGTTCAGGAACGCGGACGGGGACCAGTCTAAGAAGTCTACGCGGGGCGGTTGGATCAGTGAGGATGGTGAAACCGATGAGACCTGAGGACCCTGTGGTGACGCCGTCTACCGAGTCAATGTGGACGTTGATGTTTTGGGTCGAAGAACTTTTGAGTGAGGAGAGGAGAGTCTCCGGAACATCCGCTACTATTCCCCCGATGGTGACGCGGAGGTCGTGAGGGAAGCCCAGCTTATCCGGAACAGAGAGTGAATGTTGGGCAGGTGCTATTACCGTCCATGAGCTATTATACTCGCTGGTAGTCCAAAGTAATTCCAGCGGTTCGCCGTTCAGTGATATGTCGGAAGTGCGGAGATGTTCAGTCGGGTTGATTTGCAGCTCGAAGACCTGAGGCACACATGTCAGGACCAGCGGGACATGACCATGATGATAACAGCAAGGGACGTGAAGTTGAAACAAGGACAAGACAAGGCAACGCTGTGATGGTGAAGAGTGACCATGCCAAGGCACCCCGGTGACGTGGACTTACTAGTGGAGTCGTCAGCTGCTCATCCTGGACGCCTACAGACGCTTCGAATTTGGCGCAGGCCGACTCGATGTCTATGGAATCCGGTCAGCGTTTTTCACCTGGCAGCCTGGACCAGACGCATATGACATACTGTACTCCACCACGGCGAGGTCTGAAGAAGTAGCGTCGTCCGGGGGCATGCTGAGGCCGGTAGAGGCGGAGGCGGAGGAGATGACGGGCATGGCCAGCGTCGAGGCCAGCGAGAGGAGGTGGACAGCAGCGGAGCAGCGCATCTCGTCGTCGTCGCTCGCTCCTCTACATGGCCCGTCTGGGCTGGAGCAGTGCGAAAGGCCTGGGTGCCTTGGAAGTAGTCCGTATAATAGAAAAAAATGAAAGCGACTGAACGACAACAGCGGCGCGAAAGAGACCACCTCACCTCATCCTGTCTGCTTCCTCCCGAATTGCGCTGCCTGGAGCTGAGAGGCTGTGCATGCAAATGCGAATCCGGCGCTTCCTGAGGCACCAACTCCGAATTCTCCTCATGACTCGCGTGCCATGTCCGACTTCACCTCTCAAAACATCGCAACTTCAGTACTGCGTGACACGTGCATGCACAACATGAGCCGATAGCAGCATCTACAACATCACCATCCAACACACAACTAGGTCGCCAACATGGTACGCCCCCACCCCTATCCTCCACCCCTTCAAACCCCACCAATGCGCACGACGGCGACAACATCCCCAACTAACCACATCCACTCGTTGTCTGCAGCTCCCCCTCGGCCTCCTAACCGCCGCCCAAGGCAAGCCCATGCTCGTCGAGCTCAAAACCGGCGAAACCCTCAACGGCCACCTCGTCGCCTGCGACACGTACATGAACATCACCCTGAAGGAAGTCGTGCAGACCTCCCCCGACGGCGACAAGTTTCATAGATTGGCGGAATGCTACGTGAGGGGGAATAATGTGCGTAGTAACCCATCTTCTATACGGTCTGATGTGTAGGAATATGTGATGGGGGATACAGTGCTGATATGTGTGGTGTGTGGAACAGATCAAATACCTCCGCGTCCCGGACGAAGTCGTCGATGTGGTTAAGGACCAGCAGGCGAATCAGCAGTCGCAGCGCGGAGGGAGAGGTGGAGGAGGCGGTGGGATGCATAGAGGGGATCATCATGGTGGGAGAGGAGATCGCGGCGGAAGAGGGATGGGGAGAGGTGGAAGAGGGAGGGGCAGAGGGAGGGGTGGCTGAAGAGTGCAAGATTGTGGGTATTGCGGAACACATACGTCGCGCGAAGTCTGGGCGCGATATTGGGCGCTTGAGTCTGCGCTTATGAAGGGATCTTCCGCCGAGTGTGCGAAGGCAGCATGAGGCATGGCTGTCGTGTGGTCGATGAAGACTCACTCCCGCGAAATACCTCGAGCGAAGCAGCAGTCGTCACCCACGAAAGCTTGCTGGAGGATTGAGCATTTCTTGCGACCTGAAACTACTGCCCTCAAACAATTCAGGGTAGATTCAATGAAACAAAGTCGAAAAGTAAATCATTCACACTCTTTTGGTTTTCCAATTCATACCAAACGATAAGACTACCCACAGCGCAGCCGCCTCAAAACCCTCATTCCTTCTAGTTCAACGAGCGCCTCAAATCCACCCACCATCACCAGCCCCTCCAGACCCATCTTGCTCCTGCTCATCACTGTCCCAAAGAACACCACGTCTCTTCCTTCTCGCCCTCTCTCCAACCCCAACCACATCGACATCTCCATCAGACCCCTCAAGAACAGGCGACCCACCCCCTTGCGGACTCATGATCCCACCTTGCTCACCCCGAAACTCCTCCGTCGCCTGTAATCTTCTTCGCAAATACTCCGCATCCGCGTCCGCCTGCTCATTTCGTTCGGACGGCGGCGTCTCGTGCGTGGTAGTAGGTGAAATGGGCTCGTCATCTTGAGGGCGAAGCACAGCCTCCTCTGCGTTGTTAGGAGCCGTCGTCATCGTCCCCCGAGGAGGAGAGGGCGGAAGAGGTAAACTTGCCGCAATCTCCTGAAGACTGTGAGGAAAAGGCAGTATCAGCAGTGAGCTTTTCGCGTTAAGCATGCCCGGGGACGCAGGGCCCATGCCCACGCTGAAGGGGACAAAGGCAGCCGATCTCGATTCCGTCGCGGCCGAGTCGCGATGGCCATCCGCTGCAGGAGGAGTAGGTGCAGGTTCAACGCCTTTCGACCGCCGACGCGCCATTCCAGACCACGAGATCGTTCTCCTTCGCGACGTCGAAGATGCGTCTCCATCCCCATTCCCACTCTTCCCAAAGGAAAACCTCCAAGACCCCCTCTTCTCACTCTTCAAGAGCTGTTCCGCTTTTGCACTGCTCCTCCTCAGAAACTTCTGCGTCGAATCCTTCCGTTTGCCGAGACTCTTCATCGTTTCTGAAATTCGCTTGCGCCAGTTCTTGCTCTCCTCGGAATCGTCGGATGAGGAACTCCATCTCGAGACGGGATCTGGAGGATGTTGAGCGGTCTGACGGATTTCTTCGGGGGCGATGTAGCGGGAGTCGTTCAGTAATTTGGAGGCATTCGGATGGAGACTGCGTTCTGGAATGTCGGTAGCACCTGAAATGGGGTCTTTGTTGGCTTCGTTGAGATTACTCGGTGAAAGAGCAGGTCCTTGTACAGGAGTCTCCGGCAGCGACAAAATCTCCCCGTCGTCTCGAAGCGCTTTCTTCCCCTCGCTTTTGGATAGGAAAGGTCCCTGAGCCTCACGCATCGACAACTCCTAGTCATCATCTCTGACCGGCCTCTTCCCCTCCCTCTTGGACATGAAATCTCCAACATGCGGCAGTTGAACACCATCTCGCAGAAGCCTCTCTCTCACAACTTCCAACCAACTTCGTTTTCGCAGAGATAAGGCGTCTTCTCCATCGTTCTCGTGGGATCGGAGTCCTTCTAATACACTGGCGATGGTAGGCTTGGGCTCGCAGACGTCCAGCCTCCGGACTGTCGACACCGAGGCTTGGTCAGAAGAGGCGCTGCCGGCCTTTTGGTTATACGTATGTTGTCGGATGGTGCGTGAGCTGTCTGTCGACGATGTCTCTTCATCGCTGCCTGCTTGTCTTTCCGATTCCTCTCCAGCAAATCCAACCGTAGTGAATGGCCCGACTTCACCATCCACGCTCGTGAACGCTTCTGGGGAGGCGGGACGACGCTCGGTATTCTCCCCGGTCACTGAAACAAGAGTATCGTTGGCGCCATCCAAAGACCCTAACTCATTCATATCGCTTTCAAGACTGCCCTCACCAATCTTCACCTCCGGGTCCTAGCCCAGAGTCGGGGAGCACGACCTCTCTTCTTGTGGCCTCTAACCCTTCTGTCCACTCCCACCATCTCTCCTTCCTCTCCTTTCTCGTCTGAAAGACCCAAACTGGCCCTTAGTCCCCTCACGCAGCTTCTTCAAGATACCTCGCATAGCGGGTAATTCACCCTGCAATTTAGCGCGAGCATCGTTGTCAGTTCGCTCGTCAAGAGCCAGGTAAATCTGACTCTGAACTTCGCTCGCGCGGTCTGTGGTGTAGTTGTTCAAAGTCTGCGCCATAAATTCCACGTCCAAGGTTGCCTGCATCAAAGCGGGCAGAGAGTAGTGTTGACGCTTCTTGAACGCTTCGATGAGCGCCATTGAGCATTGTTCAAGATGGAAAGACAGAATCTGCCCCGTGAGCGTGCTCGCAGTAGTGTTTGTAACTTCGGCGTGAACCATGACGAGCTGGAGAAGCACATCATAAACGTAGGGTCTTGCATCCGTTGGACGAGGCGTCGAAGGCTCCCAGTCGTTAGCTGTGATGCCCTTGGTGATGATAGCATCGAGTGTTTCGACTGTAGGCTTGACGTATGACTGAAAGAGGCGTGCGTCGATCTGAGAGAGGACATCTCTGATAGTCTTGCTCTCCTCAGTGAGCTTGACGCTGAACGCTGCCTCGAAATGTGAGATGAGTTGCGGGATGACCTCGCTGCGGAGGTGGTTGAGATTGGACAGCGTGAGTAACATTCGAGTGTTCTGATCGCGAAAGTTAGCTCGATTGTGACCTGCCGTGGAATATGACTTACCCTGCTAGACGCATCCACAGGCTCGGTCCCGTACGAATCCTCGCCATCCAACTCGCGCTTCTTGGCAATGGTCACACCGTCTGGGTCGATTTCCTCTGCCACGGCGTTGGAGTCTCCCTTAGGGTTCTCTGCATTCTCCACCATGCCGTTCAAGCTCTTATACAGACTGGTGGTGAAGCAGCCTCTAACCACTTGCAAGAGTTTAGCAGAAGGCGGAACGATGATCTCGACAGCACCGGCTCCGCTCTTTCCAGTCGCTGCATCAGTGATGTACGCAATCTTCTGCACATTGGTCATGACTTTCTCTTCCCATGCCTCAAAGAAGGCAGGCATGAGAGTCAAATCTCTGCGATCGGGACTGCGAGTCCAGGACTCTAAAAGTTTACACTTCTCCGAGTCTGCACTCCAGCTGGAGCAGATAGCCGTGATCAAGCGTTCGCGGACATTGGTGATGACGTTCTTCAGCTTCTCGGGCTCCTGCGACTGCTTCACAACCGAAAGACTTGCCAAATCGCCCATACCACTGCCAACCAGTGCTATCAGCCGAGCGAGGTAATGTGCACCTGACAGAGAATTGGAGTTTGGCGGCCAGAACGCGAACTTCTCCCAGGAATCGCCTCTGCGTGGGCTCGGTGGGGGGACATTGCTTAGATCGAAAGTGAAAGCTCTCCTACTCGCTCCTGGTGTTAGTGGCGTCTTCGAATCTGGTGTTATCGGGGTGGGTGGAATTGGTGAGTAAAGATCACTAATATCTTCGACTGGTGTGTCTTGAAAGAAAGAGGCGATGCTCTCACGAAGAATGGTAACGAGATCCATGGTAGCCTTGCGAATTCCATCAACATGCTCCGGGTCGAGAGAGAGGTGGGTGAAGCCTGAAGCGAAGACGCCGGTCGGAAAGGCCTTTTGAGCTCTGTTCTCCACAAAGTCTTGAGCGGTGGTATACCACTCCACAACATCCGCCAGAATGCCATTCTTTGGAGAGAGTAGAGTGGATAGACAACTCTGGACTTTGTCCCAGAAAGCCAGAATGGGCGCAGAGTCGAGGTCCCGTCCGGAGTCACCACCAAGTCGAATCGTACCGGCAGCAGTGAATGCAGAGCGAAGGTGCTTGGAGAATGCCTTGCTGTCGACACGATTGTTGGATGCCAGACGTCGACGGTTAATTTCAATCTCGATCCTGCTCCTCTCAAAGGTGCGTGCGATCTTTTCTCTGAGGTAAAGGTAATGACTGTTAATCCAGATCCAGATTGGATTCTCGTCTACACCAAGTTGGAGTAGGGTGGCCAAGAGCTCCATGTGCAGCTCCTTGTCAGTCTCGTCAGCAACAGCAGCAGGCTTCCGACCATGCGAGTTTCTCAGTCGCCGCCACACTTCTTGCTTGAACGTCTCGACCTGTGAATTCACATCGTGCCACATCCTCGCAGTCACGATGATCTGCTGGACGTCCGCATCTCCAAGTTCCACGTTGTTCTCTTTAGCAATGGCAGCGATCTTGCGCGCTTTGTCTGCGTGAGACTTGGCTTTCTTGTACGCATCCACGACACCGTCGTAATCGCTCTTCTTGATGGCTTCAAAGACAGTACCAGGCAAGGTGAACATCTCACGATACTGGTCCAACGCATTCTGCACAGCTTTCAGAGCTTCCTCTTTCTCATGACCGCCCAACGCTGGACCCCAGACTTCTTCAGCCTTGATAGCGACTTCTTGAAGTGGAATTCTGATCCCTTGCACGCCGTACTCGGACTCCTTCGTAAGTGCATTTCTGCTACGCTCCGTCTGAAAGCCGGCCTTTGACTGAGATCCCCATGGTCCACTCGTGTTGCGGAAGTGACTCTGGTTCTTACTCGTCTGGCGAGAGTGGGGTCGTAAGCTGGAAGCGGCAGATTGAGGGACCTGCGACATCCTCGAGGACTCCGCTCCCCTATTGCGCATTTCGTGGTAGACGGTATCGATAGTAGCTTTGGCCTTGACGAAACGGTCAAAGTTGCCTTCGACCAGTACCTTGAGGCTTGCAGACTTCTGCTCGATGCTCCTGCTGAGGAAGTCCAAGCCTCTGAGTAGATCCTCGGTGGTGGCATTCTGGTGGACCTGAGACAAGTACATAGCCGGACTGAAGCTGGTCGAGGACAGCATGAACTTGTTACGGAGAGCCAAGTTGTCCTCAATGGGCAGTCCTCTCCTCTTGAGCTCCGCTGCCACTGAAGGGGCCATGCCGAGGGCATCGGCTTCGTCCTTCTGCACGCCGGCATCTTTTGGCGCATGCTTTCCAGAAGATGTGCTGCTCTTCAGACTAACGTGACGATCGATCTTCTGAAGACGCGAGGAAGTGTTGCTCCTGTTCCGAGCATGACCAACTCCAGCTGCGATCTGTTGCTCCAGCTCTTCTTCATCGTCTGACGACCCATCCTCGTGCGGCCACTCGGTTGGGTAGAGGGTGGTGAGCTTGTACTTGTTGAGCAGCTCGCGCTCCTGATCGGCGGTGACGGGCATGTCGTAGGCGTAGCAATGGCTCGGTATCGATGTCTGCGTACGGAGTCAAGCTGCAGGTGAGGGTCGTTTTGCGGAGATCGTAGTCGTCCGGTCGTGGCTGGCGCTTGACGTAGTCGAGCTGGACGGGAAAGAGGAGATCAACCGCAATGGTCATCAAAGCATTGCGCCAGAATCCGGTCGTCTAGACAGAAACATTCATCTGGACTTGCCCTTCACATGAAGATGCCTGTCTTCCAGTGCAGCTCCCGGCCATCTCCACGCGAGCGATCCTGCAGCTCTGCGGACAAAATCGCGCTAGCGAAAGCTTGTCTGAAGTGATCGCGTTCTCCCGTCGCGTACTCCAGAACATCGAAACATCACCTCCCACTTCTCACCCCATCACCCACCATGGCGAGAGCAGAATCCTCCAAAGACGCCCAAACAAACGGCACAAAGGCCCAGACAAATGGCTCCTCCACCACCTACGAGCTGCCATGGTACATACTCTCCCAAAATCAAACCCCCCTCCAACATCCAGAACTAATATGGTCTCTTGTACAGGGTGGAAAAATACCGCCCCGTCTTCCTCGACGACATAGTCGGCAACACGGAAACGATCGAACGCCTCAAAATCATCGCCAAAGACGGCAACATGCCGCACGTCATCATCAGCGGCATGCCAGGCATCGGCAAAACCACCTCCATCCTCTGTCTCGCCCGCCAACTGCTCGGCGATGCCTACAAGGAAGCCGTGCTGGAACTTAACGCGTCCGATGAGCGCGGTATCGATGTCGTAAGAAATAGGATCAAGGGCTTCGCGCAGAAGAAAGTGACGCTGCCCGCAGGCAGGCAGAAGATCGTGATTCTGGACGAAGCGGACAGCATGACGAGCGGCGCGCAGCAGGCCCTTCGACGGACGATGGAGATCTACTCGGGCACGACACGCTTCGCCTTCGCGTGCAACCAGTCGAACAAAATCATCGAGCCACTACAATCTCGCTGTGCCATCCTGCGGTACGCCCGACTGCAGGATTCGCAGGTCGCGTGGCGGGTCAAGCAGATCTGCGAGGCGGAGAAGGTGGATTATAGCGATGATGGGCTGGCGGCGTTGGTGTTCAGCGCGGAGGGCGATATGCGGCAGGCGATCAATAATTTGCAGAGCACGCATGCGGGGTTCGGGTTTGTGAATAGTGATAATGTGTTTCGGGTAGTGGATAGTCCGCATCCGATCAAGGTGCAGGCGATGGTGAGGCATTGTCAGGAGCAGAAAGTCGACGAGGCGTTGGATTCGTTAAAGGAGTTATGGTATGTCCCCTTACACCACCTACACGCCTCAACATTGATGCTCGACTCGTTGCTAATCTGCAACAACAGGACCCTCGGCTACTCCTCCCACGACATCATCAGCACCATGTTCAAAGTCACCAAGACGATCCCCGAACTCTCAGAACATACCAAGCTGGAATTCATCCGCGAGATCGGTTTCACGCACATGCGAATTCTGGAGGGAATGCAGACGTATTTGCAGTTGGCGGGCTGCGTGGCGAAGCTGTGCAAGCTCAACATGAAGCCGCAGTTGTTCGATTTGCCCAAGAAATAGCAGGATACGCTGCATGGGGTGATATGGACTTTGCTCTGTGATGTTTATTTTAGCGCTGGCGTTGGTGGGATTGTGAAAAGCGGGTGGCAAGCGTGGTGTTGAACGACACAGCAAGAGAAGCATTCTAAGTGAAGAAGAGACGAATCGAATCGAATGCGTATGGGTACATATGCTCTGTATCTCATCATACTCGCACAGCCATCGTGTGCACAACAGCCGCGTTCTTGGTATCAGACTCCGGCGGAAATGCCTGTATCATGCGTCTCTTTCCAACCTGTACTCGCCAATACACCAGCGCTATGCGAACGTACACGAGGAAGCCCCATTTCCAAGACCATGCCGCATGGAAATGAGTTGTGCATCGCTGAAGCAGATACACAGAGAAGCTGAAAGTGGTGGTAGATCCATGGGTCAGATCGTTGTTACTTTACATTCCCATCATGCTCATCATGCCGTTGTTCGCGTATGCCTGCACACAGATTAGTTCCTGGTGTCCAAATTGGCCTCACGGGGGATTGGACGCTACTCACCATAGGCTTGATATCCGGATGCGGCACGGCATCAAACTGGGTATACTGCAACTTGTAATCACTCTCGATGTTGATGAACGCGCCCTTGTTCTCCGTCGAATCGCAGTACTTCGGTGCGGAAAACACCGTGATGCACTTGCCGTCGTGCTCGACTTCGTAGCCTTCCATCCGCACCTCGTGACTTCGAATGATCGCTTCGAGGCCGTTCTTCTCGCAGAATCGCTTCGTGACGTCGGGGCCGAATTGCAGTCCCACGCCACGTTTTGATGGGCCGCGTCCGGGGGCGGTTTGGGGGTCTGTCCAGAGCATTTCCATCATCAGGCCTGATTGGCCCGGTTGGCGTTGGCCGTGGCGGTTCAGCTTGCGGATGTCGTCGAGGGAGGTGTCGTCGTCGGAGAAGAGGCCGCCGTGGAGGACGAAGTACTTGTCGCCGATCAGGGTTGCGAGGGGCAGGGCGGAGAAAGATTCGGAGAAGAGCTTGAAGACGCGTTCGGTGTATTTGGCTTTGCATTCGCCTTCGAAGCCGTACATGCGGTTCATGTCGTCGGTTTCGTGGTTGCCGCGGTTGAGGAAGAAGGTGTTCGGGTAGAGCCACTTGTAGCTGTACAGTAGCAGGGCGACTTCGGTTGACCAGGAGCCTCGATCGACAAAGTCGCCGTTGAAGAGGTAGTGGTGCTTTTCTGATGGGAAGCCGTTCAGTCTGAAGATCTCGAGAAGGTCGAAGTATTGCCCGTGGGTGTCACCGCACACTGTGATCTTCTCATCCTCCTTGACGTGCGTCTCCACCATCGTCGGCTCATTGTACACCAGGTCCTTCACCGCCAGTATTATCTGGAAGACATACTTCTTGTGGATTTTCTTGCCCGTCTTGAACCGCTCAATCATATCCTCAATAAACTCCTTCGTCATCTCGTCTTTTAACCGTACACCATCGTACGACTCTTCAACCGCCATCGACTCCAGATCCAGTCCCTCCGCCGCTGACGGCGCATCAGCAATCTCGATCGCTTTCAAGAATGCATCCCGCTTGACCATCTTCTGACACGCCTCATACTGCGTCTTCGCAAGCTTATCACTGGGATTCTTCCGCACCACAATCTTCCAATCGTGAATCGCATCGCCATGCTTGAGAATCGCCGTGTTCGCCACTGCTCTCCGATAGTATGCCTTGACGAAATCCGGATTCAGCTCAATCGCTTTGCTCGCGTCCGCTATCGCATAACCGTATGCCTCCATCTTGATGTGTGCCTGTGCGCGGTTGGTGTAAAACGAGGGTTCGTTGGGGTTGGCCTCGATGGCCTTGTCGTACCATTCGATCGCCGAGGGCCAGTCCTTGGCCTTGAAGGACTCGTTGCCCTTGTTCTTGAGCGCCACAGCATCTTCGGCCGCCATGCTGGGCGATGAAGTTCGAGTTTAGACTTTTGGTGTTCCTTTTTCGGTGTGCGAATGCGTCGACTGCTGTGCTAGAGACAGGATTAACCGACTGAAGTGACAGGGTGAGCGCGGTGCAGCTCGTGATGGCGGCGAAGCGAACAATCTATGTCGTGGTGTAGTACGAAAGAGCGTGGAAGGCGGACGACTTTCTTCGAGATTCTGAAGACAGCCTCGAAAGTCTGTGCACGCTTTCGCCGGTGAGCTCATCCTGTGCTGTGGCTGCGCGGAGAAAACAACCGAGCTGCGGATCCCTGCCACCACCACATCCACATCAGCCTTATCGCGACAAAGAGCACGTGCAAAACATCAACACTTTCACGAGACAAAGACAAAACATCATCCAGACGCTCTCAACTTTTCACAAACACCAAATCTCATCCACAACCACTACGACACACTCGACCAACACCACCCACATGTCGCAAGTCCCACGCTCCCTCCGCGCCTGCCTGGTCTGCTCCTTCGTCCAAGCACAGTCCAAATTCGTCAAGCAAGGCTGCCCAAACTGTGAAGCCTTCCTCGAAATGTCCGGCAGCTCAGACTCCGTCGCGGATTGCACGAGCGAGGTCTTCGAGGGCCTCATCACCGTCAACGACACCGAGAACAGCTGGGTGGCCAAGTGGCAGCGGCTGATCGGGTACGTCCCGGGAGTGTATGCTACGCAGGTGAATGGAGTGGTATGTTGAAACTCATTCGGTTTTTTTGGGGTGGGGAGGTGCTGATGGTGTTGTGTACAGTTGCCTGAGGAGTTTGCTGCAGCGGCGGAGAATGCGGGCGTGAGGTATATCCCGTGAGTTGCGCCATCTCAACAGTTGGATGTCAGAAGACTAATGAGATCTCTAGACGCGACGGTTCCGCCAACAACGACGAGTAGTGGACTGGCATACTGTAGCGTGGGGAGTCGACGAGCGTTATTTAGCAGGGCGTTAGGTGTGGTTCAGAGGTCTACGACAAAAGTATCATGGATTCAAGAGGAATTGCCTTTAGGGAACGAAGGCCACCGCCTGTCTTTGGTTTGAATCTCACAAGAGATGCGAACAGGATACTGTTCAATAGATGATTTCCTCTAAAAACGAAACTTGCAAATGCATTCCCCAATTCCAAGCCACGAAGAAAAGCAATCCACTCCAACTGTTTGGAAAACAAAATCTCAAAATAAAAGCCATCGAAATCCACCACCGCCAATCACCAGGAATCGAACTCCCACCCAAAAGCCCACAAACCTTCTCAACAAACAAAAAAGGAGAGGGAGACTTCGCTCACGAGCGGGAACGTCCGGTCACGCCCTTGGTTCGGCAGTGACAAGGTCGCTCCCGTCACAAAGGTCGTATTGTGTCTGTTTGGTGATTCGCTACTCTCCTGAACGACACAGTTTCCGAAGAGATCATAAAAGCAAACTGCGGCGGCCGGGGGGCGTGGCGGCGGCGGGTACTTGCAGGCAAGGCAAGGTAGGTAGCAATCAAGACGACGAGGAAGTCGGTGAGGGGATCATTCATGGAAGCTTTAACGTGGCGATGCTGTGTGGTGGTTGGATTGGCTATGAGAAGGTAGCTAGGGCATTCTTGCTTTCGGTCAAGACGAAGAGCAATCTGTAGAAGCCGAATGCGCCTACGACGAGGAGCAAGTAGTATGCTACCGTCCAAGTCGAGCCGAGATTCTTCACTCCCGCCCCAAGCACCTTCGCTGCCTTGGCTTCATTCTCATCTGTGTCTTTCACCACACTATTGCCGACGCGGACGTGTTCAATAGTATCGTCTCGTTTGCCCTGAGCGACATCGGGTGTGATGTCCCAGTCGTCGACTTGGCCGACTTTGCCCCAGACTCGTGGCAAGCCCATGTAGTTGCAGAACATGTGTGCGGTGATGGAGGCAAAGACATTTCCGGTTCGCAAATAGACAAAGGCCGTGAAGAAGCCGAAGAGGCTGGTGTATGCGAATTGGAATAAGCTCCTGACGATGCCCATGAGCAGGACATTCGATGTTGGTAATGTTCGTCCTGGTGGTGTGTGACTTTGGACGAACTCGATCAGATGGTGGACGTGTGCGACGCCGAAGACAAGTGGAGTCACGAAGACAATCCGTATCGGGGAGACTTTCGCCAGGAGGTAGAGTGAGATTACCAGCGATCTGAAGACGAGCTCCTCTGCCCAAGGGGCGATTACGACGTTTCGGTTGGAAGTCGGCGAATCCCACAACGTCTCCTTAATCGCTTTCAGGTTGAACTCTCGTATTCCACCATCGACAAAGATCGTTTCGTAGAGTGGTCCCGTATACAATACCATCACAAGCAGCAGGACTTTGAGGCAGTCAAGCGGGTTGAACGGCCACATGCCAAACAAACGCAAGACATCTCGTGGGCTCGCGTGTCCATACTGAACGAGAACGAAGACGGTGAGAACGGTGGAAGCTAGACAGCTGAGACCGACTGCGCGCACTCGTGCTCTGATGACCGTTGGTGAATCTCTCGAGTTGAGCGGGGTTGTGCGAAGCGTCTTGGAGAGGTAGAATGGGGCGACGAAGATGACGGTGAAGAGAATGGCGTAGAGAAGGGCTGTTTTCTCGGATATTGCAGGTGGTGATTCTACATACACATTTTAGATACTCCTTCCCTTTCTTACGATTGTTCTTGATGCCAAGACTTGAGTCTGAGCAGACGACACACCTTTCTTGCCAAAGTAATAAGCTCGCAACCTCTCGACCAGACCCACGCCCTTCTCCCACATCTTTCCTGACGGCGCCATCGTTTTGTGCGCGCGATTCTTCCAGTGTCGTTGGTGGCCTCGACTGCCACCTGCAGCAGGCGGACAAATGACGGATGACGTTGCGAGCTCCCAGAACAAGGACCAGGATGCGGTACGATTCAGGGATTCGAGCTGTTCATCTCCAGTGCATCACGATGGCAAGGCGAAGACGACAGCAGCACACGCAGCTACACGGCGTCGCAAGAGATGAAGAGGTGTACAACAGTCGGCGTGGTGTGTCCGTGGTTGCGCGAGCAGATCACAATGGCCGTCTACCACGCGAAGTGGCAGGAAGTAGCTGCATTGGAGACAATGAGTGCTTGCATTAGCGGCGGACGACTAGCGTGCAATTTTCGCGGCGCGTTCTCGAAGAGATCAGCGACAATGGTACCATGGCAGAGATTCTCATGGCTTTGTCTGCGCCATCTCGCATGCCGACGAACTGGATTCTGATCTGCCGCGCCGTTGTTGACGTCCTCCGATTTTCTGGGAATTTCTGGGCTCGAATTTGAGACATCTGGCACGGCAAAACCGTTGGTGTTGCTGTGGAAGAGCGAACAAAGCTCACGCGACGCTCCGTCCGCTGGCTGGGCCGAGTGTGTCTGCATCATCTCTCATCCGCGGGTGCCTTCGTTGGCTGCGACAAACGACGGCGACTGCTGAGGGCAGTTTCATGGATCTGTACAGTTCCCTGTCACACATGCGCTGACTGCCTGCCGCCCGAATATGAAAAGTGCCCCAGGGCGAGCATCGAGAGGCCAGAAAGTCCTGTCGCCGGCGAGCTTATCGATATGCTCCCAGTTTCCGCCAACTCGATTGGCTGTGGTGCTAGCGCAATGCGAATGGGCGCTCATTTCGCGTCACCTCTTTGCCGGTGGACTCGATGGCTCGTGTGCCCCTGGTCCTATCGATTGCGAACGCTTGAAGACACATGGCGGCGATAGTACGGGATAGTCTGAGCTGGTCGACATGGCCAGTCCGCAGCGACCGAGTGAGTGTATTCACCGTTCTCCTGACCACCGTTCCTGTCTTCCTGTTCCATACCGTTCGCTACACCATACCATATACCACAGCTCCACCACCGCTACCGCTACCGCATATCCACCGCTACCTACAGCGCATACGTCAGGAATAGCAGACGCCGTTTGCGACCCATACCGGCCTCTGCACCACCCTGCGTCCTGCATACTGTCCAGCGCACGCTCGCCTGCCTGACACAGTTGACTACTTCAGCAACCGCCGACGCCCTCACACCCTCCGCGAGAGCTCTCCGCCGTCCAGAGCTCTTGCTCTCGGCCTGTCCTTCGTTTGATATGCTCCACGATCCTTACCGTCTGTCGTTCCTTCCTGTCTTCTTAATAGCTTCTTCATGTTCCTGGACCCCGAACCGAAACGCCCCAAAACCAGCAATGCAAACATGTCATCGCCCGGATTCTTCGCATCGCAGAGACCGATAGCATCCCCACGAGACCAGCGCCCCAACACCACCCGCCGAAAAGCGCTCCACCAACGATCGAAATCGCAGCAGAACGAGCAGCAGCAGCAGCAACTCAGCCAGGTTCCAGAACATCCTACCGTGCGCTTAGTCAACCCCTCGCCGTCGCCTCCCTCGACCACGTCCTCACAGCAGAGTCGCAGCGACGGCGACGAGAGCAAAGAGAATTGGCAGCAAAATCACGGTGGTGCACCGCCTCGCTTACCCCAGTCAGCCTTGGTGAAGCGAGCTAGCGTATCAAGTTCAAGTATTTCGGCTGCAAGCCGGGACTACGGTGTTTCAGAGACGCCTACGCCGGCGAATGAGGCGCAGAGAGTGGACAATGCGTCCAACATTACCTTGCTCCCGAACAACTCGCAGCACGAGCTATCCAGACGAACATGGCACCGTCTCAGCACGAGCTCAGCCTATTCCCAGGCCTCCACCCTCCATGAAAGCGAGATTGCCTCTTCGAAAAAGAGCGGCAAGAGCCAGAGATTCAGTAGTTTGAGCCAGATATCAACTCTGCGAAATACCCCAACACCGACCGAGCAGGAGAATCGGGAACGTGCAGCAGCAGGTGAGGTGGCTGCCCGGTCAGGATCAGGGTCGGCGCTGGCGTTGCAGACACTGCAGGAGACCTCGCCCGAACGACCACAGAGATTGTCGACAATTAGACCAGTTCCGGCATCCGATACATCCACGTCCTCGCCGATAGAGCCAGGTCCAGGTTCCCTATCTGCGGACGATTCTCCCACCCGGCCTCGTACTGCACCGTCTTCCGATTTAGAACAGCCGTCAACTACTCCTCGTCACAGAACCTACTCCACTGGATCGATTCCTTCCCCGCCAAGCAGCCTTAATACACGGGATATCAACACAACTCCCGCTTCTCATCTACCGCAGGACCGTCCAGAATCGCAGGCGATTTCTGAGGCGACATTTCCACCGCCGTCGTCACCGAACTTTATCGCTTACACTCCTGACTCAGTGCGACCAATTTCCAGAGGGGATCCAATTCGCAGTCCGACTTCTATCGATTCGATTAATTCACGCCTCCAATTCCGATCGGTTGGGCGTCCACAGACTGCGGACAGCCTAGCGACCAAGAGCTCTTGGGCATCAACCTCATCGAACGATCCTCTCCCTCCCCTTCACATTCCCAAGAAGCGGTTACGACATAAGGCTGCATCGGAGTCTCTCAGCACTCAGGCGAGCACTCAGGCAGGCTCATCCCATGCAGTTGAATCAATGGCGGAAGAAGAGATCGACACGCTCCCGTACCCCAAGCGGCCATTCAGCAGTCATCTGAGCACAATCGCAAGCGAGAGCGAACAAAGTCGGACGGCCAGTCAGCATCTCAGCCATTTCTCATTGGGGAGTGGTGTGTTGACCGGCGACGAGGCGAGCAGTCTCCCACTTTCCCCTGTCGGTCATCGACGGACGGGCAGTGCTCCTGCAGAGTCGATAGGATCGAACTTGGGATCGCCAGGCACAAGAGGGACAAGTAGCAGCGAATTTCAGGATGACGCCGGTGACATGACGCTGGGTATATATCGTGAGCAATCCGCGGTACCACAGCCGCTCTTCCGCGCGAAAGGGGCACCAAATCTCTTGGACACCACGAAGAAGTACGACGGCCCGCTCCCGCCAATACCACCCATACCAAAGAGCAGAGAGAGTGATGAGGATTTTGATACTCTTTCGGCATTGCAGGCTCCCGGGTTAAAGCAGAAGAGGTCGGGGTATTCATTACGGCAGAGGAGTAACAGCACACCAAGTCATTCGCGGCAGCAGAGCCAGGTCAGTTATGTCGAGAGTGAGAGATTCAGTCAGGGCAGCAGCCTGTTTCCGACATGGGCGAGGAACTTTTACAGTGGTTCGCATGGGTTGAAGAGCAAGGTGTCTTTGGGAAGTCTGTCGACAGCCAGCCAAAGACCGCCCATGCATAGACGGAACGACAGCTCATGGACCGAACGAAGCATTACAAGCAGACTTGGCACAGGCTACAGCAATGTGGAATCCAGCAGTCCGACCAGCAGCCATTTCCTTCCGGCAATCTTCAGACCGCGCACTCGCAAGAGGCAGAATTCACAGCGTGACAGCCGGTCCTCCAAAGTCCGCAAGAGCGGCCGATCGAAACCCTCTCACGAAAGCCGACGAGACTCAATGGCTATCTTTCAAGACCCTCTACCGCAAAGCCAGGAACCGCTCGCCGGTGGCTCCAACGGAGAAGAAGTGCTACCGTCAGGTCAACCGCGCTGGGGCAAGCTCAAAGGTTCTGAGACCTCCAGCCCTGAAGGCGGCCATCGCCTGCCACGAAAATACAGCAAGCAACGTCTCTGGGATACGATGGAGTTCCCTCGTCCAATGACCAAAGACCGCCTCAGCGACTTCCACCTCCAGCCCGATGGCCAGACTCCCCGCCTGGCGCCCTCGAAACGAACATCGCAAAATCGTCTCTCCGTCTGGCAAGCACCCTCTTTCGTCTCCTCGCTCGACACGCTCATAACCTCCCGCTGCAACCGCCAGATCCTCCTCTTCGCTTTAGGTTTCGTGTGTCCGCTCATGTGGATGCTAGGCGCGCTGCTGCCGCTGCCTAAGAGGCCGATGAGTCCAGTCGAGCTGGAAAAGGGTCTGGCGGATAGTCAGGACGATGTAGCGGCTGCGATGATGAAGCACGAGGCGGGAGATGCGGAGAGGAGGTGGAAAGAGGAGAAGACGTTTCTGAAAGCGAGGTGGTGGAGGATGTTGAATCGCGTTATGAGTGTGGTGGGGTTGTTGGTTATTGGTGCTATCGTAAGTCGTGTCTTGGTCCTATTGGGGGGTTTGATTGCTGACTTTGATTTTCGCAGATTGCCCTTGTGGTTGTCGCGACGACTTGATGGATCTGGTTTCTCTCCACTCTCCACTGTTATCATGTTGTTTTTGCGATTTTCTGGACGAACGACGATCTCTGCATGCATACGGCCCTCGACCCTCATCATCTCCACGGACAGACGGCCATCTCATATGTCTCTTTTTGCAAGCGTACAGCGCCCCATCACTACTCTGTCGATTTTGGAACGACAGACGGACGAACGCTCTTGATTATTCTTTTTACTCGACGAATTTTTGTCCTCATCTTGGAACTTTTTTACTTCTGACGATTCTACTACTATACATCTTCGAAAAATGACGATACCCATGTTATATATGGAAGAGAAGGACTTGTGGATTTTTAATGTCTTGTTTAATTCAAAAGAGAGAAGATAACACTTTTACATATGTTTCTATACAGAGCAGAGGAGGGTAGAAGGGGGTTGGAATGAGAAGATGTCTTGGAATCAATCAATCATTCATTCAATCACTGAAAATGGTTTTCGAGTGAAAACGAAGACCTAGGAGCAATTCTTCTGTTCCCTTGTTATTACGGTGGGTTTCTACCAAGAGCATAAAGATGGACTGGCGAACTATACTAACGGGCAAGTTGAGCGGAGTCATCGAACACACTTGGCAGACGAAGTTCATGCTAACGAATAACAGGCTAGGACTAATAAATCTGAACCCTGTAATTTGTTAACATCCTCATCGTCTTAACTGCTTTATGTCTAGAATTAGGTATACCTCGTAGTTCTAAGAGGATACTATGAGGAATCTAGTCGAAGTAGACGAAGAGTCGGAACATAGGGTCTTATCTCAGGAAGCACGTACATGCGCTAATCTTTATGAGGTGCCTTTCGGGGCAGTGGGGTCACGTATCTCAGGCCACCTGACTTGGGTCGACCTCACTTCAGGGCTGTAAATATCTCATCGAACATTGTTCAAACGGATCGACGTCTGACTCGCCACAGAAACTTGCCCTCTAGAATGTACGCATCGTGCGATCAAGCCTGGCGGACCGAGCATGTGTCTTCTTTGCACCGAGATCGTGGACTGGCGCCCCCATGAGGATGAGGCTTCCACAGGAGAACACCGCCAGGAGAAGAGAGTCGAATAGACTCATTCATCAGCCCGCGCGAAGCTGCAAGTCAATCGAATGCTGTCTTGCGACTGGCTTGTACTGGAGCGGCAAGCATGCACATCGCCTCAAATCACAGCCGGAGACGCCTCCCCCACGCGTCTTCGACGGGACGTCCCAGTGCGGCCTCTTTCACAGCCTCCTGCGGGGTGGATGAGCTCTGAATGAGTTATTATGGCAGGCGTGCTGCGAGAACTGCAGATTTATAGTACTTGCAGTTGACTGCTCGTGTTACAACAATGAAGAGCTCTCGAACCACGTCAAGGGATGACCCTCACGAGTCCATCAACACCACCTTTAACGCCGCGGTGAGAAGGTGCGACAAGGATGCGATAAAATCAATCCTGAAGTACGATCTCCACTATCTCAGCAGTCAGTGGATGTGGCTTAGAGTCCTGGAAGAAGAGACTAGGTGGAACGGGTGGAACATTGAGCGTGTGTCAGACCTTCTTGTCGAGCATGACTTCGAGGAGGAGATTCCCCAAGAGCAGGGAGACCAAAGCCTGCGAGCTGGAACAATGACAAACCCTCTAAACGTGTCACGGAGCGACCGACGTCCGCCCCTCGATAGAATCTTCACCGCCTTGATTAGAAGGTCTGAAGAGTACGTGCTGCAATTAATCTTAGATAATAATTTCGAGGATCTCACCGGCACGGATAAGTGGAAATGGCTTGAAGACGTAATTCAGCTTGGATACACCACGGACCGTATATCGCGCCTTCTTGTGGAACACCAGGAGCAACGGCCGTGGATTAGTTTCGAGCCGCCAGTGACGACACATCGGCTGCCAGGTCGAGATTGGCATGTTGCAGGCTGCATCCATCACCCGGACGATGTTGGTGACGATTTCATGACGAGGCAGCCCGATGATTTTTCAGATACATCCGCGGTCGAGGTAAACCACTTGGTCGCATCTCTATGTGGACTGGCAGGATTCGTGCCGTCCAGTTCCTGGTTCGAATCGAACTGGTGCAGTGAAGTGAGCTTCGCTGAACAAGACCAAAGTCAGCAAGCCGTTGCCCTGATACGTTGCCAGAATCATGTGGCACGACATATTAGCAGCCTTCGGGGTTTCTGCACAGCTGCAGCAGAGTTGCAACGAACAGGTCGCTGCTGCGACTCATATACGGTCTTATGCAAAACAGGTGAGAGATCGGTGCAGGCCTGTCAAATCCCCTTTGATCTTGGCGTCAAAATGCTTGTCTTGCTCGATGATGTTTCAAAGAGGAAGCGCCGGGCCTGGGAAGACCTCACATCGTGCGCAGTCGAAATCGTGCGCCGAATACCGGGTCTCACAACGATACTGGACACATGGCGGAACAGCTTATCGATTTGTGCTCTCGCAGAGCATATCCTGTGTCTTAGCCTCGCTTCTTACTCACAAGGGCACACTGGCGACTTGGATCTCTTCTTCTTGGAATGCAGCTTGAAAGGGGTGGATTTGCTCGGCACGGACAGTTCGGATGTGGATCCTAGACCCATGGTGCGATTCCAGCCGATACGGCTTTCGTGCCTCGATGGTATGCTCGAGGCTCCAGTGATGGCATTTACAGTTGCCATGCCCGGGGATCCCTGGATCGAGCCTCATCAAGAGAATCGGGAGAATGGCGCCCACGATCTCATAGCGACCCCGGAGCAGATTCTAGATATATGGGGCCCTGGCTTCATCATTCCTGAGTTCATTTCAGAGGCTGCGACTAGGTCCGCTTGCATAGTCATTGGTGGAGGAGTAGTCTATCCTGTCGCTGATGGCAAATACCACTGGACTCGTCGTTTGGATGTTTCTCACGCCTATCATCTGGCGAAGATCGACCTGAAAGAACCGATTGAGATTGGGGCCAACGTCGAAGTTGCCAACGGCCTGTGTTCCCACAACATATCGGGGATGCGAGCGAAGAGTGCCGAATACAGGAGACCGCTGGGGACCTACGATCCTTTCTGGCTCCACGACCGAGAGCGTGAAATTGGAGCTCAGGTCGGCATGTACGTGGTCCCTCAGTTTGTGTCCAAGTCACAGAAGAATGATGGTATATCGCTGAAAAAACGCGAGATGGATCGCTTGCGCGCTCATAGACTGGATCCAGCTTTCCTCGAATCCACATGGGGCCTTCAAGTGAGCCTCTGTTCGGGCTTCGCGAAGAGAGTCAAGATTCGTGAGCTCTTGGCCGACCTACTCCCCTTGTACGCGGAGCGGTACATCCACCAATACCCAGAGTGGGAGAAACTCCGAGATGACTTCAACATACCTGAAGAGCTCAGGCAAGGAAACAAGGCCCTTCTGAAACAGATAGGCGCCTCGGACAGACGCAGCCTGCTGGCGCTCTGCGACCTCATCGAAGGTCTTATGTCCACCTTGCAGACAACAGGCATCGACACCACTGGCAGACACTTCATCGTCGCCCTCTTCCCTACCAGCCACGAAGAGCCCATCGAGTCCCTTCACTTCACCACCGAAGCCGACAACCTCTGGACCAACATCCTCCGAGACACCTCCATGACCTGCACCTTCGCTTACTTCACCACTTCCTGTCTCCAACTCAAAAACTTCGGCTGCCGCATGGCCGAAGCACGCTGGCACGGCCAAGTCCCCTTCCTCGAAACAGAAGTCTACCGCGCCTTCGAATCGCGGCCCACAAAAACCACCGCTTCCACTTTCCGTCTCGAAGATGGAGATACCTACGCCATCGGCCCGGAGACGGGGATCCAGCGTCTAGTCTGGATGTCAATGGCACTCCACGCGGCGGTGGTGCGCCCACACCCCGCGGAGGATGCAAGGCTGATAGTCCGACAGAGCCTGATCCCGCAGCAGCATCTGAGGAGGATGATGTTGAAGCCGTCGAGGGGCAGGTTGCAGGAGCGGTCGGGCCCCGGGGTGGAGGTCTCGGCTTGTAGGGCGTTCATTATGAGTCGGGAGGATGAGAGGTTGATGTTTGCGTGATTTGTGCAGTTTCATGAAACATGCGGTTCGCGCAGTTGCTATTGTTGTATGGAGTGGTGTTGAGATTGGGATGGGTCTACAAAGAATACCTGAAGTGCACATCATAATCCCCCTTTCCCGGCCGCGGCTCTATCTCCTTCCCTTCTTCTTCCGCCTTCTTGATCGCCTTCGCCCTCTTGCCATTGACATACGCCATACCGCCCATCAAGGCGACTACCATCGCCATACTCACGCAAGCGAGCCCGAGGGCGATGGACATACCTTCGATATAGCGAGGTTTCGACTCGGTCGTGAAGATCTGGCCGACTGCCACGCCGGCCGTGTTGCCGAGAGTCAGGGTCATACCGACCATGGTGGCGCGTTTGTAGTGGCCTGCGGCGTTGTCTTGCAGCCACATGAGGGAGAGGCCGGTGGTTGGGTAGATGCCTATTGCGGCCACTGCGGAAGAATGTCAGTTGGAGTTGCATGACTGAGGCGGGCAAAAGGGAAGGGAAACGTACTGAAGCAGGCAAAGTACCTCGCCTTCAAATTCTCCACAGAGATGAGGATTGCGTAGCCGATGATTAGACTTGTTAGAGCACCGAGAAGATACGGCCCTCTCAATCCCGTGCGATCCGAAGCCCACGCAATGACGAGAAACACCACCAACGAAACCATGAACACCGGCACCGTCATCAAATTCGCTTGAACAGACGAATACCCCAACCCCTGCACAGTCGCCGGCATGAACGTCGTGAGCCCATACAGCGAGACATCGCAGCAGAACTGATAGATCCAGAAGGCGTACCACTTCGTATCCGTGAAAGCGCTGACGACGGCGGTCCAGGCGAAGGGTTCGTCGAGGGCGAAGTGGGAGGTTTTTTGGGTGTAGCGGAGGGTCATGAGGTGTTTTTCGGGGGCGGTGAGGAACCAGGCGGTTGTGGGGGTGGCGGGGAAGAGGGTGTAAGAGAGGGGGACGAGGAGGAGGGTTAGCAGCCCTTCGACTATGAAGAGCCATCTGTGCCAGGTGTGATCAGTAAGTTCCTCTGAGGTATGCAAAGAAAGACTCACCGCCATCCCTCGAACCCGTTCGGCCCACGGATTTGCGTGAGTCCAAAGGCGAGGACGCCTCCGAACGCACTCGAAAAGGCATTAAAGGCGAAAACCACGGCAGAACGTTTCCCTCTCTCCGACTTCTTGTACACCATGGCGATGTAAACGTTGATGGAGGGAATGAGGCCACTCTCGAAGAGACCGATCAGGAGGCGGCAGGCGTAGAGGCCTTTATAGTCTTGGATGAATCCTGTAAAAGGACCAGTCAGACGATAGGGACAATGGAGAGAGAGAGAGGCAAACGTACCCATGTCAAGTGTCGTCAAGCCCCAAGAAAACGCACAAAACGACATGAGGTATTTTGGGGAGATCTTCTTGGGGAGGAGAGCCGCGGGGGCTTCGAAGGGAACGTAGGTTGCGTACAGCAACGTCGTCGCCGTCCCGAATTGATTCCCCACGAGCCCGATGTCTTCTGGCATCCCGGCGATCTGGGCGTTGCCTAAATTGCTTCTGTCGAGGTTTGCCATGGCGTAGAAGAGGCCGAAGAGGCCGATTGCGAAGAGCTAGGAGGGTGTGAGTTAGATGGTTGCTTGACGGGGTTGGGTGAGGGGTTGAGTACGTCGAATTTCCGTAGGACTTTACGTTCCTGAGCTGGATCGATGTACGTGGTCGTGGAGCCATTATCAATGTCGATTTGTGCTGTTTCGTCGACTGGGGGCGTTTTGAGGTCGTTCTTGGAAGTTTTCAAGTCATGCGCCGTGGTCGTCGGTTCCATGATGAAGGGAATAGATGTTAGAAGGATCTTCCACCTTCCAAGTTGCTTCGAAGACCAGATGACCAGGGATGAAGATGGTGATAAAGGCCATCCTGACCTCGTCCCACATCAACGCGCCTCCCCGTCTTGGCCTCAGGCGACCAAGCCTTGGACGTGTTGTGAGAGCTGATAGTCAATTCATCGGCCGGGCAAGAGACCTCGACCTATCTATGTGCTGATAGGAAGCAAAGTAATGGTCGGTATCCAGCACCGATGCCGACTTCATCGACCGGCGAACCTCTTCACAGGCCGAGGGGCATGCGGCTTCCTTGCCTATCAGCCGGTGGAGCTCCACTCGGCGAGTGAAGCTCTATGTGCTTCAAGGGTCAGCTAAAAGGTCAGCATTGCAAGACGCAAGAGATGCTTTAAAGTAGCTTTGCGGTGCGAAGTTGTCTTTTGGTAGTGTTGTTGGGCTTTCTCCATTCCTCTTGACTCACCTTCGATCGTTGCTCCCAGAGATTTGTAACTCAAGATGGCCGCCAAAGGGATCCGGATAGCCATCGACCGAGGAGGCACATTCGTAAGTCGAACGTCTCATTCGCAATGAGGACCCCAACTGACCCTCAGTAGACCGATGCATGGGCCCAAATCCCGGGCCAACAAAACGACATCGTTCTGAAGGTCCTCTCCGACTCTCCTGAAGAATACAAAGACGCCCCAACAGAATGCATCCGCCAAATCCTCGAAATCGCCACAAATACCACAATCCCCCGGCACGAACCCCTCGACATCGAAGCCGTCGAATCGATCCGCATGGGCACAACCGTCGCCACCAACGCCCTGCTCGAACGAAAAGGGGCTCGCGTCGCGCTGGTCACGACGAAGGGTTTCCGAGATATTCTCAAGATTGGGAATCAGGCGCGGCCGAATATTTTCGATTTGAGTGTGCAGCGGTTGAGCAAGCTGTATGAGACCGTTGTGGAGGTTGATGAGAGGGTGACGATTGAAGGCTTCGCTGAAGACGCTGAACCGCAGCCCGTTGATGTAGATTCTGATCCCCAACTGTGCACTGGACTGACTGGCGAGGCTGTTCGGATCTTGAAAACGCCTGACCTGGATGTTGTTCAAAAGGATCTGTCGGCTCTATGGAGGGAAGGTTATCGAAGTATCAGTGTCGCTTTCATGCACTCTTACACATTCCAGGAGCACGAGAACGCCGTGGCTGAGGTTGCTAGGGAGCTGGGTTTCCGAGTCTCGGTGTCTTCTGAGCTGCAGACGATGGCCAAACTCGTGCCTCGAGCACAGTCGGCAGTCGCTGATGGCTATCTCTCGCCGGTGACAGAGGAGTACCTGAAAAGTTTCCGGAACGGTTTCAAGGGCCGGCTTGAAGACAAGAATGGCGAGAAGCTGTTCTTGAATCAGTCAGATGGCGGGCTAGTCTCCTTTTCGAGGTTCACTGGCCTCAGAGGTGTGTTGAGTGGTCCAGCTGGCGGTGTGGTGGGCCTTTCGCGAACCTGTTACGATGACAAGGACGCCACACCTGTGCTGGGTTTCGACATGGGCGGCACCAGCACTGATGTTTGTCGATTTTCTGGCAGCCTGGAGCACATATTCGAATCTACCATAGCGCAGGTCACAATCCAAACTCCTCAATTAGACATCAACACCGTGGCTGCTGGTGGTGGCTCCATGCTATTCTGGCAAAATGGCATGTTCGTAGTTGGCCCTGAAAGCGCTGGTGCGGCTCCTGGTCCGGCTTCTTATGGCAAAGGAGGGCCTCTGACCGTCACTGATGCGAACCTGTTCCTGGGGCGAATAATTGCAGAGTCTTTCCCCAGGCCATTGGACGTCGAGATCGTTAAGAAGAAGTTCGCGGAGCTGACAACCGTCGTCAACGAGGAGAAAACCGGCGAAGCCACCTTGACACCTGAAGAGGTTGCTCTTGGATTCATCTCCATCGCGAACGCCACAATGACACGTCCTATCAGGACTCTAAGCGAAGGACGAGGTTTCGAGACTGGAGCCCATAATCTTGGATGCTTCGGCGGAGCTGGTGGCCAACACGCCGTTGCTATTGCTTGTGACTTGGGCATCAAACGTGCGATCATTCCCAAGTACTCGAGTATCCTTTCAGCATATGGCATGGCTTTGGCAGACGTTGTTGTGGAGAATCAAGAGGCAGAAGCAGTCACATTCTCGGCCGCCGCGCTGCCACAAATACAAGGCCGCTTGGATAAACTCTGCAAAGCAGGCAAGGATGGTTTGGTCGCACAGGGCCTCGAGACGAGCCAGATCGAGCACACTCTTTTCTTGAACATGAGATACCAAGGCAGCGATACCGCACTCATGATCCCGCAGCCAGACGGCGGACTTGAGAAGTTCGGCGAGGCATTCATCGCTCGACACCATCAACAATTCGGCTTCACACAGCCAAGGGATATCTTGGTCGACGATGTGCGAGTCCGAAGTACGGCCAAAGGAATGCAGGTCCAACTTACAAGCCCATTCGAGGAGCTTAAGCGAGTGCAATTGTCACCTCCAGTCAGTCCTTCATCGGCGGATTCGTATCGACAGGTCTTCTTCCCGAATCACGGATGGACGGAAACGGCGGTCTATTCATTGGGTGTTCTTCCCGTTGGGACTCGTGTACAAGGGCCAGCGATGGTCATTGACAAGACGCAGACGATTGTTGTGGATCCAGGCAGTGCGGCGATCATTCTTCCTGAGCATGTCATGCTTGAGATCTCGAATATCGAGAAGCCTGATGTGGGTATTGATCAGCCCGACCCTATCCAGCTCAGTGTCTTTGGTCATCGATTTATGAGTGTTGCCGAACAGATGGGTCAAACCATGCAGAAGACCTCCATCTCTGTCAACATCAAGGAGCGCCTGGATTATTCATGCGCCGTCTTCTCCGCAGATGGAGGGCTCGTGGCAAACGCACCACATATTCCAGGCCATCTCGGGTCCATGAGCTATGCGATAGCATATCAAGCCAATCTCTATGGTCCAGGAGAACTCAAGCCAGGAGATGTCCTGCTCAGCAACCATCCATGCTCCGGCGGAACGCACTTGCCAGATCTAACGGTCACCACACCAGTCTTCGACAACGATGATGACCCGAAAGATATTCTTTTCTTCGTCGCCAACAGAGGTCACCACGCTGATATTGGCGGCATCCAACCCGGTTCAATGCCTCCCAACTCCACGGAATTGTGGCAAGAAGGCGTCGCCGTGGAATCCTTTAAGATGGTCAAAGAAGGCGTATTCGATGAGAAGGGCCTGACAGAGATCCTTTACGACATTCCTGGCTCTTATCCTGGCTGCAGCGGCACAAGGACACTGCGAGATAACATCGCCGATTTGAAAGCAGCTATTGCAGCGAATAATCGAGGCATCCATTTGATCCAAGCACTGGTGAAAGAGTACTCGTGGCCTGTAGTCCAGTTCTACATGAAGGCTATCCAGCATAATGCCGCCCAGTCTGTGCGAGAGCTGCTGAAGATCTTCTCTGAACGTTTTGCGGGCCAGACACTGCAAGCTGTCGACTATATTGATGATGGGACTCCGTTGGCGCTCAAGATTGACATCGACCGCGAGACTGGGAATGCTGTGTTCGATTTCACTGGCACAGGTCCTGAGCACTTTGGTAACCTTAACTGTCCGCCCGCGATCATGTACTCCGGTATCATGGTAAGTCGATCCACTACCCCAAAGGAGTTTTGATACTGACAATCCTGATAGTACTGCCTTCGGTCGATGATCTCTTCAGATATTCCTCTCAATCAGGGATGCCTGGCTCCAATTCATATCAAGCTAGACAGTGCTTCAAACACACTCCTCTCGCCATCATTGAAAGCCGCAACAGTGGGGTCGAATGTCGAAACATCGCAGCGGATCGTCGACCTGATTTTCAAGGCCTTCCGCGCCGCTGCAGCATCTCAAGGCACTTGCAACAATCTGACGTTCGGATACGGAGGCACGGATGCAGAGACGGGCAAGGTTACCAAAGGTTTCGGTTACTACGAGACCATCGCCGGTGGTTCAGGAGCAGGCGCTGACTGGGATGGGGAGAGTGGTGTCCACACGCATATCACCAACACCAGGATGTCGGACCCAGAGATTTTCGAGAAGCGGTATCCAGTCATCCTACACGAGTTCTCCATTCGCAAGGGTAGTGGTGGAGCAGGCCTTCATCGTGGCGGCGACGGATGCATCCGGGACATCGAGTTCAGGAGACCGGTACAAGTCTCGATCCTGTCAGAGAGAAGAGTGATCCCACCACACGGCATGGCTGGCGGTGACGAAGGCCAACGAGGTGTCAATCTGTGGATTCGCAAGTATGAGGATGGCACGACCAGGACGATCAGTCTAGGTGGTAAGGCGACGACGCCAATGAACGCCGGCGACCACATTGTCGTTATGACCCCTGGTGGAGGCGGATATGGTCGTGATCCAGCCAAGAAGGACGAGCAGGAGGTGTTTGGTGCGTTCAAGGTACATGAGAAGTTTGTGAGAAACCCGTCGTTGTTCAGAACGCAGGGCAGCCTTGCAGAGCGGAGTGCTCAGGCGACAAGCAACTAGGTTGGTAGTCACGAATGGAAAGTCGCCTTTCGACGAGCTCAATGAGTACTCCAGGTTCCATTGTAGTGTAAGGCTGCAGGTTGACGAATTCGGGCATTGGTGGTGACGACCCCGCTCCAGCGATTGGTCTCCGTGGTGCTGTACTTGCACATGAATCGTAGCTCCTCGTCGACTGCCAGAACCATCACGAGAGTCTTCAGCCGCTGTCATTGGTGTGCGTCAGCTTGCTCTTGCATTCGCAGCACGGCAATGAGCAGCCCCACTTGTGTTCAGCTCGCCCCCAAGCGACGTACAACCAGCAATTGCCTATAAAGCAACCGGTAGAGCTGAACGTTGCTTTTCCTTCCAAATGCAAAGGTCTGACGGGATTTTACAGCTAAGATCTGTAGCGCGACGAAGATGTCCTTCCATGTAAAGCGCACGAACAACGCAAAGCAAGGCGAAACCCTCTGGCAGTATAATGGCATCCGGTCGACCAAGTGGGTTCAGCCGCCATCTGGGAAGAGCGTACTCGAGATCCAGACAACACACACTCCCACCGCGTTGCAGAAAGTTCCCGACGAGCTCAATTATCTGACACCTCCACCTCACTGTAAGCCGAGTGTGAGTCGTCGCTATCGTACGTTGCTGATACTGTCCAGGGCATTGGTCCCAAGACGAGTTCTTCCATGTCAAAGAAGGTCGATACATCTTCACCTTGGAAGGGAAGAAAATACCCGTGTCGGCATCGGATCCGCAACCAGTGCACGTTCCTGCTCGGGCTCGACACACGTTCAAGGTCGATGATACTCATGAAGGTCCTTGTACCATCGAAATCTCGACGTACACATCGCCGAAGAGCCCTTCCAATGATCCAGAAGCCTTCGGAGCCAACGCCAAATTCTTTCGCAACATTTATAGCTATCTTGATGATTGCTATACGCAGAACGTGTCGCCCAGTCTGCCGCAATTGCTACTCATGCTCGACTCGGCTGAAATTTCGATGGCGTTTCCTGGTCCTGCGTGGTTGGCGCATCCGGCGAGTTACGCTTTTGGAGTCGTGGTGGGAAGGTGGTTTGGCGGCTATGTCTTGGGGTACAAGGCAAGCTACCCTGAGTATGGAGAGGGCAGGAAGGAGAAGTGAAGTCGCGACTTGTAGTTGGCAGGCAAGTGCTTCTGAGAGGCGGTTCCATGTCTTTCTCTGTTTTGAAGGACATCATCCAAACACAACATCATCGCACCATACTCGCTCGCCTCCATTGATTGAAAGCCATTCATACCACCATCTTCGTTCGCATTTCATACACGCGATACCCAATCAAGAATAGCGCCAACCATGGGCCAGTCGAGCTCGAGCTCAATAGAATCCTACACACACACGTATTGCTGCGGTCTCATTGTGCACAGAGTCACAGCAAACACCGACCAAGGCGGAGTTCCGTTGAATCCAGTTGCGCCTGCTCCCTTACCAGCGCCTTTGCCCGCGGCCGCGGCACCACCACCCGCAGCAAACGGGCCACCTCATCAAGAAAACCGCTCGCGCATTGTAGCACGATTGATGCAACGCCGCGCAGGCACCACAATCGTGAATCCATGCATTGACCACGGCACATGGTCGTCCAATCGGAGCTGGAGGTCGTTCACGAGAAGATTCCTGAGAGATCCCGATCCGGTCTTTCTGAAAGCAAACGAGCAAGAGTGTCCCATCTGCTTCCACTACTACTTCGAGAACGATGACATTAAGCCGGTTCGATTGCCATGCAACAGCCAGCATGTGATATGCATCTGGTGTGCCATAAACTGGTTCAAAGGGGGTACTCCAGACGAAGAGGCAACGAACAAATGTCCATCCTGTCGGCAGGTCCTCTTTCGAAACGACGGTCTCAGGACATATGAGATGCATCGAGTGGAGCAAGACCAGATATTCCAAAATCTTCAGGTAATGCGCCAGACGTCGGCCCAGATAGAGGAGGCCGTAACCGCCATGTGGAATAGAGCGTTGATGCTGCATAGTGACAAGACATATACGACAGCTTAGAGCAAGTGTAGGCTCTGTCCTCGAGTTTTGGCTTGAACAAGCTAACATGTACGCAGGGCGGGACTCGCTCAATCGGAGCTTTGCGACATCTGGTCTTCTTCGGCACCAGCGGTCTCGTTCTTCTTGGCCTTCTCGCGTTGCTTCTTCTTGACCTTCTTCTCTCGGTTTCGACGCGTACGCTTCTCTCGCTCTTCGGCTTCTTTTTGCTCGGCGGCTTTGCGGTTTTCATCTTGGCGGGCCTTTGCAGCGGCAGCTTTGGTTCTTACTTCTACCCGGGTCTTCTTGCCTGGTCTCTTTCGTTTGGTATTTGTTGGATGGTCGTATAGCTTGGCGAACAGCATATTTGAGTTGGACAGGATGATGCGTTGGCGTTTGGTACTCTGGATCTGAAGGACTTTCCATGGATAGGAGCTGCCAGGCCAGCTGCTGGTTGAACGGGACACAACATCCTGGCCTGTTACAGCGGCTTGCGAATAAACTGCTTTTGCTGCGTCGGAAAGTTCTTTTGTAAAATAGTAGCTGTCGTCTCTATTCGGTATGACGAATCCAGGCTCTCCTGTTGTCAATGGTGGCGTCTGAACACGTATCTTGGCGATTTCGGTAGCATCATTGGCCTGTTTGTTACTTGGGGCAAAGAGCAAGAAGTCCATCTCCTCGTTGTCTGCATCTTGCGCTCGTTCCTGTTGGGTAGCCTCGCCGTGGTTGACGAACTCGAACTCCTCAAGGCGTTTGAGACTTTTGATGTCTGGTGAAGACGGCGGCGTGCTGTGTTCCGACAGTAATTCTGACCTGTCCACGACTCTCTCCATGGCGGACTGTGGGGTGAATCAATTCCTCATCTGGCGTATTTGCGACGAAAGATCTAAGGAGGTGAAGTTCTCCACGGAATAGAAGTCCAGGTGTCGCAGCAGGAGATGCACACTATTGGCTCGCTAGACGGGCCCGGCAAATAGCCGGCGCTAAACTGTAACCATAACCTCAGCTCCTTCGTCATGCACAATCGGGGAACTCTAGCCCCCGAAACCACGAGACGCCAGATGACTTATCATAGGGCTCCGCAAAAACCGCTCTCAAGTGGCACACATACCCGATTGGGACAGGAAAGTGTCTGTCTCGTGGACCATTACTTCAGCGCAACAGCGAATGACGGAGATAGCCCTGACCTTCATCAAGCATGTCACGCCGCCGAGGGCGGTAGGTGTTCTCGATATAACATGTGTCTCTTCTGTACACCTAAGCCTCTGCAGGTACAACAGCACTCTTGAAAACTATTGGATCCTTCACAGCCATGGGTACCGATGAGGGTCTGCAGATCATCACATACTCCACGAAGAAGCACGTCGACGCGACTACCCTCAGCCGGATCCGCAGTCATGCTCAGCATCATGTGCAGAGTCAGAGGGGTCGTGGCAAGGGGACCCGCGCGTCCACTCCACATGCAAGGAATCCTTCGGCCCAGAAAGGCACCATGTCCACGTTCTGCAGCACCCTCGACTTTGATTCCTGCAAGGATCCACCCAAGAAAGTAAAGTCAACGAGACGAGTAAAACCACGAAAGTCGATCGTACCTGAAGAGCCCTTGGACATTGACATCAGCCCGTCACCGATTTCACAAATCCTCGGCACAGCCTTCGAACCATTCGACACTTTTCCCGTCGTGCTCGATAGTGACTTCATCTCTCTATTCGAGCGGTAAGCAAAGAGAAGGCCATCTCTCCGCGAAAGTCACGCGCTGATTGCTATCGTTTACAGCTATCATCGAGCATGGAAGTGGAAACAATCGAAAGCGGACTTGTTTCAAGAGACAGTTAGCAACGCTACGCTTTGCCATAGCTGGCTTGCTATCGCGAACACCTTGACTCAGAAAAAGGAAGTCAAAGCTATCGAACATGAGATCAAGACAATCGACATCGTCTATGCTGGCCTGGAAAGACTACCGACCCTCTCCGCCGCCGACCGCGATTCGGAAGGGCTGTCTTTGACTTGGGCGATTGTACGTCTGGCTCTCATCAAGGCCAACCAAGGAGACCTGGACGAGGTCGTGAACCATCTCAACGCTCTTGCCACCATCGCACCTTCAAGAGAAGCCATCGAACAAGCCAAGTTCGGTGACCACATCCAGTGCACAATCGCCATCCTGCTGCTCTTCAACGTCGGGCAGATGGAACGGATTGACCCCGCAATGCGCTATCCCTACGGTTATCAGGAGACTTCCGCACTTGAAGAAGTCGAAGCACTGGGTTTCATGCTACCTGCATCTTGCCCTCTGCTCCAATCACCCGTGACTGGCTTGATCAAGGAGCAGATTTTGGATGCTCTGAAAGCACTTACAGCACTTTGTCAGATGCTACCCAATCACGATGCACCGTACGGCTATCCCACCGTCCACAACAAAGAACAAGCGATCGGCTGCATGAAGATCGGTCAGCGGTTGGCCAACTTCGAAATGCAAGATCATCTGGAAGGCCCTGCGGAATGGCGAGACCAGCTCCAAGGCTGCCTGACCTTTAGCGCGCTGATTTTCGTTTGGTGCTTTGGTCGCCGCAAGGATGCCACACCTACAGCTATTGCATATGTTCGGGACGAAGTGCGTCGGAAGTTGACCCCGGAGCTGATATGTCGCGCCGTTCGCGAAGTCGGCAGAAGCCAGCCTCTCGTCGACCTAATGCTATGGATGTTAATCGTTTGCGGATCCACTTCCGCAACACCGGACGACAAGTTGTACTACTCTGGCCTCATCCGTGTGCTCGCACCAGATTTCCTTGAACGTAGCTTCGAGGAGCTAGAAACATGGGGGCGGCAGATGCCGTGGATCAGGGGTCATTATAACTCGCCTGTAGAGGAGTTTTGGGATTTTAGTACGGGAAGGGCGACAGATGACGCGGTCAAGAGAGCCAAGTACCTCGAGCTTCTCGGGCAGGAGCGCGAGCGGTGTCCTAGTATACTTCAATAAGCTGAAATGCAACATGGATCTAGTTCATGGAAAATATTTTCAGGGTTGCGAGTACACCTGGTCTGCATGCGTAGGCTCGCTCATAGTTGTTGAGCTTCAAACCGGTCCAATCTCGGCACCATGTATCACTTCCACAACTTTTCACTATGCTCGTTGATTAACCGGTGCTCCCCTCAATGCACGGCTATTTTAGCATGGCCTCAACCACCGAGGTTGAGGTCTCCTCAGCTTGGAGAGAATTGACACAGTGAAATTTCCGCTGTTCTCGTCGGGTTGTGTGAATGATCATTGCCTCGCAGTCGGGATCGCATTGGCTGGTGCTTCATGTTGATGGCAGCCCACTAACCCTGCTTGCGATTCAAGATACTTTTTGGCAACGCGACGGCTCGTATGGTCTGTGAGCCCTGGGAGTGGTGTTCAGGAAAGCACTTCGAGCACCAAGCCAACCACTTCGTCGAACTGCGCCCGTCCAGTCAAAATCCCAGCCGCATCCTCCAAGCCCAGCCCGACCACAAGAAGCCGCTCCTCACTAGATCGCTTCATCAAGATAGCGCTGCCAATTGTAGTGGCCAGAGTCTGACCGACGACCTCATCCTCCCGCTTCGTGCCACCGAGAACTGTCGTAGCTGTCAAGTGTGTCATCGGAAGTAAGTCGTTCTCAGAACCAGAGCCTGCCATTGGTCCTGGATTCATCGGGTCGGCTGATGCTGTTGACAGAGGAACGTGAACCCAGTGAGCCAGTTTGCCGGCTTGTGTGATGGTGATGAGGATCTTGTCTGCGAAGCCGATTGACGTGACGGAAGTGAGCCGGCCATTCACGGTGCCTGAGGTAGATTTTGATGGGGCTGGATACGGAGATGGATAGGCGTTCAGTTGAGCTGTCTCTGTATTCGTTGCCATGGTGCCTTGTATTCTCTCGGGGATGTCCCCAGTTTGTTGAAAGTGGAGGAGAAGAATGCCGTCTTGGAGCAACGCTTTAGCTCGAAGCTAGGGCAGGGTTCGGCTCGGCTCGTTGTCCATCTGCCGAGAAATCTGGGGAAAAGCCGATCGCATCTCGAAAAAAGATTCGAGGTGCAAGCCGTCCATCCTGCTGCCAACCATCATGTCGAAGAAGTTCGTTCCGAGAGAGCGAAAACACAGGAAGCTTGCCCGACAAAGCAGCGACGATCCCCGAAGAAGCGTCTCAGACCACGCCAATGCAACAGAGATCATCCCTCTGTCGAAGTCGGAGAAAGAGGAGAGACGGAGGAATCTGCAAGAGGAGATAAAGGCTCAACAGCCTGACAAAATCAACAGCAAGAAGAGGAAAAGGCTTGACAAATATATCGATACCAAGCTGAGGAAGGAAGAGAACCAAGATCTCATCAAGAAGCTATCCCAGCAACAAGCAGTCGATCCAAGCCTCTTGCAAAGCTCGCGAAAGCTTGGTCGGGTGCACGAGAGCAAGAGAGAACGCCTGCACAGGGCGATTAAGGAGCGAGAGGCCGGGATCAGTGATGGCGATGACATTCTGTTTGAAAAGAGGGAGGTAGCCGAAAGCCCAACGAGCGATCTCGAACCCGAGGACAATGTCCATGCCACCGAGGGAGACGCAAAGCCTACGAACAACGGCGCGACATTCGGGATAGGCCTGAAACGCCCTCTCGACACCAACGAAGAAGGCCGGCCGGTGATCAAGCGACGAAAGAGACGGAAACAGGCGAAAGAGCTATCACCCGATCCCCCACCCAGTGCGGGCGACTCGAGCTCCGAAGAAGATCAGGATGGCTCAGAAGCAGAGTCAGAATGGGAGGGATTCGGATCGGATGATGATGATGGAAAAGTGAGGGAGGAACTATCTTCAAATGAAGAACAAGAAAGCTCAGAGGGCTCCGCGAATGAGACCGATGATGAGGCAGAGGAAGACGACAATGAGGATGACTCGGAAGATGAGGCAGAAGACGAGAAGCCCGGACGAGTCTCTGCATTCAAGGCCTGGGCAGACTCACAGCGAAACGAAGCAGTAGGATTCACACCGTCTGCAGTCCCTGTCAACAATGAAGCCGCCAAGGCCGCTTTCAAACCTCGGGCACCGTCACCGGATCCTGCAGCGGCCGAGATCATGTCCACTGTGCAGAATGGACACTCATATCGCCCTCAAGCGGCAGTCACCATCCCACGATCAGAGGAAGTCCAATCTGCTCGTATCGAATTGCCCGTAGTTCAAGAGGAACAGAAGATCATGGAAGCCATACACAACAATTCAGTGTCCATAGTGTGTGGCGCTACTGGGTCTGGCAAAACTACACAGCTTCCTCAGATGCTACTGGAGAATGGATACGGGGCTGATGGCATAATTGGAATTACACAACCTCGTCGTGTCGCTGCTGTCTCGGTGGCCAGCCGAGTCTCACATGAGCTGGGCGCGCAATATGGCAAGCAGGTTGCCTATCAAGTCAGATACGACTCGAACGTAGGATTTGGCACAAAGATCAAATTCATGACCGATGGCATTCTATTGCGTGAGATCAGCCAGGACTTTGCTCTCAGCAAGTACAGCGTCATTGTGATTGATGAAGCGCACGAGCGCAGTGTCAATACCGACATCCTCATCGGAATGCTGTCTCGTATCGTTCCACTCCGTCATGATCTGAGTAAGGAGGAGCCGAAGAAGTACAAGCCGCTGAAACTTGTCATAATGAGTGCAACCCTCCGCGTGGCCGACTTCTTGATGAATGCGAGGCTGTTCAAGAGCACCAAGCCACCGATTGTACAAGCAGAAGGAAGACAATACCCTGTGACCGAGCACTTTGCTCGTCGAACGCAACGTGATTTCGTGGAAGAGACTGTGCGGAAGGTGTCGAGAGGACATCGTAAACTGCCCCCAGGAAGCATTCTGGTCTTCTTGACAGGTCAAGATGAGATTCAAACAGTGGCCAAGAAGTTGAAAGAGGAGTTTGCGAATTCAAACACCGGCTTCGTGAACTCCAAGCGTCCTGCTCTCAGCGCAAGACAAAGCAATGACTACCTAGAAAAGGAAGAGGAAGGAGACGATGAGTCTGATGTCGAGATCACTGGTCTGGACGATTACGATGACGCAGAAGATGCAGAATTCGACGATGTCGAACCAGATCCAGCTCTCCCACGAAAAGGCGCCCTGAAAGCACAGATTCTACCACTGTATGCAGCACTTCCTGCAGACCAGCAGATGCGTGTCTTCAAGCCGACCCCTGAAGGTTCAAGGTCTATCGTCCTTGCAACGAACGTGGCCGAAACGTCGCTCACCATTCCCGGGGTGAGGTACGTCTTCGACTGCGGGCGTAGTAAGGAGAAGCGATACGATACTGCCACTGGCGTACAAGAGTTTAAGATTGACTGGATATCGAAAGCAAGTGCTTCACAGCGTATGGGTCGAGCTGGTCGTACAGGCCCTGGGCATTGCTACCGACTGTACAGCTCAGCGATCTACGAACAGTATTTCGAAGAGCACACACTGCCTGAGATCCTTCGAACGCCGATTGAAGGCACAGTACTACAGCTGAAGACGATGAACGTGGATAATGTTGTGAACTTCCCTTTCCCTACTCCGCCACAAGGCGAGCAGCTTGCTCAGGCAGAGCGTCTGCTGAAGAACATTGGAGCGATCAACCCGAGCGATGGCAAGGTCACCGAAGTGGGACAAGAGTTGATCCACTACCCTGTCAATCCACGGTTCGGCAAGATGCTGTTGCTGGGCCTGCGGAACAACGTGCTTGCGTATACGATCGCACTGGTTGCGGGTCTTGCTGTGGGCGACCTGTTCATACCGGAGCCGCAAGCTCTTTCGAGCCGGAATGGCAACGCCGACGATGAAGACGAAGATAACGAAGACCAAGATATTCTCAATAGTCGAAAGCAAGCATACGGCAGAGCGCAGAAAACCCTCTCAGCCTGGGACGACAAAGCCGATGTAATGAAACTCTTGACAACAGTGGCCGCCTACGCCCAAGTCGAAGCCGGCGGCACAAAAGAGTTTTGTGCAGAATACTACTTGCGTGAGAAAGGCATGAACGAAGTCCAGCTGCAGCGACGCCAGCTACACAACATCATGCAGAACCGAGTGAAGGATCCCAATCAAGCAGGTGTCTCATCCACGACAAGCCTCTCCCCTCCATCCCAGAAAGAAATCAACCTTCTGAAGCAACTAGTCGCAGCTGGTTATATTGACCACGTAGCGATCCGCGGGGATAAGCTGCCCAACGCTGCATCCAGAGGTAGAAAGCCCACCCGCGCAGGTGAAGTTCCCTACCGCACGCTCCTCCCCTCAATCGCCGAGGTGGAAATCGACCGCACCGCCAGCCCATCGGAGCAGGAAGAGCAGCGCAGCGTATACGTGCACGGTAGCAGCGTTCTCGCGCGCCTCTCACCGCGCGAGATGCCCGACTACGTGGTATATTCTCACCTGAGCCGGCGCGAGGGGCAAGGGGGCAAGAACCGCACGAGGATGCATGCCCTCACCACAGTTGGGCCCAAACAGCTCGCAGCGCTCGCGGAGGGTACTCCCCTTCTCGAGATGGGGAAACCTCTCGGCAAGATTGAGGACCGCGATGGCGGGAGGAGGAGGGAGTGTTGGGTGCGGATCGCGGTGAGGGATCCTCACTCGGTGGGTGAGGGTTTTCCGCTTGCGCCTTGGAAGGTGCTGCAGGTGAGGAAGGGCGGCGTGTGGGTGATTGAGAAGGTTCTTGATAGGGGGAGGTGAGGTCTCTTACTGTCCCCGTCGTATATGGGTGTAGAGAGAGTCGATAGCTGCATTAGATGGCTTGGAACGATCGAGAGTTTCGGGGATGTGTCTCTTTCTCTTCCTCTGCTGCTATCCCGAACGTCCCTTCGAGTTCGTTGGCGGAATAGCACCTCGTATAGTCCCGGAGACGACCAGCCCGCAAGATCTTGACACCTCCGCGTTCCATCCCCCCGTTCTCTTCCCTTCGAGCAAGACGTGATAGCTGTATCGAATGGCTTGGAAGGATGGAGATCTTTGGGGATGTATCTCTTTCTCTCCCACAGTGCTGAACGTCCCCTCCCCTCCATCAGCGGCGCCGTACCTCGTATATTCCCAGAGACCATCACTCCTCCAGATCTCACCACATCCACGTCCCATCGGCCCGTCTCACGCCCCCAAGCAAGACAAGACATGTAGGTTGCGTCGGCCCGCGTCCCAGCAGTCTGTCTCCCGGATGCGTTGGACAGGGTTCTTGAGTCGTGGGTTTGGCGGTCATTGGGTGTTTGTGCTGTTGCACTAAGGGGAGTGCGCAGTCGCGCCTGACGGTGGAATTCTATGGTCGTGATGGGAAGGGTGATGCTTGTACGTCATGACCATGGCGATGGATGAGGTGCACGAGGGTGGAGGTTTGGGTTGGTTTGAGCGTGTGGGCGGGATGTCAGGGGCGGGACTGGCGTTCGAGGGTGAAATCGACGGAGGCAGAAAAACATCAGATGAAATCCTAGAGGTTCGAATATCTGTACAGCACATATGTATCCTACCTCTTCTTCCTCCCCAGGAGTTCCGCTCTCCTCTGCTTAGCCAACTCCCATCGATGCCAGCCCGCATCCTCCAAACTCTCATTGACGACCAAATCCCGAAACCTCAGCCACTTCAAGGGCGGCACCTCAAGCAACTGATCCACAAACCCATGTCTCCTCGCAATACTCGTAACCACAAACCAACCCACCGCGCATGTCACTCCAGCAGCAACGCCCACATACACCTGTCGAGGCGTATGATAGTTAAGGTATATTCTGCTCTGGGCAACGGCTGCTGCGCCAATGAAGGAGAGAACTGCGAGACCAAGGCGTTGCCATAGGGGTGTGGGGATGTGAGTGTTGGAGGCGTGAGGGTGGTTGTGGGGGTCGTGGCGGAGGAGGATGAAGAGGGTTAGGAAGGTCGAGAAGAAGGCGACGAATTGGGCGTGGGAGGAGGGCATGCCGTAGCCTTTGCCTAGCATTTCTATGGGACCGAAGTTTACTTGTTAGCCTACGTCTACCTCTATCCTGTGCTTCGAAGGGCATGACCACAAAACGGTCCTGGGAAAGTGCTTCCACGTACGAGTCGGTCTCTCTTCCTTGATATATCTCTTCAACAACCAATTCAACGCCTCACAGCCCATCTGTCCCGCGAACATGAGCAGGATCTCTACCTCTCGCGTGCCCCATATCAGCGAGACGTAGGCGATGACGAGGGCTTGTGGAACCAATGCGAGGTGGGCGGAGATGTAGGAGAGAATATCGTTGGGATCGTAGCGCACGTGAGTCAGAGAAAGCGAGGCCAGCGGTGGTGCGTCCATACCGAGGGCGGTGTCCGAAGACGGAAAGAGCGGGAAGGGAGAGAGGTGAGTGAATGAATGACTGGGGGTGGAGCGGCAGGAGCATGTGAACTTCCGCGGGGAATAAAGTTGGAGCTAGTGATCGGCTCGGGTTTGGCCGCACGTCATTGGACAGTCAGTCACTTCGAGGACACTTCATCGCCACAGCTTCGTCTTCTTGTTGACACATTTTCCACGGCCTTTCTCTGCTCAGCCAGCTCAAAAACTTCTTTGCCACTGAGACTGCTGACGTTCTTTGTAGGTACGCAGATGTCGCTTTGTTCATAGCACCCGCTTGGTCCACGCCTTTGATTAAGAGACAAAGACGCTGGTCCTGAATGTCATTGTGATATGGCAGTACTTATGTCCGCCGGACCGCCTTTCGACCTTTCGCCTTTCCTGTTGTCAGCTTTCACTTTACCCAGAATCTACGAAACACACACAGAAACACACCGAACAACGATCACCTCGCTGCCATGGAAGACGAGCGTATAGAAGAGCTGGGCTCTCTGACGGCCATCTTCCCCGAGTTGATCATCGATCCCACGAAGCCTTTCACGGCCACTCTCGAACTACCCATCACACCTACGACTCCACTGCTGGCTCGGTTCATGCCAACGGTTGCCTCCCCGACCGAGACCTACGCTGACGCTGCGACCAACGGCGCCGCCCACATCGAGAAAGATGTGCGATTGACCCAACTACCGCCACTCACATTACATCTGGACCTTCCAGAGGCCTACCCCAATGATGCGCCTCCTCAAGTCAAGCTGACGACTCAGCATGACTGGCTGCCGAAAGAGAAGCTCGCTGGACTTGAGGTGGAAGTCGCGACCTTGTGGGAGGAGTACGGACATTGTCAGATTCTCTTCTCATATATCGACTACGTCCAGCAAGCTGCCGAGCGTGGATTCGACTTCCATCAGAGTTCTGATGGCTGTCTCATCCTGCCTGCAGAGCAAGAGTCGAAGCTGGTTGCTTTCGCAATACAGAAAGAGCAGGAGACTTTCAACAAGGGCACCTATGACTGCGGGATCTGTCTTGAGCCCAAGAAAGGTTCGGCTTGCTATCGTATGAAGCGCTGCGGTCATGTTTTTTGCAGACTCTGCCTGCAAGACTTCTACAACAACGCAATCACGGAGGGCAACGTCACTGGCGTGGCATGTCTCGATCCTGACTGTGGCGCTCTTGACGCAGATGGGCGAAGAATGCGAGTGAAGAAGCATCGCCTTGTTCACCCTCGTGAGCTTCTCGCCATGGGCATCGAGGAGAGCACGGTAAGGAGATACGTCGAGATGAAGCGCAAGAAGAAGCTGGAGTCCGACAAGACCACCGTCTACTGCCCAAGAACCTGGTGCAATGGCCCGGCCAAGAGCGACAAGTATCCACCCATCCCCGCAGATCTGACCACGTACGTGGACAATGAGATTTCAGATGACTCGGATGACGCGCCCGACAACAATGACGCGCCTGCGAACTCTCAGGACTCCAAGAAGGCCATCGACCTCGCTGACAGACTCGCCGTGTGTGAGAAGTGCCAGCTGGCGTTCTGTCGCGTTTGTTATCATGGCTGGCATGGCCAGTACGTTCGCTGCTATCCGAGGAACCCCGATGAGCTCAGCGCCGAGGAGAGGGCCAGCTACGACTACATTGCCAAGCACACATCACCCTGCTCGTACTGCAACGCTCCTACGAGCAAGACGCACGGATGTAATCACATGCACTGCACGCAGTGTTCTACTCACTTTTGCTACCTCTGTGGCTTCTATCTGGATCCTCAAAATCCCTACTTGCACTTCAACACAGCTGGAACTACTTGTTACCAGCGTTTGTGGGAGCTTGAAGAGGGGGACGATGGACAAGCGCCTAGAGATGGTCAAGGGTTCCTTGGTCCCAGACATTGGGAGCAGGAGGCTGCAGAGGCTGATGCGTGAGTCTAATACAACGTGACTGAAACCTGATCATTCTGACAATGCCACAGTGCTGAAGCCGAAGCGGCAGCCGCTCAAGCACAAGCAGAAGAAAACAATCGCATTCTATTCCCTGACGTTCCAGAACCACCCCACAATGACATGCCCATAATGGTAGCAATGGCACAATTTGACTGGCTTGATCTCACAGATGAAGAAGACGAGCCGCCCAGGAATGCTCGACAACGAGGCGCACGGCGGCAACGAAACGCATTTCCTCAAAACGCTCCTGCTCGTGGTGGTGCGCAAGCGGTACGGAACCATGAGCGCGGGAGAGGTGGTGGTCGAGGTCGCGGCGGTCAGGCTGGAGGCGGCAATCGTCAGGACTTGGAGCAGAGACGGCAAGCGGAGCTGCAACGATTTCTAGCCTTGGCCGAGCGCGATGAAGAGGAGGGGTGGGACTCGGACGAGTTGGGAAATGATGATGAGGATTTCATCATTCCGAGGAGGTAGGAGAAGTATCACCGTTCAGTGCTTTGTCTGAGATACCCAGAAATCGAATCAGTATTGATATGACAGCCATTGTTCTTGATTTCGTAGATGTCTTCCATTTCGCTTGCTAAGGTTGTTTCTGCTCGCTAAGTGAGGCTGTGCCATCGTCCTGAGGCAGCGAATCCTTCACGTTGAGAGGCCACACAACAGACTTCGCTTCTTCTTCTTTCGTCACCTCGGATTTCTTCCTTGACAATCGACAACATCGTGAGAGCGATAGTTCTTGTTGTAAAGCAATGAGCAACAAAGCCCTCCAAGAACCCGCAATCCTGCACCTCATCTTCCTCTCCCTCGACCAAGAAGATCTCATCCAAACGCAAAAAGTTTGTCAAACATGGCGAAGAACAATCCTCACAAGCAGGACTTTCCTACAAGTCCTCTCCCTCCGCCCTAGACCCGCACATTTCATTGGAACACAAGACCCCTCAACAATCGATCCCCTCCTCTCGAGCATCTTCGCATCTTTCCTGTCATGGGGCCCTGCCTCCTGGGACGGCTATCGAGGGAACGCAGGGCCGTGGGTGTGGCCCGCCGAGAGGAACTGGACGTCTGATTTGTCTCAGTACAAGAAATTCACCCACCCCGAAGCGAGCTGGCGAAGGATGTTACCTTGGAATGATCCGCCTCCTACACAATTACAGGTCCATGCGGAGGGGAAGGAGGGAGGCACGATTTCAAGGATGGAGTTTGATAATGAGAGTAATTGGTTGACGATGGGGTTGTTGTGGGATGTGGTGGAGAATTGCTGGTTTCGCGGGGATCCTTGGTGGGTGAAACGGGTGGAGATCGAGGCGCCTGGGAGGGAGAGGTGGAGGTATGGTGGGAGTTCTACCCTCCCTGTCGGAGCGAAGGTTCCTGAAGAAGTAAGGAAGTCTGTGGCGAGGAGACCTGGGAGGGTGAATCTCAATATGACTATTGATGAGCGGTCGGTTGGGGAGAGGAGGGAGGCGAGAGAGAAGGCTGTCAAGGAACGTTTGGATAGTGTGAGGAGGATCGAGAGGCAGTGGTTTAGGCCTTGTGGGACGAGACCGAGGAGGATGACGGCTTGTGATAGGCATGTTTTTACGGATGAGTGGAGGGCTGAAGGGGGGAAGGCGTTTGGGGACGTTGAGTGGGATGAGGTTTGGGGGTATGAGATTGAGAGGGAGGAGGAAGAGGAGATGGTTGTGAATGTGCCGAGAGTGTCGAGGAGGAAGAAATTTTTAGGGGTTTTGTTACGTCGGTAGTGATCGTCTGGATCCATAATGCATACTTCATCTGTTTTAAACAGCATAAGCCGGCGGCGCAGCAGCCTCAACACCGTTCCCAGCAACACCACCCCCAACAACCCTCTCAAACGCCTCCGCCCGAATCCTCTGCAACTCCCCTCTCACCTTCTCCAACTCCCCTACAGCCCCCTGCACCCTCTGATCCGCATACCCAACCCTCTGCCTCTGCTCCCCAATCTGCTGCTTCAACTGCTGCAACGCCTGCACCATCTGCGCCTCGGACTGCTGGATCCTCTCATGCTGTGCCATATCCGTGAAGATGTTGTCGAAGAGGACGTCGCTGAACATGTGGCCTTGGTCGATCGTAATATCGCTGAGGGGTTTGATGGATGGTTGGAGGTGTTGAGCGGCGTCCATGTGTCTAATCACGCTGTGCATGTTGTTCTGCGCTTTGGAGAGGGCTGTTCACGGCGTTAGCCATTGAGTGCTGCTTTCTCACAAGTCAGTCTTACCATCGCGCTCCATCATGTCGGTAAAGGTACCGCCTCCAAACTACAACAAGTCACAAACATTAGCATACCCCCCCAAAAACCCGGGGAAAATCTTCATAAAGAACTCACCATATCCCTCGTCGACCTTCTAAGCGCATCCTGAATATCCCCATACCCAGCCTTGAGAGCCTGCTCCGCCCTCTCCAGCGCCTGGGCAGCTTGCTTCTCCCGTCCCAACTGCTCCTGGCATCCCTCGAAATGCGCTTTGCACCTCCCTACACTCTCCTCCGCCCCATCCTCCCCACTCACATCCGGCGTTGGCCCCGCGAAAATCCCTTCATACAACTCATCTAACGCCTTCTGCGCCTTGGCATGCCTCTCCGCGTCCTTTTGAAGCTGAGCTTCCTGGTTCTCAGCATTCGCCAACGCAGTCGCGAGCTCCTCCCGGGATTCCTTGGCCGAGCGTTCAGATTGCCACGCGGCGAGGAACTCTTTCTCTTCCTTTTCTTGACGGGAGGCGAATTTATCCTGGCCCTTGCTGCCGCCGAGTTTGAAGGCGTAGCGTTTCAAGGTCGAGTCGCGGTATTTGATGTGGTCCTAACAACATCATCAAGCTTTAGTCTTTGAAGCCTGGGATGGGTTTGGTCTGGTTGGGCGAAGGGGGTGATTGAATTTACCTTTCGCTCATCTTCGGTGATGGCGTGGAGACGGGCGAGTTCTTTGTCGGTGCTTGTGATTTGGGATTTGAGGTCGGTGATGTAGGTTGTGTTTTGTTTGAGAGATGAGGGAGCGTGGTCTGTTGCTGTGAGTTCGGACAGCAGGGATTGATTCTTGGAGGAGGCCTCATGGAGCTTCATGGTCAGGTCAGACATTTTGAAAAGATTGATCAAGCGACTTTGACTCTGTATGCCTGTTGTTCGTGTTGGTGGAATGGGAAAAGTGACAAGTTGAAGACAAGTTGGAAAACGTACTGTACACTTGTTCTTGCTATATACCTACCTGTACACACTCCAGTGGCACAGCAGCGAGTCCATAACGCCACAAGCCAGCTCTTTCAGCTGTGTAAAGGTACCCTTTACAGCCTCCTATGAGGTAGGAAGTGAAGTGCTAGTGGTGGAGCCGGGCCAGGATCGCTGTTAAAGCCAAGACAACTCAGCCTCAAATGCTCTCTACTTCCAATGAGCGACTGTTGCCAAGAACTTCCGGTGCCTTAGCCATGTGGCTGTTGATGATACAAGTGACGGACTTCTGTGCTGGATTCTTGCGATCTGCAAGCACTCCGCGGGGCCTCATTATTCCTCGAGGAGTGACGACCTACGGGCGAAACGCTCTGTTGCGATGTAACGTCACGTTCGCTATCGTCTTTCAAGGCCTTCATCCCCAGTGATCGTCGTCGGCTATGTCGTCCATTTCGCGCACGTTGGACTGATCTTCTCCCGCTGGAGCCTCGTTGGTGTCTGGTGTCACTTCCATCTTGACATCCTGGCTTCCGTTGGCGCTCTCGGTATACCACGACAACTCGGCCTTGCCAGCCAGAGGAAAATTCGACGACGAAGCAGCGTTCATGAAGTTCTCACCCAGATAGCGCTCTGGAAATGCCACCAGTGCCGCAGCCTGCTTGTGAGGGTGCTTGGTGAGGGTAGCTGACTCTGATCCGTTAAACAGGAGCCACTGCCGCAATGCCTCGTCGTGGTCGTTGTAGGTACCTTCCGAAAATGTGACAGCCACGGTCTTTGGTCGGTTATCCAAACGCATCACAGCACCACCTCTTGCACCGCCCCAGCCGCCTCTGAAGGAAGGATTGAACCCACCTCTGCCTCTGCCACGAGGTCGACCTCTCCAACCACCTCTACCGCGAGGTACATAGCTTGGGTAGCTGTCGAAGCTAATCGTTGCTGCATCCGGATCAATGCCCAAGCTCATGGCTTCTGCCTCGAGTTTTGCAAGCTGCTCTTTGAGAGCTTTTGTCTGTTCGTTGTCCTCCGAGCCATTGGCTGCTGGCGTGGGTGAAGCGGCCTTTTTGCCAGCCTTCTTCGCTATTGCATCTGCCATCTTCTTGCGCTCCGCCTCGATCGCTCTCATCTTCGCATCAAGTTCTTCCTTCTGTTTATCTGCTGCTTCAAGCTGCTTCTTGTGTTCATCGTATTTCCGCTGTGCCTCCTCTTGCTTCTTGGCAAGCTCCTCTGGGTCAATATGAGGCTCCTCATCTTGCATGTCAACATCTCCACCGTTCTGCTTCCACGAGCCATTGTTCGGTGTCGCGCTCTGGGTCTTCGTGAAATTCTCTGGCTTGTACCAATAGACTTTGACGAACCGGTTGTCGAAGATCACATTTGGACTTTCATATGCAGCTTTGGCGGCGTCGTAGGTATCATACTTGACGATTGCCAGCCGCTGGTATGGCTGCATGGTGACCTCTTCGATGTTGCCGAACTCTCCGAAAAAATCGCGCACAATCTGTTCGTCGAACTTATCCTCTGGTATTGACTCGACGACAACCGCAGTTATTGATTTGTCCTTGTTCTGACCCAGCATAGAGAAGTCTGCGCGCTTGTTTCCGCCGCGATAGTTGTTGCCGCCTCGTCCCCGCTGTCCTCCCCGACCCCGGCGTCCCGGTGATGTCTCGACTGTACCTGTCCGTGTTGGTTGAACGTTCAACAGTGCGGCGTGGTTTGGGTCGTACTGATCATTGCCAGGCACAACGTAGCGATCGTTGCCGTGCTCGAACGGGCATTGCGCTCCTCTCGCGCAGAAGCCTTTCGTGTCGTAATCTCTGCATCGCTCAGTCTGAGCTTGGGGTTGGGGGTATCCTGGCATCCCAGTCATTGCAGCAAACTGAGCCATCATCGATGCCACTGGATTGTTCGGATCGAACGCTGGAATTCCAGGTGGCGGTGTGGGCATTGGAGGAAATGCTGCCTGGGGCGCGCCTCCATACTGATTCTGTCTTCCACCTCGATGCTCGAAGGCTCCTCCTCTTCCACCACCTCGACCTCTACGCGGCTGCTTGACCGGCCGATCTCCACCTTGGTACGACGGGATCTGGCCGTTTTGCGATTCGTCGCGATCCCAGTCATGATAAGAGCGTTTGCGCGACTCGGTGTGTGGGTTCGGTGGCTCGAGGCTCGTTCGGCGGGGCGGTTGATACGTGGGCGCGGGTGCCTTCAGCGCAGGCTTGGATGGGTCGTAGGCTTTGGTCTTGATGGCAGTGAAGACATCGTCCACGAACTTCTGAGACGTGTCGCCGAGGAAGTCTTGCAAGTTCTCAACACAGCTCGCCTTCGCTACCGGCTCTGGGTCGTCGGTCTTGACGAGAGCCAGGACATAGTCGGCCAAAACATCCGAGTCGGCATCACTGACGTCCTCCAACTTCTTCACAATCCACTGCTTCAGTAGCTCCGAGTCGGCCTCGTCGAATAGCATATTGGCAAGGCGATCGCGCTCATATCATGCGCGAGGTGTGGATGAATAGTGTGTGTTTCTGTGGGAGGTGTTTGAGGTCGACTGTTTCAAGCTGCAAATAAGCTTTGGTTCCCGGACTGAGGTCCGCCGGGAATCTCCACTCCACGCGAATGACATGTGACAGATGCGTCCAACATTCACTTACACCCTCGCCCCCGTTGCCCGCGAAAGAACCTAGAGCGTGTGGCTGTTCCTGGAGACTTGGCTATGTGACCAAGATGATGCTGCTCCCGCTGAAGCCTACGCGCAGACACGATGAGCGCCCTACAATCCCAGCCGCTCAGCGCCGGCGGCCAGTTCAACTGGGTCTTCCTGATTGAGATCCTGGTCGTGGGCATCCTCGGCCTGTTCTTCCTCTTCTACTTCAATCGCCTGTTCGCTACCCTGGTGTCCTATGGCATTCGAATCTACACCTGGAACAAATACAAGGCTTACATCGACATTGGAGCACTACAGATCAGTTTACTGGGAGGGCGGCTGTTCTTCAAGAACATCCGATATCATGCTCACAATGTAACGGTCTTCGTATACGAAGGACACGTTACGTGGCGATACTGGCTTCGTTTGGTTCAAGAGGCAGAAGTGTTCCAAGACGATGAGGGCGTTGAGAGGTCCAGCGGACGAGATTCAAGCATCTCGGGCAGTGACAAGGAGGGAAAGGATATCAACGAGGGCGAAAAGAGCAAGGAAGGTTCGAATGAAAAGCCTAGAGCAAGGGCACGAAGTCTTGGTAAAGAGGAAAAGGCTGGAGGGAAGCCAAAGAAGGAGCTGCCATGCCGTATATCTGTGACAGTGTCTGGTGTGGAAGCGTTCATCTACAATCGGAGCCCTGTCTATGATGCTGTGGTGGAAGCTACAACAAGTCAGGCTAGGGAGGCGGCTAAAGCTGGCGAGAATACTGCGCAGCCTACAAAGAGCCCGACATCCTCTTCCCAAGGAAGCAGTGCCGACGAAGTGAAGTTTGGTGCCCGACCAGAACGAATGGAGACCTACAACACTGGTGCGAGTGGCCCTCCGACCGAGAAACCTGAAGTCCCATCTTTTCTGCACATCTTCCCCATCAAGATCGAATGTAAACGCGCAGCAGCAGCTCTTGGGAATGAGAACACGAAGAACGTCATCACCGCCAAAACCGAGAGATCCGTGGGTACTGTTGACGCCGGACATGCCGGGCCTTTAGATCTGTGGAAATTGCTCTTCAACTTCGAGATTCAGAAGGTCACGGTAGCCATGAAGCCCAATCGCGATTTCAAAGAGCAGCAGCTGGATGCCGCGCGGCGCATTCTGAAGGAAAGAGAGCAGGAATTAGAAGAAATGAAACCACCACTGCGCGAAACGACTGAGAAGGCGCAGACTTTCTTGAGCCGTATCTTGCGGTTCTTTCGTCGACGAGGCAGCTCTACTGAATCCCTTCGCACTGCTTCGCTAAAGTCGAGGTCCAAGTCGGTCATTGGACAACCAGGGGGTAGTCCACCGTTGGACCAACTACCCGGCCAGGGTCAGTGGCATGGCTTAATGCGCTATCTGGATGATGGTGAGATTAATGATCATGAAGAGTGGCAAGACGTAGAATATGCCAAGTCATCCGAGCTTGTGAACTGTGACAAGATCACGATGCGCTTCTATTGGGATATGCCGGGGCCGGTGCCAAATGGATTCGCCGACAATGATACCCTTTTGGGCTCTCAACACGATGACGATATCAATGGCACGGTACCACCGGACTACGGCATGGACTTGGGCATATATGGTGGTTATGTCGTCTATGGACCTTGGGCGGACAGACAGCGCCTCAATCTTCAGCCGATCTTCGTGCCGGCGACGTATGTCGATGCTACTCCAGCAAATCCGCTCAAGCCTGGGGAAGTGCGCGTCTGCACTGTCTTCAAGATCAAGGTCATCGTCGAGGACGATGTGGTCCTGCGGATTCCAGCCCGTGAAGAGTCAAAAGACACCAAGTGGAAAGGGCGCGCCGAAAAAGCTAATCCGTCCGCAAGCAATGGCAACGATGCCACTCAGGGAAAAGGCGGACACTGGAGAAGGCGTCGACATCACATGCGCGGAAAAGCTAACAAGAAGGGCACTGCCACCGTGGATGCTCGACCATACGGTTGGATCGACATCACTGTCAAGAAAGACTCGGTGGTGAACTTCAACATGGACATGTATGCACGTCCTACTGGCTACCGCAACACCCTGGACCTGGACGTGAAAGGTGTCGAGATGTCCAGTAGCGTCAACCATGGCCTTCTCTGGAAGTCTGGCCCGTTAGTCCTGGACGCGGACATCTCGCAGCCTTGCACTTGGAACAGTCTGAGGAAGTGGCCTTTCAACGTCGTCATAAACGATATGGAACTGTTCATTCTTCGTGATCACCTTTTCTTGATCATCGACCTCGTCAACGACTGGGCGTCTGGAGCGCCATCCGACTTCTACACCTTTGTACCATACAACTATCAGCTGGACCTGACCTTCAAGAACTTTATAATGTACCTTAATGTGAACGACGCCAACATCATCAATGACCCCGCCGACTTTGTTCGCAACGACTATCTCACGATCGAGGGACAACTGCATGCTATCCTTGGTATCCCAATGGAAAATTACCGACCATCCCGCAATCAGATCTCGTTCGATGTCCTAGCGCAGGATTTGAAGATGAGAATGATCAGTCCTCCTAGGAGCACCTTCAGTGCTTTCGTCGAGGACAAGGTGATGGCTGAGCTGCCCAAGCTCACTCTGAACGGATCATACAATGCCAACCAGGAGATTCGGGTTGGCAATGTCGATGTTCTCCGAATGGACATCGTCGGTACAGGCCTGTCACTGAAGGCTTACGGCTTTTTCGTCCGCCAGCTGGTGAGCATCAAGGAGAATTACTTCGGCGACTACATGCATTTCAAAACTCTCGAAGAGTTCCAGGCGGCCAGTGATGATCTGGAAGAAGCAAATGCAAAGACTGCAAGTTTCCCGAAACCGACATCCATCAACGAGCTGGACGTCATCTTGTGCATTGTTGCCGAGGACGCCACCGTCATGTTTCCCACAAACATGTACTCGTGCAAAGAATTTGTTCGGGCTGAGTTACCTCGTGCTGATCTCGACTTGCGGATTGTCAGCTACTACCTTGATATGGGTCTGCAGCTGTCGCCGTTGAGCTTTTTGACAGGCTCTTCAGCGCCGGATGAGGACGACGTGCCAGGAGAATCGCCCACCCAATTCTTCGTCAAACATGTCGACTTGAATGGCCATCGCTCATTCGGTCTGCCACCCAACGAAGAAGCATACGTGAGCCAGTGGGATATCGACGTTGGCAAGATCACTGGAGAGCTTTCGAGTCAGTTCGTACGAGACCTTGCATTGGCTGGGCGAGCATTTGCATTCACTATCGGTGATGTGGAGAATGCTCTTCCAGTCCATTCGCCTGCCATTGCCCTCGATGCATCATTCGTACAGGTGCGCACTGATACCGTACGGCTTTGGATGCACGTTGGAAAAGATGCTCTGTTGCTTGACCTCGAGCCGGTGAAAGTCGAGACCAATGACTGGGCAAGTGCGATGTTCTCCCAGCGGGTCACCGTCCTTGCGCCGCTGATTACCGTCGCATGCGCGGACGGTAGGAGTGCGTCGCGACATAGAGCACGCAGCTGGCGAAAGGATCCTGTTCGAACATATGCCTTCCTGCAGACTGGTGTGTCGTTGGATGTGGTAATTCGCAAAGCACATTTCGATCGGGAGACGAGAAGACAGCAAGCCCACTTTCGACTGCACGATCAGCGTACAGGCAGGTTCCCTTTTCTCATACGGCCCGACATTGATGCTCCCATTGACCCTGAAGATGACATCCACTTCGAACCTCCGGCATCACAGTACCCGTACCCACCGCCTCCATTGACGCGGACAAGTGGCGTCCGACGGCAGGCTTCGGTGAAATCAATATCGAGTGTTCCCAGAGGGCGGCGCTTACTCTCCAAGAGCTCGTCATCGTCTCTCTCAGCCTCAGTCAAGAGTGGGCGTGCCGCGATTGTTGGCAAACCTCGTCCTGTGTTCTTGTCTTGCCCGACTGAGAAGACGGAGAGCTCGTCCTCATTTTACAGTCCAGCAGCGCCCGGCAGTCGATCAACAAGCCCTGACTCTACGCGCGAGAAGCCTCACAACAGGCTGACGAATGACGCCGAGCGAGCCAAGTTTGGCCTCCCCTCTTCCACCATGGCCTTCTCAAGTCCCTACTCGGAGCCCTACTTTCCCTTGGAGCTGGTCGAGCCGGACGAGACGAACGTGCCTCCTTTTTGTGCTGTTGAAGACAAGGACGGGACTCAATCTGAGACTTCGTCAATATCAGATGTTATACTGGATCCAGATATCGATCCTGACGCGGAACATGTCACGGTCATGATCAAGATTGTACCTGGCATACGTGGTTATGTGGAGCCTCGGGCAGCCATCACAGCGTCGAAACTGATCCGCAAAGTGGCACCAAAACATCCTAACGAAGTGATGGATGCTTTCCAAATGAGCGTCATTGGAGCGATTTTGAGCCAGCAGGCTGCCAAAAGTGCCAAAAGCAAGATCGTGGAGATCCAGGCCAGTCTGGCAGCCGCCCATCTGCGCGTCGTGGCCCTCGACGAGAAGAAAGATGAAATCGCAGATCAGATCGATCTGAAGATGAAGTCTCTGGAGACATTTGTGAGAATCCGCACAGAGCCTTCTGATATCGGCGTGCATCAGTTACTGGCTTTGCACACAATGCTGGCAGGGCTTGATGTTTGTTTACGAGAACGTCAAGATGGCGTCCTCGCAAAACCGGCAGTAGGACTCGGCGTTGACGATGTGCTGGTCTGGCTAGCGCTCACCAGCACCAATGCTTTCCATATATCGTTCCGCGACACATCCTTGGCGGTTTCTGGAGAGCAAACGAGATACCTCAGCCTGCTCGCCCTGAAGCTTATACCTGTGATAACCGACATCAAGTCACGTTTCGAAGAGGTCCTTGCCAACGACTTGAAACGTATTCAGTACCTGGTCTACGTCCTCACCCACAACGGACAAGATGTCGGGGACCCTCCTTTCCTGACCCGGCTTTTGTTTGTTTTGCGCGCCTATCCAGGACATGTCCGTAACACGGACTCGTGGAATATTCTGGCGCGGTTCCGATACATATTGCAGAGTTTGTCACCAGATGTCTTAGCGGACCTCACGGCCGTGATCAAGCAGACCCATCCAAAATGCCCAGAGGATGCTCCCCGTCGAGTGCTAGACAGCTGGGCGCATTGGCAGAGCTGGGACGTCCACATCAACCAGACCATGGTGTTCAAGATGCTCTTCAGCCCCGAGGATATCAAGACAATGGACCCCTATCAAGCCAAAGCGACCACTTTGACATTCAGGTCCGAGTCTTTCAGAATCGCTCTTGAGCACGCGAAAGGAAGCAGTGACATCGTGCTGGAGGAGACTACGCTAGGCGTAGAGAACACCCCTCCCAAGAAGCCCGAGGGTCTGATGCTTGTCGAAGAGAACACGAGGACGAGAACTGCGCTGCAGATGCACACGAGTACGATCGCCTTTCTGCTCGACTGGGGCCTATTCCACATTGCAGAAGATGTTATAGCCCTGAAAGATCGCATTGACGACATCGCTGCTTCGCTTGAGAGCAAGCGAAAACGGACCGCCGGCCAGGCATTGGAGGACGGACTTTCCCGGCATGACATTCACGCCACGCTCTCGACTGATACTGGTAGTGTCACACTGCAGAGCATCAATCTCCGCCATGTATCTCGCGCAGATGGATTGAAGATGACCGTGATTGGAACGAATCAAGCGCAGCATGAGACGATCGGCCAGGCGGTCAGCGCCACTCTCAACTTTGACACTGCCATCACCGAGCTGCACGGTCCCACAGCGCCCATATGGCAGACGTTGCTTACCTCGCCAAGTCTGTACGTCGATCACATCCTCCCTGCGGATGGCCTCCAGATACCACCGACTGTGACGGTTGCGGTCGCATACGATGCACTGCAGATCATCATCAGTGAACAAGTCCCTGGGATTCTCCACATTGTCGATTCGGTGATTTTGGATGAGGTTGCAAAGTGTCAGCGCCTGGCTGAGATGGCACAAGGACCACCACTGCCAGCATCTCCCCCTCTCAGTCGGACTACTGATACTACAACAGTCTCCCGAGCCAGCACCGGAGCATCTCTGCCTCCCAAACTTCATGTGGCTGTCTTGTCCGGCAAGCTGCATCTGGAGGTCTCTTTGCTGTCAACACTTAGCTTTCTGCTTGAAGGAAACGGCGCCAGCGTTCGCGTTGCACCGAGCCTGACCAAAGACAGGATTTTCAGCATCGACTTCGATGTGGGCGTCCAGCATCATGCTTTTGTGAACACTTCTGCCAATGAGAGACATGTCCAGGGACTTTTGGAGGTGCCACCCATCAACGGACACGTTGGGTTGGAAATCGGCATTGATGAAACAGATGTCGCTGTGGCTACGACCATCGAGAAGATTGAGGTCGATGCAGCCGCAATTCAAGGTGTTCTGGGCGTTCTCAACCGGCCTGAAGTCCAGAACGTCATCACTGCCATCAAAGGTGGCGTTGAAGATATTAGAGGTCATGTGGTGGTCTTGTTTCCTGAAGATCACACGCCGAAGCCAAAGCCAGACCCCAAGAAGCAACAGCGTGTTGCTTACGACGTTCGATTTGCATTGCTGGGAGTCAGAGTCTCTGCGAGCACTCCTCGAGTTCTGGGACGCTCCACAGCCGAAGTCGAGTTTGGAATTGGGCCGTTGCATGCCACTGCCTCGAATCGTGCTGCCCCTGAGGAGATCATCCCCGACGTTCGAGCTCTTGTGCAAGACATCGGTGCGAGCCTCAAGATCAAGGAGAATGGCAAGTTACGTCCTTGTGGAAATGCAATCATGAGCATCAGGTTGGACTTCAGCAACCACAAGGGCGACAATGGTGACATGGTTAGGGAGCTGAACCTGTGGAGTAAAGGCGTCGACGTGAATGCCTACCCAGACACTGCTTCTACGGTTGTCGACGTTATCAACCATCTACAAGACAGGATCAAGCATCTGGATCTCTCCAAGGAAGTCGACTACCTTCGCCGCATCCGTGACGAGCGTAGACAGACTGTCATTCAGAAAATGAGCGGCAAGGAAAGCTGGACGGAAGACGATGAGCTACCCTTCTCTCCGGAAGACCTACTCTCAATCAAGACGACAATAGAGATCACCGACATTCAAGCTGCATGGATCGTCGACAGATCATTTGCAGCCAACAGGAACGCGCCCGTCGATGATTTGGTCTTCTCCATTGACAGCGTCGAATTCACCACTCGCGGCGGCAACGAAGCTCGGCTGACGATCACGGAGGTGCAGCTGCAACTTGCTAAGAAGAAGGATGCCAAGCTGTCGCGCTCTTTGAATTCAGCATTGCTTCCTGAGGTGGGCTTTAGCGTGGGCTACTGGAAGACGGGCAGATATCGCAGTCTGACGTTCAAGGCTACTGGCAAGCCGCTCGACCTTCGCCTTGAGTCGAGATTCATCTTGCCGGTCAATGCCGTACAGAGGTCGATTGAACTTGCGATTGCACAGTTTAAGAAGGGCACTGAGACATGGCAGAGTACGCCCACATCCACAGGAGCGCCAAGATCGACGATGAAGTTTGACACGAAACACATTGGATCTCTCCTTGTCGAGGCGGACTTCGCCGGCGCTCAGGTCTACATGCAAGGATCTGGTCGCCGCGAGCGCAGAGCGAGCCTGGCCACAGTGGCGACAGCTTCCCAGCAACATGGCAGCCAGCATGGGCGCTACGGCCAGTTTGCAGCTGACGGTGCGCTCATGCATACGACTTTAACTGCTCCTGGGATTGGTTTCAAACTTGAGTACAACGCAAGCGAGACGCAACCGACGGTCAATGCAGAGCTGATGATTGACGCATCGTCAAATATGCTCTTGCCGAATGTCGTCCCATTGATGCTCGAAGTATCGAATAGTGTGAAGGAGCTGGTGCGAAATCAGAAGGACGACAAAGCACCCATCAAGCAGGTTTCTGTGCCAGAGGCTGCGAAGCCTGCGCAAAAGTTCTTCGAGGATGACTCCATCATCACTGCCACACCAGCTAAGATTTTTGGCAAGACGAAAGTTGATCTTGGTTTCCGCATCGCCAAGCAAGAGTTCGGCCTGAGCTGTCAGCCCATAGCAAGAGTTGATGCGAAAGCAACGCTTGAAGACTTCTACGTCACGATGAACACGATCGACTCGGACGAGCATGGCCACTTTTTCGCGGCGTCCGCCGTTATGACTGGACTTCGAGCGCAGGTCAAGCATGTCTACTCGCGCGAGCCTACTTTCAGCTACGACATGGACTCAATTGTGCTGTCTGCGATGAACAACAAGCATCTGAGCGGCACTCCAGGTGTTTCGGCTATTCTGAACATCAACCCGACTCGAATCTTGATCAACGGCAAGCAGTTCCAAGATCTACTTCTTTTCAGGGAGATCTGGCTTCCACCTGAGATTAGAAATGCTGCGGCTGCGGCGGGTCCAGCTCCATCGGCAGTACCATCCACGAGACCGGACGACTTTCTCGTGCAGCGGTATCAGACCGTGGCGGCCGCTGCTGCGTTCCCTTGGAATGCTACAGTCTCGATTACGAAGCTTGCTGTTGATCTGGATCTTGGTCAGAGCATTGGAAAGTCATCGTTCACGATCACCAATTTATGGGCTTCACAGCAGAAGTCGTCGAACTGGGAGCAAAATCTCTGCATCGGCATGGATGAAATGGCTATCAACAGTACTGGCCGTATGAGTGGCTTCATTCAACTAGGCAGGCTTGGCGTCAGGACCTCGATCAAGTGGCCTGAAGGGTCGAGCCAGAGTTCAACGCGCAAGACGCCGCTGATTCAGGCTTCACTTGGATTCCAGAGACTACGAGCCAAGGCTGCTTTCGATTACCAAGCGTTTGCGTTCGGTGATATCGAGAGTTTCGACTTCCTAATGTACAATGTCCGCGATTCATCAGGAAAGTCAGACCGCCTTGTGGCTGTGCTTGACTGCGAGAAGGCTTATGTGTTCTGCACGTCGACGAGCCCTGCGCAGGCTGTTGGGCTGTATCAGGCGTTCGATCGCCTGATTCAAGAGAAGCAGACGGCATACGTCCAGTCATTGCGAGACATTGAGAAGCACATGCGGCGCGAGAGTACTGTCGTGCCGACGAGATTTGGACCTCCGATACCGAACTCTCCCGTCAAGACCAAAGAGGATAAGCGGAGCCCCATATCGCTGCACACAGATGTTGTCGTTACGATGGGTGCTATCTGCTTTGGTGTCTACCCGAGCACGTTCTTTGATAGCCAGATGTTGAAGCTTGAGGCCAACAACATCCAAGCTCGATTCGCCGTAGGGCTCGAAAGGGGCAAGATTACGAGTGGCCTTGGTATGACGCTTGGGCAGCTTCAAGTTGGCTTGTCTCAAGCTCGCCGAGTGACCGCCGTTCCCAAGGCCCTGGAGGTGACGGTCGACGAAGTTATCAATAGCGCCATCAACGCCAAAGGCGGCACGATCCTTCGCGTACCCAAAGTCATCGCATCTATGCAGACATGGCAGTCTCCGGACAACAACAACGTCGACTACATCTTCAAATCCCTCTTCGACGGCAAAATCGACGTCGGCTGGAACCTCTCCCGCATCAACTTCATCAAAGGCATGTGGACCTCCCACTCCCGCGCGCTCGCCTCCCGCCTAGGAAAATCTCTGCCCGAGTCCGCCGTCAAAATCACCGCCACCGATGAATCCTCCTCGTCATCAAAAGACAGCACCAACGACAAGCAGGAGAAAATCACGGCGGAGATCAATCTTCCGCAGAGCAAGTACGAGTATAACCCGCTAGAGCCTCCGGTCATCGAGACGCCGCAGTTGAGGGATATGGGCGAGGCGACGCCGCCGTTGGAGTGGATTGGACTGCAGCGTGATCGGCTGCCGAATGTTACGCATCAGATTCTGATTGTGAGTTTGTTGGAGGTTTGTAGGGAGGTGGAGGATGCTTATGAGAAGATTTTGGGGAGTTCGTAAGGAGGAAGACAGGACACGGGATGTGTGAGCTTGAGAAGAACTGTTGATTTCAGCGTTTTAGCGTGGCGTTCAAGGAGGTTGTTGGGTATTTGGCATGGTAGATTGAGTGAGACGGATAGGAAAACAGGCCAAAAAGAATCGGATTTAACATGTGCTAACCCCGCCGTCTGGCATGTACGGAAATGTTCACAATACTGTTCAGCATAATAACATGTGATGTTCGAGATTCAGATGATGGTCGTGAGGCGTTGTACGGATGGGGACACCGGCTTATAGTGGTTGATAATACGATTCGAAAGACGTCTGTTTCGTCGAATCAACGGCTTAACATTTGGCCGATAGTTCATTCTCGAGTTGCTACGGTCTGTGACTCATTTTCAAATCCAAGCAATGCCTCAATCGCCACTGATACGAGCAAAGAAGGTCCGTTATCAGTGGACGAAACAGCGATGACTGTGATTGATGGTGCGAGTGAATGTTTTGCCTCGACAACGTGCGGTGGCTGACGTCGAAGAAAGTTTGACGCTAACCGCATGTGACAAGCGAGAAATGGCGGGGTCTTTCGAAGAGAAGAAGCCGCCCGCCAAAGCCCACTTCGCCAGCAGCAAATTTCGAAACCTCGACTTCACCTCTCCCACCACCTCCCAAACACACGCCTTTGACAGGTATATCCACCCACGCCATCGCCATAGTCGTCGGCACACCGTCGAGACTGACCATACCATCAGGCAGACAATACCCAGAGGTCGAAGCCGGGCACATCGAGGCCCGATCCCACACACGAACGCCCATCTTACAAATTCCCTAAAACACCCTCACCAATACCGCCAAGATGGTAAGATATCGAGGATCCTTGCGACAACTCGAGTACATGCTAACAATGGATAGGTCAACTTCACCGTCGACGAGGCACGTACCGCCAATACCTCAGAGGCGCCACGTGGGCGACCTCAACATCTTGCATAACCACTAACTCCTCTCTAGATCCGGTCCTTGATGGACAACCCAAAGAACATCCGTAACATGTCCGTCATTGCCCACGTCGACCACGGAAAGTCCACCCTCACCGACTCCCTCGTCCAGCGCGCTGGTATCATCTCAGCCAAGAACGCCGGCTCAGCGCGATTTACGGATACTCGAGCAGACGAGCAAGAGCGTGGTGTCACCATCAAGTCGACCGCCATTTCGCTGTACGGTCAGCTTCCTGACGATGAGGATCTCAAGGACATCCCGGTCAAGACCGAGAAGAACGACTTCTTGGTCAACTTGATTGACTCGCCTGGTCACGTTGACTTCTCCTCTGAGGTCACGGCCGCTCTCCGTGTCACTGACGGTGCGCTCGTCGTCGTCGACACCATTGAAGGTGTGTGCGTGCAGACCGAGACTGTCCTGCGACAGGCGCTTGGTGAGCGTATCAAGCCAGTGGTCATCATCAACAAAGTCGACCGTGCCTTGCTCGAACTCCAGCTCTCCAAGGAGGACCTGTTCCAGAACTTCTCTCGTGTCATCGAGTCCGTCAACGTCGTTATCTCCACCTACTACGACAAGGCCCTCGGTGATTGCCAGGTCTACCCAGACAAGGGCACCATCGCCTTCGGTTCCGGCCTCCACGGCTGGGCTTTCACCGTCCGTCAGTTCGCCGCCAGATACTCCAAGAAGTTCGGTGTCGACAAGAACAAGATGATGGAGCGTCTCTGGGTAAGTTTATATTCCAGGTCCTTGGGCGGATTTCACAGGACTAATTCTTGTCCCAGGGCGACTCTTTCTTCAACCCAAAGACCAAGAAGTGGACCAAGGTCGGCACTCACGAAGGCCAGACGCTCGAGCGTGCCTTCAACCAGTTCTGCTTGGACCCCATCTTCCGCATTTTCGACTCTGTGATGAACTTCAAGACCGATGACATCCCCAAGCTCCTCGAGAAGCTCGAGATCAAGCTTGTCGGTGACGAGAAGGACCTCGAGGGCAAGCAGCTCCTCAAGGTCGTCATGCGCAAGTTCTTGCCAGCCGCTGATGCGCTCATGGAGATGATGATTCTCCACCTTCCATCTCCCGCCACGGCCCAGAAGTACCGTATGGAGACTCTCTACGAGGGTCCACCAGACGATGAGTCCGCTATTGGTATCCGCGACTGCGACCCCAAGGGCCCTCTCATGCTTTACGTCTCCAAGATGGTGCCGACCTCCGACAAGGGTCGTTTCTACGCTTTCGGCCGTGTGTTCTCGGGTACCGCCCGCTCTGGTCTCAAGGTCCGCATCCAGGGACCAAACTACGTCCCAGGCAAGAAGGAAGACATGTTCATCAAGGCCATCCAGCGTACCATTCTTATGATGGGTCGCTACACCGAGCCAATCGAGGATGTGCCAGCCGGTAACATCTTGGGTCTGGTCGGTATCGATCAGTTCTTGCTCAAGTCTGGTACCCTCACCACCTCCGAGACCTCGCACAACCTCAAGGTCATGAAGTTCTCCGTCTCTCCTGTCGTGCAGCGCTCCGTCGAGGTCAAGAACGCCAACGATCTGCCTAAGCTCGTCGAAGGTCTTAAGCGTCTCTCCAAGTCGGATCCTTGCGTCCTGACCTACATCAACGAGTCTGGTGAGCACGTCGTTGCTGGTGCTGGTGAGCTCCATCTCGAAATCTGCTTGAAGGATCTCGAGGAGGACCACGCCGGTGTGCCGCTCCGTGTGTCCGACCCAGTCGTCCAGTATCGTGAGACTGTCGCCGGTGACTCCAGCATGACCGCTCTGTCCAAGTCGCCAAACAAGCACAACCGTCTCTACGTCACCGCCACCCCTCTCAGCGAGGAGGTCGCCAAGGACATTGAGAACGGCAAGATCGGCCCACGTGACGACTTCAAGGCTCGCGCCCGTATCCTCGCTGACGACCACGGCTGGGATGTCACTGACGCCCGTAAGATCTGGTGCTTCGGCCCAGACACCAACGGTGCCAACTTGCTTGTTGACCAGACCAAGGCCGTCCAGTACCTCAACGAAATCAAGGATTCCGTCGTCTCTGGTTTCCAGTGGGCCACCAAGGAAGGTCCAGTCGCTGAGGAGCCTATGCGCAGTGTCCGCTTCAACATCATGGATGTCACCCTCCACACTGACGCCATTCACCGTGGTGGTGGTCAGATCATCCCAACTGCGCGTCGTGTGCTCTACGCCGCCGCTCTCCTTGCCGACCCAGGTCTCCTCGAGCCCGTCTTCTTGGTCGAGATCCAGGTTCCAGAGCAGGCTATGGGTGGTATCTACGGTGTGCTCACCCGCCGGAGAGGTCACGTCTTCGAGGAGGCCCAGCGTCCAGGTACTCCCCTGTTCAACATCAAGGCCTACCTTCCCGTCAACGAGTCCTTCGGCTTCAACGCAGATCTCCGCTCCAACACCGGTGGCCAGGCTTTCCCCCAGTCCGTCTTCGACCACTGGGAGGTACTTCCAGGTGGCTCTGTCCTCAACAAGGACACTCCTCCCGGCAAGATTGTCGAGGACATGCGCAAGCGCAAGGGTCTCAAGCCCGAAGTTCCTGGCTACGAGAATTACTACGACAAATTGTAAACAGCAGGCCGATGCGAATGCTATTGTGGTGCACGAGAAGGCGAAGAGAAGTAGCGGGTGGAGGATGTCTTGCATTTGCGGGCGTCTACTGCAGCTAATGGCACCAGATGGGCTGCGATTGATAACTCCGCTAGAGCGCTGTGGTTCAGCAGCCACTGCCATTGACACGAAATGGAAAAATCGCAATGGGAAATGGGGAGGAATATGAGACGACTTTCATTTGTTAGTTCTTTCTCGTTTTCGAGACTTCTTGGTTGTCTGCAGGACGATAGATAGCCTGAAATGAAGTTGCAAAGAGTTTGTCTTCACCTTTTCGTTAGATTATTGTTGATGCGAGTGTTGTGAAAGAGGGGCTACCTGTTTTGTCTTTCACATCTGATACCGCCGCGCAGGGACAGGTGCCGCGTTTAATAAATACATGGCGTTGCTATGAGAGTTACTACAGTCTAAGAGTTATCTCCCCATCGGCAAGGACACCGAGATAATGATTGCAGGAGTTCAAGGCGGCTTAATGGTCGTTCGCCTGAAAGTGGAATGGCTATGTCCGTTACTCGCGAGCTCTCTGAGCAATTTGAAGGAGAAGGACGAGCTCGGTTGGTATGAGAGATCGGGGGATACGTCGAAGTGCAACGATGAAGGTGGTCAGGCTTGGGGTCAATGATGTTCTGGCTCACAATCCACTGCGCTTTCCATTTCGATGATGTGAGGGTCTGCAAGCAAACGCTGCGTGCAGACGCGCTGTTTGCTCTGAGCTGCAACACGCCGCGCCAGAGCAGCCACCTGCTTCAACGACCAACTTTCGCAGGTTGAGAAAATCGCCACCGGGCATCATGCAGAGCTGGTCATGGATGAATGATGGTCGTCCATCGAGCGTCAATTCGAACGACAACGGACGGCGTCCTCCAGGCTCCTTCAACCCAGTCTCCGGCCTCGCACCTTTCGCGCAGCATCACCCATGGTTTGGAGGACCTCCACCACTGACCGTCGCTCCCGCGCTGGGAATCGCGAACTTCGACCCCTCCCGTTCCCTAAACCCCTTCATCAACGGCTCGCTCGTGTACCGCTTCGTGTGGGGCGATCCGCTCTGCGTTCGATGCGGATATACGGGACATTTGCCCAAGCAATGCCAAGAACAGCCGCTTTCGCATGCGGAGCAGGGGCATCTTTATCAGTTGATGAGGTGGGAGCAGGAGAGGAGTAAGGTTGAGAGGGGCTTCAGTCCCAGTGTGCCAGCGTTTGGGAGTTTGGCGCCTATGGCCGAAGCTGTTTTGATGGTGGATTGGCCGAGGAGGGAGAAAGAGGAGAAGGGGTTTGATGGGAGTGCTAGATTGGTCGATGAGACGCAGATTCAGAAGGAGGAGCAGGAGCAAGTGAATGAGGAGGAGGAAGAAGGTCAGATAAGTGAAATGTGTTTTGGCACGCGGCGGGAGACGGTCGACGAAGCAACAGCATTTGGACTTGACGGAGCATCTGACTTGAATCAAGTCGACACGCAAGACGTGCAAGCGAAAGTGGACGACATTGTGAAGATGAAGGAGATGAAGTCAATGGCCATGAAGAAGAGGAGTGAAGTGAGAGGGAAGAAGGCGGATACGTCGGATGCAAAAACTCTGGCACGGGTACCTCGCACCCGGGACCTCGACTTCCAACCGCATGTGAAGGAGGCTTCGTCGACGCCTCTTGCGCCGCCAGCAACTCACACCTCCCAGCCGTCCCTTCGCGTTCAGACGCTCAAGATGGGCGCGACCAAGCGACTGTCCAACGGCGAAGCGAAAGCAGTCGGGCCTCACCCTTCGACCATCCGCGTCTCGGCACCCTACATCACCCAAGCCGCCATCGAAAAGCGCCTGCAACCTACCAATGTCGATGCGCAGGAGAGGAGTCTAGCAGAGGCTCGGGAGGACAGTATCCGGTTGCAGGGAGTGCAGTGGTTGAACAACGTCCGACGAGCACTTCAGCTACCCATCAAGACCTTCACGACCGCTTGCGTCTACTACCACAAATTCCGCCTGGCACACCCTACCATCGAGTACAGCTGGTCAGATGCTGCTGCTGCGAGTCTCTTGACTAGCTGTAAGAATGAGGATACCTTGAAGAAGAGCAGGGATATTCTGGCGGCGGCGTACAACCTGAAGCAACCCGGCAGCCATGAGCAAGTCGGTGCTGATGATCCCATCTTTGAGGCTCCCAGTAGGGTGGTGATTGGGCTGGAGCGATTGGTGCTGGAGAGTGGAGGGTTCGATTTCCGCAGCAGATCGCCCCATCATACGCTGGTCAAGATTGGCAAGAGCTTGCCGCAGAGCGAGGACTCGAAGGAGGTCGCGAAACTGGCTTGGACGATTCTCACCGACCTCCACCGCACATTCGCTCCTTTGAAGCAGACGAGCGTGACGCTGGCTCTAGCAAGCCTTGAACTGTCTGCCGACTTCAAGGCTGCAACTTCTGCCGGCAACTCATGCTCTGTGAAGGACGATCTTCAGGCTCTGGATCTCGGCAAGTGGCACAGCACCCGAGAGGAAGTCATGGAGACGCTGCTCGATGCACTCGACTTGTACACCCACAATACAGGTTCGACCATCTTGGGAACTAAGTACTCCCTGGATGATCTACTTCGAATTCGTCTTGCCTTCAACAAGGAGTGCTCGGACTCCAGCATTGCTCGCCATACTACAGTACAGCCACCACCATCACCGGATAACGCCAATGGTTCTGCCAACACTCTTCGTGTTGCGAACGGCCATCCCACACCAGTGTCACCACCCCAGCCAGGCTCACAGGCTCCGTCGCAAGCGAATGGGGTAGGTACTAGTCAGCCGGCTCCAGAAGGCGGCGGCACCCTTCGCTTCATGCTTGACCCACAGCGTGCCACGGATGAGCGCACGCAAGTCAACAGCTACTACACCGAGGAGTGGGAGGAATACGAAGAAGAGATCGAAGTTCCAATCCCTCGCAACCACTCCCGTGACCACGACCGCCGAGACCGACCACACAGCGATCGTGACCGAGACAGCCGACCACCTCGTGACTTTGAAGACAGACGTGGCACTCGTGAGGACCGAGGCTCACAACATCCTCGCGGCCCCGAGCGGGAGAGAATACGAGAGAGCTTGGCGGATCGCGAGCGAGAGGCGGAGAGAGAGCGTGCGAGGTTGAGAGACCGGGAAAGAGACCGGCGGTATGATGATCGAAGATATGATGACCGAGGAGGAGATCGCGATAGGCGGTATGATCACCGGCGTGAGCGAGATCGTGATAGTAGGGGCGGGAGGTACTATGAGGATGATCGGAGACGGGGAAGAGAGGATAGGCTGTGATGAGGGAAGGGGCTTACACTTCAGTGCTACCAGGATCGATTGGATGTACGCGAGGCACGACACGATCGCTAGGATGCGTTTTGTGGAGTGTGCGTTGCTGCTCGCCCCGTGATCGCCTTGCAGGGGGAAGACATGAGACTTGTCACCGACGATTTAATGATTGAGCAGTCAGGCAGAAGACAAGTACTTCGCAGCGAGTCAATGACTGAACTCACAGCATTCATTTCACCTCGCTATCCCTGGTATGCCTCAATGGGAGAGTACTGTACAGCTCATTAACGCAGCAGAACTGCTACTATTACAAGACCGCTGGATGTATCCCTCGAAACCCAGTCTTTCCTTCGTCGCCGTTTCCATTACCCCCGCTCGCTCTCGCAACACCGCACAAAGAGACCAAAAACACGCCAAAGCCAAAAAGCACACAGAAACAACAAAACCCGAACAAGCCCAGAAATTCAAAACAAAACATACCAATCCCACCCCATCCCATCCCCTTCTCCCAAACAATCAATCCCAATCTCCCTCCTCACTCCAAAGCCTCAACCTCCCAATCCCCATCCCTCACCCCCTCCGGCGGGCCCTCCAGCACCCCCTGCTGCACCATCAACTTCTTATACTTCCTCTGCAGCACATTCCCCGCATACACATCCCCGCCCTTCTCCCTCACCACCGCCGCCACCAACTCCCACTTCTGCGCCTCGAAGCTCGTCTCCACCTGCCGCTTCGCCAGCAACAAAAGCGGGTTGTCCTGCGGCCGCAGGTGCGTCAGGGCGGATTTCAGCCGGTTGTAGCGGTTGGGGAGGGTCGAGGGGGCGGTTTTTTCGCCGGTGAGCGCCGTGTAGCGTTGGCGGATGTGCGGCCAGTCGGAGCCGGCGTCCCGTAGCGTGAGGAGGAGTTTGTCTGGTTCGGAGCAGGCGTCGAAGGTTGTGGGGATTATGCGGCCCGGTGTGGATTTTTTGGAGGCGTTGCGGGTGTGGGTTTTCTTGGCTGGGGTGGAGGTTGAGGCTGCGCCTGCGCCGGGGTTGGGGGAGTCGTCGTTGCTGGCGAAGGCGACGGATTTCTTGCGCTTCTTGCTGGGTTTGGTGCTGGTGGCGCGTGGAGGGAGGTTTAGAGCTGGGTGGTGCACTTCGAGGTAGTCGCCTTTGACGTTCGCGGGGCCTCGCGTGATGGGTTCGGCGACGGCGCTGGTTGTGAAGGTCATGAGGGAGGAGGCGCCGGGGGCGGGGTCGTCGTTGGCCATGGTTCGCGGCGACGGTGTGGTGGGTTGTTGTGGTGCTGAAGTGAGGTTGGATGTTGGTGGTGTCTCTCGAAAAAAGTGTGTGCGACCGTGGTGCTGATGGAGTGTTTGGTGGAGAGCGAGTTGTGTTTGGAGCGGGGATTTTGAAGCGGGAGAAGGGTTTTAGGCCCGTTTGCATGTGATAGCTTTCCCCGTGAGCTGAGTTTGACTTGAGAGCGCCAGCTGAGCGTTCAAGTGATTCGTTGAAGTGAATTGGTGAATTGGGATAAGTTTGCTGCTCTCCTGCAAACGTAACGTTTGGGCTATTTGGCCTGTTGAGTTATTCGGTAACGCGTTTGCGTAACGATATTATCCAGACGTACGTTTGCGTAGCATCCTGGGTTAGACGCGAGATTCACTTAGCAGATTTCTCGTTACCGTTTGTTTGCACTTTTTTCACGACGTGATGTCCTAAATCGTAGTACTGTCTATTCTGCTGCTGCTCCTCCGTCTGGTGCGTAGGTCTTCAATCTAGCTCCTGGACTCACTTCGCGATTCACTCATCTTCTAAGAGGCTTTAGACGTTTTCGCGATTTGAAACGGGCCCTAGATAGGACACTGCCTACATCGTCAAGGAATTATATTCGTATCGTAGACTAATGCCTAGGTATCTGGTAGTCTTTGTGTGCATTATATGCCCTTCTCGTGATGATACTGCTTTGACTTGGTCAGCTGCTTGACACATGCAAGGGATTGTGTAAATTTGCCCCCGAGCGCAGACTTGCCGCCACCAAGTTTCGATCACAGCTCACATGGACTAGATCTGCTGTTCTTGAATTGTGTGTCGGGATGACTTTGCTCACAAGTAGTGGGTGATATTTTCTGTAGCTCGATACACGACTGTGCGTACCTCCGCGACACGCCAATGACGTAGGATGTACGAATGCGTCGCTCATCATGGTGTCAATCACTGGCATGTGTAATGCCTCCCCAGCTGGCAGTGATGCTGGATCTTCGCGAAGAGCTGGAGGATTAGACAGGAATACGAGTCTAGAAAAACACAAAGTATTGCATTGTGATGAGGCTCGCAGCGGCCAACTTGTGGTCTGGAAGAAAAACCCTTATTATAGTGGACAAGAGAAAGGAAAGGGAGAGGTGAGGTCGTCTTCGGCCAAACCTTGGCCGCAGATCCGAGATCGGGTCAACGACACCCAGCCACCAGCATTGTTCCACCTTCCTCTTCTTATCAACAAACTTGTTAAACAACGCCAACACGATGGGGAAACCAATTATTGCCATCGCCGGGCTCGGATGTGAAAATTCCACCTTCACGCCGTCTCGCACAAAAGTCCCTGCTTTCCACCCGAAACGAGGCGACGAGATCTTCGACTTCAAGCATAACCAGTTTCTCAAGAAAGGCACGAAATTGGGAGATGCGGCCGAATGGATCGGAACGCTCACTGGCCACGCGATGCCAGGTGGAAGAGTAACGACTGAGGCATTCGAAGAATTAGCCGGAGAGATTGTATCCAGATTAGCCGATATCACCAAGTCTTCAAAGCTTGACGGATTGTGGTACGACATCCACGGAGCAATGTTCGTCGACGGCCTCGAAGACGCCGAGGCCGAATTGCTACGACGAATTCGAGCTGTCATCGGACCTGATGTCGTGGTATCGGCCTCAATGGATCTGCACGGGAACGTGTCACGAGAGCTGGCTCATCAGACCGATCTTATCACTTGCTATCGGACAGCGCCACATGTAGATGTGCTGGAGACTAGGCAGCGCGCATGTCGGAATCTCGTTAACGTTTTGGGTCAATCCTCTGGCGGACAGAAGCCAACTCTACCGATCAAAGCGTGGATACCTTTGCCTATACTCTTGCCTGGCGAGCAAACGTCGACTCGAGATGAGCCAGCAAGTCACATCTATGCGGCTGTACCTGAAGTGGAAGCTATGGACGGTCTAATTGACTCTGCGATATGGGTCGGCTATGCGTGGGGAGATGAGCGCCGAAATCGTGCCATTGTCATGGCCACTGGCACAAACGAGGCTGCTGTCTGTCAAGGCGCCGAAAAGCTTGCTGAATTGTTTTGGGAGTCTCATGCCGACTTCAAGTTTGTCGCTCCTACAGGCACATTCGATGAATGCTTTGATGCTGCTGTGGCATCCAAAGCTAGACCCTACTACATCTCGGACTCAGGCGACAATCCAACAGCTGGAGGTTCTGGAGATGTTACTTGGATTTTGAGTCAGATCTTGAACCGAGAAGAGGTCAGGAAGGGTCTTGATGGTCCACGTATCATCTATGCCAGCATACCGGGCCCTGAAGCCGTCCAGATTGCAACCGAGGCAGGTGTTGGCGCTCAAGTCTCTGTCATTGCGGGTGCAGAGGTTGACAATCTGCATTCTGGGCCTATCAAGCTGACTGGGCGTGTCCATGCTATTCGCCATGGAGACATTCACGCAGTTACGGAAGTAGTTCTCCAAGTCGGCAATGTCTTCGTGATACTCACCAAATTGCGTAAGCCGTATCATCTGGAGCGGGACTTCAAGCAGCTGAATCTGGACGCAAGAAATGGTGCCGACATCGTCGTTGTCAAAATCGGATATCTTGAGCCGGAGCTATTCGACATGGCGAATGACTGGATGCTCGCTCTCACGCCAGGTGGAGTTGATCAAGATCTTGAGCGACTCGGACATCACTTGATCCGTCGACCGATATGGCCCTTCGACAAGCATTTTGAAACTCCTCCAAACTTGAAGGCAAGGATCATTGCTCCATCCCACGAACCGCTCACCGGACCAGACGAATGATGCCGCCACGTAACCTCTGGGCGCCATCGATATAGAAGATGTAGCCAGCCGATCTTAGTGGCTCTTAGGACGGGTGGCCTGATCTACATGTTCCCTCCGCCAAGCTGAGCACCGAGGCGGCAACATGAGCAAATTCTATGGTCAGTCTATTCAAAAGCGTTCCATCTTGGTGAATCATGTTGAGTTACCGAAGCAGGAAAGTTGCTCCGGTCGAACTCTTGTAATTTGTCCAAATTGGGCAAGCCGAAGACCTGGTGGTTGAACAGCTTCAGGTCAGGAGGAACCCGCGGGATGAACGGCACCTCGACATGTTCACGAGAATCAACTAGCCTCCTAGATAGGGAGCGACTGATCGCTGCAAGCTATGCAATGCGAATGGGGATATATCACTTCCGGACAAATCCTCCAGCGCTGCATAAGATGGCAACTGGCGGGATGTACGCAACATCATGCAGCTGCTCCAGCCCTACACCTGATCAGATGCTTCTCTGCAGCTATAGCGACGCGGCTCGCCCGCAACAAGAGTTCCTGATTGGATGAAACGGTGCCGGACATCGAAGTTATACACCATTCATGCTAGCACATGTGACGCTAGCTGATTGTGGGAACTCCGTTTTAGGTAGCTCCTGCCTAGTCTGGAACGAGTCCCGCAATAGAGGCTCCGTTCAAGTCTACGACTATAATGCCGCGTTAGTCTGTGCAACTATGCGAAGACTGTGTCGATCAGTCAACATCTCTATGGGGGCAGAGTCTTCTGAGCCCTGGGTTTCTGGCGGGTGGAATCTTCCTGAAAGTCAGCCTGGTGCCCTCATTGTGTCTCTGAAGTCGAAGCAGATGTCGAATTTCATCTAGAACAGACGATTAGCACACTCTCAAACATGTCACGCTTCCAGCATGGACAAAGAGAACATATGAGACCTGGACTTGACTGCGTTTCGGCAACCCTATGCATCGTGCCACCGACCAAATGCTGCATCTCCGACGTCCGTGGCCCGCACTACGACGTCAAGCTGCTCATCGCAAGCGCTTCTTGAACAGACATCCCGTCAACAAGAAGCGAATCGTGCCGGACATGCGTTGCTCTGCCATGCTTCGGGATCGTCAGGTCCACCCCGTCTCCGAACCGCTCCACTCCATGGAGCTTGACTTTGGGACCGAAGAACTTCTCAAGTAACAAGCTCATGAGCTTCACACAGTCAAGGCGAATAGCGTGGATGCTTAGTTACACACCCAAATGATCCTCGCATTCGAAGGTTCATGTTAACTCCTTGACCCTGGAGATCGAGTACCTTGGTGAACGGGACGTCTGCAGGGACGTGACGCCGCTCACAGGCTAGTACGGCATTATGTGCTTCAGTATGTTCAGCTGCTGCTTGAGGATGGAAAACGAGCCACACCCTGCATAGAACTACAGCCCGTCTCTTGAGGTTACATCAAGGTGAGTCTTTCGAGACTGGCTTCATTGGACGGAGGGGTCAAAGAAGATGGCTCGCGGCAAGTCAAGGGCGTTCGAAAGCGCTGAGCCAAATATATAAAGAGGAGCAGGTGCCAGACATTCACGTTGCTCCATCACAATCCCACGCCTGCAACTTCAAGACTACAACATGCCTTCCTCAACTTCCATTATCACTGCTGCAGTGGCCATTGTGGCCTCTGCCGGCGTTGCTCAAGGTGCTGCTGTAGAGAAGCGTTACACCACCGTTCAAAACGTCCAGCACACATTCTACGGCTGTAAGAAACACTCGATTATAAACACTGGACCACGACACTGACGTTTCCTAACAGACCCTGACAACTCCCCACCCAGCGCCCAGATTGCCTGTAAGAACCCTTTCACAACTATCTTGCCTGACTTCCACATCTCACACCCTCCCAGACGACTGCGGCCGCGGCTACTCTGCCGGCGGGAAAGGCACCTACGACGACCCACGCACCTTCGCCACCGCCCCCGGCGAATTCAACAAGTGCGAGATCATCTGGGACCCCTACACCGAGAAGTACCTCATCTTCGAAGACACTTGCGACCAGTGCGAATCGGACTGGAACAACGGCCAGTACCACATCGACATCTGGACCGGCTCTAGCTCCCAGAGCGGTGGCCAGGCCCAGATCAACTGCGAGGATCAGCTTACTCCTGACCGGGGACACACTGTTGTGAGGAATGGCAACCAGAACCATAATGTTAACACTGGTCCTCTTTACAGCCCGAGCAGTGGGTGCCATCCGGAGAATGTCTTCCCTAACAACAACTAGAAAGATGTTGGGAGGGAGAACGTTGAAGATGATTGATGGAGATTAAGGAAATCCGCTCGTTTGAGAAATCTATACATAACACAAGAATGTAATGAATTGACTGAATAGAAGATCAATCCTCCGTGATCTGCACACGAACTCATCGGAGGGGTCGTGCTTACCACTGCAGTGCTTGCGCTTGAATACCACCACGAAGTCCAAAGTCTAGACCGTGATCCAATTCTCTCCACCCCAAAATACCACCATCACTTTTAGCGCACAGAACAGATTCCCAAGATTCCGAATCATCACTTGGCGATGAAAGCACCAGCAAAGGAGGAGGTGACGTTCAAAAATCCGTCCGTGCGCTGATCCTTCCATGCTGCAAGAACCGCTTTCTTCTTCATCCCAATGCCATTCTCGGAACTTACCTCGATAGAAGACGTGAGGAAGAAGGAAACATCTCCGTGCGAACATCCGGAGATTCAGATCAGCAATCATGCAGAGTGGTGTTGTTGTCGCGACCGCGTCACCAAGCTACCATGATCCTTGCTCTATCGATATGCTTGAACTTCGGAAGAAGGACTTGGCCACTTGGTGGGAACTGATACGACCTGCAAGGTCTTTGCATGGATTGTTCAGGCATTTCGAAGAAACAGAAGGAAGTACCCTATGAACAGTTAAGTCTGTCCTGTTGCGATGGAAATGGGCGTTAGACCCGGAGAATTGATCGTGGTCACCACAAACTGAACGACCATCACGGGCCACACGTTCTCTCAATCTCACCGTCGCACGAGCCTTGGTGATGAGCTGCTGGGATGTAAAGAAATGTCGCCACTTCGAGACCCGCTTCGACTTCGCCCACTTGTACCCGCGAGATAGCCGGCTCGCGTCAGGCACGCATCTGTCGACAAAGTGACAAGAAGGGAAGTGATGAGTACGAATGTGGACCTTTTCCAAGGAAGAGTTGCTATTCAGAGAAGTGTCTAACGGTTAGTGTGCTGTCGCGAAGGCGAAGTGCAGTTCAGCTCTCAGTTTGTCGTTGTTCTGTTCTCACTTCTTTTGAATTTCTTCGTTCGTTTCATTTCCACTCTTTGATCTTGCTTCAGCAAACATTAGCATCTCATCATTCAACATGCGACCAGTTGTATTCTTCCTCACCATAGGCCTATCCGCTGCGGCCGACATCGACACCGAGGGTCTGCCCAACACCGGCCTCGATACGTCCAGCTGGACGACAGGCACCGCACCACCAATTGACGACCTCGTCAATCTGCACGACATCCAGATCGCCGCGAAAAACACTCTCTCAGCTGCGAACTACGCCTACTACCGCACAGCTGCCTTGGACGAAGTGACCTATCAGAACAATCTCTTCGCGTGGAACAAGATCCGTCTGAATGGATTCAGCTTTACAGACGTCTCAGATGTGAATCTCAAGACGACAATCCTGGGCTATGAATTCGATGCGCCATTCTTCATAGCTCCAGCGGCCAAGGCAGGACGAGCGGATGACGGCGCGGAAGGAAATCTTGTGGGGGCGGCAAATGCTGCAGGCATTCTGTACATCCCCTCCATATCTTCAACGCAGTCCATTGAAGAGATCGCCGCGGCCGCTGGAGACGACCAGGTCATGTTTCACCAGGAGTATGTCTGGTCGAACAAGACTCGTTTGCAGGATGAGTTGACCCGGATCGAAGACACCGGATTCAAAGCGTTGGTCCTGACAGTCGATAATACCGGTATCCAGGGTATTCGCAATTGGCAGGAGAGATACTCCTCCAGCAACGACAATGGCCATGACGCTACCTTCACCATTCAATCGCTGAGCGAGTTGCAAAATATGACCAGCTTGCCAATCGTTCCCAAAGGTGTCAAGACAGCTCACGATGTCAAGCTCTGCGCTGACCTTGGCTTTCCCGCTGTGTACATCTCCAACCACGGCGGTCGAGTTGTCGATCTAGCACCCACAGCTGTCGAGATCCTACTCGATGTCCACCGCTTGTATCCAGAAGTCTTTAACCAGATCGAGATCTGGGCAGATGGAGGTGTTCGACGAGCGACACATGTGCTGACACTGCTGGCTCTCGGGGCTCGTGCGGTGGGTCTGGGTCGATAGATGATGTTTGGGAACATCTATGGCGAAGAAGGCGTTACAAAGGTGATCGATATCTTGACGGAGGAGCTCGAGACCACGATGAAGCTGTTGGGAGAGGCCGACATCGACGGATATCGAGGGAATACGACTTTTGTGAGTGCTTCGTCCTACTCATGTCGTGGATGTATTGAGCTTGACTGACTGTAAGCAGATCAATACCCGCCAGGTTGAATTGGACTATTTCGGTGCTCCACTGAGCGGAGAGACGAGCAGTACGCCATATTACGTTTCAGCCAGCACTTATACGTAGAAGCAGCAGGAATGGGATTGATATACACTTACCGGTCACTTACCTTACCCTGTCTACTCATGAGCGTTCGTTCTCCTCGGTCCAGTCTTGGCCCCTTGCACCCGAGCAATGCGGTTCTTGTTTATTGTAAGATCGAGAGAAAAACAAGGTATAGCCTCAACGAGCACCGTCTGACGATGATGAGGAGGAAGATAGCCGCGACAGCGACTGAGGGAAAGGGAGGGAGGGAGACTTGCTTACGTGACGTTGCATTAGGGCGAACGGCGCGGCCCGAGTCCAAAAAGGTATGGGACGTGAATGACGACGACCTCCCAGAACTCCTTCATCAACGGCTGAAGCCCCGACACCTTCCCACTCTTCTTCGGTCGAGAGAGTCCGGCTCGTGTGATGGGTCCACCAAAGTCATGGCCGCATTCATCTTCGAATCCGGAGCCACCATTAAGGATCCCTCGACCAAGAAGGCGATCCGCTCCCATGCTATGAGGAATGTCAGGGAGAGGCAGCGAAAGGAAGGATTTCGGGATGGCTTGACGTTCCCAGGACGAAAGAAGCCTCGCCATGTTCGTGGGACATTCTCAGCAGCAAGACCGCTTCTGCCTGCCATTGCTCGAAGTGAAAGGGACTCGTTTTCCGAACAGACAGAGTCACAGGGGTTACAACTACAGGATTTCGTTCAAGCCATCGACGGCGCGCAGATCGACTCGGAGGACAGCACAGGAACCGACGTCGCCCTCACTCACTGCGCCGACTTTGCCAACCACCATGTTTGGCGTCAGCAGCTCGGCTACGTCTTTCTTACTTCCTATTACGCTGACTCGGTCGTGGACGCCATGCTCAAGGACTGGCACAATTTCGAACCAGGTGATGCTGCAGGAGCCACTCTAAATGCATCTCGTGATGCTTTGTGTCTGATGGGCTTAGGTGCTCTGTATCGCGATGAACGTCTACTTGACGAAGGACGCAAGCGCCACTGCCTCGGTCTGCGACTGCTGCGAGAGCGAATCGAGGGGCCTGGCGGCGTGGTGTGCGACGGTCTCTTGGATGCGTGCTATACCCTTGCGCATTGCCAGATCTACCAGTCGGTTTCGCATCAAGGCAAAGGCTGGCAAATCCACGTTGAGGGTCTACACTTTCTACTTCGAAGGAGAGGCGTGGAATCGATCAGATCGCCTTTCGCGCATGCAACGTTGCACAAGATGCGTCAAATTGCGACCATGGACCAGTTACTCAAACGCAAGAGCAGCTTCTTATCGTCCCCAGAGTGGCTCCTGAGCTGGCGGCAGAACGATCCAGGTATACACACGCCGGCTTTACAATTGACAGATCTGGGGTTGCAGCTCTCCGGCGCTTTAGAAGACACTGATGTTGCCTTGCACGGCTCGACCACCGGCAAACCTGCATTAGGCGACCAGCTACGAGATGTGTCTTTGCGCATCCAGTCAATCGAGTACGAACTGGACAAATGGCTGCTTAACTTCTATCACCAGTATGGTGATGTGCAAGAGCCGTACATTTTGACAGACATCGCCAAATATCCTCGTTTCGAAACGCAATGTCACGATATAGCTTCGCTCTTGCCAAAGGTCTACAGCTTTCCCACCCTTCTGAGCGCCACCACCCACTGCTACCTCTTTATATTGTATCTGGCCATTCGCATGGCGCAAATGGATCTTGCCGGACTTCACCCAACGCAGCCAGCGACCGATATCGAAGCTCTTGCTGCAGAGGCCAACGAATACGCAGTGCACCTGTGCCGGAGTCTGGCTTACTTATCGCTACCGCAACATCGTTCGGTCGGAGTGCTTGCATGTAGTGGACCTCTTTACTGGGCCTCAGCATGGTACGAGCGGAGCGGAGATTCGAAGAAGCTGCAAGCTTGTCAGAGCGCACGCGAGGTGCTTGAACGTGACTGCCCGACACCATTGAACATGAAGGCGCCCGTTTTCGCATGGTGGATGATACCGAGTGTTTTTGAAGACCAGGGCGCATTCGCAGGATGAGCAATATCTGCATCTGGCGGTGATCCGCCTCACGATCTTGCCTTAGAGGCGTCAACAACATCTGGAGACGTCCTTGGGATTTGAACAATTTCGGCGTGTGGATTGGAATAGCGAAACGATGTGTATATCGCCTCTGGCCTAGCAACCTCGTGTCTGGAGTTGAAGCATAATTGAGATGCGGGTAATAGAGTCGATGCAATACTGCTCGTCCAAACCGAACTCTGCAATGCCCAAAAGTCAACCTAAAGAGTGGCGATGAACTGAACCCTGCCTGATATTGGTGGGTGTTGCGCCCGAGGATCTATCTCAACAGAGCCGTGCCAGATGGAGACACTGAAACCATACGATTGGTCGACAGGTCTTTCCGCATTGGGAAGCCGCTCAAGGATCCAATCACGATTCACCACTCCGTCGATCAGGCGTCGTGCCACGATTTCACACATCACCAACATCTTGACAATTATTAATGGTTGCGCCTCGTCGGGGAGGTTCAGCTCGGGTATGAGGAGTTTAGTTAGTGCAGATGGCTCCTAACATACGTCTGTCTAGACAACGCGGCCATGACCCTTTTGTCATCAGTCCTCTGCCCTTCGTCATCCTTGTAGCTCTCGTCCATTGCCGGTGCCTTTTGATATAAGTACGCAGGTGCCAGGACATTTCTACGAGTCTTAACGTATCGTCAAAGACTAGAAAGCAGTCAATCCGTCCTACCTGACATCCCACGAGAGCAAAGAGTTGGGAACAGTATTGTTTCACGTCTTCCTGGAGCAGAGAAGAAGAATTGGTCTCTATACCACCCACAATGACGAGTCCCGAGCAAGAGAAGGATCTTGAAAGCGATACATCTCTGAAGCATGATTCTTCGGACAATAACGGCGATCTCCCACCTCAGACATCGAACCCATCAGAAATTACTCGCGACCAAAGGGCAATCTTGAGGGATACGAGCAAAGGGCAGAGCCCGAATGAAACACCGTCATCAGACCTACCCAACCCTCCGAATGGCGGCAGTACCGCATGGATACAATGTATCGGGTCATTCTGCCTGTGGTTCGCAGTCTGGGGACTGGTGAACTCCTCAGGTACACACCACATCACACCATCCCACTCTGCGTGCCAATACTGACCAGCCGAAATGTTAGGAGTCTACCAAGCCTACTACGAAGACGTCCTCCTCACCAACTCTTCATCGTCCAGCATCTCCTGGATCGGCTCCTTGCAGCTCTTCCTGATGATCGGAGGGACGAGTATCATTGGTCCGATCTTCGACAGAGGATACCTGCGCAGCCTGCTTCTCACGGGCACTTTTCTCATTGTCTTTGGCTTGATGATGACGAGCTTGTGTACCGCGTACTGGCAGTTCATGCTGGCGCAGGGTGTTTGTATGGGGTTGGGGATGTCGTGTCTCTTTGTTCCGCTTGTTGCTGTGCTCCCGCCGTACTTCACTACCAGGCGTGCGCTGGCTATGGGCATCGCTGCGAGTGGGAGTAGCATTGGTCAGTTGAGTCGTCGTGGTAGACTGTAATGTTGAGCTGACTTGAAACACAGGCGCTATCATCTTCGCCATCATGTTCCAACAACTACAGCCCAAGATCGGTTTCGGCTGGGCGATCCGCTGCATCGGCTTCGTCGTACTGGCGTCGCTGGCGTTCCCTCTCGTGACGATGCGGAAACTGGTCACGCAATCCCCTCCGCGAGCGTTCATCGACAGGTCAGCGCTGAAAGAGTGGCCGTTCATCCTGACCCTCCCTGCAATGTTTCTGGTATTCTTGGGACTCTACTGTCCTTACTTTTGTGAGGTACCCCAGTCCATGTCTGAGACATTCGCTGACCTTTCGCCTTTTGCTTCTAGACATCGAGGTCTTCTCCGTGCAGACGCACGCTGCGAGCTCGGAGATCACTCAATACCTCATCGTCTTCATGAATGCGGGCTCTCTGTTCGGGAGACTGGTATGTATGGCTGACATGCTGCAACGACGTGTACTGACTGAGCCATGCAGTTGCCCAATATCTTAGCTGACAAGGTCGGCCCAATCAATACCATCATAACCATAGCCTTCATCACCGGCGCCGTAGGCCTCTCGTGGATCGGCGTGACGGCGCAACCGGGCATCATCACGTTCGGAGTCTTGTACGGCTTCTTCTCAGGTTCGTACGTTGCCCTCACAGCGGTTGTCTGGGCAGCGCTCTCACCGAATCCACGCGTGTTGGGGACGCGCATTGTATGTTTTGTGTCTCGCTCGATCTTGACTGGACGCTGACGTTTGCTACAGGCTATGATGACCATCCCGCAGGCTGCAGGGCTGCTAATAGGCAATCCCATCGGCGGCACTCTCGTAAATGGCTCGTCCTTTTTAGGACTGCAGCTCTTCTGCGGACTTACCGTTATGTCTTCTGGCTTCTTCTTGGTGGGGGCGAGATGGGCCCAGATCAAGGCTGGTGCTGGTTGGAAAGGATAGAGTAGTGTGGAGAAGAATGCTCGATCAACAGCATATCCCTTTCGTGGCTTAGGAAGGTGGAAAAGCTTTTAGCACAGTGTTCGCAAATGAAGCGTAGCGGAAAGACTGAGATCTGCCAACCGCAGATGGAGACTGTGGAAAGACTGGGAATCCGGTCGTGGAAGCGGGTGTGCCATGAGCAAAGAAAGAGCGTCTCCACCGCCAGCGTGGAAGCAGCAAGAACGAAAAACAATTATACTCACAAGCATGCTTACCTTGTCCCCAAGCCGTTGGGCTCACAAACGTTCTGCTTGCCTGGCCTTGTTGGAGAACTCTCGCACCTGTTCGGTCATGACCAGTACCAGCTACCGTGCTGAGGACTACGCGCGTCTGCGTAGTCCAGCTCGACTCACGTGAGCCCTCAGTAGCGCCGGCTGCAGCCGTCCAGGCGAATAAAACCCCCTTCAGCTCTCCAGCTTCGTTCTCTTTCTCTTTCCTCCTCATAATTATTACCATATTCTTATGCTGCTGCTCTGGTGCTCGCTGCCGCCGCTGGTCGGATTGTCTGCGTGTGCTCTGCGGTTCGCTCTGCTCAAACAATTTTTGGAAACCAATCATCTTTTCATCGTCTGCCTGCTGCTGCTGGCGTTTGGAGAAGAGTGCTCGCTGTCGTCGTTGTTGTCATGTTGCTGAGGTGTGTCGTGCTGCCGGTACGACGAGGATGCTGTTGTACGTCGCGGTGCCGCGAAGGATGTCGATACTGATCTGCCTGTTGCGGTCTTCGTGCTCGCTGTCTCGCGTTGATGAGCTGCATTATTGCCGTGGTGTGTTGCCCAATAGTGCGCCTGTCGTGTTTGTGATGATGGTGACGATGGGCTGGCTGGCCTCCTCGTGCGACGGCAGGGTAGAAGGCGATCGTAGGCCATCCATCCACTGAGCATCGCGTCGCCGTGATAACGTTGAGGTACTCCATTCAATGCTACTCGAGGCCTCACAACCGAAAAGGAGACGCACGACCTTTGCAGCAGCGCCGGCGACCTCGTCGTAGCTGGCGGCCGAACTTGACCGCCCACCAAGGATGCTGGGCATCATCAAAACGATCTAGGACCCTGGGTAGACTGATTCAATTCCTCTGGCAGAGCCTGTTAAGACCGCGGACAGGCAGTGCGTTCCGCCATATACACGGCGTGGTATCACCAGCGTCGTTTTGCCTCCGCCCGAGCGCAGGCACGTCCAGACCGACACGCACACCAGCACGACAAGGAGACCACGCGCATCTTTCTTTCATCGATACGAAAAGCGTCGGCAGAGCAAACATCCGCACCACGTCGTACGCAAACTCGCTGGCTCGTCAAGAATGATAAGATCCACGAGGACAGCATCAGCGGCCTCATATTCCTTCCATCATGGATCCCTCAAATGCCTTCATGCACCTAGCCCGAGCCAAGCGACGATGACATTCAAGAGGAGGACGTGGAGAAGGCAGACGAGAAGGCCAGTTGAGACGCACGCAGCTGGACCAGAACCGCCGACCCTGGTATAAGAGTGGGAGTACAAGGATCGGTCGGCACCCAGGCCGCAGACATCAGCAGACAACGTCCAGCGAAAAGCAAGCAGCTGGCGCCAGCTCAGTCCAATGGATAACGTGCTTCGTTCGGTGGCAACAGTGGCAAGAGCGTGGTACAGCCAACGAGCAAGGCCAGGGCACAGTCTACAATTGTCGTTCGAGGGCCAGAGTCATGACCGAGAGGACATTGCTGAACTCGCCTGTGGGCCTTACGGCACGCCTGAGATGCTTGAACACAAATGCGGCAGTATGCTAGAGACAACGAGGTTCTCGTCAGCTGCATATGCTCACGGCTTCTGTCAAGTGCCCGGGAGCTGCAAGACAGCAAGCGATCTGCGATTGCTGAAGAGAGCATATCCCACCAACGGCACTCAAAGATGGAGCCGGTTCTCGATCGGATATTGTGGGCAAAGTCCTGTGGCCTTGCTCACTCTGACACAGCTCATGGACGGGCTGTACGGCGCTGCCGGTTGTGGAAAGAGTGGCTGCTCCAGGCGCGATGCCATCTTGGTCACTATGCCATAACAAACGGCCGCAGAAGAGACCAGAGAGCTGTGTCCCATTGTAATAGGGGTTGAGAGCCATAGCTCTCGCGTGCTTCCAATACAGGTCGTCCCAAGACGTCGAGCACTGTACCGCAAGAGGACTCACCGGATCGTCTGTCCAGATGTTCTGACTATGGTGGATAGCCTCATGACCCCGAGCGGCATCTTTTCCTCATCAGTTCAGCCTATGCCGAGATCTGGATCCAGTATAAGACGGCCATTGGCTGCTGGCATCAATTGCCCGGCGACTCATACCGCAAGTCGGCGTGCAGGCCTCAAAGGGTCCCGTACGGAATTGGAACCTGGTCTTGGAACAACGCGAGCTCAAGTTCGCAAAGTGCTCTCGCGAGGGAGCAAAACATTCGCCCAGATTGCCATGCAGTGCCCTGATGTAGCAGCGCACTTCATTTGCACTTGACATTGATCCAGTATCTTTGCAGTGCTACAGTGGAGTCGCTCGATCTGGAATTTGCACCATCTCGCCGGTCAGGAGAGACCGCACGTTGAAGATATGTCTTGAATCCTTCGGAACACCAGGCTGCTTCTGTTATTCTTCTCCGCCTACCAGGAGCGCGGAAGTGCCTTGAAGATGCCACTATCGTTCGCTGAAAAGCTGAAAACGGAGAGCTTATCCATGAGATTTCTTGGCCTCTACGCAGAGAAGGCCATGAGCGGGCTCTTTCTCTGTGGCTTCCGGTGTGGAATTCTTGACTGTCTGCCGTGTCCATCGAAGGGTTTGCGCCTGTGCTCTGGGCCTCAAGCTGCTTGCCGATAGCATCGTCGACAGACGGCTCGTATCCGCAAACTTGTCGGCCTTCTGGATACCCTTCCTCGAGTCTGCTGTTGCATCGACAGCAGAACCCAGTCGAACGACATTGCCGAGGCGGATCCGTTCCAAACGCTAAACCATCCCACAACAAATGACGGTACGCCAATGATATGATCAAGCTTGGCACTGCTCAGCAGCACTCAGCGGATTCTCACTGGGCCAATTCCAGCACTGAACCACGATATATTGATGTCCTTCGCCTCGTCCTCAATGCAACGCCAGGAAAGCGTGAGCCCGCAAAGTTGTACCCAGTAGCGCGATCCATCCTGCTCTTTCTCTCGCCCTGCAGCCCCAGATGTTGCTCGCATCGCTTGACAGCACTGGGCACCGGTCCTCCGATTGCAGAACGCAGGTATCCCAAGCCCTTTGCCCAGAAGCAAGCCCAGACTCAGTGAGGCCTATGACATCAAGCCAGCTTCATGCATATGCTATGCTCTCATTCCTCTTTCCGAGTTGGTTTGGTCACTGCTCTTGAGTCCCCTGGTTCCCTCAAGACCTCGCGGAGAGTTTGCTCGCTTTCGTGTTCATCCACAGGCGCCATGGTGCTATTAAGAGGACCAAATGGAGTCTTTGCTGATCGAGTGCCGTCTCAAAAGGTGTCTCCGACGGGGTTCGACTTCGATGTACGATCAGAAGGCGCTTTCGAAGACGTGTCGGTAGAGGTGTTGTTGCGGACGGGTCTCTTGGCGCATCCAGCTGCGCGCTGATCATTCAGCCGCTCGACTTCACTCTCCTCGCCCTCTTCTCCACTCATCGCGACAGAGTGTCCACCAAGCCTCAGACTGCCCAGACCTTGCAATGAGCCTTTGAAAAACAGCATGAAGAGGCGGCGTGCAGGTGGGGGCAGAAGCGCCAGGACAAACCGATCGTCAAGCCACCCGGTGCACCGCAGACACGCTCTCGACCGAGTACAATACACCAGTGAGGCGTTGAACGTGCAGCTGAGAATGGCGAGAGATCAAGACATGGAGTGAATAGTCGGACTCGGTTTTGTTGTTGTCCTTGGACTCGATTCACACCTCAGAGACTTGACTTGTTCTGCGGCCATCCATTCGGCGTCGTGTCGAGTTGTCGCGGAGCGTCGCGCCGTCTGGGCTTGACGTATAGGCTACAAATATCGCTCGACCAATTGCGGTCTTGCATGAGCTATGGCAACTCGATTTGAGAGACTCATGTCCATCTCTGATCGTCACGTTAATCCCTACCGAGCCCTCGATGAAAACCAGATACGGGTATTGAGACTACTCCCTGGGGAGCATGACGATGAGCTATCTGGCACGCTCGAATATATTTCTCTGCCAGCAAATGGTGAAGTGAGTGAGCCTCCTTTCGAGGCCATATCTTACGCTTGGGGTTCGACTTCGAAAACCTCCCATCTGGCCACACCCGATCACGGCAAAGTCCATCTCACCGAATCATTGGAGCAAGCCTTGAGAAACTTCAGGTACGAGCACGCTGCTCGTTATCTTTGGGCGGATGCTGTGTGTATCGATCAAACAAACCTTGAAGAGCGCTCCCAGCAGGTGGCAATCATGGCACAGATATTTGGTGCTAGTAGTTGCGTCCTGGTCTGGCTAGGACTCAGCAACGACATTCAGAAGGATACAGAATTCGTCGCAGTCGTAGAGGCCTGCTATCAATTGTCTTGCGATCTCGAAGGCAGCGGTAGCGTGATACTGGCCGCAGACAAGATCGCCGAGAAGCTGGCGATGGACTCGAGCGAAGAACAAGACATCGTTGAATACAACGCCAGTACCCGCATCGATCACGTCTACGCTGCACTTATTACCACTTGGAGTTGGTTGCAAAGACCATGGTTCAATCGGCTCTGGGTCGTGCAAGAGGCCTTCTCGGCGCGAGAGGTTCTCTTCTGCTCTGACAGTTTTGAGTTGACCCGAGAGACATTGTCAACCGCTGTCTATGCTTATCAGGACAACTGGCGTTCATCGGATCGAACGCTCCGCCTTAACTTTAGCGAAGAAACCAGGCTTGACGACATCGCAACAGACCTTATGGAGCGAGGACTTTCAGGAGAAGTCTACGCAGACACCCTCCTGGAGAAGCTCATATCATACTCGTTGAGAAAGTGCGTCGATCCAAGAGACAGGATATTCGCGATCAGAAATGTCCTCGCTCTGGAGCATGTCGAGGAACTGCGTCCTGACTACAGCATAAAACCGAGCAGCTTATATCGCAACTTGGCCCTGCATCTCCTTGCAAGGCGTTGGAGTACCCACAGTCCACTGGTACTCCTCGCACTGGCTGGGCTCGAAACACAAGCTGGCCTGCAACATCCAATATCGTGGACGCCAAATCTTCACAACTTCTCGGTTTGGACCCGTGCGAAGGCGAATACCTACGCCCATTATCAAAGGAACGGTAATCGGTGTTACGATGGTCGCACAGAGCAATCCTGGACGAACGACTATCGGTACATGATAGGCAAATTCAGCTATCTGAATCTCCCTGATCAGCCTCACACGCTGATGGTCAAGGGGCGAGTGTTTGCGCAGGTCGCTGAGGTCGTGGCATTGCCCAGCGTTCCGTTGTCACTGTACGGAGACGCTCCTTTTGATGCTACTGACTATAGCAGTTTTGAGGCGTTTCAAGACTGGTATGATGCATGGTATCGATACTTTGCGGACTTTTTCCGGTCCTCCATTGACCTCCTCGACCTGCACCAAGAGCTGATCAACTTCCTTGCCTATCCAACTCACTGGTCGTCCGAGCGTGAATGCTTGTGGACGGTGACTGACCGATGCCCCGAGGAGTTCTGGGACCGATATCTACATTCTCGACCGAGTTTTTGTCGCCTCCCGGGGACCTTGGGGAAAGACTTTCAATACTTCCTCATGCTGTCTTTGTCAGAATGTCCCCTTGTCAGAAATAGACGAGGATGGAACATCACGACCCACCGGGGCAGAATCGACTTGGCCTGGCTTCCTAGAGGCACGCAGCTGGGCGACCACATCTGTATTTTCGCCGGCGAAATGTGGCCGTTCGTGATTCGGCCAGTTGGAGACGGTACGTATCAGGTCATCGGCGACTGCCACACGTATTCCACGCCGCTGATCGAAGCTATCGGCGGAATGTACGATGTTACCCTTCATGGAGATGGACACACGCACAATTATATTCGCGAGCAGTCAGACTCGGAGAGTAGCGTGGCCGAGGACGTGGAAGAAAACTCCGATATTGCCGCCTGCTTTACGGCACAGCTCGATACATCGCTGGAAGATTCTGCGGACGTCACAGAGGATCCAAGCACCGCATCGAGCCAAGAGCCTAGAGACGTGGACAGTCCATGCTGTGACCGATCCACAATCAAGACTCTCCTCGAAGGTGATGGCAATATTGATAGCAACGTTGAGCAATCTAGCACACAAAGGGTCGAGTTCAAGCGCGGAGAGTGCTTAGGATTCAACATGCCCGGTCTTCGCTACGATGAGTACCTTGCAAAGATGGACTACATCGCTCTCGTCTGAACGACACCATTGCAACCAGCCTGGGAGAAGTGCTGCGCTTCGATCACAGACACAGCCTGCGCTTGAGCCGGTACCCGAGCAAAGTGTCTCGTTTCACACGTCCTTTTCAATGGGGTCCAGTTGAGCAATTCGATCTTGTTGCACCAGCGTGCCACATGATACACTGTGCTGCCTTGGAAGCGTCACTGACACCTGTATGTTTTGGCACATGCCATTGTCCTGGGTCGGCCGTCACATCTTGACGTGTTCTCGCCTTCCTTGTTTTCATGCACTACTGGCTGTCCCCCGCAAAGGGTACCTCTTCCACGCAACTCCGTCTTTCAGTCTTCTCTTTTCAATACGCCAGCAACATGCATTTCAGTCGAGCTGTTATCGCAGCGCTACTGTCGATCTGTGCTTTTGCTCAGCGAGTTGAACGAGACCATGACGAAGACACGACCTTTTCCGAGGGTGAGACCACCTACCACATTATCACCGTAGGGAAGTATGACCATGAGTTCTATCCTGCCATCACTACAGTGAGCGCATAATCAACATTGACGGACAATCGAGTGATTACTGACGCTGTTTAGGCAAACGTGCACGATGTTGTAAGGATGATACCAAATAATCCACACAGTATGGCTGAAAACTGAGCCGTTGATTCTAGGTCATGTTCAGATTCTATCCCGATAACCACTCAGTCATCGAGTCGCTGTACCGTTGGCCATGCGTTTATCGCGATGCGGTTGATGGACAAGGGGGATTTCACACCGGTATGGATCTCAAGGATGACGCCTATACGATTCTGAAGTCGGGCTAAATTTGACAGAAGGCTTCCCTCTGCACGACTTCAAAGATGAAGACCATGTGAGCATCAAGTATACGGAATGCCGGCCGAGCTATGACTGACTCTCCTTGTAGCTGCCCACATGGAATTTCACCGTTGAACATCTAGACCCTATCTTCTTTTATTGCGGCGCTCCAAGCTCATGTGTCAGCAAGGGGATGGTGGGCGCTATCAACCCCAGCAGCGACCAGAACATAACGGCTCAGAAGAAACTGGCAATAGATGCCGGAATTGTTAATATGCCGGACGAGACATTGACTCCCAATGCTGCCGCTTCTGTGTCTGCAGCCGCCGAGAGTGACATCCCAGTCGAACAAGATGATGAAACCAAACGCATGCCATCACCAGGTGCAGTCGCAGGCATCGTGATTGGCGGCATAGTCGCTCTTGCGATCATCATCTTGTCAATCTTCTATCCTCGCCGAAGACGACAAAAGAAGGCTCTGCAGACCGGCCCGAGCGAGTCCGCCACACAAGCTCACACTACCGCAGCCCATGCCCCTGAGATGCAGATTGATGGAATAACATACGTGCCCGCAACGGATCCAAGGGCATTCTACAACCCCCAGCCACCCTCGTACTATCATCTGTCCGCCGAGATGAGGCCCAAGTCCCCTGGGGAGTCGACGTTTTCCGGTCCGCATGGAGCGCCGACTACGCTGTACTCGCCTTCGATTGGGTCGATTCGGAACAGGTATGTTGAGGTCACTCCTAAGACAACTGCTTGAGCCCAGTTGTACTGATCGATTTAGGTATTCCGACATTGGCCCTGACACGATGATGCAGCCTCAACCGCAGCCCGTGACGCAGCTGCCTTTGTTGCAGGAACTTGACGCGCAGCCCCAAAAGGACGGCAGTCGCATGGAAAGAAAATATCTCAGCTGATGGAAGGATTATAATCTGCTCTGAGATTTGTATGTGTGTTCTTGATCTTTGTCGGGTGATGTATTTTGTAAGCATGATGTCTGTAGTCTGTCACTACTTCGAAGGTGTCTCCTTCCTACGTCAAACATTTAACACATTATTAAGTTATCTTTCTGCTTCCCCCAAGGCCACCGGAAACTTTCATGTGAGAGTTGCGCGACCCTGGTATTCTAGCATGTGAATGCCAAGACATGAGTTGAATTCTTCATCGTGACTTCCTCTTCTGGCGCGCTAAGCTTTAGCGCCTGCCAATGAGTCAGCAACAACAATCACGACGCGACTGGCCACTTGCCACCATAGCAACCAAATATCCACGGCACCCTTGGCCGTGTCGCCCGCTCACACCACCCTTCCACTTCGCACACTCGCATCGCAAGACTTCAACACGCGACCACATCTATCAAGATGCGCTACCCACTCGCACTGATTCCAGAGCCCGACAAGAAGCGCGCCCACAAGCTCGAGTACTGCAGACGTCTCATTCGCAACATCGAGCACTTCGACAGTAGGTACCCGAATCCGCGTGAAGAATTCTGTGAGGCAAGACTTACTCGAAACCCCCTCGACAGCGCATCCGTGGGTCTGGGGCGTAGGCTCCTTCGCCCCCCTCCCACCACTCCTCAGACTCCCCGCGGAGCTACGCCAGAAAATCCTCAACGACGTGCTCGACGACGACGAGGTCCGCTACCGGCCCAACTACCTCACGCAGAACCTGGCGGTGGTCTGCAAGACCTTCTCCACGGATTTCATCGAGGTAAGAAAGTTGTGGGACCAGCGCGAGGCGGAGCAGGCGAAGGGGTATGGGATGGATCGAGCGAGTATGCGCAGCTACATTGCGGAGTTGAATGGGGATCGGGAGAGGGCGGCGGCGGTTATGGCGGAGCGGAGGGAGGCGTTGAAGGGGAAGAAGGGGAGGAAGGGGAAGAAGGGGAGGAAGAGGGAGATGCGGAGGGAGGTGGAGGTTGAGGAGAAGGAGAAGTTTGTGGAGAAGGAGGTTTTCAAGTTCAATAACTTGGCGATGAGGCCGAAGGGGAAGATTACGAAGTTTGAGTAGATGAGCTTGGGAGATTGATGGATGGGAACTTTGTGCTAGGCGGCAAGATGAGGATGGGTTGGCTACACAGATTTGTAGCCTACAAATGAGGTGTACGGAGAGTTTGGCTTCGCCCGAGAGCGTCTTCACCGGTGTATCGTAGTCTTTCCTAATGCGAGTTGCCCCAGGTCTTTGAGAGTTCCAACCCGTCTTTGGCAGCTGTTTGATCAAGACCTTTTTCCTGAGCACCCAGTGAAAGGCGAAGAGAAGGACTCGATCAAAGGTCAAGTAAGAGATCAAGAACAGGATGAAGTCACGGACCAACTGACATGTGCAAACAGAAATCAGTACACGACCAACCACAAAACCCATTCTAGCACCCAATTTCAAATCAACCTCAAACAACCACCTCATATCAAACCCACACAAGCCTCAAACCCATTACAACAGACCCAAAACCCCATCAAATCCACCATCTCGCAGCCTACCAAAAACCGCTCAGACGCAAAGTGAACTCACCCCTTCTCCACATGTGCACACATCTGGGCAGGGCTGAAAGCCGAAAACAGCTGAATCCTTCCCCCCATGACGCCTCGAGGGCTGAAAGCCGAACTCCACCTCCATCTCAGCTATTACTCCTTACATGTACGGATTTTGCAGGGGCCTGACTCAAACGAGGATTTTGAAGCGTGCGTAGGGCTTATTCCGCTGGAATAGAGGTAGGGAAGACGCCGCCTCGCAGGGTGGCGGAGCTAGCATATTGGAGTGAGGTAGAAGATGCGATCTTGGACTTACTTGGGCGAGTAGGCGAGCGGGGTTAAGGTATAGTAAGTATTTATTTGATCTCCATGTTTCCTTTGTCGAAGCTGAACCTCGAACCACTCGACCATACATTCATGGGAGAAAGATGGCGGGACCGTATGATCCAGAATGGACGGCCGTGAGTAGTAACGATCCCTTCAGCACGGTATTGTACGCTTTTGAAACGCTGATAAACATGTCGAACAGTTCGAGAAATCGATGGGCCCTCCACCAGTCCTTCCCGAAGACATCGAGAGCCGAGTCGAGATCTTCAACGAGATGCTCGTGCAGTTCCAGAAACTGCTACCGCCCACAGATCCTGGGATTCAGACTCGTACGTCCGCGGCATTTGAATCACGGGCAAGATTTCCTTCTCGAAAAGAACGACAAAAGTTGGCTGATTGATCACCACCCTTAGGAGACGAAAAAATCAACCCCAACGTCACCGTCCGGATCTACACACCCCCCTCAACATCAGCACCTCCCTCCCCACCCCTCCCTCTAATCCTCTTCATCCACGGCGGCGGCTACCACGCCGGCAACCTCTCCACCGAAGACCACCTCTGCCGGCACATGTGCTCCCACACGCCCTCCATCGTCGTCTCGGTAGACTACCGCCTGTGCCTAACGCACAAATTCCCCACCCCCATCGAAGACTGCTACGCCGCCTACAAATGGGCTTACGCAAACGCGGCCTCCCTCGGCGCCGACCCGCAGAAATGCCTCGTCGCCGGCGGTTCCGCCGGCGGAGGCGCCGCCATCGCGGTCGTCTACCGCCTCGTGCGGCGCGGGGAGGACGTCGCGGGGCTGGTGGCCATATCGCCCATGTCGCTGCATCCGGACGTCGTGCCGGTGGCGTATCGAGCGCAGCATACAGCGTACGTGGAGAACGGCGGCGCGATCCCAGTCGTGAACGCCCAGGACGCCATGGCGGCGTTCGCGATGCTGAGCGAAGAGGGCTGCGCCCCGGCGTATGCGAACGGGGAGTGGTTCCCGCAGACGCGAGGGGCGGAGGCGTTCAAGGGTTTTCCGCGGACGTGGGTTTTCAATACGGATCTGGAGTGTTTTCGGGATGATGGCGGGGTTTTGGAGTTGGAGGTCAGGGATGCGGGGGGAGTGGTGAGGAGGGAGGTGATGGAGGGGTGGCCGCATTATTTTTGGTGTTTTCCTGTCGGGGGAGGGGGGGATGAGTTTCGGAGGAGGCTTGTGGGGGGGTTGAGGTGGGTGATTGGGGGGGATTGAGCTTTGATGGGGGTGTTTTGTGGAGGTGTGGAAGGGATGGTTTTTGGGGTCTAGATCAGGTTAATAGAACCCCCGAACTGCTCACGACTACATTCCCTGTGACGTTTCCGTCGCGCATGCAGTACAAGTATGCTTCGGCGACCATTTCCGGCTTCGCCACTCGTCCTGTGGTACTCTTGTCCACGAGCGCCTTGAACATCTTCTCCCTTGCCTCGCCTTGCAAACGATCCAAGCTGGGCGTCTCCACGGCTCCAACACAAACCACATTGACCCTCACAGGCTTCATATCCAACGCCAGAGCCTTGCCGAGTCCTATGACGGCACTGCGTCCGCCGGCGATTACGCTCCAGCCGGGGATGGGTTTCTCGGTCACAATGCCGGTAGTGAGGGTTATGCTGCTGTCCGGGGAGGCCGTGAGGTATGGAGGGAGGTGTTTGGCGAGAATAATAGGCGCAATATAGCGGGTCGTCATCGCCGAGCGAATCTTGGAGACGCTGGCCTCGGCGAGAGGGGTTGGGGGGACGTATTCCCCGGCCGTCCAGTTCACATGGTCCAGTTTCGTGTCTTTCGGAAGTTGGGACAGGAGGTGGATGATGTTGTCTTCCAGCGTGGCTTCGTCGTTGAGATTGCACGCGTGGCCGACGATACGGTCTTTGGCAGATGGATATGCGTCTTGGAGCTTCTTCACGGCTTGGGCCACGCGATCTGGGTTCGACGAGGCGATGGTGATGTGGGCGCCATGTTCGAGGCTGCCTTCTGCCACGGCGTAGCCAATGCCCGAGGAGCCTCCTATGACGAGGATGCGTTTCCCGTGGAGCTTGTTGGTGTACTTGGCTTGGTCGGACATGATCAAGAATGTTGTAAATCGCTGCTAAGTGGTTTCAATCTAGTGATGATCGGAATGATCGAGACATTGTGCTTGACGTCCACCTGTAAATGTATAGCATTGCGTCCCTGAAACGGACTTTGCAACATCCTTGCTTTCCAATGCCTCTTGACGGATCTGTTAGCTGGATATGTCGATCTTGGGCACTATGTCCGGTCCCCATTTAGTCAGTGAGTCGAGGGTCTAAGATGATGCAGCTGCCATTTGCGATTAGCTGCCATGAACCCGGTCCGGAAATTCGGCAAGGAGTGAATACCGTAGCCTGTTGTCAAGGAAGCCTTGAAAGGCACATTGTACGATTGTACGAGACGAGGACCATTCAGCGGGCCCGATATAGGAGAGGTGCAGAGCTCTGTTCGGCGCCGAAATCAGACAGTGAACACGGGAGGCTAGAATGGAGCACACTGGATTGCATACTTACGAGCGGAAAAGGTGTATTATGATACTGCCGTATTTATGTTGGTGAGAGGCGCTCTGAGCCAGGCATGCTGACAGCCGAATCACACCCCAACGCTGGCATCGACGGTGGACTGGCTGCTATGGCGGGTTTCTGCAGCCATGTCCCCGGCCCCTGACATGCTCGAGAGGCTCGAGAGGCACCACGGCGGTCTGTGTTGTCCTTAATGGGTCGTAGTAATCAGACCTTTCCGACCTCATCATGAAGTGTCCATCTCGTCAGCCGCCTGACCTCTCTTTTGCCTGTCCTCTATCCGCTTCTTCGTGGCTGCCTTGCCGTCGTCTATCCACTTGTCGTAGCTGCCATCCTTGAGTTTTTGTGCCGCAACGCCCTTCATGACCTCTCCTATGAAGCCAACGAAGTTGTGTCTCCGCAGTGCGTTCTCCCACCTCCAGTCTCTTCGCTTCTGCTCTTCTCTGGCAAGCCATTCCTGGTCACCGACCTCCTTAGCTCGCTCACGCAAGTCCTGGCACATGGCGAGTAGGTTGAATCGAATCTCTGTCTGTGGATATCGCTCTATCCTCTTTTGAAGCACGGGAATAACGGCATCGGCGAAGATCTCCGGCGGGCATGCACCGGCATCTCCATGCCGGATAGGTGCAGGTTGCAGGCCATCGAGCTCGTAGAGAGTACTGTTGATGCTCGTGTATGCGATGAAGTGGTATACGTCGTCGTCGGCGGTGGCGAGTCGTGTCTCGTCAGAAACGAAGGGCGATGAGCGGGCAAATGAGTTATGTGTCTCGCGGATGAGGTCTGAGTTGGAGAGAGCTTCTCCACGTAGCTGTGTTATCATCAGTATACTGTCCCAAGCTATCCCACTCTCTTGCCCCTACGTCTGATGGAAATGCTGAAGTGAAGTCCTTGAACTCCTTCAGATTTGGCCCGATCTCAACTCCCCCCTCATCTGGCGTGTCGTCCTTGTTCAGCAGTACACTGAGCAACGCCTGAGTACCGCAAGCATTCTGGATCGTCTGAGCAGCAAACCACAAGGGCTTACCCTCGCCTTGTCCCTCTAGTGCTCCGTAGTCGAACTCGCCATCGAGCGGTGAGTCTCGTTTTGGCTTTTCGTCGGTAGGATATTTGAAGAGGAAGATGACACCGATGGGGTTGAGTTGTTGTAACGATTCTGCGTCTAGTGAGATGAGTTCTTCGAATTGCACTTTCTCGACGCCCAGCGATTCGATCAGGTAGGTGAAGACGCCCTGTTTGATGGATCAGTATTCGATAATGGGGTATGTATAGATTGGCCTGCTTTCGTACTGCGTCGCTCTCGATCGTGTTCCAGCCGCCTGACATGTTGACTTTTCTCTCCTTCGATAATACGCCTGTCCACCTGAGAGAGTGATATGTTCCTGTCGCGTGGTCGACTCGTGTTTCAAAGCAGCTCCCTAAGCGAAACCTACGAAGCTCAGGCCATACGTGACGCAAGCCAAGACTGTCAACATCTGCTCGAAGCAAGGCAAGAGCTCTGTCGGCTCCTTCCTTCGCATGTGATCTTTCGCAAACCTCACATTCTTCTACTGCACCTGCCTCAACTCGTCTTTGCCCAGTGAGCCTACAGCAAGAACAAGCCACCGTCCTGAGGCGCAGCACATATTGATTCTCCCTCCCTCCCAGTGTCTTTAGAGTTCCTGCAGCGGCCAAACAGCGAGAGCGACCTCACCTCTTCACCCAGCAACATGTCCTACGCAGATATCGCGGCTAAGGGCCCCAAGCAGAGCGATGAGGAGGTCAGTCTACAGTCTACTCACTTCTACACCACGTTTTCAGGCTAACAATCACCGCAGAAGTGAGTCCATCTCATCCATTGTTCCCTTCACCCGCCCCTCAACATCCTTGACAGAGCTCCATCTCAAAGTATCGGTACCTAACACCATCTGTACAGAATGCCAGCGCATATCCCCGAACTCCTCCACGACGACAGCGGCGTCCACTCCCTCGACTCCCTGAAGAGCGACAACGACCACGTCCAATCCCTCTCCTCCCACACCAGCTCCTACGCCGACCAGCAGCTCGCCGAGGAGCGCGCCCAGGAAGCCCGACAGAAAGCCACCGACGCCGCCGACGAAGTCACCAAAGAAGCCAAGGACTTCCTGCAGCGCGCCGAGGCGGATGCGCAACGCCTGGAAAAGGACGGCGAGAAGAAATTTGACTCGTTCAAGAGTCAGGCGAAGGAGGTCAAGGGCCAGGTCGGCAAGTCGCTGAGCGCGGATAAGGAGAAGGCGAAGAAGGGCGCCAAGGAGGCGGAGGAGTGGGCGGAGAAAAACAAGAACAACCCCGTTGTCATCGGCAATGCGGTTGTGATTGCCGCGTTGGGTGTATTGTTGGGGACTGGTGCATACCGAATGCACAAGGCGAACACCCTCACATGGAACGTTGCCGGCGCATGGGCGGGTGCTGTTGGTCTGTTCGCAGTGGGCGACTACTACGTATCGCAGTAAGTCGTGAATTCCCATCGGCAAAGTTGAGATACTAACATTCTGCCAGATACTTCTTCAAGAAGTACCCACCAAAGAACTAAACTGCCTCAATAACGTTACTGGAGAGACGGCCGAAATTGGACTGAACGAGGAACGAAGTTGAAGAAGCGCGTACGGTGCGTGGAGGGGAAACCCTGGGCAATACTTTTCTGTCGATAAACCTTTTGTCTTTGTCTTTGCCTAATTGCATCTCGACTCTATACGACTACTACGACTGGGAGCTTGCCGATTGCTGGAAAGCTGGTGGTACTGCGTACGTAGCTGGGCAGGCGTTTTGTGATGCTCGCGTGTAAAATACTAAGACCTCTTTCTCATCAATGCTGACACAATCCGCTTTCTGAGAGGCGAGAATTCACATGGAGCGTTTTCGTGAAACCGAGCCTGAATTGAGCAATCGAACCAAATGCCAGGGGTCCCAGAAATGCGCATTGTTCTAAAGTGACATCTCAAGACACCGTTATCACTCCATGGGTCTACGCCTTCCTCTCAGGCAACACAACCCAACAAGCCCCTCCAGCCGGATGCGAAATGACAAAATTATTCACCGCCATGCTCTCCTCGGTCGTCTCAGGGGCCAATTTCGCACCCCTATATTCACGGAAGAAGAGCGTCGCAGCCATTCGTATCTCCATCATGGCGAGATGTCTGGGTTGATTGTGTTAGCATGAACAGCATTCGTGAAGATGGATAAGGGAGAAGAAAGCTTACCGACCAATGCAGACCCTCGACCCAGCGCCAAAAGGCCACCAGGCTGCTTTGGAGGTTTCTGAGTTGGTTGCTGGGCCGTTGGGCAGCCAGCGGGTGTAGTCGAATCTACATATACGACCGGCGTCAGTGAGCATCCAAGCAACTCTGGAAGTTTTCGTTATGGACTCGCCTCTCAGGATCCGGAAAGAACTCTGCATTCCGCTGCGTCACCCAAGGGCTCGTCGACACGACCGTCCCCTCCGGTAAGAAGTACCCCTGAAACGTCGCACCTCCCTTAGGAACGACTCGAGGCTCAGGGAACGGCGAAGCGGGATAGAGTCTCAGCGTCTCCTGGATGACGGCGTTCAGGACGGGGAGTTTCTCCAGTTCGCTATCCCGCATGGGTTCCTCAACAAGAGCCACCTCCTCCTCGAGCAGCTTCTGGGTTTCTGGATGCGACAGCACAGCCCAGACCAAATACGTCAACGTCTCCGCCGTGGTGTCACTGCCCGCTGAGATGAGATTCCCCGCTTCGATCAGGATCTGCTGGTCGGTGAGGGTTCCTTCGTCGTTGGCCTTCTCGCCTTGCGATAGGATGCTCGAGAAGATGTTGCGGTCCGTGGCATCTGCGCGGCTGTTTCTCACCGCTACGGAGGCGATGTCTGCCAGCTCCACGTGCGCTTTGAAGTAGGGCGTCCAGGCGGGGATGGGGATGTGCGTTGCGAGGTTGTAGACCCAGGGGAGCATGAGGGCGAGCATGTTGATTTTGTTGCTGCGGAGGATGGCGTCGGAGAAGGTGCTGTTCTGGAGCCGACACGTCACGTCAGCGAGACATCGTCGTAAATTGATAGATTCTGCTCACCTCCCCCGTCTCCAACCCCCCAAACGACTTCCCAAACGCCACCTCCGAAATCACATCACTCGCCATAATCATCCACCACCTCCTCACATCCACCACCCTCCCTCGCCCATCCACAGCATCCCTCCCAATCCCCTCAACAGCTTTCCGTGCCTTCTCCCTAACCATCCCCTCCCACGCCCCCCTCAACCCACTCACCGCAAACCCCCTCGCAAGCAACTTCCTCCTCCCGGCATGCTCATGGAAATCCCTCATCTGGAACAACCCCGGCGGGCCCCTATCCGCCTCCGTCATAGCGATATAATCATACCACGGCGCCTTCGCGAACCCAGCGCCGATCTTGTGGACCGCTTTGATGTCTTCGAGGGAGGAGAGGCCGATCTCGTTGGGGCCGAGGCGCACGATGGGGCCGTGGGTTAAGTGTAGGGAGGTGAGGTATTGGGCTTGGCGGAGGAGGAAGGCGGAGTTGTAAAAGTAGGGGATGGGGCTGAGGCGGTTGGGCCAGGGGCCTGGGATGGCGTTGAGGGGGGAGGTGAGGGTTCGGGTGAGGGACTGGGTGGTTGGGAGGGTCAGCGTTTGCGAGGTTTATTTGCGGGATTGAAGTTGGTCGATGTTTGGTCGTACATACCAGTGCGATCGGTGCGAGTAGCAGGCAAGTAGCGAGGATTAGAAGCCATACTGGCACGTCAGAAGGGAAGAGCATGTTGGACGTGTCTCGTGTTCGATATAGGTATTGCACAAGAATTTGTTGGCGTCGACATATATATGGATCTGGCTGTCACAGCAGTCGTTTTGACATGCATCTTCGACCGGTCTTTCGGATCCCCTGCCTCGCACGCTCGAAAGCCCGAAAGTCATATATAGCCAGCGCGGTTGCAGTAGCGGGCGAAGGCTCCCCTGAATGGTCCACTGCCAAGGAGTAAATAAGAGGCTACATCGGAGCTTGACGCTTGATGTCGACGCAGTCGGGCCTATGAAGGTCTTTCGGCGGCGCCAACAGTGTTCCATCCCGAGGACCCATTCGATACCGTCGTCACTGTGGGAATTTTCGTTTAGATCGTCTTTGTAAACCACCAGAGGGTTCTTGGGTATCCTCCGAATCCGCCTAGTTCGGAGCGTCACAAGTTCCGATCCATCAGTGCCAAGACGTGTGCTGGTTTTGCTGCGATGAAGACTGAGGCACGTGAAGACTCGGAGTTTCACTGACCAGTCTCGCTGATCAAGGTATCGTTCAGTCTGATAGAAGATCAGAGAAGTCGGCAATAGAAGTCTTCCTCCGCGCTAGTCTTCGAGAGATGTCTCCGCAGGCCACGCAGGGGTCGCATTCCTGAGGGCAATCATCGAGATCCCAGACTTCTTCGACAGTCAAATGAATCACAGAAGTAGTCGATACCATGAGTTCATCCCCGTAAGCCATCCACCACATCTTTCAACCTATCCCATCCTTCAGTTCCTTCCCAATTCTCCTTCCCTCGTCCCATGATTCCTCTCACTGCACTTCTTGCCTTGAACTTCCAGTCCTTCATTACAAGCTCACCCGAACCTGCCGCCATTCCCTCGGTCCTCTGCTTGGGCCCAAAGCTCTCATATGCCTCGCAAAGTCGTACAGTCGCCTCGACGACCTCATTCCACCGGGCTTCGCTTTCGCCTGTCTCCCAGCCGGGTTGGCTAGTCACGGCCCTCCAAGCCTTTTCTTCGGCGTCAAGGGCAGTGGAAGGCTTGTTCCTCCAAAGTGCGAGTTTGGCGACAAGCCGCCACAGCTCTGCAGACGCGGTAATGAGAGGTACGACGCTTTGGTCAATGAACTTGACTGTCATGCGAGCGAGACCAGGTTGCTCGGGGTCGTAAGTCTCATTGGTGGCAATGATGTGATTGACGAGGGCGCTGACGATCTCGACATCGATGCTCTTCTCGCCTTCGGTAGGTCCTCGGAGATCGATGATGCGTTTCTGGGCGGCAAGAATGCTAGTATAGTCAGGAGGGGAGAGCGATGCAGCAGCGATGAGAACGTTTGTCCATATGCGGTGGGAGTCGTGCTTGAGCCTTGCCGCACGCTTGAGAGCTGCAAGAGCCTCTTGACGAATGCTCTGTTGCCGGTCGTGAGACGTTGAGGGTTCGTCTGCAACGGTCTCGTCCTCGTCATCCAGCTTGACCTTGTCGCCCTCTCGTTTGATGCTGATATTGTCTGGATCGGTTCGCAGTAGTGCGGCAGCAAGATTACTCCACGCTTCCGCATCTGTCTCATCGAGTTGGACACAGCGAGAGAATGCTTCAGCAGCTTTCTCAAATTGTGCAAGCTCGAGCAGCGCGCATCCCAGTGCGAACCAACTCTGCTGATTCAGCTGGTTGACCTTCAGACTCTTGCTATACGCCTCAGCAGCTCGAAGCATGTCTCCTGCCGAGAACAATTGCCTTCCAATGGACCGCTGAGCTCGTGCGTAGTGTTGGTTAGACACCGCCCATGCTCGTTCATACATTTCAACGGACTGGTCGATGTCACCTAAGATGCAGTAGAGTCGGGGCGCGTCAAGCGGAGGAGGATCACGAGCTGGCCCATTCCACTCTTCGTCTTCGGAGATGTTGTCTTCTGACACATCGGGGCCGCCGTTGGCTGCATGAAAAAGCTGGCGGCGCACGATACGCTTGGCCTTCTCTTCACGCTCTGTAGCAGCCCAGCAGAGAGCGGCCTCTGCCCACATCTCTAAGCGTTCATATATCTCGAGGGCTGATCTCAGACCACCCAACTGCACCCAACGAGAAGCAAGCTCTGCCTCAAGTTCCCAGCGTGATGGTGTTGCCAACGGGAAAATGTACCGTAGTCGGTCCGTCACTGGTGCGCTCTCGCCGTCCTTTGCCTTCGGCAAGAACGTTGTAGTCTGTGTTGCTGTATCGGCGTCTTCCTTGCTAGATGATCCTGCACCTGTCGTGTCTGCAATGACTTGATCTACTAAGGCTTGCAGTTGAAGCAAACCTCTTTCTATAGTCCGAGACCTGTAGCCTTCGATTCTACTACGAACGAGCAGAGCTTGCGTATAGACCTGCCAATTCGAACTGCCACCTTCGAGCACACGAGTCGCATACGGCAGAGTCTCTTCCCTCGTCAGACCGTTGGCGGGAGAGGTGTTCGTGATGGACGAAGCGAGAAGTAGAAGGATTGTGGAATCCAGTGGCTGCAGCTGAGGCTGATTTGAAGGGTCGATGGCTTTCAGCGAGGGAGGTAGGGAGTCGCTGTCTTGAATTTGTGTCGTCGAGGCATCTGCTGGCTTCTCGGAGAACGAGATTGACTCCAGAAGAGTGTCATCGTTAAGATCGATGTTTTCAGGCCTCTTCTTGGACTCGTCGCCGTTCGCGGCCTCTACTGCGGAATGACCCACCTTTGACGTGTCCGGTTCGTTGCTTTCGTGGCTCTTCGCCAACACAACCAGCTGGCTTGTATCGTTCTGCTGATACTTCGTACGTTTACCCAGGAGACCGGTAAGGGCGAAATCGAACTGACGATCCTTTGCAGCTTGGTCCAGGTCAGATCGAGCAAACTTATCCAACCCATGATGTATGTGGATGGTTGCCCGCTCAAGAACAAATTCGGCTTCCAGAGCGGCACGGTCTCCCTGGTATGAAGTGAAGTCATCTTGAATCAACTCCAGGTCATCGTAGATAACATCCTGCAGGGTGGATGACACTTCTGACAGCAGTCGCTGATGCAGGAATGAAACCCTCAGCTTCGCCCACCTGGCGGCCTTGACATTCTTCAATACGGCCGGACATGTCATTACCGCATCTGCAAGACAGAGAAGTTCGATGTGCGGCGTCAACTTGTTCGCAGCAATGCCATCTACAGTCAACCCAGCCAGAAGTTGTTTCTGTATCCCTTTACGCCCATCTCCAGGTAAGGTCAGCTCCGATAGCTGGAACTCCAACGGTGGTCCCGTCACATTCGACTGAACAAAAGTCAAGAGCGCGGCATATCCGAGGCAGAACAATATGACTTGCTTCTCTGGTTTGGAGCGGTCTCCGCAGAAGACACCTAGCCGATGGAAAATCCAGTCACTCCAGCTTGGGAAGTCTTCGATCTTGCTCGACTCAAGGCTGGCATCATTCTCCTGTCCAAACAGGATCCGTGCCTCTGTAGATCGCAGCAAACTTTCAAACTGGCCGTTTTCGAGGTTGCTCAGGTGCGACTCTGCAAGGTTTGCAACTTCTTGTGGTAGGCTCGCCCGAAGATATGTCAACAGTGCGTCGGCCATTCTGGGTTTCAGGGCTTTCGTAGTCGGAAGGAGTGAAATGAGGCTTCTGGTGAGTCTGCCCATCTGCCAGTGTCGCTGGAAATTTTGGCGGTTGAAAATCCGAAGTGGCGCTTGGAACGGTCAAAACTTTTGGCTGAGAGTCCCGAGACTATTGCATATCATAGTATGTGAGTGAATGGAATCTTGGACGCCATCAACTCCTCTCCTCTCCATCATCAACTTCTCAATCTCTTGCGGCCGGGCGCCTTGCATGCAATACCACGTGTGCCATACCGTTGCAATGTGGTCCTCGATACGATGTACGAATCTGGATCAGGATTCTTTCACCCCTCGAGCATTTGAATCCTCCAAGGCTGGCCGGACAACAGCTCGCCCTCGCCGAGAAACACAGCCATCTTGGAGCAACAGAGACTGTGCAGGACAGCAGCATATCCATGCATCGACACGTACATCTGGACAGCTTTATCTTGCATCTCCAAGCCGTCTTGTGTATCTCAAGCTCTATGCACGCCCATCTTAGCCATTAAGAATTTAAGAGTCGACCCAAGCTGCAGCCATCCTTTTTTTAGCTTGTCCATCAGCCCTCATCTCGGCTAGATCAGTCAGCCACGCTATATCCATCTCACTCAGCCTCAGGCCTTCCTCCAGTGGACATCCTTTCGAAAATGCGGCCGCATGTGGTCGTCGACCCAGAACCGTCGGCCCCCATTTCCACGCCAATAGGCCTTGCCGTTCAGCTCCTCCAGCATCCCGGCATCCCTCCCCCAAGTCGTCGCCCGACTGCAGGTCAGCCGCAGATGCCAAGGGCCAGCAGGTAGGCTAGGTCCTGTCGAAGGTATTTGTGTATTAGTGATGGACGAGGTAGCCTCTTCTTCTTTCCAGTTCTCTTCCTTACGTTGAAGGGCCCTAATTTTTTGTTTCGAGTATTCCTATCTCGTAGTATACTTATCCTCCTAATCATCTGTACACGTAGTACAGGCTCACCTCACCCTGATCAAGGTCATCAAATCCTGGAGTTCCAAGCAGGCGCAAGACGTAGAGTCTGACACAGCGTCCGTCTCGCTACAGGACCGAAGCGTGACACGATACAACGCTTCACAAGCGCAGCAAACAAAAGCACAATACAAATCCTGCGTTGTCCATTGTTTCGCATTCAAGGCATCTGCGACCGCTCCCAGCACAATGGCGCCTCCACTCACCCTCGTCCTCTGGGTCTCCATTGGCGTCCTCATGGTCGACTCAATCATCGAACTCTCCTTCGTAAGCAGCATGGTCGCCTGGCTGCACCGACGAGCAGGCCGCGACTTCGAAATCGCCTACAACGGCTCAACCTACCCCCTCCACGGCAAACCGCTCAACCTCCTCGTCAACCAAGGCCACACCAGCAACGGCGCCGCAGGAACCGCTTTCGTCCTGATAGGTATGGGCGGGATTCTCGCGCTATGGCTGCGCACTCGTACCAACGGCTTCCTGGGCAAATTCGGCAAGTTCTGGTATACGTTCTGGCTGGTCATGACCATCCCGTCCATGCTCCTCTCCCTCGCCGCGCTCATCTACACCATGGTGCTCACGTACCAACACGACAACCAAACCATCTCCAACGCCGTCGCATCCCAACTGAACAACCACCCTTACCCCAACTACGTCGCCTACCCACTAGACTCGTGGACGCCAGAGAACTGGTTCGATGCGGTGCTGAAGCTCGATCTTGTGAATAGCAGTGATCGCAGCAATATCGAGGAGCATTTGAGGGTCATGAGGGGTTGGAGGTGGAATTTGATCCCGATGTTTATTATTGGGCTTGCGGTGTCGGCTGTGGCTTTTGCTGAGTTCTTGATTGTGAGGCGGAGGAGGGGTGGTGCTGGCGGTGTGAGGGAGCTGGAGCAGAAGAGTCTGTCGTCGTAATGGAGTGGGTTGGGAGACAGACGGCCTGGGAGGCTAACGAGATTTACGACTTTCGATGTCTATGTATATAGAGACGGCAGTGGGGTCAGAACGCCATTGGTATAGAGACTTTAATGATGACTTGGGACCATGACAACCTCGCACAGCTCTTCTATTTGTATACATCTATTCTTCCATCATCGCAATGCCTATCTCTCTCTCAACAATGGCCCCGTCTTCAACGGCGGCGCAACCTTGAAATCAACCTTCTTCGGCAACTCATCCTGACACCAGTTCGCAATTCCATACCTCAGCCAGTGTCCATACGTCCCCGGAACATCATCCGCGCCCTCGTGCTTCCTCCACAAGGAGCCAAGAGTCTGACCCATAACCCGGATGATGATCCCATGAGCGAGCTTGAAACCAAAGCTCTTCACCAAACACGCCTCGACAAACTCCCTCGCGAGCTTCTGGTCGCCACTCTCGACCTCGCCTTCTTTCGGCAAAGGAAGAGACATCAACTCGAACTGTCGCAGCCCATTCCACATCGTCATCTGGTTGATCAATTGCGATGCCTCCATATACTCCATCGCATACACATTCTTCGCAACATACTCCGTGCCATTCCAGCCGTCTTCCTCATCCACAAGTCCCAAGACGAGTTTGATCACTTGTCCCTGGATGATATAGTCACTCAGCATCTTCCGCACTTCCTCATGCGGATAGACCCGATCGCCTTCCTTGAACGTCCAGTCGAAGCCCTCGCCCATGGGTTTCAGGCCGCCGAGGAGAGGGGACGTGTGCATACCCTCCGTGTCGGATTTGCCTTCCCAGAGTTTGAGGAGAAGCTTGTGCGAGCGGTAGAAGAGCGGATTATTTTTATCCGAGGCGAGGAAGTAGTTCGTCAGGCCTCGGCCGTCGTCTTCGAGCATGATATACGAGATCACTTCGTAGGGTGACTTGGGGTCTCCGATCGTCTCGTTCCACAGCCGGTCCAGGTCCCCAATCTGCAGCATACCCACATCTGCATAGACACCTCCGTACTTGAATAGCAAAGGAAACCGCACGAGATCAGAAGTATGCTGCGGTGCATAGTCCCCTCCAATCGTACCATCCACAAACGCCTGAGGAAAATCATCTGTCGAATTGACGTCCAGAAAATTCGCCACGTTCAGTGGTGATCCTTCCACTCGGTCAATCACACGGATTGTCCAGCCCTGTGGTGAGAGTCGGCGATAGTAAGCTCGGACGTTGCGCTGGGTGTAGGGGTGCATGCAGGCGAAGCCTTGATGCCAGAAGAACCAGATGTTCTTTTCTGATGTGATGGGAGGTGGATTGAGGATGACTTGGTCTATGGCACTATCAGGTCGGAGGTCGAGGAGGTCGTGGGGAATGGCGTGGACGCCTGCTGGGATTTTGTAGTCCATGCTGGTGGTGGTTGTTGCTGCGTTTGTTGACAGGGAAGAGCTGAAGGTGGCCAGTGTGGCGGTGAGCTTGGTCAGATCGGCCTGGGAGAGTGCTCAGTGGATTTGACTTGTGTCGATGGACGTCTGGTAAAGTTGGCGATGGGGTTCTTATGTCGAGTTGTCGTCCCTTGCATGGGTGTAGTCCGATGTGGGACATTGACCAATCAGAACGATCCACTCACGATGATTCATATTGAGTTCGCGCTTGCATGAGAGCTAACCCTATCAAGAAGGAGCGAACCATTTGACACTGCCCCCACTCACTTCAACGTTCGAACTTGACACGAGCAAATATCACCATCATCTCTAATTTCCTAGAGCTATCCCGAAACATTCCCCAAAGCCGCCAGCAAAGCCGCAACCTCCTGACATCCTCTCTCCGCCCAAAACTCCATCGACCGCATCTGCTCATGTGCAATCGCATAACAACTGTAGATTCCCGCAGTGCTGTTTCCCGCTGAAGCATGTAGTTTCAAACCAATCGAAAGAATCAGAAACACCAGACACCGAGCCATACGCAGCGAATATGGCGTCAGCAGAGAAAGATTTGTATGAGCTGCTGGAGTGACTGTGCTCATCAAGTCGGGGACATCGTAGACAGCTTCTAGGCAAATTTTGAATGCTGTGCGCTCTAGTGGTAGTAGGATATTGGAAAAAGCGTGGTCTGCGAGCAGCTCAGCCTGAGCTTTCGATGGGATCTGTTCTGTCGTCATGGTCTCCTCTAAATTTATCGCTGACATATCGAAGGGATTCTGATCGGTCCATTCACCTTGAGGTGAGAGCGGCATCTCGAGATTCATCGCACAGAAGCCTTGGTCTAAGCCTCCAAACGACGAAATGGATGATCGACGAGAAAGCCAGCCTTGTGCGGTTGGTGACTCCGGTGCTTGCAGCAAGGCATGCCGCTCGCTCGTATCAGCAGCCCATTGAGAAACTGGTGGCGTACGCATGTTGGCCTGGGTCAGGGGCGCTAACATATTTGTTCCAAAGGCATCCATCCCGTAGGACGAGGCTGAGATGGCTGAGAAGGGATCAGGCGATGAAGCACGGGATGTGCCTGAGAAGAGGCTTGGTGATGGTGAAAAGGGCGACGGAGAAGGCGGTCGACTTCCATGAGGTCCTGTGATTTGGATTGTCGGTACTGTCAGAGAGAGCGACTCGTCTGTCATGGGAGTCTCGTTCGACATATCGTTGAAGGAGAGCGACCGCTGCAGACCAGGGTGATCGAAGCTCGTGTCCAGATGGAGTTCCGGTCGGCCATGGCTCTCGTCGAAGAAACTCTGCCCTCCAGTCGCAAAAGCCTGATCACTGGATGTCACCGCCGCCAGCCTTGCTTCCAGCTGTCGCACACGATCCGCGAGCGCAGCATGCTCAGCCGCAGAACTACATCCAGTCAGTGAAACGGAATCAACAGTCCCATCAAACTAAAGAACATACCTCCCACCCCTCTCCCTCCCAGCCTCAGGCCTCGCACACCTCACCCCGAACCTCGCGCATGTCCCACAAGGCTGCATGAGGTCGCATTTTATCTTGCGCCGTCTGCATCGAACGCAGGCAGAGAAACTTTTTCGTCCCTGCCTGACAAGTGCCTGATTATCATAGACCGGGTCGCCGATCGTCGCTCGACGGGTAATACCAGGCTGAGCATCGTTGTCGATTGGTGAGCCTGAGGGGTCCATCTTTGCTTGTGTTGTCGTTGCCTTCTTGTCATCTCATAAGCCTTGTCCTTGATTGTTGGAGATGTTGTGAGATGTTCTCCACTCTCGCATCCTTTATCTCCCGCCACCTACCACCAGACAAGTAGGCTGTGCATACCCCCGAGAACACAAGGTCAATCGTCGCGGACGTTGGCCGAACAAACACACAACAAAAACTTCACCTCAAACATATACAACCCCGGGCCATTGAGTTATCATATGCCCCCAGTCGCCGACCCTCGCACACTTTTAGTTCTAGAGCACAAGCAAGCAACGAACCCCTCACTTCAGCCAGAGAGCAAAAACCGCATCCTGCAAGCTTAGTGCGTTTGCACAGCCTCCACGCCCAGGCTTAGCCCAATCTCTGGGCGAACATTTTGCCCATATGCGAGGGATTGCTTCTCTGGTTCTCTTCAATGCAAGACATCGGGATACCCAAAAGGCGGGGAGACGGAAGGAATATTGAACATGTCTCGTGATGGCGACCGGCAAATCGATCTGGCTCATGGTATGCTCGGCGAGGTTCCGTACGGTGAGAAGACCGTGAGGAAGGAGGAAGGAATGCGAGAAGTCGGATTTTGAGCGGATTTGAGGTGTCGTAGGCTATTTACATTGTTTTCGGTAAATGAAGGGGGAATGGTATCCAATCTCTCGTGCTGTTCGTCATGTTTCTCTAAGTCTATTCGTATGTGTGTTCCAACTCCGATGGAATCATGCCGCTTGTACGCAATCACCAAAAAAATCTCAAAGATACTAATAAGAAACTTCCTACTTCTCCTCGTGCTGAGTCTTGCCGCCCTTTTCCTCATCTTGCACTTTGTTCGACTCGTCAAACTTCTCGACCTCCTCTGCCTCCTGCGCGACTTGCTCGCTCTCCTTTCGCTTCCTGCGAAGGCTGCGGATCTTGCGCGAGGCGGCGTGGGTCCACCGGCTGAGTGGGCGGTAGACCAGAACCACGGGCCTCCCACAGAACTTGGCGATCTTCTCGAAGAGCCAGTCTGGGAACAGGCGCACGAGGATCGCCCACGGAAGACACAACGCCGCGATGACGAGTGAGATACCCCAGTCCTTGCCGTCGATGCGCTGGATCTGGAAAGCACGCCCGCCGACGAACATGATCATGATTTGGCAGCCGACCATGATGCCGCAGACAATAATGAAGAGGTAGTTGCGATGGATTCCGGTGAAGATGTTGAACTTGTTGTCCAAGCGACGGTTGTTGAACATGTTGAAGACCTGGAACCAGACGAAGGTGTTGAACACCACGGAGCGGATCTCGGTGCCGTCGAAGGGGTAGTTCAGGATTTGAGGGCCAAGGTAGTAGAGCAAGAATGTCGCGATGAGCTGGAAGATGGCTTGTCCGATGATCATCTTCCACATGATGATGGAGATGAGTGGAGCAGAGCGTTTTGCGGGCTTGCGGTCGAGGATCTCTTCGGTAGGAGGGTCAGAGGCCAAGGCGAGAGCAGCCATGGAGTCCCTATTGAGGGTTAGCTATGTTGTTGGAACATATTTGTGGGTTAGTGACTTACATGATAAGGTTGATCCAGAGCAGTTGAATAGCAGTGAGCACAGAGCGCATGCTCTCGTTTGCAACAGCGGAGACGAAGGTGATGATGACGGCCGTGATGTTGACCGTAATCTGGAACTGCAAGAACTTGCGGACTGCGTCGTTCACAGCACGTCCCCACATCAGGGCAGTCAAGATCGATGCGAAGTTGTCGTCCATGAGGATAATGGCGGAAGCCTCCTTGGCGACCTCAGTTCCAGCAATACCCATAGAGAAACCAATGTCGGCAGCCTTAAGCGCGGGTCCATCGTTCGTACCGTCGCCAGTGACAGCTACGATCTCTCCGAGGTTGCGGAGACTGGTGACGAGAATTCTCTTGTCTTCGGGGGACGACCGAGCAAGCACCTGTAGCCTGGGGAGGATCTCATTCATCTTCTCGGGTTCCAGGGTCCTGAAAACAGGTCCTTCCATGACGATTCCGTCAGTGTAGATGCCGCACTCAGTAGCAATAGCCTTGGCAGTGGTGACGTTGTCGCCGGTGACCATGCGAACCGATACGCCTGCGAGATCACACTTGGCGACGGCTTCTGGCACGCCGGGGCGGACAGGATCTTGGATACCGACAAGACCGTCGAACGTCATGTCTTTGAGCACTAGGTCGAAGTTTGCAGAGGTTGGGTCGTGCTCGTCGGCGCATCCCGCTGGTGGCCATTGGGTGAACCTTCGAGAGATCAGAGCGATAGTGCGAAGGGACTGCTTTGCGTAGGAGTCGATGATAGACTCAAGTCGCTCACGCTCGGTACCATCCATTTCCTGAATGCCAGATGGAGTAGCAAGGCTAGTGCTGTGGCCAAGCAAGATCTCAGAAGCGCCCTTGATCAGGAGAAGGTGGGAGCCGTCTGCGAGCTTTTGAACAGCACCCATGCACTTGCGGCCAGAGTCGAAAGGCATGAGCTGGACGACTTGTGCGTTGGAACGTTCTTCACCGAGAGGCCCCATACCAAGAGTGCGAGCGAACGAGAGCAGAGCAGTCTCAGTCTTGGATCCGACGAAGCTGCCATCCTCTGATTCGAAGGCCGTGGAGTTGATCGCAATTGCTTCGACGATGCTTCGCTTCTCCTCGCTGGTCAACTGAGAGGCAAAAGCAGATGATGTGGTCTCGCCGCCGTTCTTGTTCTTGTCGTCAAAGGTGCGACCGCCGAAAAGTCCGGTTACGACAGTCATCACGTTGGTCGTCAAGGTACCCGTCTTGTCCGAGCATACAGTAGTCGCGTTACCCATCGTCTCGCAAGACTTCAGGATACGGACAAGATTGTTGAGCTTGACCATGCGTGTAGTGGCGAAGGCGAGGGCCAGCGTAACTGCAAGAGGCAGACCTTCGGGAACTGCGACGACAATGACCGTGACTGCGACAATGAGGATGTCCAAGAATTCGGAAGCCTTTTCAGATGAAGTGCCAGTGTTCCCGGACAGGTCACCGAGGAAGCGGAAGAGCAAGACGAAGAAGAGCAGAAGAGCAGCGCTCGTTCCGAGCTTTGCAATCGCAGTCGCGAGACCATCAAGCTTGACCTGCAATGGCGTAGCCTCCATTTCGACACGCATCGACATGAGAATCTTGCCGTAGCTGGAGTTGACACCCACAGATGTAACGAGGAAGGTTCCAACACCTTCAAGGACCTTGCTGCCAGAGATGATGAAGCAGTCGAGATTCTTGAGATCGGTGTGGCCTTCTTCGATCATGCGCATGACCTGCTCGCCGCCGACCTTCTTGAGCGCATCGGATTCGCCAGTAGCAGAGGACTCATCACACTTGACGTTGTGACCGCTGATGAAGACGCCGTCCGCAGGGACCATGTCTCCAGGCTCCAGATGCATAACATCGCCGGCCATGATGTCGAACACGCTGACCATGACTGACTTTCCAGATCGAATAACCTTGACCTCGCGGTTGTCCTTCTTTGCATTGAGTTTGACGAAAGCGCGCTCCTTCTGCCAGTCATTCAACGAGCCGACGAGAACCACGATCAAGATTGCGATGATGATAGCGCATCCTTCGATCCAGTCCACTGGCATTGGTGCACCAGGTTCGTGTTCAGCGCCGAAAGTTTCGTAAAGTCCAAGGGCAAGAGAGATGACGGCGGCGACAGAGAGCAGAATGAGCACTTTGTCGTTGTATGCCATCCACATGAGTTTCCATAGCGGTGTGGCTTTCTTCTCAGGCAGTGCATTGTTGCTGAACACTTTCAGACGATCGTTGAAAGAGCCGTGTCCTGCGCTGGTTGCCCCTTGATGCGCCGCCGGGTTCAAAGGAACCTCATCCCATCCGATGGGCCTTGTTTTGTTTGCATACTGGGTGGCTTCGTTGAATGTCACCTTTCCCTCCAAGGTCGACTCATCAGCCGAAAGCCCAGTCTCGATGTTCGTTCGAAGTCCTCGCTCGATTCCTCGGATACCTCCCAACGCAACATAGGCAGGAAGTGATTTCGGGTTGAGGAGCTTGTTGAGCTGGCCAGGCGAGAAGGCGAACTTGTTGTCTTGCACTTCGAAGTCCTTCTCGGATCCAGGGTCAGGCTTGAGCGCGTCGTCTCGGTCGACATCGCTAAAGATGCTAGATGCACTGCTTTTCTCGCCATGCGAAGTATCAGGAACTTTGAGTGTCGAGTACGCTGCGGTGCTACCACTCAGCGACCGATCTCGTCCAGTCAAAGGCGTTGCAAGCAGACTTGTAGGTGATCTATCTCCCGAGAAATGATTTGGTGTGCTAGGGGTAGGCATTATCTCGTTGTCGGGCTGTCGGGATGTCAGGATCGGTCGCGCAGAAGTAACGTAACCCGAACTCACCGAAACCTCAACGTCTATACGCGGCAGTGCTGGAGTGCCCGCCATGTTGACAGCAGGTTGATATCTATGGTTAGACCGGTGTGCCGTATCATCCAGCTCGTGCCTCAGGCTGTACGAAAGAGGAAATGTGTGAGATGATGATGGAGCGGCCTCTGGTGAAGGGTGCTTTGTGTTTTGTGCTCCCTGGCAGGCGACTCAAGCCGCCTGTTAATGATGCTCCCAAGCGAGGCGCAGCAACATCCCTTGTGCTGGGATGGTCCCACGGCGGCCAAATCGCCAAGATGTGAGGCATTCTCACTCGAGACCGAGGCGGAGCGACAATTCCAAGAGTGTCCAAGAGCGCGGACGAGAGCTGTAGTGACGGCGATTGCCTCCGTGTGGAAGTACCTACTGGGTCTACTGGGCGGCTAGTTGCCAAGGGCGAAAAGCTTCTGGCGCCTGTCGATGGCGAAAAATTCGTTGCCATCACGCTGTTGAATGTAGGCGCAGTCCGACAGACGACGTCCAAGACTCCAAGAGTTAAGGCACGGGCCAAGACCGCATGTGCATGGCGCTAGTCCATATCGGGGCGTCTGGTTTCCAAAACGCCGGCCTGGGCCGCCGATGTCTTCTCGCACATGTAACCGCACCTGCATCCCTCTTCTGCACATCCGCTCTGGAAAGCCGCTTCGGCATGTCGAAAAGCTGCTAGATCTGCCCATGCGTGAGTCGCGTGCTAACAGTTTGTCCCATGGGGACCCCGCATACACGCCCTAACCGACGCCATGTGGCACATGGAAGTCTCGAAGTCTCGAAGTCCCTGTCTCTGGGCACCATTGGTCATTGACCCTTCTCCGCTCTTCGTGGAGTGCAGCAGCGGATAATGGCCGTCAAGACGGCATGTATAAGGTGCTATGGATCTGCATGTGTATATCTGTAGGCGGCCTCAGGTCTTACAGAGACTTGGACTTCTAGTTCTGTACGAAGCGCATCTGGGCGGCTTGAAGTCTGTCCCTTGAGTTTGTTTTACATTTTACCTTGTACGACAGCCATCATGGGGTTCAGTCTCCATGCAAGCAACACAAATGACCCGCCAGAGGTCCGCAATTGGCGGATCCACCTCATGGCAGTCATCGTCTCCATGGGGGCGTTGGCCAGTAAGCCCAGTCATCTCTACATGGCACACCATGTCATCTTGCTTGTTTTGAGATGCTTACATCTTCACAGTGGGCTATGATACCAGTGTGATTGGCGGGACGCTGGCTCTCGACTCCTTCCGAAGAGACTTTGACCTTGTCGACAAGAGCAGCACTCAGACAGATACACTACAAGGCAACATCGTCAGCTGCTTCCAGGCGGGCGCTTTCTTCGGACCATTCATCACCTACCCCATTGCGGACAGAATCGGCAGAAAAAATGCAATTCTCATTGCCAGCATCATATTCCTGATCGGAGGCACTTTGATGACAGCGTCCAATGGCATACTTCCTTTGATATACGTTGGACGAGCCATTGCCGGCTTCGGTATCGGCTCCGCGTCCCTCATGATTCCAGTCTACATCTCCGAAACCAGCCCACCATCGATTCGTGGCCGACTCGTGGGCATCTTCGAGATCCTTTCTCAAGGAGGGGGTATGCTGGGTTTCTGGATCAACTATGGTAAGACTCACGTGGATTAATTGACTGACAGCTTGTGCTCACACTTCACCAGCGGTCAATCGAACAATCTCGGTGGAGTTGAAAGCACAATGGATCACACCTTTGGGGTTACAGTTGCTCCCTGGTGCGTTGTTGATGATTGGAGTTCTTTGGTGCCCAGAGTAAGAAGACCTTTCCTCGTCCTGTCCTGATAAATCATGCTGAAGAAGATATGATAGATCACCTCGCTACTACGTGAAGAAAGATCAATGGGAGAAAGCCATCAAGACACTTTCCTGGATCCGAAAACTCCCAGAAAACCACCCGTACATTCTACAAGAAGTTGAGGACATTCGAGCTCAGAACGCCATCGCAAGACCACCGCCAGGCGTTAAGCACTCGAAGAGCTATTACGCCAAGCGCCTGTTCCAAAAGGGTACTCGCAACAGGATCGGCATTGGACTTCTGCTCATGGCCTTCCAGAACTTGACAGGAGGTATATCACCGCCAGCCTGATCGCAGCCTGACTTACGTTAACGCTATCACAGTGAATATAATAACTTACTACAGCCCTCGCATCTTTGAGACGCTTGGTATTAGCGGCACAGACACCAAACTCTTCGCTACAGGCTTCTACGGCCTCGCCAAAACCCTCGGCATGATCATCTTCAGCGTCTGGCTTGTCGAACGACTCGGCCGTCGCCCGGGCCTCATCTGGGGTGCTTTCGTAGGCTCCCTGCCGATGTGGTACCTTGGCGGCTACGTCTTCAAAGCGGATCCCACAGCCACCGCAGAAGCCGGCGTGACGAGTCGCAGTGGCGCGGGCTATTTCGCTATGGTGTGCGTGTACCTGTATGGATTGATCTATTGCGCGACGTGGCAGGGGATCACGTGGGTTTATTGCAGTGAGGTGAGACATCGAATCCACGATCGAGTGCATGGAGCAACAAGCTGACGATGACCCACCACAGATCTTCCCACTGGACATCAGAATGCTCTGCGTTGCGATCACGACGGCGGACCAGTGGCTTTGGTCATTCATCATCTCAAGAACGACGCCTTACATGATTACGTCGCTGGGTAAGAGAGCCTACCTACACAGCCCCCTATCAACGATCTAGACTGACAATCGCCAACCAGGATACGGCACGTACTTCTTCTTTGCGAGTTTGATGGTAAGCCTCCTCTCCCGAGACTCGCCTCACTTGTGGCTCAACTAACATTTTCTCATCCAGGTGGCGATGGGTTTATGGTAAGTCAAAACATTTATTCATCGTGGCTGTGCATCGCCCCAAAAGTCTTGGCAAATGTGGCGCAGCCACCCCAACCAAACGCCCCCTCTAACACCTCGTGATCACAGGGCCTACTTTTTCGTGCCAGAGACAAAAGGCAAAACGCTCGAAGGTTCATCGTCCTTATCCTTTCTACCTAATCCTCTCTGACTTTGCCACAGACATGGAACCCATCTTCGGCGCCCCCAACGCCCTGGACACCAGCAGCAAGCTTGGCGGCGACGAGGACCCAGAGGGCGCTTCTCACATTGAAAAGAAGTTTGGCGAAAAGGTCACGTACATTGAGAGTACGAGGGAGAGGTCCAGGACCAGGACACCAGAGCCGCAGCCTGTGACGAGGATTTTGAGCGCCTAGATCACCACGAAAGAGGATGGCGATGCTCCTGGCTGGCAGTGCCCATTCTGCCCGGAGGTCTCTGGGGCTCTGTGATGAAGTGATGACTGGTGATGAGTTTTGTGGGGTTTCGTTCGCAAGACTTTTCTTGTATATACTTGCTTTAAGAGTTAAGAGTGGTGGTTGTACATAGATGACGAAACACTTTACGACAACTAAAAGATTGCTGTCGTTGGAGCGTACCCTCGGTGTTCCGGTCGAAGTGAAACATTCATCCCCATTACTCGTGATCCGGCTTGCCTGCCACAAAGACGTCCGGTCGTTTCGGACTTCCTGCAATCTCTAATTCTACTGTCTCTATTCTAGAGGGTCTATCATTCGCCATTTCGACTTTGAGTGATCGTCGCAGCTCCAAACTTCCGCGCCTCCTTGACGGACTTGATCTGGCTTCAGAGCGTTCTTCCCACGACCCTGAAACCCGTTTGTCCGATCCGATATTGCAGGGGCTCATGCAGCAAAAGTACTCCTAGCTCTCAACGCAGCACCAAACTTCCAAAGCGCAAAGACGCCAAAGATACACCCAACCGCAACTCCCGCAAGGATACTGCAACCAGGACCGATGCCAATGTTGACGAACATAGGTCTCGCAAAGAGAACGCAAGCCGCAGCGAACAGCGCCCTCATCACTTCACTGCCTGCGTACAGCGATGCTGCGTAGTGAGGGTACGATAAGGGGATGTAGATGAGGAGGCATTGAAACCCCATGAAGTTGGAGAGGACCACGATGGTTGCGCCGATTAGGCTGACGATCCAGTGGACGCTTTTTCGGGTTGTCCAGCCTGTTGAGTGTTAGCTTGCTTGCCGGCATGACAGTGAGATTGTGGACCGCGTACCGAATAGAAAGTATCCCATGGGTAGCGCGATGGACGAGAACAAGGCAGGTACGAGGCGGTGTTCTGGACTGCGGATACCATTTTTCTTGACATCGGGGATGAGGTACACGATCTGGTAGATGTTGTAGATGGAGACGCCAATGATGCACGCAACGCCGACAAAGATGAACGAGACACCTGTTTCACCCAGATTGAAGCCGTAGATGGGCGGGTAGACGAGAGCGAATGCTTCGAAGAAGGAGTCTGGAGTGTGCTCAAGTCAGCAAGCGGTCTTCATTAACGAGGCGAGTCTTCATACAGTATATGCCGTAGCATAAGGCCAGCTGATAGCCAGTCAGCAAAATTCAAATTACCTACAGATTTGGCGTCAGAGATACAATTCGATACATACATAGAAATCGGCAAATGCGATAGCCGGATCCTTGAGCATGATCTCAATAGGCTTGACAATCGCCTCGAAGAAGACGCCCGAAAACGTCATATCAGCTTGTTTGATCTCACTGGCAGACTTTAGGTCGTGACGACCAGTGAGTTTTCGCAGCCTATTCGCTCGTTGGAGGAGGACGGTATCAGCTGAGGTCTCTGGCAACGTCAAGAACATCAGGACCCAGATTGGTCCGCCCATCCAGGCAGCTTCCCAGAGACCCCAGCGCCATCTGCGAGAGGAGTAGTCAGTAGCCGATCGAGCTCAGTTTGGGAGGGCTGATTAGATACCCCTTGAACATGACCGCATACCCCGAAAGCAACGGACCCAAGGCTGGGCCGAAGAAAGCGGCAGCAGTCCACGTTGACACATAGACAGGCAACCAGAGCAAGTCGTACAAGTCCGCAATCGACGCTCCACCAAAAGCCAGTCCAGGCGAGGCGAAGAGCCCCTGAAGGAACCGAAGAACCAGAAGCCCCGCATAGTTGTCGACAACCGAGAGGACGACGGAGAGAATGGTGAAGATGAAGAACGTCGGGATATACACGCCATTCTTACCAAAGTAAGGGATCTCTGAGAGAGGTCCGAACAGCAGTGGTCCCACGCCGTACCCAATCACATTGATGGCGAGGCCCAGGGCGGCGGGAGTATAGCCGACGTGGAATTCTTGCATCATGCCCCCTTCACTGCTCACGTAGAGGCTTGAGGATCCATATGTGGTTACTGTGTAGAGCCCGAGTTGGAGAACGACGTTCCATTTCTTCCATTTCGACCAGTTGTGTGGGTTGGAAGGATCGTCGTCGGAGTACCATCCTACAAGGCCTTTCTCCTGGTCTTTAACGGCCTGTCTGTCTAGCGATATTTCGCTTGGTGATGTTCCTCCATTTGCGGTCTCCAGAGCCTTTTCATCGAGGTGTTCCGGGTGATCATCTTGTCGGAGCTACACAAGCTATTAGTGACCACGTCCTCTAAGATCACTTGGGAACTTGCATTCGGAGGAAGTTGAAAGCCGGGCCTTTCCTCTGGATACTTGAGCAGTCTATCTCCCGTCAAGGCTCGGATGAGTGTCCCAAGCGCTGTATCACACAACCACTCAGGCATGCTGAATGAAGTGTGGTGCTTGTCCGGTAAAGCACAATCTCAACGATACAAAAGTACCTCACTCGAAGCGTCTGATCAATCCTAGTAGTTGTAGACATGGTTATGATGTACACGCCATAGCGAGAGACAAACCCCGAACGCCGTTGCCCCCTGTGTAGTAATCAGATTGGAAATGCCGCTTTGCTCGTCTTGGAAATTGGGTGATTGAACATTGCCCTATGCTGCTCATTTTCAACATTTTCTCAACGAACAAGACCTCTCTGTGCCACAATCCGTACGATGCACTCGCAAGAACCGAATATGTTAGAAGTAAAACGTAAGCATACTGGCATTCTCTATGCGGATTCGTTCCTCGAGTTGCGAAGTTGATTAATGATCAAGCTGGAGGTTATGACATGCTTGTTCCGAAGACGGGAAGTACGGTCCGCTTGCCTCACAATGGTTGAGAATCGTGACATAGCAACATAGGTCCAGGTCTGTGACGTTGCTTGGCAGGTGTAGTCGTCTAATGTCAGGGTGCTGGAACGTGCCTACTGGAAGACATGTCGATGATGTAGTACAAGAACAATTTCATTCGTCCCATCCATGGCTTTGATCCAGACGATCGCCAATCATGGCACCTTCAAAAGTCTTCGTCGTGGGTGGCACAGGAGCTCAAGGCATGCCCATCATCCGCGGACTGGTAAAAGATAACGCGTACAGCTGCCGAGTACTCACCCGTGACGTGAACTCAGCGCGAGCCCAACAACTCCTTGCACTCGGCAACATCGAGCTGCGAACCGGGACATTCGCATCGGAGAAAGATCTTCGCAACGGATTTCGCGGCTGCGAATATGCCTTTATCAATATTGATGGCTTCAACGCAGGCGAGAAGACGGAGATTTTCTGGGCTATGCGAGCATACGAGTTAGCTCTCGAGGAAGGCGTAAAGTTCTTCGTCTATGGCAACCTGGATTATGGATACAAAATGGGCGGATACGACCCGCAGTATCGATGTGGACATTACGATGGCAAGGGTCGAGTTGGAGAGTGGATCCTAAGGCAGAACAAGGACAATGGTCGCCACATGGGAGTGGCATTGTTCACCACAGGACCTTACATTGAGATGGTGCTTGCGGCAGGGACAGTCATGGCACCTGTCATCGAATCGGACGGGACGTTGGTGTGGAGGGTTCCGCTGGGAGATGGTGCGGTACCTCACGTGGCCTTGGAGGACTACGAATACTACGTCCGATGGTTGTTCGATCATCAAACCGAAGCCAACGGAATAGACTTGCAAGTCGCGATTGACCATATCGAATACGAAGAACTGGCTGCCGCATTCACAAAGGTCACGGGTAAGCCAGCGCGATATGAGAATATCGACCTGGAGACGCACTGGAAGTTAGCCAACCTAGGACCGAATCTCGACGTCTCAGCGGGCTACAACGCACGAAAAGAGGACGCTGCAACTTTGAGTATTCGTCAGAACTTTACGGGCTTCTGGAATCTGTGGAGGGCTTCTGGAGGCAATCGAAGTGTGATCAGGAGAGACTACACGCTGTTGGACCGTATCCACCCCAATCGGATCAAGTCTGCAGAAGAATGGTTCAGGAGGGAGGAGGAGAGGGGGCTCCAAGCAGGACTGGGAAGTTTTTACGAGCGTGCTGGTGATCTAAGACCTGTGCTGAAAGTTTCAGAGGATGGATGGCGGGGACGCATCTGAGGTTACCGACGACTATCTCGAAGTCAGAAGGGTTCAAAGCTGTAGATGTTGTACGAGCTGAACATCATGGTACTAAAATAGCGGGTTGTTCTTCGACCTCGGGGCCAATGTTCTCGTTACCTATAGCCGAACGTACAGTGGTCTGCTAGGAAAGCGAGGTCTCCAGAAATCTTGAGTTCCAGTCGTTGGCACATTCGGGGTACAGCCATAGAGGCGATCGTATAGCGATCCACTGTTGCACATTTTCATCCCGCTTCGGAAAACAATTCAGTGTCTTGTCACCGCGAATACAGAAATCTGATGAAGAATGAGCAAAGGCAGGAAGGCCGTGAACGCAGCGACGTGAAGTCACCCAACCCCCAGCCTAGCGCAAAGCCAAAATCCAACCACGCATCTCCAACATCACCACCTTCTCCTTCACACAACACAACCACGCACCTCCAATGCCTTGACTTCGATGGCCTCACCTCCCCTCAGATCCCGCATCCGCGGCACAATCTGGTACCTCCTCGTCCCCTTCCACCTCTCCACAACAAGCCTCATCCTCCTCAACGACAACCTCCTCGAATACACCACCATAACCGGCTCCTCCATGTCACCGACCCTGTCCCCCGACTACGAAACGACCCAACGCTGCGACGGCGTGCTCTGGAAAAAATGGCGACCCACACGAGATCTCCGGCGCGGAGACGTAGTCTTCTTCTCGGCGCCGCATAATCCCGAAGGCACGGCCGTGAAGCGCGTGGTTGCGTTGGGCGGGGATACGGTATTGCTGGATCCCAAACGGAGGCCGAAGGAGGTGGAGAATGGGAGGACGAGCGAGGCGGCGAGGAAGTGGGATGTGTGGAAGGGGAGAGTGGTGGTTCCGCCGGGGCATGTCTGGGTGGAAGGGGACAATTGGAGGAAGACGAAGGATAGTAATGATTATGGGCCCGTGTCGAAGAGCTTGATTCAGGGGAAGGCTTGGTGTTTGTATAGGCCTTATACGCAGTTTGGGAGTAAGCCGTGGGAGGGGTACAAAGTTCAGACGAAGGTGATTGAGGGGAAAGAGGTGGTTAGGAATAGGAAGGATGCTGCGATGCCGGTGTGGGAGCCGCATGGATGAAAAGGAGGAAAGGAATATTTTATATCTATTGATTCGCTTTGGCGGCCGCGACTGTGCAAAGGCCTACAACCCTGGCCAAGCGAAAAGACGCACACGGCCATCACTTTTTGCCGAAGACGACGTCGATCTGCTTGATGACAGCCTCGGTCGTCTCCTTGGTATTCGCAGATCCGCCCATATCCTTGGTCCGCGTCTTGGGGTTGCTGGTCACGTTCTCGATGGCTTGCATGAAGTCATCTGCGACCTTGTCCAGCTTGCCCTGGCCAACCCATCTTACCATCTCCGCCGCCGACCAGAAAGCACCAACTGGGTTTGCGATACCTTGGCCAGCGATATCTGGTGCACTGCCGTGAATGGGCTCGAACATGGAGGGGTACTTGCGCGTTGGGTCGAGGTTGGCTGAAGGGGCGATTCCTATTGAGCCTGCAAGAGCGGCGGCAAGATCTGAGAGGATATCGGCGTGGACTGGACAAAGTTAGCACTGTGGTGGCACACATCACAGAGTTGTGGACTCACGGTTGGTGGCTACGATCGTGTCCATGCTCTCTGGCTTGTTCACCATTCTCACGGTCATGGCATCCACGAGCATCTTGTCCCACTCAACAACACCCTCATACTCCTTGGCCACCTCGTGGAACACCTTGTCCCATAAGACCATACCATGCCTCTGCGCATTGCTCTTGGTCACCATGGTCAACTTCTTCCTAGGCCTGCTCTTTGCGGTCTCAAACGCAAATCGCATGATTCGCTCAATTCCGACTCTCGTGAAGATGGCAACCTCAGTGGCGATCGTATCTGGGCTGTTTTCATGAGTCGTACCTCCTTGGCCAGCATATTCACCCTCACTGTTCTCACGGATGATCATCCAGTCAATGTCCTGTGGTCTCTCCCGACATTGTGCCAGAGGAGCAACTGTACCCGGCAATATCCTGGTCGGTCTCACGTTGACGTACTGGTTGTTGTACTTTCGAATTGGAAGGATGAGGCCCCAAAGCGAAATGTGATCAGGCACATCAGGTGAGCCAACCGCACCAAAGAAGATGGCGTCGTACTTGGAGAGTTGCTGCATGCCATCCTCGGGCATGTACCATCCACGCTCGAGGTACTTCTTTGACGACCAGTCGAAGGTCGTAAAGTTGAACTTGAAAGTCCCCACAGTCTCGGCGAGCTTGTTAAGGACTGCTTCGGCAGCTTCTGTCACATCGACACCGATGCCATCACCGGGGATTGAGGCGATATTGTAAGTGGTCGTGTTCGTCATGTTGAAGCGTGTGGTAAATTCCAGTCTGTCAATGTACGACTACAGTCTTCGCCTCAAGGTCGAACTAGAATATATACATAGCTACAAGCAAGGCAATTGAGGGACATGCAGACGCCGATCGAATTCAGGCTCATCGTTCTGCCGAGGATTCCGTTCTTCTCCTCAACTCTCGGCTGCGTTCCGATTTCCACGCTCGGCGGGAGGAGCATGAAATCGTTTATCCATCTTCATCGCATGGACATGTCCGTGACAGACCGACTATCGTGGCAGTTAATCTGGAGGGAGAAGGTGTTCGGCGGCGAAATGTCGGGCCAATGGTGGGCGGAATGGCGGGGAGGAGCTCGTGCGTGCGTGATCGAGGTCAGGGTCCAGTGGTCTTCTCAGGCACGAGCGAGGGGCGAGACATGCAGTGTGAAAGCTTCACCGCATCTATCTTTTTCGAAATACCAGCAATCGTTCAACCTCCCCGAATACTGCCATAACCTGAGGTAAGTGGGTTCTGATTTACTTCTCTTCGGACGTCTCCGTCGACTGTGCAGAAGCATCCCCTTGGACTCCCCAAGAACCAAGCCAACGAGGCCACATGGCACACATCGCCCTCCGAGAACCCAATCCTAACATTCCCTCCAGCCCACCATGTCCTTCCCCCCAGGCGGCACCTACTTCGACACGACCAAGCGGTCCTTCAACCAAGTCCCCATCGACAGCACCAAGGACAACGGCGCTATCTCGACGACCGAATTCCTCGAAGCCAGCGAAGCCCTGACCGGCCTCTTCGATGTGCTGGGCAGCGTGGCCTTCCAGCCCGTGAAGAATGATATGGGCGGGAACATCAAGAAGATCCGGGAGAGGCAGCTTGCGGCGCCCGTGGAGAGCGAGACGTTGCAGGATTTGGTGCGGAATGAGTTGAAGGGGAAGAAGCATACGGCGACGGAGGGGTTGGTTTGGTTGGTGCGGTAAGCATATACATACACACATTTCCCTACACAATTCGCTCGAGGATGTCCCAGCTAACGAAAATCTATTTCTTTCTTCTAGAGGCCTCGACTTCACCTCGCAAGCCCTGCGCCAAAACCTCACCAACTCATCCGAAGAACTCTCCAAATCCTTCCGCGACGCCTACGGCAACACCCTCAAGCAATACCACACGTTCCTCATCAAGCCCATCTTCTCCGCCGCCATGAGCGCCACCCCTTACCGTGCGGACTTCTACAAGAAGCTGGGCGATGACCAGCCGCGGGTGCAGAAGGAGTTGGATGAGTGGTTGGTGGGGTTGGAGAAGAATGTGGGGATTTTGAAGACGTTTTTGGACAGTAAGGAGGCGAAGTGGTAGATGGTCGAAATGCATGGAGGGTGTGGCATATTTTTGGAAGGCGGCGAGGCGGTGAAGAGGGGTGCATTTTGGTATGAAGCGTTGGGTATCTTGACTGGAACCTAGCAAGGGTACAAGACTTAGAAGTGGCTGCAAAGAAGAGGAGTTCTCATCCTTCGTCCTCCTTCATCGCCCGCTTCATCATCCCACAGAAACTCTCATAGAGCGTATAGTCGTTCCCTCTCAACCACCTGACCTCGACCTCCTGATCCCTACACATAACTTTCACAGCCAACTTCACAGGCCCCTCACCCACCACCCTCTCCCCACCCCCCTCCCCTTCTCTCACTTTCCTCCTCCTCGCCTTCCTCCCCCAAACATTCCCCCAACACTCCAACACCCCCGCATCCTGCACCCCACTCCAAGCCCACCTCACCCCCTCCAACCCCTCCAGCACCTCCCTAACCCTTTCCCCAACACCCCTCCTCTCCCTCCCACTCACCTCCACAGTCCACGCACTCCTCAAAGGCAACACACTCAACACCAACTCCCCATGCCTCGCCACATCATTCCGAGGTCTAAGATCCCCGAAACTCCACCCGACCGCCCACCGCTTCGTCCGATGGCCGGGGTGGAGGCTCGTGACGGCGAAGTTGGTGATGTCGTTTTTCTTGAAGAGGGAGATGATTTGTTGGAGGGAGGAGAGTTTCGAGAGCATCGCCGTGTACCATGTCACTCTCTCTCGAAGGCGGAGGGATTCGGTGAGCAGCCGCGTGACGAATCCAACGTCGCCGCCGGGAGTGAGCATTTCGTTTTCGGAACCTGTCGTGATGGCCGAGGGCGTGGTGTCCGTGGTGGAGTTGTAGCTGGCCAAAAATTCCGCGTGCGAGGTGTAGAAGGGCGGATTCGTCATGACGAAGTCAAGCGAGTCGATACCCATCTCATCCAGAGGAAGCAGAGGCCCCTCTTTCCCCGTCTGATGCAATCGAATCCTCTCCCCAAACCCATTCATCTCCACATTCCGCTCCGCCCACCCAAGCGAATGCCCATCCACATCCGACCCCATCATCCGCCACCCCTCCCTCGCGGAACACGCCAGCAACCCATAAATACACGACGCCCCGATCCCGATATCCATCCCCGTGACTCGGCGCGCCGGATCGAAATTCTCGGTATAGTCTTCGCTGCTCGTATCCAGCAGGTCCTGGATCCAGCGCACGTAGTTCCAGCGCACGGGGATCGGGGGACAGAGTCTGTCGTCGGGGAGGGAGATTTTGAGACCAAAGTCTTGTTTGAGGAGGGATTTGGTGAGTTGTCTGCCGTAAGTCAGTCTTCTACTCTTTATGCTTTTGTGAAGGGTATGGGAGATAGATAACAGTACTGCACGATTTGGGGGTCTTGGAAATTTATGAAGCCGTCGCGTTTGCCCTGTTGGGAGATGGAGGCGAAGTCGGGGTCTCGTTTGGCGAGGTCGTCGAAGTCGACATCGCGGGAGTAATATGGGATTTGCCTCATTTGAGAGGTTGGATTGTGGTTGCGTTGAGGAGTTATTGGCGAGTGTTGTTCAGGGAAGAAAGACGTGAGGTGCTTCAAGCTTGCACAAGCAACGACATAAAATTGTGCAAGTGAAAGAAACATGACATGAAGACGGGACTTTCATGATTGTATGAACCTGGTTGAACTTTTCCTTTTTCTGAAGACTAGAGATCTACTGCTCTATCCGTCTTTCTATCTAACACATAGGGAATCTCATGCCTTTCATTAGCATAATCATACCGACCCAGAAAACGCCAATCCGCGATGCATCCACACGACCTGAACCCCAGCACTTGTCTGCTCCTCCAAAAGAAGCTACAAGTCTGTCTGGAATCATCTAGTCGTCCTCATCCGAGAAGACCTCCTCACCACGCTTGCGGCGAGCCATACGATCCTTCTTCTTCTTGCGGAGCTCAGCGGAAGTAAGCTTCTTCTGCTTCTTGGTCGACTCGATCTTGTTGCCCATGGCGTCGAACTTCTCCTCTTCCTCGTCGTCCTGCTTCAGACGAGGACCGGCACCCTGACCTTGCACCCAGTTGTGGCCAGATGGAGTCATCTTGCCGTCCATGACAGCCCACACTTCCTCAGTAAGGTCCTTGGTGAACTCGGCAGAGTGAGTGATGATGATGACACCACCCTCGAAAGCCTTGATGGCCTTGGAGAGAGCACCCAGGGAGTCACGGTCGAGGTAGTTGGTCGGCTCGTCGAGGACGATCAAGTGGGGACGCTGCCATGAGCAAGCAGCAAGCACGACCTTGACACGCTGGCCACCGGAGAGACCACGCATGCGAGAGTGGGAGACAAGCTCGGCGTCGAGACCGAAGTTGGCGCAGTGCTGCTCGATCTCCTTTCGGACCAGAGGACGGAACTGACCGCTGGCAAGAGCCTCCTTCTGATCGACCTCAGCAACCAACTTCTGGTGAGATTGGATGAGCTCGCTTCGGGGAATCCAGGCGTTGTCGGCAGTCATCATGGGTGTCCACTTCTCGTTCTTCATGCCGACGTTGTCACCGAGAGCGAACGAACACTCGTACTCGTAGGAGTTCTTGAACTTTCTCCGGGAGTGCACGCCAATGACACGACGCTGAGTGCCTTCAATGCGGTAGATCTTGTCCATAGCCTTCTCATCGTCCTCAGTGACGATCTTGTTGGCACGGTCCATGGTCTCACGATCCTCACCAGTCTGGAAACGCCACTGAATGTACTCAGATGGGGTCTTGTCGAGATGGTGGTCGATGTGGGCGAAAGCGTGCTGCTTGATGTAGGCGATACGGATGTTCTCGTGCTGGTAGACATCACCAGATGTTGGGATGAGCTCACCAGTGAGGACGTTGACGAGAGTCGACTTGCCAGCACCGTTGGGACCGATGACGGCAATACGCGAGCCGAGCGAGCACTGGAAGGTGATGTCGCTGATCTGGGGCTTAGGAGTACCTGGGTACTGGAAGGTCATGTTGCTGACACGGACAATGGCCTTGGCCTTGGTCTTGACACCCTCGAGGAAACCTGGCTCTGGGAATCTGAACTCCATCTCAGAGGCACCGAGCTCGTAGTATGACTTGGCGGATGGCACACGCTTGACGAACTCGCTGAGCTTGCCACGGTAGCGCTTGAGCTTGAAGCGCTCGTAGTGAATGACGTGCTGGATGACATTGTCCAAGAACTTGCTGTCGTGGGAGATGATGATCGATGTGCAGGGTGAGCCGGTAAGGTAGTCTTCGAGCCACTTGACGTTCTTCACATCGAGATGGTTGGTAGGCTCGTCGAGCAGGAGAATGTCAGGCTTCTCGAACACGGCACGGGCAAGAGCGAGCTTCATCTTCCAGCCACCGGAGAGAGCAGTGATGGGGCCTTCGAGTTGTTCTTTCACGAAGCCGAATTCGATAAGAGTGTTCTTGATCTCGTCGTCGGTGAGGGCGAGACCGGCCGCCTTGAGCTTCATGATGGTCCACTCCATGACCGTCATCTCAGTGTCGGCAGAGTCGAGGTCGTGCTCGACGTAGACAGTCTTGACTTCGTTTTGCTTGGGGAAACCTTCGACCTGCTCGTTGTTGATGGCACGCATCAGGGTAGTCTTGCCAGATCCGTTGGGTCCGAGGAGACCGTAACGCTGACCACGCTTGAGGCGGAGATGTGTTTGGTTGAGCAGAATCTTAGCACCGTAGGCCAAGTTGAATGTGCAGTTGCAAAGGTCCTCGCCCTCTTCCTCATCGGGCTCGACCGCATCCTCGTCAGCGGCAGCTGGAGATGCGCGCTTGCGGAGGGTGTCCACGGTGCCTTCTGCGTCGTCATTGCCGATGATTTGGGTGATGTATGGGAGAACGTTGGTGGTCCAGGTGGAGGAATCGCCCACCTTCTCGTCGATAAGCTGACCACCGATGGCAGCAATGTAGTTGAGCACTGCCTCAAACTTGGGGATGACGTCCTTGTGCTTGTAGCTGAGGATGTCCTTGAGCTTGCCGAGGACAGTGTCGACGTCGCCGACATGGGAGACCTCCGGGATCTTGCCATCCTTGACGGCGCCAACACGGATGAGAGTGTCGAGACCCTGCTTGGTCTTCTCACGGGCCTCTGGGTCAGCCACGTTGTCGTAGTTGTATGTGAGCTGAGGCATCAGCTTGGGCAAGAAAGAGGCCACAATGTTGGGGTCCTCGACCAGCTTGCACATGTTGTCGACAATGACGGCGGATTTACGCTTGATGGCGGTCTCGCGCTCCTTGAGACCACGCTCAAGCAGAGGAACCATGATAGCGAGGGTTGGCTCGTGGACATCAGTGACGAAGGTGGTAGCACCGAGCAAGTGGATAGTCTCTGGGACGAGCTCTGGCTTGGCGATACACTTGATGAGCTCGGGAATGAAGCGGTCGATGTCCTTGTTGACGATAAGCTGGCACACCTTCTCCATTGTGCCGTATGCCTTCTTCTTGACCTCGGGCTTGGTGTCCCACATGGCCTCAGAGACGATGGGGATGAGTTCGGGGACTCGGTATGCGGTCTGAGCTGGGGCAGACTCGCAAAGAGCCTCGATGCACTCGAGGTCGGTCATCTTCTCGGGCCACTTCTGGGCGTTGCGGATCGAGTCGACGAAAGCTGGGATGAGCAGCTTCACGGCGTTGGCGTTGACTGCCTTGGTGATGGCAAGGGCGGCGTCTTGTGCGGCGACCTTGACAGCGGCCATCTTGTCGCCGACTGCTGAGAGGACAGGCGGGAGAAGCTGGACGAGGTATGGCTCGACGGCGGGGGAGACGTCGGCATGCTTCGCGATGGTGGCGATCGCCTCGGCCGCGTTCTGGCGGATGTTGGCGTCCTTCTTGTTGTTGAGCATCTTCTTAAGGGTGTCAACAGCCTTGGTAGGGGCGTCCTTCTCTTGGATGTCGCCATTGATGAAAATGGCGATCTCCTGCGACGTGCCCTTGGCCTCGTCGGCGGTCTTGCTCACGGAGAGCTTGTTCAGAAGCTCCTCGAGAACCTTGACCGACTGCTTGTTCTCCTGCGTCTGGGCCGCAGCGGAATCAAGTGCGGGCGCCATGGTGTTGGCGGTGTGTGTGGTATGGGGGGTGGGAGACGGAGGTTGTCGAGGAGGAGGAGAGGAGGGCGAGGGCTGCTGGAATTTTTAAGCGTGGGCGGCGGGTTTTTGTGGGGCCGCTAGCGTCGAATTCTTATCGATTTGGCTGTGATTCGCCAGCGACGGCGGGGTGTCCGAGTCGTCGCGAAGGGGTATCAAAAGGACGAAACAGTCGCAGCGCAGGCCGTAAGAGAGCGAGAGGTGGGTGTTTGAGTGTAGGAGAGGAGGAAGGGTGGTGCGACTCCTGAGCGAAAAGTGGTGGCTCTTTTTGTAGGACCCTTCTTCTCAGCGCGCAAGGATTGTTGGCCCGCTAGCGAATCTTTTCAGGCGCTGCCAGAATGTGTGGCGAATCCGTTGCCTCGAGCAACGTCACAGGCCCAATATTCACCACTTCAAATCTTTACCATCGCCGAGTCTTCACCAGCAGCAAATCTTCACCACTACCGAGTCTCGAGGCGTGTCAATGTGATCAGCTGTTCACATGTGCATTGTTGAGCGCGAGCAATGCGGCGCAAGAGAGGCGTTGCTGTCCATTCGGCCATTGCTGACTACCACGAAGGCGTAAAGACTACCTAGGTAGTCAGTCCAATATCAACATCAACATCAGTTCCTTCATGAGAAGAGCCGGCGAGCGAAGACCGACAGCATCATGCCGCGTTGACTCGAACAGCAGACTGATATAGGGTATCTACAATATCTCATTGTCGGTGCTCACCACTTCTCATAGAGTCTTGCTCCTACAACTTTTGACACTACGCAGATCAGCAAGAATGCAGGACCTGGCTATTTTTTGCACCGCAGCTCTCGCCATGATACGCTCAATCGCCGCGGTTGCTCGAGCAATCGCATACCGCTCTTCTCCCGCGTGCACAACCGTGGCTCACCACCAGTCCTACCACACCCGCCTGTCGGAGATGTTCTTTCTGGGGTGCGTATGCAAAGCCTTCAGCTAGCCGTAAGCCTGTCCCAACAAATCGTGTCCCTACCTGCACCGATCTTTCACCGCCAGATCCCGAATCTCTAAACGCTGGGTGCTCCTGCGTCTAGCACGTGCATGGCGCTTGCACTACCTCGAAGAATTTCTTGCAGCTAGGAGATTTATTATGGACTATTCTACATTATGCCCCCCAAGACGTCGCTATCGGGTATGGAACCTCCCTCTCTCCTCATCGACCTCGCCACGAGACTCCAAGGAACCCACTCAACATATCTCCTCTGGCAAATCTTCTCGAAAGCCTTCGAAAGCCTATCCGATGCTGATATCGCTCCTTCACCATGACATGTCGTCTTCGACGCCACGCACAAGCACTGTGGGGAGACCCACTCTCTCCACGCGCACGGATGCCATAGAAAAACGACTTACATGGTGGCGAAAAGGAGTCCTCACCACTCGTCCGTGTTCCAGTCGTCGCTGACGCTGGCTGCTCGTCGACCTTTACCGTCTTCGAGGACAAGAGCGTACCTCACGTCGAAGCTGCGCCAGCACTTACTGCCTTCAACCTGTTAGCTTGGTCCTCCGGGAACGAATACACCAACTTAACAAGTTATGTAATTGCATCCGCCATCCTTGACAAACGCATAGCGCTACCCGCAGAGAAGGATGTTAGCCATGATTCCTGTATGTCTCGCTCTGAGGGGTGCTATCCTTCATACTTACACACCACGGGCAGAATCTTGTTCCTATGCACTTTTACTAACCGCACAACTTTCCTTGCCTTCATCACTCACCTCGAACCAGCATCTCGTCCAACGTAACAGCCTCCGGTAGCTCACTTGGAACAAGACCCTGAGCCTTGGCCAGGAGATCAAGCTCCTTGAACCGCTTCTTATCCTTATGCCCCAGCAAGACCCTCAGATCCTCACTATCCCACGGCGTCGAACAGGACGGACATCCAACCTCCAGAAGCGGTTTGCTATCGAGCTGAGCGCTGAGCGAGGCCCGCAGACAGGTCTTGCAGACCTGACGAAGATGTCCACGACAGCCGTGCGGGACCGTCATGGCGACTGCGAAGACTTTCATCGGTTTGTTCTCGCAGCAGTATTGACATTCTTTCTTCACTCGACGAGGGAACAGCCTTGCGAATGATTTCGCCAGTTCAGCGAGCTTGTCGCGGTTGGGTCTCTCGCCAGCGTCTGTCGTATCGTCCTGCATTCTGGCATACTTTGTCGCCCTCCCAATAGCATCGACATCTCTGCTTGCCATATTTTCTCGCTATCTTTCTTCATTCAATCTAGGATACTGCGCTGAAAAGCTATGACAGCAGGTACAGCCAGCCTCACTTCACGTCCGTCAGTGGGCCGCCACCTCGTGCGAACCACTCAGGCATCACGTAAAGCTCGCACAAAGCCCTCCACCCAATCACCTATCTCGAAGTCATTATCGCCAGCTGATCTCGTGGTGTGTGAGACATTTCCATGCCTGAGCACTGAAAGCTCCCTGGAGCTCCCTGGCCTGCCTGGTGCCGCAAGCCAAATGTGGCTGTTGTCGGAGCTCAGGATGCTGGTCCGTTTGTTACCTCTTATGCTGCGATGGCGGCCACGTGCGAAATGCGTCGTTCCATATTTCGGAATGAAAAGTTCAAAGGCTTTTAGTTCGTGGCATGATGCTGTCTGTGTAAGTCATCATACGCAAGAGAAATACTTGGGCTTGAACTGCTCTTCATTCACTGCTAGACTCCATCCCACGGCCTAGTCCTCACCACCTATCTCGTACCAAGGCTCAGCGTCCACACTTCTTATCGACATCCCAATAGCAGGAATCTCCCAACTTCTTCTCATCGCAAGTTCCAAATTGCGGTTGCGTCAGGTCTGGCCGTTCCTTCCTTATCTCGTCAATTCTCGCCCTCAGCCTCTGCGCGAACTCTTTACGATACGAACACTTCGCCTCCCCATCAATCTCCAGCTTCACTCGTATCTCCACGCCGCTTCAATTCTTCAGCGGCAAACGAGCAATATGACCCAAGAAATTCCGCTCGCTACAGCAGTCCGTGAAGCCACGGCTCTTACACCAGCCTTTCCACTCCAAGACATCTTGACGCCGGCGTCTGTGTCTTTGCGGCGAGCATCCGGAGCTTGCCATTGCCATGGAGATGTGTCCCAGAACTCGTCGCCGGGCTTGACGGTCAGCGAGCGCAGATCCGATCTCCTGTGAACGAAGGCATTGAACAATCGGCGCCAGGATTGGCAGCTGCTTCCTCTGTCCAGAAGGACGGTGATGTGCTTGATGCTATGTTCCCTCTTCTGGTGATCGTGCAGGAACGAGAGACATGTCGCCGGGTTCGAGTCGAATTGCAGTCCTCGCGAGTAGAGGTATGGGATCCCGAGTTTATAGCAGCTGCGACTGACGCGCAGGAACGACACGTAAACGCCCGGTTTGGGAAGCGGCACTCGCTGGACTAGAAATTCCTTCTCCTCAAGCTTCCGGTCCCAAGCAATGTACGTCGTCTGACAATGGACTCGTTTGCGGTAGTAGGTGGTTTGATTGCTGTCCGGTGAGAGGGACACATATCCCGGTTTCTCCATAATGCGGAGCTGATCGACGGGGAAAAGAAAGTGCACGATGCGCTTGAGCGCCTTCTCCGGCAAGTCGAGCAGGTTGGGTATCTCGCGCAGGGTTTGCGTTTCGCCTGCCCTCTTGCATTGGCACTTCTCCAGCCGACTCTGCTGGCACCGTGGATATCTGGTGCTTGGGTGTGAAGGCGGTTGGAGCTGCCTCAGCGCTAAGAACTCAGATCGCACAGCACGCTGGAAGAATGTGCGTCCGATGTTCGCCTCGAATCCGTTGATGTAGAATATGACGGACAAGTCGTGTCCGCCATGTTTCAACGGCAGCCGTGCCAGATCTTGAGGAAGGACGGGATAGTCGCCAGGTCTCGACAGTCTCTCCAGTCGATCTTGCCCTCGCCAGTATACCGGGACTTCTCATAGCGATCTCCAATTGAAGCAATCGTTTTAGGGATTGATTCCCAGAACGCCTTGTCCACATACACCGTAACATCGCGGAGCTCAGGTTGCGTATAGAGCAGGACATCGACGAGCTCCTTGAACACCCTACCATTCTCCTCCTCGATCCCTGGATGTACAAGCGTAAGACGCTTAATCGCATGCTGCCACTTCCTATGATCATGCAGAAACGCCAGACAGGACTGAAGACTCTTCCTGAAGCGGAATCGCCTGCCGTACAGCACAGGAGTCCCTACCATGTAGAGCCTGCGATTCACGCGCAGGAATGAGGGGGATAGGCCAAGTCTTGCTACATCCGTGATGTACGTTACTGGGCTCGGTCTGTCCGGGAGGCTATAGTGGGTCTGGCTGCCCTTGGTCTTCGAAAGTCTTGGGCCCATTAGAGGCGGACAGTCGATGATGTTGATGGGGCTGTCTGGTCGAAGAAGATACCCGGCGATTTTGAGCAGCAAGCTATCAGGCAGGCCCATAAGCCCTTTCCTAGGTGCAGTGGCTAGTCTCATGGTCCTCAATCCCGGCCGGCCATGCAGATGACCTCCCTGAGCTGCCACGGTGCTGTTGCCGCCGATTTGTCCCCCTCTTGTCCGCGATCTCCGCCGCGCATCGAGGATCAAGACCTCCACTATCTCCCTCGACGGCGTGGTCTTGAATGAGTCCGCGGAGAGGACGGCGTTCGCCAGATGATGTCTCGACCAAGCCACATCTCGCAAATCAGTGGCCCTCATGGTGACATTTCGCAAATCCACATCGGCGAAATGTGCGTTCCGGAGGGTGATGTTTCTGAACACGACATGTTGCAGATTGCATCCTGTGAAGGTGACATCCTGCCAGTCGCAGTTCTCCACAACCACACTGTCGAGCGTCGTGGTTGTAAATCGGAAGTTCGAGACGCTGGATTGGCGGTAGTCAATGTCGAATCTTGCAATGTTCTTGTTGGTCGCCATGGTCGTACGCGTGGCAGGTACGACGTCCGTAACAAAAGCCGAATCTCAAGCAGAACACTGAACCAAGTGGGCGAAGGAACAAATTTCCTCCGACGGCGAGCAGCATGTGAGTGAATGAACGGGCCACCCGCTTCACCCTCCCCCTTTCTCCAATATCTCCACGAAACCCAAGCTCTACATGTTTCTTCAAACAAGTTATCATCATCACAAGTTCTAAAGTACTTTGAGAATCGAATCTGCTCTCGAACCGCAAGCAGGCCCTCTCGTCCTGCATGTACAAGATATATTGTATTCAGTCGCTATTGCAATCACATCACTTCTGCAAACTCTCCAAAAGCCCATTCCCATCCGACTTCGTCTGCACCGCCTTAAACACCTCCCCAGCAACATCCAAGCCCTTCTCCGCCCTCTCAAACGCCTCCTCACTCCTATCCGTCAAAATCGCAAGATCCTCATCGCTCAGTAACCCCTTCCCTTCGGCGATATCGATCCGCTCGCCGTCGTCTTTTCCAAGCAGTTTCTGCAGCTCTGCGAAGTCGGCGCCAACGCCTTCGCCGCGCATGCTTCGGAATCGGCCTTTTTGGATTACGAGTTTTTCCAGGCGTCGCTTGCTGTCTGCCTTTTCTAGCAGCATCTGCTCGACGGTGCCTTTTGTTGCGAAGCGGTAGACGATCACTGGCCTCGTTTGTCCGATTCTGTGTGCTCGATCTTGCGCTTGGAGATCCTGCTGCGGATTCCAATCGCTGTCGAAGAGCAGCACTGTGTCGGCTGCAGCGAGGTTGATGCCTTGACCGCCCGCGCGCGTGGAGAGTAAGAAGACGTTGACATCGCTCTTGGGGTCATTGAAGTCGAGGATCTGCTGCTGGCGATCGGTCTGCGCGACAGAGCCGTCGATTCGTGAGGTGGACCAGTTGCGGAGCTCTCTGCAGTATGTGTCTAGGAGGTCTAGCTGCGTCTTGAATTGGGAGAAAATCAACACCTTATGACCTTTGTCAAGCAGTTCAGGCAGCAGTCGATCCAGTAGTAGCATCTTGCCAGACTCAGTGACAAGTGTCTCATCGACGGGAGTGTTGTCGTCGTAGTCGAAAGGATAGTAAAAGTTGTGCGGCGAGTTACAGCATTGTCGTAATTGCATCACCGGGTTTTGAAGCTTCTTCTGCCCAATCTCGCGCTTTGCAAGTTCCAGTGTCTTTGCTCGTTCTGTTTCCTCTTCGTCTTCTTCGTCGTCGAGGTCTTCAGCTGCTGACGAAGGGTCCTCTTCGAGCTGCTGGAAGTACTTGGTATCCGACACTTCTTCATACTTCTGATTTTTCTTCGCTTTCCGAGATCGACCACCAGTACTGTTGGTGGTCGCAGGAGTAGAAGCTCGGCTCGATTTGGCGCTCTTGTTGGGCGTTGATGCTCCGTCCATAGCCTTGCGCTTCAGACTTCTGCTGCGTGTACTCGTTGGCGTCGCACTCCTGCTGAGGCTTTCTACCATCTTGTTTTCGAGGTAGGCACGGCTGTTACCTTCAAGAATCTCTTGGTATAGCTCTCGCTGTGTTTGTGTCAGGGGCGCATATAGCACATATTCTCTCTTTTTAGGCAATGCAGTCTCAACATCAGCCTTCACACGACGAAGTAAGAACGGCTTCAAGATGGCGTGAAGGCTTGCGACTAGGTTCTTCTTCCTGTCCTCGGAGAGGATCTGTTCGTAGCCATTCTTTTCCTTCAAGGCACTGAAGTCAAACCACGACTCAAAAGTTTCCAGTTTGTCGAAGATGCTAGGCATCAGAAAGTGGAGAAGAGACCAAAGCTCAGCCAGATTGTTCTGCAGAGGGGTGCCCGTGATCAACAGTCGGTTCGCAGACTGGTAGGATTGCAGCTCACGGATCAACCGGCAGTTGAGGTTCTTGATTCGATGGCCTTCGTCGATGATGATGAACTTCCATCCGTAATGGGCAAGATGTTTCCTGTCGTTCATGCAAATCTCATAGCTGGTGCAAATGACTGGAAAGTCGGTACTTCCAGGATTTCGCAGTCTTTTGCGCCTAAGCTCTTCTCTTTCCTGCTTGCTTCCATGGTAGAGCAGGACAGGAATCTCTGGAGTCCACTTCTTGAACTCGGCAACCCAATTGCTGGTCGTACTGAGAGGTGCTGCGATCAGGAACGGTCCATTGACTCCCTTCTCCCTCAGAAAAGCAAGGAAAGAGATAGTTTGGATTGTTTTACCCAACCCCATCTCGTCGGCCAGGATGCCATTTAGTCCATTCTCATACAGCGATGTGAGCCAGTCCAGTCCCTCCAACTGATACGTTCGCATGAGACCTCCAGTAACCAGATCAGGTTGCTTTGCAGATCGCAGGTCCTGCATACCAATCTCGCTTGGCTTGACATCGTCTTTCGTCTCTTCTGCCAGAGCCTCTGTAATTGAAGTCTTTCCAGCTTTTACCTTGACATCGTCCTTCTTCATGTAGTCAGATATCTTCCCGCCTTTCGTGCTCTTTGCAGGCTTTCCTCTTCGTGGAAGCTCTTTCTTGGGCGATTCGTTCTGCGCATTTTGCGTCGAGTCTTCGGTTGCCGCCGCTGTTCTTGTCGCTCTCTTTTGGCTCGCCTGTGCAGCTTGCTCTGCCTTTTCTTCCTTCTTCTGCGCACGTTTCTTGCTCTTCTCATCTCTTGCTTCATCTGCCTTCTCTTGCTGCGTCATTTGCTCCAGCATGATGGCCGAGTATAGCTTGCTCTGGCTCAGCAGGTACTCGAGTGCTTTATATTTGGTATCCACGGCTTCTGGTCCGTCCTTGATATCCTTTTCTCGCTCTGCGGCCATCTGCCGTTCACGCTTCTCATCTTGTTTCCGTCGTGCTTCTGCCATTTTCGCCTCCTCCTTCTCCATTGCGTCTGTAAGCCCATCTCTTGCTTCGGGCGATGTCGGTGGCGTCGACGCCGCAGATTGGGCGGGCTCTGAAGACATAGTGAATCTAGGCAGTCTCCAATACGTCTAGGGGTGCGATTCAATATAGCTGGAGGTTAAGGGTAAATTAGGAGGAGACATTGATGTTCGAGTTCGAGTGTCGTCATGGAACGCGAACTCGACGCGCCCGAAGATCGGTTTGAGATCGGTTCACGCGAGACGATCGTGTTGTTGACCAATCAGCACTCAGCGCTGAATACGAGCATGTGAAAGTGAATAAACGACCACGCTAAGAAGAATAAAGGAGAAAGAGACGGAGCTTTGTCACATGCGTGAAAGCGAGTGTGGCAAAAAGGTGGCGCTTTTTCAAAATTGAATACCGGCACTAATCATACATGTTGTGCTAGCGACAGAGGGATATGCGATGTGAATTTCGAAGTAAACCTATAACCAATTCTGTCCTCGACGTAATAGCAGCTGCATACTTCCTGCAAGTAAAGACTGAAGAGTGTTGGACAAGTCTCTAGCTTGGTGCGGTTTGCGATCGCAGAGCCCCCCAAGCAGCTTCCGACAGCGACTCATCCAGCGTCTGTGACTGCCGCATCGCTCCAACAACAGTCTCTGCTTCCACATCATGGACAACAAACGGTGGTCGACGACACGTAAACCTCTCGGGAAGAGACGACTTCAACACATGTATGTGAGATTTCGAAAAAATAAAGTTTTGCCGACATAGCACATGACACAGCTTTCACAACATGGCTTCCAATGGCAGCGAAGGTAATGGATGGCGGCGGAGTCGCAGAGAAAAGCATTTGTCGGACAAAGCACGATTATCTCTGGACGACGGAGAGCAAATACCTGGCTTGGATCAATCATCACCACCACCGACCTCTCTCTCTAAAATTGGCGACATCTCATCGCACGATTTCAGCTTACAAGAGAACAAAGTCGGCAAGGTATTTCCATCCCCCTTCAACATTTTTGACCGCGAACTGACAGCCGCTGGCATAGTCTCCCATCAATATGGTGCGCACGGACAAGACCAAGTCGACGGCCGTCGCCACACCGGACATCGCCACCAGCCCAGCCTTCGCTGCGAACAGCTTCATGCTCGACGGGTGGCCGCGCACACTGCCTGAGGATGTTGTCGAGCTCCACGCAAAGTGGGGCGACCGAAAAGACCATGCGACCACAGCCGACATCATCGAGACGTACGGCGACGACGGAGCAGACGACTGGGACGATTTCGCAGGCAACCCAAACCTGTATCCCAAGCCTGGTGATCTTGAGCGTGCCGTCGGCAGCACCTTGAACCGTGCGAAGAGCGCATTTCGGGCGAACAAGAGCTGGGAGCAGTTTGAGGCGGATGAGGAGGCGCTGAGCAGCATGAGAATGGCGATGTTGGAGCACGATCCTGAGCGGCACAAGATCCTCTTGCGGGAGTGTTTGAACAACGACTTGCGGCTGAAAGTGTTCAATCAGCTCAAAGAGCGGCTCTGTACCGAGATCTGGAAGAGAGAATACGTGCCAACTGTGGAAGCTGCGGTTCCACTGCAGCCACCATCAGCTCGCACCAAGAAGGATAGCAAAGTGACCTTCTCGAACGAGGTCGCGGAGGGTCGCAAGAAGCAAACCGAACCGGTCGAGCAAGACGAGTACAGCGTGAGAGATTGGCATGAAAGACACCCAGTGTGGAATGTCCCGGAAGGACAGTATCCGAATCCAAACAACCAGGACTACCGCGCCCACTTTAAGCACATTGGCGAGGGTCAGCCCCGTCGGTGGGACTGCCTGTACTGCAGAACCACGCGTGAGCAGATGGGCCACATTTGAGAAAAGATGATGACGATGATGGAGATGAAGTGAAAGAAGAGGCGTTGGAAAACGAGATGAAGTTGGAAACGCACGGACTTTGGGGCTTGTCGAACTCCCTGCCACCAACTTTTCCCTGCTCTCTCCAGCACATAGGCACAGCGATAGTAGGATCATCGCCGCAGTCGCCTGTCATCCACTGTGCAATGAAAACCATGCTCACGGGCCAGAAGTGGGAGGCTGTCGCGAAAAAGCACTGCGCCCTTCCAGAGCGATATCGGGAAATGTACATTGGACCTCAGAGCTGTATGTACCCTCAGCGGCAAGTCTCGTTCATCCAGCAATGAAAGGTGTCTACATTCGTCCTTTCATTCTCCAAACCTCAAGTATCCTGTATATTTTGTCTTGCATCGACATTAACAAAGATTTCCAGTTCTCGGCTCATCGTTAACATCGATAGGTATCCCTCAACATGACTTACTCCAAGCCAAACGAGACGAAGAAGGTCTTGGAGAATGATATTCTTTCGAACCCTTTGATAGCGAAGTCACTGCCAACCTCGATACGGGATGCAGCTTCACATATCCACTTTACTGGTGCCGAGTCACCCTCACTCCCGATTAACTGGCGCTTCGCAGAAGCAGTGTCTGCCTTGAAAGGCCTGGAAGCCAGTCTGGTGAACGTAATCCTCGACAGGAAATACCGTGTTGGAATGCGCCATGTCACCATCAACACCGACAAGGCGTCCCTTTTTATTTTCAGCACAATGCTCTGGACGATCGACCCCGACGGAGAAAACATCGCTCCAACTCGACTCCAAGAGATTGGAGAAGGGTTTACAAAATACTTTCCGAGTCACAACTTGTACAAGACAGGGAGCTCATTGTGTCGGAGCTTAGTCACTGGTATCTACAAGTGCGCAGATGGGAAATACTTCAACATGCATGCTTCTCTCAGCCCAAACCCGACATTGGAGAGCATCGGGCTTCCCCACGATATGGAAGTCTCCAATTTCGATGAGGGTGTCAAGGTCATCTCAGAAGCAACCGGAAAACTCGACAGCCAGGAAATGCAGAGGCTTAACACCGACGTGTATCGCCAAGCGGGCACTATCTGCTACTCTGTTGAAGAATTTCGAGAGTCAGAGCACGGCCGCGCCAACGCACACGTCGGTTTGTGGGAAATCTACGATCGGCCAAATCCCGCACAGCCCGCCTCTTGGTGGCCAGACACTCCACAGACGAGCCCATTACATCCCTTGGCAGGTCTCAAGGTCGTGGATCTTACCCGAATCCTCGCAGCACCAGCAATGACACGCGGGTTGGCCGAGCTCGGCGCCAGTGTAATGCGATGCACAAGTCCCAATCTGCCCGACCTGAATACTACGCACGCGGACCTCAACTGGGGCAAGTGGAACTGCAGCATCGATCTACACAAGGAAGAAGATCGAGAGAAGCTGAAAGCTTTGATTCTGGACGCAGACGTAGTCGTCCAAGGCTATCGTCCAGGGGCGCTGGACAAGTACGGCTTCTCGCAGCAGAACATCATCGACATGTGCAGCACCCGAGCAAGAGGCATCATCTCCGTTCGAGAAAACTGCTATGGTTGGCATGGCCCATGGAAGGACCGTTCGGGATGGCAACAGATCTCAGATGCTTGCGTTGGACTCTCGACAGGATTCGGTCGTGCAGTGGGTCACGGCGAGCCTGTCACACCGATATTTCCTCATAGCGACTACTGCACGGGCATATCTGGCACTTGCGCTACACTCATCGCCCTCCTTCGAAGAGCCGAACAAGGCGGTTCATACCGCATCGACCTGGCTTTGAACTACTACAGCTCCTGGCTCGCGACCAGCGTCGGCGAGTATCCCAAAGAGGTCTTCGAAAAGGTCTGGAAAAAAGAATGTGGTGGGCAGGTATTTCACCACTGGCATCCGAATCACTGGACCGCACCGGCTGCAATGGAACAATTACGACAAGGACCGGCGAAAGAGAGATTGTTCAAGCCTGAGTTCTTTGAGGATCGCCCTGCTCCTGTGGCTCTGGGCGATTCTGATAAGAAGATTCGATGTCTGGCACCGATTGCTGAGTGGGATGGGGTTGTCAAGCTGGGATTCAATGTCGGTGCTAGAGGCAATGGCACTGATGCTGCCGGGTGTCCGAGTGACTTGACCGTGGAGCAGGTTTCTTGACGGACCCGGCTACGGTGTTTGCGAGACGATCAGTGGCATCGCCCGACATCAAACGCGGGAGATAAGAGGAAGAAATGTAAGGCAGTGGCTTGCGGTAGTCACTGCACTTCTGGGGCGTCTCCTACCTGGAGGCAATCAAAGCACGTGCCTTTGAGCGATGTTACCTTGCGGTGGTCTCTTCTTTGCGACAGATGGAACAGTACTCGGAGCCATACCGCAGAGAGAAGCCCATAAAGGTGCAGAGTTATAGTGGGTGGATTCTAGAAAAGTGCCACATATGCCGAACATGGACTGCGAGGCTGCACGGGTCCTGCAGTAGCCGCGAATCGATATGCGCTCAATCCCGACTCGATGCGTCTTATCTGCCAGTGTTTCGACAGTAGCTCCGACATGATACTGCACTTCCCCTGCTAGGGCCTTCTAGCAATGCGACCCCATCTATCTATGCTGGTTCGGCTTGAGACTAAGCTTAACCAACAAGCGCTTCTCGTCAACAAGCTTCGCCCTAATCGAGCGATCATTGCTTGACAGGGCAGGTATCACAGCAGCTGATGCTCTTTGCAGACACCTAGCATACTGTCAGTCTGCACAACAATCGCGACATCTCGTATTGGCACCTGACATAGCAATCCCTCCTGCTTGATTGACGGAATTCAGGAGTCGGTGCGTCCGGATACGGGGACTGATAGACAACTTACCCTGTCGACAGAATGTGGTGCACGGTAGCACGATGCATCCGCAATATGGCGCACGGTTTGTCTGCGCAACAAACAATATTTAATTGCAGCCAGGCCACTCGAAGACAGAAAATCCCATCAGCGGCGTCTCATCCTGAGGCAAGGACACAACCACAATGCCTTTTCTCTTCTCACTTGTCACTGCGTTGGCTGCCACGGCCGTCGCAGTCCCCAGTACACGACCAGCACATGAGAAGAGGGATGCACTGTCATCTTCATGGAAGCTCGCTCGTCGCGCTCCCGTAGAGCAAGTGGTGCCAGTTCGAGTTGGCATGAAGCAACGCAATCTCGACGAAGGAGCCAGGATTTTGCACGAACTGTAAGTGTCCGCACAAACTGCCATGATTATCAGAACTGATGCCATGCACTTAGTTCCAATCAAGACTCTCCCAAGTATGGACAGTGGTGGTCTGTCGAGGATATCCACGACTTCTTTGCACCTGCAACAAAGCACGTCGAGAGCGTCAAGGACTGGCTGAGCACCTCTGGGATCCATTACAATCGTACTAGCCTGTCTGCCAACAAGCAGTGGGTTCAGTTCGATGCTACCATTGCGGAGCTTGAAGACCTTCTTCATACTGAGTATCATGTGTACGAGCATCAAGCTGGGCATACCATGCCTTCTTGTGACGAGTACTACGTTCCATGTACGACGCATCGATCATGTTGAGGTTTCAATGGCTGACTAGGGTCATTCGCAGCGCAACTTCGCAATGTCATTGACTACATCACACCTGGAGTGAATCTTGGCCAGCCCTCTGATCTAACAAAGAGAGACGCTACACCACGGAAAGGTTTCAAGCTTCCGCTCAAAACGAAGCCTTTGCCTTCATTCAAACCTGAAGCATCAAACGACCTAGGCCTGTGCAGCTCTGTGGTCACTCCCGCTTGTATCAAAGGTAGAGACATCTGTCCTTAACGTACGGAGCAATTGCTGATGGGATAACCTATAGCAATGTACAACATCACCAACGGAACACGAGCCGCGACCGGAAACGAGCTCGGCATCTTCGAGGATCTGGGCGACCACTACAGCCAAGAAGATCTAAACACGTTCTTCAAGGCCGTCTATCCCCAAATCCCCCAAGGAACCCATCCCACCCTGCAAGCCATCGACGGAGCTACTGGACCTGTGCCGGTCTCTCAAGCGGGAGGCGAGTCTGATTTGGACTTCCAGATCTCCTACCCTATCATCTGGCCGCAGAATTCCGTGTTGTTCCAGACAGACGACGATAACTACGAGAACGACTACGAGTTTGAGGGCTTCCTCAACACCTTCCTCGACGCCATCGACGGCTCTTATTGCTCGTACAGCGCATACGGCGAGAAGTCGCCATCCCCCTTGGATCCCCAATATCCAGACCCTGCTTCCGGTGGATACAAAGGACAGCTTCAGTGTGGCGTCTACAAGCCTACCAACGTAATCTCGATCTCTTATGGAGGTTCGGAGCTATTCCTCAGCACGAACTACCAAAGGCGACAGTGCGATGAATACATGAAGCTCGGCCTGCAAGGCGTGTCCGTCGTCATCTCTTCCGGGGACGACGGCGTCTCCTGCGACTCGTACCAGTCCTCGATTTTCTCGCCCGGCTTCCCAGTCACTTGTCCATATGTCACGGCCGTCGGGAGCACCGCTATCCCGCCAGGTGGTGCCGTGACCGCTGACCAAATCGCAACAACAGAGTTCAGCTCCGGGGGAGGCTTCAGCAATGTCTTTCCCACCCCAGACTACCAAAAGACCGCCGTCAACACGTACCTCACCAACCACCCGCCCAGCTTCGGCGACTACCAAACCAAATACAACGAATCCGTCGGCGCCAACAATGGCGTTTACAATAGCGCCGGACGCGCCTATCCAGACCTCTCCGCCATCGGTCAAGATGTCCTGACGTACACCGCCGGCCGCGCCAGACTCACTGACGGCACCTCCGCCTCAGCACCCGTCATCGGCTCGATTTTGACGAGAATCAACGAGGAGAGGATTGCAAAGGGGAAGCCCACTGTGGGATTTATCAATCCTACTGTCGTAAGTGTTCTAATCATCCCTGTGCAACGAAATGTCTTGCTAACTTTGGGAATGTAGTACGCCCATCCTGAGGTTTTCAGAGATGTGGTCACCGGTAGTAATCCTGGACAGGGCAGTTTGTTCTCGCCATGCGATACCCCGGGCTTCAATGCGGCTCCTGGGTGGGATCCGGTGACTGGCTTGGGTGTGCCTGATTATGCCAAGTTGTTGAAGCTTTGGGGTTGATTAAGCCATGGAGAGAAGAAGCTATGAACGATATGAATGAGGTGTGACTTTGATCGAAGCCTCGCAGAAGCATGGTTGTATGTCCCTCGATCAGACTTCTTGTCCTCGAGCGCAGGGGCGACTCATCATAGACAAGAGAAGAACTTGACTTCATGTCCCGATATCAAATCTCAAAACGCACCGCACCTATTGTATGTACAATCTCGCCCCCAAAAAACCCAAAGCAGAGCGCGAACACCTGCTTCACCTCTCCGAATACATCTTCAAATCCTCCGCGTACCTCAAATTGACCTTATCCATCTGCTTCCGAATACCCAGCACCCAATCCAAGACATAAACCCCCCAGCCGGACATACTCTCCCACTGCACGAGCTCGCACTCCTCCTCCCCCACGGCTCGAACACTCTGCACCCTTTCCGCCATCCCAAACCACCGCGGCAGCATCTGGCCCTGCCATTCGAGTCGGTACTCGCCTTGCGCGGGATCCTCGCGGACGGAGAGGACTTTGACGGGGACTTGCGTCGCGGAAGAAGAGGAGGAAGGTGCCGCCATGTGGAATTGCAAGATACCGGATGCGCCCGTCGTCCAGGATTCTGGCTCTGCCTCTCCTCCTCGCTCAGAATCGGGGAACGTCACCCGCGGATTACTCGTGTTCCAGGCGCTGTACGACTTCGTGTTGAGGATCGTGGAGAAGACGGCGGAAGCTGGGCGGGAGATGCGGATGCTTGAGCCTGAAGTGAAGACGATGGTTTCTGCGCTTTGTGAGGGTGTTGCGGTTGGGGTCTGGAGGAGTTTTGCCATCTTGATTTCGTTTTGCGGATTCGTGTGGTCGAAAGGTTCCAGCTGGCGACGAGGACATTGACTCTCCATGGACATGGGTGGCGACGACTTGCCCGATGTGGAAAGGATTGGTGGAATGCTGGACGCCTGATTGCAGTTGCGGATGTGGAGCACAGTTGACGGGTCCTTACAGGGGCGTTTCGTGACGTCGGTATTCCAACCGACTTGTTCGTACTATGCTATTCAAAAAGGCGTCCTAAATCTTTGATCAGAAATGGAGTGCTGCCAAAGCTTACCCAAGGCATCTACCGGATCTCAGGTGGAAGCACGAAAGTCATCCCACTGGTCGAACAAGTTGTTATCCGGCGGTATACCCCAAGCATACTCGCCCAGGCCAGCCTCCACTTGGCCGAGAATGCTGTCTGGGGCAGAAGAAAACAGAGTCCAGAGTTGAGACTCGTCGAATGGACCCTGTGTGAGGAAGCTGTTGTCGTGATGGACTTGGGAGTGTTGCGGTGCTTGCAGATGTAGTTCGCTTGGGGCGTCCGCGGGATGGTGGATGCTCAGGAGGTCTGCGCCCAGGTAAGTTGATGGTACGTCTTGGTGCTCGGGCACTGCCTGTGGTCCCAATTGCATCGCATTCGACTCAAACGCAACATCAGCGGGCTTGTTGCTCTCCGCTGTAGGTTCATGGCCCGAGGGGGTGGTTGCTCGGGTTGGCACTGCTCGAGTGCCGGTGCCCATATACTGCTTCATCAAGCCCTCGAACACCATGGCAAAGCGTGCGGCATCGGGCATTTCGATGACGAACATCTTCATCAACTCGCTTGCAGAGGCCAGCGCGCGTGCTGCTCGAACGTCCAGGTCACTTTGGTCGTGTTGTACGCTGGCTCTGTTCTGGCTGAGGAACGAAGCACTATACATGATGGACAAGCCGGAAGTGAACAGAATTTGGAAGTATGACCTCATCCATGTGATGTGACCGTGCGAGAACAGTGCCATGTACAATTCAATGACGTTTATTCCGCAGCCCAGACAGGATCGAAGTAGCTCTTGCGGTGGGTGGAAGCCATCCAGCGGTATCTGGTTCAAGGCCCCGCGAATCAAGGTCAGCCGTTCCTTTTCGAACAAGAAGTCATACCATTCAGACCGCTGGTACAGGCTGGTGGGATTGTCGAAGATGGGGGCTTTGCTCCTGGCTTGCATAAGCTGGTTTAGGAGGTGATCGAAATCCGCGCGCACGCGCTGAGCATCGGCGAGGGTGCGTCCGGGCCGGCTGGAAGATGTGTGCGCACGGTGGAAATGATTAGTGATTTTGGCAATAACCCTTCGCAGGCCAACGATGAAGCGGAACACCGAAACCTCGTTGGGATTCGTGAAGTATTGCAGACTCGGGTCGTCGAGGGAGCTCACATGAGCAGATATCAGATCAGTCTCGCTCACTTCGACCGGAAGCTGGACGGTAATATCCTCCTCTGCAATTGCATAGGGGCGACCCAGTATGCCCGAGCTGTACCGATCGTGTAGGTAGCATTCCCAGAATACGTTACGCAGAACCTGCTCATCTATTGGCGCCAGAGACTTCCTCGGTGGACGATGAAGTTTCAATGCAATGCACTGTCGCATGCACGTTCGTGACATGTCCCAGATCGAGCAGTCGATATGGTAGTATCTTGCAAAACGTGCAATCAAGAGCATGTTCTGGATCCCACTGAGGCTGCCGGTGAGGTTGATGTTGGAAAGATTCTGAACAGCTGCACGAAAGTATCCATACGGATGCTCGTGAGTGGTGCCGCGCCGATACGTCGTCACCGAGCTGATGGCAAAGACAATGTTGACGCGGAATAGGTCCTCCGCTGACGCCGAAGCATCAGAACCACCATAAACGCGTTGCAGAGCATTTGAAAAGGGATATTGCGGCATCAAAGGGTGATGCAGTTGCGCATGAGAGAAATAGTGCGAGGCAAGGGCTTGGGCCGCACTCCATGATGGCAAGTCGTACGCAGAGTATGCCGTGCTTCGGCTTGGCGAGGGCTGGACGGCGTCGAAAGGAGCAGAGGGCTGTGGTATGGTGTGTTTAGCGGTCTTTGTCAGGCGCTCGAGACCACGGCGAACTCCAACGGAAGTCTTTGGGCTCTGTACATGTCGTAAGTCGCCGGCTTGTTGTGTGAAACCCGACGTCGATTGTGCAGCAACGTCGGCCTCCAGCTCTCTCAATCTCTGCTCCAATTGGTAGATGCCACCGCGAGTGTAGCGCTCTTTAGTGACGTTGTCGACAATGATACATGCCACGCTGCTCTTTGCACACGTGGCGCATTTCGACGAATGGGTATCGGCATCGCACTTGAGCTTCCGGACTCTACATCGCTCACATGCCGGAAGTTTCAGAGTTCCTATGGAGCCAGGGCGAGCCATCGAGGATATGCGCTATATGTGATGTGTCGCCCTAAGCAAGGGAGCGGTGTAAGTAACCTCAAGTTGATTTTAAGATAACTCGAAAACCATACCAAGCTGATTTAGATGTGACTTGGAGTTGATTTAGAGATGATCAGACATGTGATGTACCGATGTCTTACAAATGATTCCATGTATCTCCAACGTGTCAGTGTTGAGACTTGCACCATGCAGCGAGCCTTGCCAAGACATAGACCCCTCACAGGATCCAGAAAGGGACGAGGCGCCAAGGAACGGGTGACCCGAGTCCTGAGGATCCTTTACTTCCGTCTCTTCAGCTGTTGGATCGTTGTACATACGGTACGTGTACACTCAGTACTACTAGCAACTCTCAGTGCCCTGTGACAAAGCCTGTGACAAAGCCTGTGGCAGCCTTACTGACGCCTAGGGACCTTTATGCCTTATAACTGTAGACGGAAGAGCGGTTCGTGGTTATGTCTCGGGATTTGGTATGTGGAAATGTTATACCTGAACCTCATCCACACGCTCACGAGCGCTTGCGTTGCAGAGGTGCCCGAAGTGAGTTCGCTCACAGCTCCTTGGCATCAACCAATAGGTATAAGTTTGCGAGAGCTAGTTCCGCAGGGCTTTCGCGCCTTATTCCTTCATCCATTCCTTTGGCACTTCCCCGGAGCATGTCCGACCGGTCGACTCGATAGTGACAACACGTCGAGGAAAGGTCCAAGGTAACCTTCGTCCCACAGCCAATCCAGAAATGGCGGAGGAGCGTTGAAAAGATGGTCGGGCTCGAATCTGGCAGAGCCTCTGTGAAACGCCAGATACCGTGCCGGACCTTCCCCTTTTGTGTACGCAAACTCCCCCAGTTACCCGAGTCGAGGAGATGCTCTCCTTGTTATCTGCGTGTTTTGTGAGTGTATCGTAGCTTCATAAAGTGCTGAAGATTGTTGCAGGGACCTTGTTACTCATTCTAGTGATCTTCATAACAGCACACTGCAAAAAATCATGGTTACCAACTACGTCAATGGAGACGCGGGTAGATGCCCCACGATTTACTTTGTGGACGAGTACCACCCAGAAGCCGTCAAATATTCCCAGGAGCGCGCCCACACGATCGTTCCAGGCGACCCCGAGCACGCAAACTGGAGGCAGAATGCCAAATACGTTCTTGTGGGAGGCACCAAATTCTCACGCCAAGACATCGCATCGTGTCCCAATCTGCAGGCCATCGGCAAGAGGGGCACGGGAATCGACAAGATTGATACCGTCGCGTGCAAGGAGCGCGGCATCAAGATCTTGAACACGCCGGGCATTAACGCGCGCGCGGTAGCAGAAATGGTTCTAGCGCTGACAATGTCCGTGGCTCGTGAGGTTGGTCGCGCGGCGGTCAAACAACAGCGCGGAGAGCTGGTGACCCGCGGACAATGGTCGGGGCTCATGCTACATAACACGACGGTCGGCATCATCGGCATGGGCAATATCGGTGAGCAGGTGGCGCGCATTTTTCGGGGTGCTTTTCATGCGGAGGTGATCGCATATGACCCGTATGTGGCAACGAAGGCGTGGAAAGGCATTCCACATACTCGAGCGAATACGTTAGATGAGTTGCTCCAAGCCGCGGACGTGGTCACCCTGCATGTTCCGCTGCTAGACTCCACTCGCAGGCTCATTTCATACCGCGAGCTCCACCTGATGAAGAGGAACGCCATTATCATCAATGCTGCGCGCGGAGGCATCGTCGATGAACGGGACTTGGAACAGGCGCTTCGCGAGGGACTTATCTGGGGCGCCGGTTTGGACTGCCATGAGCATGAGCCGCCCACCAAGGAGCACTATGCTGCATTGTGGGAGCTGGGCGTCGTGAGCACGCCTCACATTGCGGCCAAGACGGCGCAGACTCAGATGAACACGGCGATTGCGGCGGTGAAGCAAGTGATTGACTTTGCTATGGAAACAGGATATCGCTTATAAAGAATAGCTTGGTGTCGGCCACCCATCATTGATGCTGATCACGTCGTTTGAAAGATAGTCCGAAGGCAGAACGAAATACCCCTGAGGTGTAATATGAGGTTTTATTCGCAATGAAAGCGACATGGTTACATCGATACTGATACGAAAAGCGAAATTGGCTGTACACGCAAGGCTTTTGTCATTCCATATGGTTGAGCCGAACCAAATCTTCTCTTCAATATGCATCATACAAAGTGCGTGCGTTGTCTTGAAACACCCTCTGCTGTACGGTCTTGTTCTCGCTCGTCAAATCCGCCAGGTGCTTGACCCAAGGGCGAATATCGATACCTTCATAGTCTGTATGCGGCCAGTCGGTGCCGAAAACGGCTTTTGTGCTGTCGATGCGGAGCAGCTCGCGAATGAGAGGATCTAGGCTCTTGTGTTCGGGATCGTCATCGGTCGTGAGCCGATAGGGAGCAGATATCTTGACCCAGGTGTTGCCCTCTTCCAGGAGCTGGACGAGCGTGTCGAAGCCCGTGATCGAATAGGGGTCGACTTCGCCGGCGCTCGAGGCGTTGTCTGGCAGTCGGGAATGGGCAAAGTGATCGATGACGACCTTGACGCCCAGTGTGGGGATCACAGTGGTGAGGGGCGCCAATTTCTCCATGTATATCACCATCTGGATAGCCCATCCGTAGGGGCGAATGAGGTCGGCATATCGCTGCAGTAGCTGAGGCATTTTCTCCGGCGGCGTGTTGGACGTTGGGTTGTTGTTGTTGGCGAAATTGAGCCGTACTCCTCGGACGCCCAGATCGTGCCACGTCTGGAGCTGGTAGGGCGTGATGGTGTCTGGGTCGAACTGGACAACGGCACGTGCTCTCTTGGGACCGTAGGCCGTGAGAGCCTGCAGAGCTGCAGAATTGTCGAGGCCGTATCGTGTCGGTTGCACGATCACGACGTTTGTGCAGTTGATGGAGCTTTCAAAAGCGACATTTTCCCACACTCCTGCCACTACAGGAGTACTGTTGCCGCTGTCTGGGGTCTGGAAGAACCTGGTCGTGTCGATGATGTGGAGGTGAGAATCCCAGGAGCCTTTTGGTAAGATTGAGCTAAGAGCCATTGGATCCTCGTAGTACTGTGACAATTTGCGGACAGCAGATCAGAAGCTGAGCATTTGTGGGCTGAATGGAAAGGGATTGGGCGCAGCTACAGCTCCTCAAATAGTAGTCGCGGGGTTTACTCTTCACCTCTGTATCACTACCAACTAGCGGTGGTACTCACCATTACTTGCTAGTAGTAGTGGTAGAGGTAGTAGGTGGCAAGAAGTTGAAGGCTCTCTTCCTTCGGAGGGCTCCCGTAGGATCGTCGGTGGCCCCCGTCTACCTCCGGAATCGGGCACTCCTGCAGAACGAATGTGGTAGTCATGTTTTTCCCTTTCCGTACACGCTATCTACACTTGGTTAGTATGGTGGTTTACGCTTTCTTACGAAGTAGGAATCAGAAAGAGGTGAGGCACTGTGATTGGCTGAGAAGCAGAGTTCCACTAATCCGAAAACTAATCCGAAAAAGGAAGCTACCTGTCTTCACGTGTCATTATTAAACAGATTTGATTCCTGGCGTCTAGCTTGGGAGTCAGGCCCCCGTCTGCTTTTCGGACTTTACATGAAGGTTTGCGAGCCTGCCTCAGGATTGTGGAGAGTACAGACCGTATGTATTGAGCGCATCGGCTCGCCCCCGGTGGCAGTCCGTCTCAATACGTGGCAACCAGCCTGGCTTAACCAACACTAGTAAACATACATGGCAAGCTTGACTAACATTCTCGTGCACCTATCCCGAGACCCTCCGTGAGTCCGTGTGCGATACTCAAGCGGCAGATAGTCCAATACCAGCCTTGAGGTCGCCTCGTTCCCTCAAGTGGTCACTCCTTCTCAGTTGGTGGTAGCAGCGCATCGTTTCCCTCATTCTTTGCATCTACAGCACCGTCAACCTCAGTCATGTCCACCGAAGTCTACAACTCGTTCGTCACCAAGATGCGACAAGGGGGGATCGCGAGCACATTGAGCGTCCGTCTCGTGACATCCAACGAAATTGTCGGCTACGCAAAAGCGGCGGGCTACGACGGCATTCTCATCGACATGGAGCACTCGAGCATGGACATGCCAGCTGCCACGCAGCTCTGCGTCGCCGCCCTCTACGCCAACATAGCGCCTGTCGTGCGCGTCCCGGAGAACTCGACGACCTACATTTCCCGAGCGCTGGACGGAGGCGCCCTCGGCATCATCGTTCCACACATCCGCTCCGTCGCGGACGCGCAGAAGGCCGTTGACGCGTGCAAATTCCAGCCGTTCGGCACCCGCTCGGCCACAGGAGGGCTGCCGCAATTTAATTTCCAGAGCCTGCCGCGAGCGGTGGCTACCGCCGCCGCCAACGAGGCCACGGTCGTCATACCCATGATTGAGACTCCTGAGGCACTGGCGCTGGTTGACGAAATCGCTGCCCTTGAAGGCGTGGACTCGCTTCTGATTGGAACAAGCGACCTCTCGGCCGAACTGGGCATCCCAGGAGACTTTGACCACGTTCTCATCGCCGAGGCGTATGAAAAAACCATCGCTGCCTGCAACAGGCACGGCAAGCAGGTGGGCGTGGGCGGTCTTAATGCTCGGCTCGATCTGGTAGAAAAGTTCTGCACGATGGGTGCTTCCTGGGTTATGGCCGGGGCGGACAACGCCATGTTGACGGCGGCCAGCAAGAAGAGGGCCAAGGAGATGTGTAAATTGGAGAATAGAGTCCTACTTGAGAGGCCAAGGCTTACTACCATTGTGCCGTCTAAGTTGACAAACGGACACGCGTGAATTACTAGCAGGTGGGACGGCTGACCTAGAAACGAATGAAACGGCAACGCCTCAGTAAATTCAACGAAGCCCACCTGCGCGCCATATTGAAATGATATGTTGTCACTCATACATCGGGCGGAAGGTTAAGGTGATCCAATAATAGTGGAATGTCTACGTCCTAATCTCGGCATTTTGTGATGCGCTAGCTGTCTCCCATTGACAAGTCAAATCAGGCCAAAGTGAGCGTTTTGTGCGAGTAACTTCAGTGGATTCTTCATTGCATCAATGATCGAGCATCGTTACCATTCCGGGGCATGAACGTTTTGCTTTATATGCCCGCGCTTAAAGCTCTCTACAAGATATACTTGAAGAGAGGGCTTGTATCACCCATCTCATCAAGCTGTTGTTCAGTATACTGCTCATGAACGTCCCACGTGTCCATGCTGGCCTTCTTTTTGTTCCGACTCCAAAGCATGACCTCAAGCACTAAGGTTGCCGCAAGAGCCAGGCACGCCACGCCCAGACAAGAACCGTAGCCACTCTGATACCGGGGAGCTTCTTTCTCCAAGAATGTATTGGTTCCGACAAAAGCTATGAGCAAGCAATTAGCAATGTCCCTGATTCGGGGAAGGGGAGTATATCGACTCACCACCGAGATTACCAGCAGCGAAAAGCCACGCCAGGCCTATGGAACGTTTCCAAGACGGTGCCAGATTATTGCCGGTCCACGCGCCGATGCCTGGCTGGACAGGGTAAATTCCAATCTGAGCCAGAACAACCGCAAAGTACAGGGCGGGTACGTTGTTTTGGACGTCGGGCGCCAGGCCAAATAGAACACTGATTGCCGTGACCAGGATCAGAAGAGGGACAGCGAGGAAGGGCATCCGCCAGGTGAATTTGTCGGACAGCCATCCTGTGACCCAAGCAGACACGCCGCCGCAAAAGTAAGGCGGAATTGTCAGCAGCTGAGCTTTGGAGGTAGTGAACCCCATCTGCTTCACGATCTCGGGCATGGTGAACTTGAATGCGGCGTTGGAGACGGAGTTTCCATTCGACACAAGGATGCCGAGCAAGATCTTGGGGTCGAGCATCGTCTTGATCAGAAGCTTCCACGAAAACCTGTCCCCTTCCTCAGTGTTGGGACGGACGCCAGAGAGCTGCAGACGGAGAGATATGAATCTCTTCTCGTCCTCGGTCAGCCAGCTCGCCTTTTCTGCAGACTCCACCATGAGCCACGGCATGAGCAGACCGACGCCTACGGTGACAGCGCCCTCGATGAGGAAGATCCATCGCCAACCAGCGACACCGTGAGCACCATCGAGCTTGGCAATTGCATAGGCGAGAAGGCCGCTGAAAGCCCCTGAGAAGGCCGATGTGGTGTAGAAGATCGCCAGACGTTGCTGCAGCTCGTGGCGAGGATACCATGTTGTGATGACGTAGGCTGCTCCTGGAAAAAACCCGGCTTCGGCCAGACCCAGCAGGACTCGGCAAGCAAGGAGGCCTTGGAAGTTCTGTACGGCACCCATGCATGTCATGATGGTTCCCCAGGACACAACGAGAAAGCTGAGCCACAAGCTAGGACGGACCTTCTTCAACACAATGTTCGAGGGAATTTCTGGTTTATGTCAAGTCAGTCATGCATTCAATTCATGAATATCTGAAGACGCCGGCCGCCTTACCGAAGATGATGTAAGGGACGAAGAACAGAGTGCTGATGATATTGTATTGGTTTCCCTTCAAGCCGAGGTCCTTGTCCATGCCTTCAAGCTTTGCGTTGCCCACATTGGCGCGATCAATGTGACTCAGAAGGTACAGTAAGGCCATGACGGGGACAAGCCTGCGGTCGACCTACAGAGAATCAAGAATGTTAGGTCATTTAGAGGAGACACAGGGAAGGAGGCCAATTACCTTCGAGGTCACTTTCTTGCCAGCCTTGCCTTCAAAACGACGCATGAGCTCTGCATCTTCCGCCGACAGCACAGTATAGGGGTCGACGGTCTCGATTGTCTTGATTTCGGCCTTTTCGCTCGCAACGTTCGGCGACTCGCTTGTGGCCATCTTGGATTGTGGACGCATATGTGATCAGGGCGGACATCAAAAGCTGGGTAACTGACATGCAAACACGGGATATGGCAAATAGAGAGGACAAACCTGTAGACATACCATAGCACGTTATATGATCGACGAGTCCAACGTGCGCCCCACGGGGAAGTCAGGCTGCTTTGCGGGGTAGGTTTGAACAACAGCCTTTTGGGATATATCGGACAGAACCCGCCAACGCCCCGTGCCAAGCGTTGTTGGGTACCAAATTCGGTGACTGTTGCGATTCCATCGGCGGTGGGGCCGCCTTTGAACGAGCCACGGGCATACAGTAAGTCGATGAGAGCCATTCTTCCCAGAAACGAGTGTTGCATTACGCTTCGAATGAACCTGCGAGGCGATCCTACTCTATAGCTGTGGTCATCAATTCGACAGCATAACCAGGGAGAGTCAGCCGACAGGTTTCAATGCCCTGCTGCAGAATCTGCGCGGGCGAGACATCGCCCTCCGTGAAGGGCCGATGATTACTTTCCGCTCGTTTCTCCAAAGCTGATAGGAAGCACCACAGAAGCTCTGGCAAGTCCCCGACGGGCTCCCACCGGAGTGCTATACGCTGCAAATTGTCCATAGCTAGATGGACGACTTTCATATCTGAAATACCAAGCCGGGCGACCTTTGCATGGTCTATATCAGCTTGCATGTTCTGCAGCTGTTGCTGGGCACAGACGTAAGCAATTATGTTTCCGAGTACGTCGGAGGCGTCCAAAATGGTTGAGGCGAGATCAAGCGTATCAAGGTTGTTCTTGAAGGCATTCATTAGCGATGGCACATCGTTTCGTACCATGTTGTAGATGCGCTGGCAGGATGGATTCGTCTTTGGCTCGCCGATTGCCATGATCAAAAGGTACACTAGGGCTCTGCATGCCAGTCGTTGCTCGTGGAAAGTCAGCACTGCAGCCGCACGGATGTCCGTCGACGCCTTCACGACGCCAGGATTTCTCAGGCCGGCAGTTAGCTCAGTGGACGTTTCTCGCCAGTATTCGTAGGTGGAGTAGCGTTCTTGCAGACTTTGTTTGGGTTCACGGCGCCAGCTGGCAAACATTTCAAAGTAGTGTACCGACCAGATGAAGGATGATTGCGGTGCATATGGACCATGTCCGACGAGGTGGCCTTTTTGCGGCATCTTGGCCGTGATGTCCTGATTCTCAATGCCAACTGGCAGATCGAGAGCAAATGCAGCGTCTCGATCCAGCTTGTACAAAGTCCAGAAAAGCTGGGCCGAGTCGTGATCGTCCACGCCATCATGTTCGCGTTGCCGGCGCATGCCCGCAGATATTGCCCTGGCCATGGCCAATCCAAGGAAGTGCCAGCTCGCCGCCTCCTGAAAGCAATACAGTGCGAAAATTGAAGCCATGGTTAAACATCGAACGGCCTCTACATCGGATGTATCAACGGCATATGTCGGTAGCAGTGACATGGAGTTTTCCATAAGTTGTTGGACAACTGGAAATGCACGTTGGGAGCTTGGGCTGTTCATGATCCCGAGGCCAACCACAAGACAGACCGAGACGAGGTTCTCTCCAGGCGCGTGCGTGGCTGACGCTGGCGTTTCATGAGACTCTGCATACAGTGCATGATCCAGTGCCTCGATGCAAGAAGCCCTGCTGATCAAGGGGTAGATATAACCTACACTGTCGAAGTACTGGTCGATGAAAAAGTGCATGTCTTGGTTGCACAGCGCAAGTAGTTCGCGCTGGATATTGGCTAGACCATAGGATGGTCCCGCTGATGGTATACTGGCGCCCAATCCAATGGTCTTAACGGGCTCGAACAGCCTGATCGCTTCAGTGACTAGGGTAGCAAACGAAGGATCCCCGTTATTAGGTCTATCAGATCGTTCGGGGTCGTTTGGCGCAAGTGCTGGCTGGTAGTCGACCTCTTGAGCAGCAGCGCTCAATTGCTGGTCCAGGCTGGCGTAACTGACCGCGTTGCCCAGGGAGACTGTTGGTGCAGTATCCATCGCGGCGTCAATATCAACATCCTGGGCGTGGTCAATCTGAGCACGGAGTGATTCCAGTACCCGGATACGATGCTTCATGTGCTCGATGAAACTGCGATCCGCTTAGCAGAGAGTGGCCAGATAATGGGGAGAGCGACTTGCCTGGTGGAGTAAGTGGTCATATTCAAGGCCGCATCGTCGTCTTCCATGGTCTTGCCCCAGACTCGTGGCACACATGGCGTTTTAGCAGCGGCGCACTCAGCGCAATGGGGTCGCTGGCGGCCGCATTTTTGCTTCCGTCTCCAACATCTTTGACAGGCTTGGGGAAGCACCGACTCTCTACTCATGTGAGCGACCGCCCAGGAAGATTCAAAGCCAGGAGGGTCACCCGCGATGGATGATATTCGTCGACCGGCCGGGGGTTGAAGAGATGAGTTCGATGGCCCAAGCGTACACCTTTTACTTTCGAATACAAATATTGACTAATCCGTTACCTTACGTAACCTGTTTTCCACCCACAAAAAACATGTGATAGGCGCATAGTTACGTACTACTACACCCCAAAAGTCGTACTTTGTTCAGGGTGGACAACTGGCGGGTGAGAAGTTCCCTTACGTCGATGACTCCCTCTCACCAACATACTGCTCCGATGATGAGATTGTCTACTTCCCAAGATCATACGTGGTCGCATAATGTGCACGTTTTGTTCACGCGCATCGGGCGCCACATGCCGTCTCCACATGATCCCGACTCTGGAGCGCCGATCCGGGACGCGCATGGCTCACTCGACACTCCGTGCCACCATCACCGCCGCGTGACTGCAGGGAAGCGAACGCTTATTACAACGGTAGGTTGTAACTTACCCCGCCATCTTTCAGGAACAGGAAGCTTTCCATCATCGACCCAGGGGAATCGACATCGACGAGCATGGCATTGATGCTGTGATTGTTCAGCCAAGAAGAGCATCTGGGCATGTACGACGCATAGGGATGCACCGCTGATCTGAAGCATGCTTTTGTGCTCAGGCACATGCAATAATGACCAATTTGTTCGAGGGGAGGGTGGTCCTAGTCGTACACGAACCTTGCCTGGATCATCCTTCCAAGTGGAGACCTTGTCCAAGCGTGTAAACATGCACTGGCGCCGCCGATCTCCAGACACCACAGGACTTCCAATGCCTTAAAGACGGCCTCTGCTGCCGTGTCAGCGCGGGACTGGTTCACCCTCCTCCTCAGCCGAAGACATTGTCAAGATGGTGTGGAAGTACCTCCTCCCTTTGGCATCCGTTGCCGCCGCAGCCGTTAATCTGACCTGCCCAGACTACTCAGTCTACTCCACCGAAAACCATGGACCATACTCTGGAGGACGTTTCAACCTCTCGTACCAGCGTCCTATACCTCGATGCCGAACGTTCAACTCCTCGATCGTGGAAGACGAAATTCAGAGCATTTCCAGCCGAATCCAAGACCCCGATTTGAAGAGACTCTTCGTCAACTCCTTCCCAAACACCTTGGACACGGCGGTCAAGTGGAAGGGCTACGCCAATGGCTCGCAGGGAGAAGATTTGACGTTTTTGATCACGGGCGATATCAATGCCATGTGGCTGCGCGATTCGGCGAACCAGATGCAGTCGTACTTGCCTCTGTTGAAGGCATCTTCTTCGGCCAACTCGCTCGCTTCGCTCTACCGTGGTGTCATCAATCTCCAGGCTAGATACTTGCTGATTGACCCTTACTGCAACTCTTTCCAGCCACCCGCAGAGTCTGGCGTTGCGCCTTCTGTAAATGGTGCGTCGACCGATGATGATGTGAGGCCGAGATACAATAATCAGACCGTCTTTGAGTGCAAGTATGAGTTGGACTCTCTGGCGGCGTTCCTTGAGATCTCGTGAGTATAGTCATATCCCAATGGCTGATGTTTTGACTAATTCCGTGTCCAGGGACAACTACTACACAGCGACCAAGGATATTGATTTCTTCAGAAAGTACAACTGGGCCAAAGCTGTGGAAGCCATCCTGACTGTTGCGAACAACATGATGGTCCCCACATATACACAAAACGGCAGCGTAGCGAACTTGACCTACCAGTTCACAAGAGACACGACGAGATCAACGGAGACACAGGCGAATGATGGGCTCGGCAACCCACTCAACAACGGCACTGGTCTGGTCAGATCATTCTTCAGACCCAGCGACGACGCCACCATCTACCAAGGCTTCATCCCAGCGAACATGATGTTCTCAATCAAGCTGCAAAATTGCGTCGAGATTGCATCCAGGCTTGGAAACCAGGGCGGTCTTGCGGATAGAATGCGAAATCTGGCTTCAGGCATTAGGACTGCGATTACGAACCACGGAATCGTGCAGACGCCCACTCATGGCCGCGTCTATGCGTTTGAAGTGGATGGCTATTTCAGCCAGAACATCATGGATGATGCCAACATCCCTTCGCTTCTCTCGGCTCCATTTTTGGGGTACTTGGATCAGAACGACGAGGTCTATCAGAACACTCGAGCTTTGATCTTGTCCGCTGGCAACCCCTACTTCATGCGAGGTCCGGTCATCAATGCCATTGGCGGTCCTCACAATGGGCCTGGATATGCCTGGCCAATGGCTTCTATCGTCCGCATCTTGACGAGTAACGACGACAGGGAGATCACTGAGCAGCTGCAGGAGATTGTCAGCAGTACGGATGGGCTGGGCTTGATTCATGAGAGTATCAATACTTTCAATGTCAGCGATTGGACGAGACAGTGGTGAGTATTTTGTTCTCCAGAAAGCGTTGTATTCGGCTTGACTGATCTTTGATTGCAGGTTCTCCTGGGCGAACGGACTGTTTGGACAGACCATCCTCGACTTGAACGATCGCAAGCCCAATCTCCTCAAACAGAGCTACCAAGGCGGTTCAGGAGGCGGTGGAGGCGGCTGGGGCAATGGCGGCGGCTGGGGCAATGGCCATGGTGGTCCTGGAGGCTGGTAAGAAGTCGGAGACAGACTTTTTGAACAACTAGCAATGGATCAGCAGTCCAGAAAGTCAAGCATTTCTCATGCCCTACACCTTACGGACGCACGTCGAAGAACGATCTATCTCCGTTAATGACCGCCAACCTCCATAACTAGGCTGAGGAAGCATTCTGTGTCGTCCGCGTCCATGGTCTACCCATGGGTGTTCATACTTGCAGGAGCAGCTCGTTTACGCTAACCGCAATTGTCTTTATCTTCTCGACATATCGTAATCAACGAGCTGACAAAGTGGCAGAGAAAGAAGGACTCGCCGATTGGAGCACCTGTCTGACAACGACATGCAGAGTGAGCGATGACACACAACGTCCCACAAGCCATATCTCGCACACTCTCGTTTCAAATGCTGGCCCGCATAGATGATAGAGCCAATGCGATTTGAGATAATCGGTTCTCGACCACGTTTCCGTCCAGATCTCAGGGTCTGTTGACGTCAACGGTGGGTATTTTGTGTGCAGCTTGTAAACTTCGTCGATGCTATCATGTCGATTAGCGTGTACGGCTTGCATTGGGGGAAGGAGAGGTGCTTCCAAGAAGTATAAAGGGTAGTCAGTTCCTTCTATTACCTGTCTCGACCACCCAAAAACTCGTCGACGATCAACAAGTTCCTCCCTTCGTCTGATCGATCTTGCAACTATGGCTCCTCAGGTCTTCTTTATCACTGGTACTTCGACTGGGTACGAACATCCACTTCCAGATCCTGTCAAAAGGGATGATCATGCTAACATATCGATGAACTACAGTTTCGGAAACGAGCTCGTGAAGAAGTGTCTTGCCGAGGGCGACAAAGTGGTCGCCACCGCCCGCAAGTCCTCCAAGCTCAAATTTGACGGCACCACAAAAGATAACTACCTCGCCGTCGACCTCGACGTCACAAGCGATGAGTACGCTCCCGCCTACACTACCTTCCACAAGACAGACCCCCTCCCCTAATAACATCTCCCAGCTCCGTCCACGCCGCCTTCGACGCCGCCCTGCACCAATTCGGCCGCATCGACGTCGTCTGCAACAACGCGGGCTACGGCCTCAGCGGCGAATTCGAATCCGTGACCGAAGAACAATCCCGCAAACAAATGGAAGTCAACTTCTTCGGCCTGCTCAAAGTCACCCGTCGCGCGCTGAAGATCATGCGCGAGGTGAACAAACCCGCCGGCGGCAAGATCCAGCAGATTACGAGTATTGGCGGGCAGAGGGGGGTGCCGACGTTCTCGATTTATTGCGCGAGTAAGTGGGCGGTGGAGGGGTTTACGGAGGCGGTTTGGAAGGAGTTGAAGCCGGAGTGGTTTGTTTTCCCTGCTGTGTGGAATTTGTGATGGGGATGAGGTTTCGCTGACGAGGGGATGGGTAGGAATATCAAGCTCACTTGTATTGAGCCGGGAGGTTTCCGGACGGATTGGGCGGGGAGGAGTATGGAGTTTGGGGCGCAGAAGGAAGCTGCGTATGTTGAAGAGATACGCGTGAGATGGGTGACGAGACTGACATTGGCTGCAGCTACGACCATATCGATGCCCAGTCGACCATGGGCAAGCGTCATGGTACCCAAGTGGGTGATCCAGTAAAGGTATGGCTCAGCTATCGACGTTGTTTACAGCATTGATCACTAAACAAAACATGGTATAGGGCGCGAGAGCTTTCTGGGACATTGCAAAGATGGACGACCCACCACTCCGGGTTGTCATTGGAAGTGACGCTTACGAGGGAATTACGACCAAGATCAAGGAGTACGGCGAGCTGTACCCCAAGTATGAGAAGCTGAGCAGTAAGTCCTAATAGTTCCCCTATTAGATGACATGACATCTGACCGCAAATAGAGAGCACCGACGTCGACGAGAAGTAATCGCCCATCAAACATGCCACACACGAATACAAGTCATAATCCCATACATCCGAAAAGCCAAAATCACCCCTCCATCACTTCCCGCCCGCCCCCTCCCAAGTCCTCAAATCATAATAACACCTCAACTCCCTGATCTGCCACCCACTCGTCCCCTTCCCCTCATCCGCCTCGCCCAGCGTATACACAAACGCCTGCGGCAACTCCACCACCCCTTTCGAGGACGGCAACTTGGTCAAGAACTCCGCATGAATCTCGTGCGTGCCCTTTTCGGAATCAGAGACGATGTTGAGGGAGAGCATCTCTCGGGTGATGGTGGGAAATGGTCCATCTATCCCACGCCACACATTAGTCTAGCCAAAACCTGCAGCCCTCCCTTCTGCGTGAAGAAGCAAAGCGATTCTAGGTGAGAGGAAAGGAGAGGAAAGAAAAACCTACAAAGCTGTCGAAAATACCCCCACCCCATCTCCCCACCCACCAGCACCGTCCCATCCACCTTCCGAATCTTACAATCCTTCGAATAAAAATCTTCCCAGTTCGTGGTTTTCCATTGTTCGGGGGTCTTGGGGAATTTCTGGCCGTAGAGGGTGTAGAAATCTAGAGCTGGGTGGGAGGGGAGGGGGAATGGGTTGAGGGGGAGGGGGATGGGGATCGAGGTGAGGGGCATTGTTTGATGGTGTTTAGGTAGGGGATATTGGCTGTAGGAGAGGTGTGGTTGTGTAGGGCAGCTATGGTATTGAGTTGGATGTTGGTTAGGAGGAGAGCTTTATACATAACGACAGAGCATTACCTCTTTTCGGCTCCGATCTTGTCCGTCTGTCGATGGTGATGACAAAGACACCCCAGTCAGTCTTCTCTGTGCTGTGAGTTGAGTCGAAAGTGGTATGTTCCAGTGAACAAAGCCCTATGTCCCACGAGAGATGTCGTCTGGGGATACCGAGGCTACCTTCAGGTACGAGGGCTGAGAACAGGATCGATGATAGCAGTGCAGGGGTTTCTGGCGTGATGCTTTCAGACGGTGTTTCACGCGGTATTATATGGAATGAGTAAATTCGAGGCTGAGGAGATCTCCCCTTTCGTATCCAATTCGTTCGTGAGCTACGTTTGCTTCGTGCCATCATCACTACATCGATGAACTCCATCATCCAAAGTACATAGACCACAACTCCCACCTCCTCCATCACACAACAATCCTCTCCAACGCCTCACTCAACACCTCCTTCCTCGTCTTATGCATCTCCAGATTGCCCCCATAATGCTCCATAATCTCCAACATCCTTCTCACATCCTCCTTCCCACTCGCATAAACCGCATCGTCGATCCCCTCCGGCGGCGGAGGCAAAGCCAGGAAATTCGCAATCAAAAGACTCTCTTCGAATGCTCGATGTTGGGAGACCCACCAGACGCCGGCTTCGATTTCGAAGAGTCCCCAGAGTTTGAAGAAGGCACAGAGGGCTTCGTGGGCAGCTTCAATGGAGGCTTTGATGTTGGGTTCGACGCTCGCTTCGGTATTTTCGGATGCTTGGAGGAGCATGAGGCAGTGGAAGTAGTTGGAGGTGAGGAAGAGGTTTTGGCGGACTTGACGCGGGTGGTTGATGACTTGTTGTTGGAGGACGCTGTAGTCGAGGATCGTGAGTGGTGAGGGGAAGGACTTGTAGAGTCGTTTGAAGGCCGCAACCAGCGAGTCTTTGTGCCGTGGGCTGTTGGATATAGGTAAGGAGAGCGAGAGGGGTGAGGCAAGGTTCTCCTGCACCAGGTTTCCGAGATGCCACATGCTTCTCATATACGCAATGTCGCTTTTTGTCGTTGAAGGGTCAATCATATGGTGAGGTTGAGGTGGCGGCGGCGATTGGGTCATCTGTGGAGCTATCACATTGATGCTCATAAGGTTTTCCACTCGATGAGCTCCAATACACACGTCGACGCCGTCATTGCTCAACTCGTTCTCGTCAGCCAGGGATTCGACTGGAACATCGCTGTGCGTGGCTGTGGGTGGAAGTTTCAGCAGAATAGTCAAGAAGGTGTCTTGAAAGAAGACCGCCTGCCAAAGCTTTCGTCTCTGCTGCTTTTCCAAAACGGAAGCATCGGGTACGACAAGTTCGGGATCTCGATGTAGTCGTAATGCATACGATTGTCTGAGGTGTATGCCTGCCCAAGCGTATGCATCGGAAGCGTGGTTGTCGTTCATCAAGAAGTACGCCATCAAAAGCATAGCCTGTATCGCACGCATCGACGTTCGATTCAAGTATGAATAGACTCGCAGTGCTTGATTGGCCGCCGAGCAGTAGAACTCCGCCGTCTGAGATCGCTCTTCATATGCAGGAAACTGCATGAATTGCGTCCCCAGAGCGTACATGGCGTAATGCAGAGCTACCAGAGACGCATCCGTGTTGCCCTTTTCCTCCGGCGACAGTGCCCAGAAGAGCTCGTAGTCGGAGTAGAACGTTCTTCGATGGATGAAAGGATAGACCGGATCGACGGATTCAAAGTACTTCGCAATCAACATATCGGCCTGCTCCTTGCTTGGAAGCACTGTGATGACCTCTGGGAGGCCACCCTGGCAAGTCCAGTAGTTCGAGAACGGATGTTGTGATCCCACACCAAAGACATTGCTGGGCGAGCTTTGAGAGTATGGCACGTTGGAGAACAAGTGCGGAGAGCCACCTTTCGAGACAGAAGAGGACAGCGTTCGAGGCTTCTGCCTCTCGATATTGGTCCAGCCATTATCCGTGACAGTGGGCGAGGCCAAGGTAGTAGACGGCGACGTCGCGCTCGCGCTCACGCTGGTCTTGCGGATCTTGCTCGTCGGCTTGGTGACATATCGCGCCTTGCTCGTCCCGTTCTTACGATCCGCCGAAGCAATGAGGTTTGCCACAGCGGTATATTCGCACGTGGATTGCCTCTTGACGCAAGCCAGACATGGCCTTCCTCTGTCGCACTTGGTCTTCCTCTCGACGCACTCCAGGCACGACAAGGTAGGTTTGTTGCGTTTCTGTTTCGGTTTCAGCCTGGGCGGTTCTCCATTCCCAGCGGTGAGACTGATATGGGTGGGTGAAGTGACGGGGGCAGGACCAGCATGATGGCCATTGCCGTTGATGGACCCGTTCAAGGCTGCGCGATCATTGGGCACAGCTGGGCTGACAGGAGATGTCCCGATGGCACCGACAAGGCCTGCAGGAGACTCCGACGCCTGTTGTGACACCTGCATCGTGGTGATGGGTCCGGGAATAGCGGAAATGAAATGATAGAGAGGTGAGTTCACGTAGGGCTGCGGAGGAGGCTGAGGTCATCGTTTCTGCTTGCTTGATGCCCCTCTCCCACCGTTGCAAACCTTAGCCGAGGTCGCTCTTGTCACGAGGGCATTGGAGACTGAGGCTCTGTAGGGCGGTCTTCCAAGCAGATTGTCAGTGTAGTAGCTCGTCCGAAGTAACAACAGTTGTTTTCGTGCAAACAGCGAATTGTCTTGCTTCAGTCCCGGTGCTAGAAGACGTAGAAACGCAGACTTCCTCTTGCCAGATTACGTGCTCGACACGAGGCAATTGTGCATCGTCTCGCGGCTTCCTTGAGCGCCGACTTCACATGCGCTATACAAAACTCCTTGTATCTCCACACACGACATAACTTCAGCTACTGCAATGCGAGAATGAACCAGAACTGAATTCGCGTTACTCCAGTTCGAATACTGTCTCTCTGCTTGCGTGGACGCTGTTCCAAACTCCTAAGTATACCAGACATGCTTGACAAGAGCAAGAAGGTTGCCGCCAGAGGTGATCGTCTTGAGCAGCAAAGTCAAGTATCTAAATGTATCACAGGTCGATCGAGTAAGCAGTGCTTGGCAACATACGAAGTGATGTGAAGCTTTCATACTTACCCACACGTTCACTGTGTCAAGAACTTCGTCTGCCGCGACTTGACGTCCTCAATCGTTAGGGCGGGAGTGACGAACTAGTTGAACGGTTTGACCCGGTCTTGGCTTTCATGTGAAAGTCGAAGTGAATGGAGCGCTAAAGGCTTCTTCTTACACTCCGCGCTCGCGTCGCCGTCGTGCGATAGGTTGTTCCGCGAGAGGAGATCCCATGATCTCGCGATGAGATGTGTAGGTCCATAACGCTCCTTCCGAGCATGTTGACCACCAAAAGACAAACGTCGTCAGTGAATGTCTTTCCAGGATGACGTGTTATCACGCCGTTTGCTCGCACGCAGCCCGCCGCGCTTCCAACAGATTCTCTTTCCACGCACCCACACTCTTTTCTTCTCTCGATTGGTCGCCAACTCAGACCACCAACAGCATCAACATGGCTTCACCACGCTGCCCATCGTGCACTGACACGGGCACGAAGAACTGTCTCGGCTGCAAGTCTGTCAAGGTAGGTTGTCCTCCTTGCCTACCCCTTTTTCTGGCGTCGCTGACCCCTCGACCAGTACTGCAGCGAGGAGTGCCAGCAAGCCGACTTGCCCTTCCACAAGAGCTTCTGCAAGCTGTTCGAGAACCTATCACCTCGCCCATCATCCAGCCACCGACTGACCGTCTTCTTCCCCGAGGACAGCACCGGCCCTGTGCTGAAGTGGGAAGTCGGCCGTGAGTTCATCCACGGCCAACTCCGGAGCAGCCACGAGATCCAATGGAACCCCATCACAGGCGCTGTCAGGGACGACCCCGTCTACATGTACTACGACGGGATCCAGTATAACTACCGAGTGCACAACCACGGCATCGACAAGGTCAAAGGTCGGATGACCATGGTTCGGTGGAAGGGCCCCGTGGTGTTCTTCTGCTCGCGCAAAGACTGGGATGAAGATGTGCACCCCGTGCAGGATGTGGACGCTGTGGCGTGCAGCGACCTCGTTGCGTTCCTCTTGGACTTCCGCGATGAAAGCCCTGAGTACAAGAGTCGCGAGGCGCGCCCAACGTTTGTCAAAGTCGACGCAGTCAAGGTCACTTGTCCTGGCGAGCGGGCTCTGACTGGCTGCGCGCCGTGTGTCCCGGTCAAAGTCCCCGCGATGCACCCCATTCGCAAGGATGCTGCCGGCGACGTGGCGGATGTCTCGGTGGTAAGTCCAACCATTCCCCTCTACATCCCCCCACCACACCCAGACAGACAGACCATTGACTAACCAACTCACAACGCACCTCAGGGAATCAACATGCCCCTCCTGACCTGGAAGTACCCGCCCAACGCCTCCTGGCCCGACGTGCTAGACCGCCGCTTCAACCCCGTAGCCCACATGCACAAAGGCATCGACCCGCAAATCCAGAACCTCTCCACCCCAATCCACCCCTCCCGGAACAGTTTCGGTTTCCCGCCCCAAACCTGGGACATCGGCATCGGCAACGCCCTCGTCATGCGTCAAGACCACCAACCCCTCACACCAGACGAAGTCGAAGCCTTTGGGGATTTCGCCGCTTCCACATGTCGCAGTACTTCCAGTACCACGGTGAGGCCGGGGAGGACGCCGACGAGCAGCGCGCGAAGGAGCTGGATGCCCTGGTCCTGGCCGAGGCGAGGCCGGAGAAGTGGGAGGTGTATTTCGAGGATTGGCGCAAGGTCAAGGTGGGTTTTGTCGACGACCCAGAGGTCAATGGCCGGGTTGGTGGGGCGGTTCGTATGGGGTTGAGCATGGAGGACGGCGAGAAGCTGAGCGATTGTCTGTTCAGGGCTCGGGCTTGAGTGGGAGGTTCGAGCACGGTGTATCGGCTTGATGCTGAGAGGGAGGGCGAGGTGTCGGAGTCTGGAAATGCGCCCATGGAGCTCGAGCATGAAGACGCAAACAGAGCTTGGTCCCAGGCCAGTCAGCTGAACGCAAATGAATCGTAGTAGAAAAGGATGCACAGGGGTGCTTCATTGAAAGAGTTGGTTGTCATTAGATTACTTCATACCAGCCCAGCAAAAGTACACCAAACTTCTCGTTCTCACTGCACTTCGCTATTCCATATCAAAGGAAGGATCGGCCCTGTCCCACACCCTGTCGCAACATGATAGCTAGCTTGTTGATGTAGTACTACTCCAGACCAATTTCCGCATTCCGTTTTCCAATCCCTTCGCCATCCTTTGCAAACATCCCATACCACAAAAACACCAACCAAAGTCTTCCATGCTATGCAAAAACAAACAACAAAAATATCATATACAACACACACTCCTGATTCTCTCCTTTCAAACTCTTTACATCTCCGACAGCTGCCGATCAATCTCAAAGTCCAGGAAAGCCTTCTTCTCGCCGGAAAGCTGGCACTGCAACTTCTGCTCCGCCAGGGCCTTGAGCTGCTTCTTGGTCACAGAGTCCATGTCGACTTCCGTCAGACATTCGCGGATGGCCATCGTGATGGACTCGTTGGTAGGACCCTGTGTCTGGAAAGCAGACATGGAGCTGAGGTGTTGGTTCGGGTTCGTGCTCCCTGGTCGGCTCATGCCGGTGCCGCTGTTATACGGGTTGTTGTACTGGCCGAGTGGCGAGCGGGCGCGACCTTGTTGCCCGAAGGTGGGCGATGTCATGCCGCCCATTAGGTTCTCTTGAGATTGTTGGCGAGGGCTGTATGGTGATGGGTGGTATTGATCGCTCATACCGCCCATGGACATCAGTCGTTGTTGCTCTTGAGCATGCGGATTATCGGTATATCGTCCAGTCATGTGCGAGAAGGTCGATTGTCTGCCCATCGCGTTAGGACCGGGAGACTGTGGCGGTCTGTATGATTGGTGTTGTGGGAAGCCGGTGAGGATTGTCGAGGCCGGCTTCACAGACGAGTACACCGACCGCATATCGTCCATCTCGTAGCCGGCGTCCTGGTACATGCCCATGTCCTTCTCCTGGTAGACACCTCTGCGGCCAGGAAGATTGTTCAGGGTGGCATAGTCGTCCCAGCGTTGAAGAGGAATACTCCGTGGGTCGTACTTCTCTTCCTCACTCACGGCAACGACTTGCTTGTCACCCTTTTCGCCGATGACAACACGAGTGTTACCCCACGAGAAGTCGTCCTGCTTCCAGAAAGAGTACACAGGAAGGACGAACGACCAGATGGGGTATGCCAGGAGATAAATAATCATCCAGCCAATGTGCTGCCACTGTCTCTTGATGATGAAGATGATAGCCTGTAGACCATAGACCGCAGCCAATATGATGATGGAGATCAGTGGGAATTGTCCAGTACCGGTCGCGACATTGACGATGAGATAAACCAGGTAGACGCAGGTGGCCGGGAGAATGATGGTTCCGAAGAGGTCGATGAATACGACGAAACGCATGGAGAAACAGCAGAAGCCACACAAGTCGACCTGCAACATCTCTGCCAGATTGTGAATAGTTGAGTTGATCCAGCGACGTCTCTGAGAGAGCAGCACACTCCACTCGGCCGGGGCTTCCGTGAGAGCGTAGGCGTCAGGCAAGAACTTGTACGACATAGAGGGGAAGTGCTTGGTCATGATGGTGGTCAGGTAACGATCCTCACCGAGGGAGAACAGGTTCTTCTTGTGGAGGGTGTCGACTTTGTTCTCGGCGTACTCAGCGATGACCTTGTCGGCGATAATGAGCGGTCGTCCTTTGTCAGAAGTTCGCAATCGGTACATGCAGAAACTGTGTAAAATGTCAGTGGATGCATCAAGGTGGGAAATGTGGAATCACGTACCATCCGGGTAAACAGGTGACGCTGCCGAACAAACTCTCGAAAGCCTTCGCCAAATGATGGGAGATGTAGTATTCGTAGACTTGAATCATGGTCCACCAACTGCGCTCTTCGTTCTCCAGGGATGTCTCGCCGCAGATACCGGCAATCTTAGCGTCATTGGCACAAGCTGCGACCAACCTATTGAGAGAGTCTTCCTTGACCTTGGTGTCGGCGTCGACCATGAAGGCATATTCGTACAGTTCCGGGTCGACACCAATGATATTGTTAATCTGGTGGAACATCTCCAGCTCCAGAGGGTTCATGGCAGATCGGTGGTGCACTCGGTTCAAAAAGCTCATTAGCAGGATCTGTGAGTCTCGTTTACCACGGTTACCAGGCTTCGACTTGTTTTGCTCGGACTCTTTGCCGACTTTAACGACGACGATGTATGGGACGACATTGCCTTCGTACTCGTACAGACCAGAGTATACCTTGCCGTAGTTGAGTTGTTCGATGCCGGTACCGAGTGACTTGAAGGGCAAAGCAGGAGGGTCAATCTTGGGATCGACGCCGAGGATATCGAGCACAATCTTAGGCGTAGGCCGATCATTTCCACCACCGACAATCATACCGTCGCAGATGACACAGATGAGCTTCCTCTTGTTATCATAGGCCAGAGCCGTGAGCGAGTCGAGGCCCTTTCGGAGAGAGTCTTCACCTTCGGTATAAGCAGGGACCTGGCAAATGACGAACTTGTCCTGCTGCGCCGGCCGTCGCTTGGAACCAAGCTGGAGAGCCGCCAAGAACTTGGTCAAGATGACCGCGCCGAGAATAACGGTAAAGGCAAGTAGAATGTAGTTGTTGACCTGGCAGCGGGCTGTGTCACGGAAGTCGGTGTCGCCGATATAGAACATGTTGTTGAGGCAGTTCATGCTGTTCAGGCGTGTGGTCGTGTTCAAATTGTCGTTCCACTGCTTCGTAATGTCAGCGCCGGGGTTCTGCGAGACCAGTGTCTCGACATCGTCGGCAAAGAAGCTGTACGAGGCTAGATTGTTCATCATGTCCAGCGTATAGTAGTAATCCGTCAAGTCATAGACCTTCTGATCGATGATGAACCACTTGCGGCTGTACTTCTCACCGTCACTCGTCACCGTCTTCCTTTTCCAAACGAGGGCGCCCTTGTGGAATTCTTTCATCCGAGGTAACAAATCTTCAGTGTACCAGTTGATGTTGCGCAACTTCGTGGTGGGATCAGCTTGCGCTCGAGGTCCAGACTTGTGCTCCGCGTTAGGGTAGAGAAGAGTATTGTTACTTTGGAGAGTGATCGATTCGTCCGTCACCAAGCCAGGGCAGGCGATGGTGAGAGGTGGTACGATGTACTCGGTGACATCTGTTCCCGCAAAAGGCTGCATGTTCGAAGTCGTGGTTTCGATGTTGGTGTCGGAATGCTGCAGTTTCCAGAACTTGCTGAGGTCGTAGACACCGCCGCGGAAGGATACGTAGAAGTCGTTGTCACCTTGGTGATAGCCGACTTCCTTTCTGTTCCAGACCTTGTTCTTGTTCGGACACAGGATGTTACCGAAGCCCACAATGTAGAAGATCACTGTGCCGTTCATGAGAAAAATGAGAATCATGAGCGCGAACTTCTCTCGCCACGCCATCCGGACGTCGGGTCGCTTCATACGGCCAATTTTGTTGAGCAAGAACGAGGGAATCCACCAGGTTAAGGCCCAGACGAGTCCGACCCACATGCGGCGTCCTTTGGAAACCTTTTCAACAACGACGTCTTTGCCTTCGGCCAGTTCCCCGTCAATCTCGCCTTCGAAGCCGATCCAGTTACGCTTGTCGTCTCCCTTGAAGCCGAGGCCGTAGTCACCACCGCTGATGCTGCGCACGGTATGGGCCTGCGTGGGGGCGAGGGACTTGGCACCCATCCTGCTGGGGGCAACTTGCGATGGTTGCCGGCCTAGCATGGTTTCACGGCTGCCATCGTCGTGGTAGAAGCCGCCGTCCAAGCCATCAGGGGTGCCGGCAGAGTATCCAGATTCCATACCAGCAGCACCGACCATTCCACCCAGCATGTTGCCTGGAGACAAGTCGTCCGCGGGCTTCATGTCCAACATGCTCTCGGCCTCCCAGTACGCCGGTTCCCGCATCCAGATGCGCTCGTGGCCAACGACGACTTCGCCATTGCTCCAGCCGCGCTCCAGAATCCAGGTCTCAACGCCGTCCTTTCCATCAGCGCATCCGAGTCTGCGGTAGCGGTCCACGAACTCGTCCACGTCGAAGTCGGCGGTGAAGTCCAGTTGCTTGCTTCGGTGGTTGGCCCACTCTGGGAGCCTCCAGGAACGAATCTGGCTGGAGACGCTGCCGGCCGACCAAGGCATGGAGCCTGGTGGTTGATTTGCCAGAGAAGCCGGGTTGTCATCTGTTGGGTGCAGGCACAGTTGGAACCATACGCGGCTGCTACCAAGAACGTTGGTCAGGTTAAAACGGCCAGTCCTGCCAAGATTGATACCCTGTCCTGAGACGGGGTACAAAATATTCCGCAAGAAGCTCTCATCATCGGTTTCGGAGCCGACCTTTTCCAAAACGCCTTGTCGGCGATCGAACTCGAACTCCACTTCTCTTGAAGCGGCTCCGCCGTGGATGTCCAGCTCAGCTTCATTCTGGGCAACCGCGTCCTTCATCTCCCGGATGACTGACGATCCTGCTGGTACTATCGGCACGCCATCTTCCTTCATTTCTGCGTTGATGCCGGTGCTATCGTCGAAGATGCACTTCAAGCTAGCTGCCTTGCCGAGCGCCTGGCTAGGTACTTCAATCAAGGTGATGCTGACGCTATCGCCGTCCTCTTGGCTGCTAGGTGGAGTGGCGTCGCCGCTGATGCTTCCATCACTCAAGGCACGGCCGGTGCGAATTTCCGTGCGGATGGCATCGTTGGCCTGCATGATGACCCAATCTACCAAGGCCTCATACAGGGCAGCCATGAGAATCTCCCGCTCTTCTGTGACGCATTTCTTCAAGATGATCTCTGGGTCGAGATCCAACAACTCGCCAACTTCTTCTGTGACTGCCTCCAACTCTTCTTGGTCGACAAGGAAGCCAACTGCATCTCCAAGTCGAAGGATTGCGGCGACGACTGAGAGAAGACTGCGCAGGGCCTTGCCCTTGATGCCGATGGCCTTGAGAGACTCTCGAAAATCTTCGGCCGCAGCAGCATCGTCTGCGGTTGGAAGGTAGGTAGGTGGGCGGTAGGTCTCGGATTTGCGAAGGAGGGCGTACTGATTGGGTGCTTTCAAGCCGAGGAATTCTCGTTCTTGCTCGGACTGGGAGGTGAGAAGGTAGTAAAAGACATCAAAAGCCCTGTAGCCCTGTTCTGTGGGGACGTTGAGGAAGCCATTCTTGGTGTCGATGCCAGAAGTTGACAAGCTCAACGAAGCGCCGGTAATCTCGCCGGTCAGAGCGAGGTTAAAGACACCGGCAAGCGCAGAGTACCGCGGCAATGATGGATTAAAAGGCGTTACTGTATGCAAGAAAGGTCGTAAGGCATTAAGCGCAGTGTAGAAAGTGCCCGGCACGGAAAGTGGGAGGGCCGAGGCGAAGGGGGCGAACATGGACGGGGTAGACTGATGGAGTGAGCTGGAGACGGTCAGTATCATGTGCCGTAGCTCAACATGTGTATTCATGGAGATGGACTCACCCCAAAACGATGCAGCCATCCTCAGCTCGCCTCCTGGCATGTTCCCAAGTCTTGCGGGCAAGGTCTGCATCGACGGTGCCGCCATATCTGCCGTCTGGCCCGGTGCCTGATCCGGTGACCCAGGTATTCACTACCAGACTGGTGCTGGATTCGAGTACGTATGGCTGTCCTGAGGAAAAGGCGCTGTGGAGAGCGTTCAATAGGGTGGTGGTCGAGACCTGCGATGTAGCCTGCTGCATTGTGTTCGTCTGTCCTGGCGCGGCGGACGAGGCGTTGGAGTACGAAGACATACGGTACGCCATGATGGGCGATAGCGATGCTCGATATGCCCTCGAGGGGCTCGTTGGGGGAGTCTAACAGTCCAAGTCTCGCAAGGCCTGGTGTGTGGCAGTGGTCTTTTCTGAGGGAGTCGCGTGCGAGAAGGGGCCGGTATGGAGGGTAGCTTCCCGAGCGAGTGTATGGATGCTTCCTAGCGAATGTGTGGTGTTGTGCAGTGCGACAAGCGAAAGTGTGTGATGGTGTAAGAAGAGGAGAAGGATAGACTGCTGCTGAGACAACGTTCGAAAACGCCTAGCAGCACACAGATGCAGCAGATGCAGCGCGTGGATGCAGTGGATCGAATGGGAGAGTCTCGCTAGCCAGCGGCCCCCGACAGGGGCAGGGCAGAGCCAAGGCGAATCAACAACAACGGCCCAACGGCTGGCCAAAAACTTTATCCAGGCCACCACCTATTTTTCTCGTCGCGGGCTAATTTGGATATAGCACTGCATCTGTCATCATCGTCGCCAAATCCCCCATTCCATCATCAACATCAACGACTACTGCGAATTCGCCTCCCATCCTGCCCGTATACTGTGCTTTCAATCTATTCAGATCCTCGCCACCGCCGGCGTGGGCGGGATTCTTTGCTGAGAACACGAGCTAGGTCACGCTTGGCTATTTTTGGGTCATTCGACCCGCCCAATGCAGTAACCAGCTGCTGAGCTGCTCACCTACAGCAAGCAACCCTACATGAACCATCGGAGAATATGACGCGGCCAGTGAGAACTGGGCTCAGCCAGCTCACGCTCTTGGCCATCTTCGACCGCAACATCGTGTTGTGATGATGGCAGCGTGGCGGAGAGAGACAGCGGCGACGTTGTGGTGCTGGGCGGACAGGATTGTTCTCGAAACCCGCGGGCGCTCGAGTTGCAGGGGAGGCCTGGTTGGCTCGCAGGCGATCGTTGCTCCTCCTCCCCGCGAATCTCTGCTCCGGGACAAGGTTCGTTGGCGCAGAGACCACCTGCAGGACGGTAAGCGCCTTTACGCCTCTCCTCTGCTGTTGCTGCATTTTGCGCCCTCGAGCACGCGTCCGCGGTGGTACGGGTGCACAGGCAGCGGGTGCTCGTGGTCGACGAGCCACGGGAGATGAAGGACAGCGTGGGAGTCTGTTGTTGACGGCATGTGTGACGTCCAGCACAACAACGGATGGGCGGGTCTGATGTGCCTAAAAGTGCAACGGCCAAGCAGCAGCAGCAGAGAGGCGATTCCATTTCGCGTATGGTTGAACTCAGGAGTGCGTGCAGGGATGCAGGCGCGCTACGGCTGTTTTGGATGAGGCTTGGTGTGGTGTGCCTGTTCCTCAGAGCTGGCCCGCGCAGTCGCCTCCTCAACACCAAGCTCACAATCGTCTGACCTTCGTTTTTCATCACCCTTGTTGTCGTCGAGCATTCGTGCTGTATACCACCTCTCGTCTTCAGTCGGTCGCTTTTCGTCAGTCACTCGCTTGTGGGAAGCCGTCGCTCTACGCTGTCCCAGTACCAAGGCCCAAGGGGAGCAGGACCAGCGTTCCAAATTTAGGCCATTTTTCATTGTGCCTGCTGCCGACTCCTGCCTTGCTGCTACATTCCCTCGACACACCGTGCTTGCCTCGCGAGGCCTTCACGATACTGCTGAACCCACGATCGATTGCACGGCCGCGAGGCCAACGACTCCATCATGGCCTCCGCTCCCACCACACAGCCCAACCTGGCTGCCCTGCCCGCCCATTCCATGAGCGACACGAACATCACCAGTCACATTGCTTCGCGCTACCACAGCCATCTCCCCATCACGAATCTATCGTCCCAGGGATACATCTCCGTTAATACATACACGTCGTCTGCCAAGGGCCCAAATGGCGGCAAGGAAGGCAGCGCGATGGGCGCCGCGGAAGAGCTGGCGGGTCGCATGTGGGCGCGTCTGGGAAGTCGTCAGGAGAATCAGGCCGCTGTGTTCCTGTAAGTGTGGAGGAAAAGAGACAGGCAGACTCGAACGCGAACGTTCAGGTCGCCATGTCAGAGTCAGTACCATCAGACCCCTTGCTGACCCTCGAACAGTGGAGAATCAGGTACCGGCAAGACTACCATCAGATCGCATTTGCTTTCATCGCTCTTGCAACACTCGTCAACGCCTCTGTCCAAGAAACTGTCTTTTGCGGCTTTTGTCTTCGACACCCTCACCACGACCAAGTCCGTGACCACCCCAACTGCGTCCAAGTCCGGACTGTACTTCGAACTGCAGTATGACACCTCGTCCACATTGCACCCAACCCTCATTGGTGGCAAAGTCCTCGACCACAGACTGGAGCGCAGCCGCATTTCGACGGTACCACCGGGGGAGCGGAATTACCACATCCTCTACTACCTCCTCGCGGGCACTTCAGCTGCTGAGAAGGAACATCTGGGCCTCGAACTTGGCAGCAGTTTGCCAGTCGGCCCGGGCAACAGAGCATCTTTGGGCGGTGGCACGAAAAGATGGCGATATCTTGGCCATCCATCTCAGCTTAAAGTTGGGATTAATGATTCTGAAGGCTTTCAGCACTTCAAAACCGCACTGCGAAAGCTGGAGTTCCCCCGCGAAGAGATAGCACACATGTGCGAGGTTCTGGCCGCCATCCTGCACATTGGGCAGCTCGAGTTCATCACCTCGCAGTCTACGACTCCCGCGCCTGATGAGAGTGGAGGCTACGGTCACGAAGGTGGCGAGGAAGTCACTGTGGTCAAGAACAAGGACACCTTGACAGCTATTGCTGCTTTCCTCGGAGTTGCGGCGAACACCCTGGAGCAATCGCTCGGCTATAGGACGAAGATTCTGCACCGCGAACGTGTGACGATCATGCTGGACCCCAAAGGTGCCAGGGAAAACGCCGATGAACTCGCCCGCACTCTCTACAGCTTGCTTGTTGCCCTCATCATGGAAAAGATCAATCAGAGAACGTGCGCCATCGAAGAATCTGTGGCCAACACTATATCAATGGTCGACTTCCCCGGTTTCTCTCAGACCTCGTCAACGGGCAGCGTCCTCGATCAACTTCTGAGCAACGCCGCGACGGAATCAATGTACAATTTCTGTCTCCAGAGCTTCTTCGAAAGGAAAGCCGACCTTCTAGAGACTGAAGAAGTGCAAGTCCCAGCTACCAGCTATTTCGACAACAGCGATGCGGTCAAGGGTCTCCTCAAGCCAGGAAACGGCCTCTTGAGCATCCTGGACGATCAGATGAAGCGGGGAAAGACTGATATGCAGTTCTTGGAGTCCTTGCGCAAGCGTTTCGAAGCCAAGAACCCGGCCATCGAGGTGGGTAGCGCAACTGTCACGCTTCCTGGCAACAATTTCGCTACCCACAATGCTTCCGCCGCTTTCACGGTCAAGCACTTTGCCGGCGAAGTGGACTACCCTGTGGAAGGCCTTCTGGAGGAGAACGGCGAGGTCATCTCTGGCGACCTGATGAACCTTGTCAACACCTCGAGCAGCGACTTTGTCTCAGAATTGTTTGGCCAGGAAGCCCTGAACAAGGTCGTGCACCCAAAGGATCGCTCAGCAGTCACCCAAGCTTCTGTCGCCTCGAAACCATCTCGAATGCCCAGCATGGCTCGACGCAAGGGTGGCCGCCCCAACAAGCTCGGCTCACGGCGTAACGAACTCGACGATGACAAGAGCAGCGACGAAGGCACTAGGAGCTTCTCGCGCTTCAACAAGCCTAACGGCCCTCAAGCGGGAGCTGCAGCACAGTTCCTCTCCTCCCTCGACAACATCACCAAGTCACTCACCGCACCCAACACCAACTCTTACTTTTTCTTCTGCTTGAAGCCCAACGACAGACGGATAGCGAACCAGTTCGACAGCAAGTGCGTACGGACACAGATTCAGACCCTGGGCATTGCCGAGATCGCACAACGACTGAAGAATGTCGACTTCAGCATCTTCATGCCGTTTGGCGAGTTCCTGGGCACAGCCGAGGGCGAAGTCACTGTTGTTGGCACCGAGCGAGAGAAGGCTGAAATGATCTTGGACGAGAAGAGCTGGCCGGGCAACGAAGCGAGAGTCGGTACTACTGGTGTCTTCCTCAGTGAGCGATGTTGGCGACAGATAGCGAATGTCGGCGACCTTGGCGATCCTCCCGTACCATACTCTGACGAATCGTATGGCAACTCAGGCATGCTTACTCCCATCGACGCGAAGAAGGGTTTTGCAGAATCGCGAACCCAACTTCTGACCCCTGGCTCTGGATACTACGATGACAAGGCCGCTGGGTACTTTGGCAGCCGGGATCTGGACGCAAAGAGTGAGGCCGGTGCCTCTGCCTTCAGAGAGGGCGACATGTTCCGCAATCTTGAAACCCGCTCCCAAATGGCCGAGAAAGGCAACGAAGTCAAGACCACCGAGATCGAGGAGCGGCCTACCTCTGGCAGTCGCATGAGGTGGCTGGTCATAGTCTATTTCTTCACCTGGTGGGTCCCAGACTTCGCCATCCGTGTCATCGGCCGCATGCCTCGTAAAGACATCCGCATGGCGTGGAGAGAAAAACTGGCCATCAACATGATCATCTGGCTGTCCTGCGCTTTCGTCGTCTTCTTCATGATTGGCTTCCCGCGCATCATCTGCCCGACTCAGCACGTGTATAGTCTGGAAGAGCTCACGTCATATAATGGCAAAGACGGGGCGAAGTCTTATGTTGCCATTCGCGGTGTTGTCTTCAACCTGGATGCTTTCATGCCGGCCCACTACCCGAACATTGTTCCTGAATCCGCCTTGAAGAAGTACGCTGGTACGGACGCAACGAATCTGTTCCCAATCCAGGTTTCGGCCATGTGCCAAGGCGTCAACGAATCCGGCATTGATCCTGCTGTTCAGCTCAACTACCAGAGCCACAACTACACTGGCCAGTCGGATGCTGTTAGTAGCAGTGACAGCAACGCACAGTACCACGATTTCCGATGGGCCACCAACGACTCACGACCGGCTTGGTTCATCGAACAGATGATCTACCTCCAAGGAAACTACTGGAAGGGAAATGTGGGCTATTCACCACAATACCTCAAGACGCTTGCCGACAAGCAGAACTACGTTGCCTACATCAACAACCGCGTGTACGATCTGACCGAGTACGTCGCTGGTGGCAGACAGCCGCAGTATCGTCCAGGAACCCAGAAGCCGGATGTAGCACCAAACTCGAACTTCATGGACGAGACGGTCGTCGACCTGTTCCAGCAGCGCTCCGGCCAGGACGTTACCAAATACTGGGAAGCACTCAACATCGATCCTGCCCTCAGGCAACGAATGGAAGTCTGCCTCAACAATCTCTTCTACGTTGGAAATGTCGATACTCGAAGCAGCCCGCAGTGCCAGTTTGCAAAGTACATCCTGCTTGCAATCTCCCTGATGCTGGTGTCTGTCATCTGCTTCAAATTCTTGGCTGCTCTGCAGTTCGGCAAGAAGAACGTCCCGGAGAACCTCGACAAGTTTGTCATCTGTACCGTTCCGGCGTACACAGAAGACGAGGAATCACTTCGCCGTGCCATCGATTCTGCTGCTCGCATGCGATACGACGACAAGCGCAAACTACTGTTCATTATTTGCGACGGTATGATCATTGGACAGGGCAACGACAGACCGACTCCTCGCATTGTATTGGACATTTTGGGCGTGTCAGAGACCATTGACCCGGAACCTCTCAGCTTCGAGTCTCTGGGCGAAGGTCAGAAGCAGCACAACATGGGCAAGGTCTATTCCGGACTTTACGAAGTGCAAGGGCACATCGTGCCCTTTATCGTTATTGTGAAGGTCGGGAAGCCTTCTGAAGTCTCTCGGTAAGTCGAGCCAATCTCCAGCCACCGTTTCCGCAGCTAACATATCACAGACCTGGCAACCGTGGCAAGCGTGACTCCCAGATGATCCTTATGCGCTTCCTCAACCGCGTCCACTATAACATGCCTATGACCCCGCTCGAATTGGAACTCCATCATCAAATCAGGAATGTGATAGGAGTTAATCCAACCTTTTACGAGTTCCTACTACAGATCGATGCCGACACAGTTGTGGCTCCGGATTCTGCCACTCGATTCATCTCTGCATTCGTCAACGACACAAAACTGATCGCCGTCTGTGGTGAAACGGCCCTCACCAACGCCAAGGCATCCTTCATCACGATGATGCAGGTGTACGAGTACTACATCTCGCACAACCTCACCAAGGCCTTCGAATCGCTCTTTGGGTCCGTCACCTGTTTACCTGGTTGTTTCACGATGTATCGCATTCGTGCAGCAGAGACTGGAAAGCCGCTCTTCGTGTCGCGCGAAATCGTCAACGACTATAGCGAAGTCCGTGTCGACACTTTGCACATGAAGAACTTGCTGCACCTTGGAGAGGACAGATACCTAACCACACTGCTGATGAAGTATCACTCGAAGTACAAGACGAAGTATATCATGCGCGCTCATGCTTGGACCATCGCACCGGACAGCTGGACCGTCTTCATGTCGCAACGTCGCCGATGGATCAACAGTACAGTGCACAACCTGATCGAGGTCATTCCCCTCCAACAGCTTTGCGGTTTCTGCTGTTTCAGTATGAGATTCGTGGTGTTCCTGGATCTACTCTCGACGATCGTGCAGCCCGTCATTGTGGGATACATCGTATACCTCATTGTTGAGGTTGCCAGGAACCCTAGCAGTATTCCTATCACGGCCTTTATCCTCCTGGGTGCCATCTACGGTCTGCAAGCTATCATCTTCATCCTGCGCCGCAAGTGGGAGATGGTCGGATGGATGTTGATCTACATTATTGCTACGCCCGTCTTCTCCTTCGGTCTGCCGTTGATCGCCTTTTGGAACATGGACGACTTCTCCTGGGGTAACACCCGTATGGTCACGGGAGAGAAGGGCAAGCAAGTCCTTGTTTCTGACGAGGGCAAATTTGATCCCGACAGCATTCCCAAGAAGAAGTGGGAGGAATACCAAGCCGAGCTGTGGGATGCCCAGACTCAACACGACGACACTCGTTCTGAGATGTCTGGTATCAGCTACGCGACGAAGAGCTGGCACCCAGCAGCATCCGAGTTTGGCTACCAGCAGAGCCATCACCACCACATGAGCCAACTCACCATCCCGCAGATGCAGTACAATGCTTCGCATATGTCACTGGCAGCATGCGATAATGGCATGGCGCGCAACTACTCAGGCTCTGATCTGGGCATGTCGGACATGCCCAGCGATGATGCCATTCTCGCCGAGATTAGAGAAATCCTGCGCACGGCCGACCTGATGACCGTCACCAAGAAGAGCATCAAGGCGGAGCTGGAGAGACGCTTCGGTGTGCCTATGGATTCGAGAAGACAGTACATTGGCAGTGCCACCGAGGCCATCCTGAGCGGACAACTTTGAACGAATCATCACTCAACTTCACGACGAACTTGTATTTATTCAGCATTTTGGATGGAGTGTGAGAGAGTTGTTTGTTTTTTGATCATACTACGTGGCGTAATCGGGATCAATTGACACGGCAAGGCAAGGCAGGGCAGGGCAAATGGACGGGTAATGGCATGAGAAAAGGTCACAGTCATTGTTTAAGGGAGCGTGTTCTTGGAGAATGCTTGCTTGTGCGGAAAAATGGTGCGGATTATGGATGGATGGATGGGAAAGTTGTGTATAGTGTTAGTTTTTGAATGAGTGGGAGAGAATCGAGTAATACCTTTTTTCCTGATGATGATGGCACTTCTACTCGTAACATCGTGTTGAGCATCCAGGATGCCGAATGAATTACTGAGAAAACAAGGCACGCAGAGAGGAGTCCGCCTCGTCGCAACTGCCGTTCTTGGCCATCCGCCACCAGCTTGGAGTGAATGAGTGGAGCTCGTCTTTCTCCTCCAAACGACCCCGCCTTGACCTCACCTCATACCTCATCTCATCTCTTCTCAATCCGCGAGGCTGAACTGCTGCTACCTGTACGAAACGAAACGGACCGGGTCCGAATTGCGAACTGCGGAATCGAGAACTGCCGACTGTGTTGGTGGAATATACGAGCTGTGCATGTATGGAGCGGACATGGAGGGTGGAAATCCCGCTTGTACCGTTTATGCCGTCAGTTGTGGGTGAGCTCTGGTGAGTGTAGCTGCTGCGGGGGGTTTTGGGGGTGGATGGCCCGAGGTCTTGAAGAACTACGCTTCTGTTCTTGGTAAGGTTCAACTTGTTCTCTATCGTTCCTACGTTTTCTTTCTACAGCAGAGCATTACCCTCTCCTTTTTTTCCTCGAGTGGAGGATAAATATCTCGTAGCGTTGTCTTGCAGTTAACGCACTAAGCAACCCTCAGCTCCTCTCTCTCCTCCCCCACAGACAGAAGACAACGACAACACAATGCCCAACCGCCTGCAAGACCGCACCGCCCTCATAACCGGCTCCTCCTCAGGCATCGGCCGCGCCACCGCCCTGGCCTTCATCGCCGAGGGCGCCAAAGTCTGCTGCGCGGACCTGCAACCAGGCACCTGGCGCGAAGCGGCTTCGGACGAAACGAACGGTCCCACGCACGAAGTTATCCAACAGCAGGGCGGGGAGGCGTTCTTTGTCAAGTGTGATGTAACCAAGGCGGAGGATGTCGAGGCCGCGGTGAAGGGCGTGGTGGAGAGGTGGGGACGGTTGGACGTTATGGTGTATGTGTTTCCTTCCCTTCCCACCTTCAGAAACCCCCTTTTCGGTGACATTCTCGTTGATCTTGATGTTAATGCATAATGTCCAGGAACAACGCCGGCTTCGCCCTCGAATCCCGCAACCCGGCCCCCATCTGGCACATCCCCCTCGAACTCTACCACAAGACCATCGACGCCAACGTCAACGGCGTGTACTACGGCGTCAAGTACGCCAGCAAGCAGATGATCACGCAGGAGCCGCTACAGCCGAGCGGGGACCGGGGCTGGATTTTGAACGCCGCGAGTGTGTTTGGGCTGGTGGGGAGTCCGTATTGTAGTTCTTATTGTAAGTCTAAGTCCAAAACTCCCGCTAGCCTTCAACAACCCAGTCTAGCCGTGCCGTGCTGATGGTTTTACAGGCACATCCAAAGGCGCCGTGGCGAATCTCACGCGCGCAGCAGCTTTGGACTGCGCGCCCTACCGCGTCCACGTCAACGCCGTCAATCCGGGTTACACGGCGACGCACATGACGGATCCGGCGTTTGGGAATCCAGAGATCAAGGCACAGGCGGAGGGCTTGCATCCTTTTAGGGGGTTGGGGCGGCCGGAGGATTTGGCCAAGGCGTATGTGTTTTTGGCGAGCGATGATGCGGGGTGGATGACGGGGGTGAATTTGCCGGTTGATGGGGGGTATACGGCGAGGTAGGAGGGGAGGGAAGAGTTTGTGGTGAGACTTTGTGGTGAGGGGATTCAGGAGGAGGAGAATGCTTGTGATAGGCAGGCTATTGGGGATATGGTCAGTGTACCTCAGATCTCATCCATCAACTCATCCTCCAGACGCAACCTACGATCTTCCAGGGCAAACGGTGAGGCTGCGCCCAGACCTCGTAGACCACCCAAGCCGCCCATTCCATCAAGCCTACCCAACCCATCCAGTCCTCCCATCCCACCAAGTCCACCCAATCCGCCCCTAACGCCCACTCTTCCCATACCCAGTGGCTCCACCCTGCCCAAAAGATCACCATATCTCCTCCCCAGACTCAGCTGCACCATCCTCCTACTTTCATGAGCGGCATCTTCTTGAGCTAGCATCAGACGCTCAGCCTGTCTCGCCAACTCGTCTCCTTCTCCTCTGAGACCGAAGTCGTCGACGCCGAAGATATCACGACGACCTCTGGAACGGCTGCGATGGCGAAGGCCCATCATAGGGTCGTTCACCGCCAGGCCTTCACGGACATGCAGCTCTCTCCTCCCGATCTGGCCTCCGCCTATCAGTTCGAGATTCTCGGCCACTTCGGCAGCCTTGCGTCCTCGGCCAATGAGTTTAGCTGGTAAGTCTGGTCGCTCGAGGAGGACACGACGGAGACATTCGATGCGGTCGGTCTGGCGCATCGTGACTCGAAGGATGGAGTAGCACCACTGCCCCAGCGCGAGAGAATGCTCGATCGATGCAATCTGCGAGGCGTGGCTGATGAAGAAGCTGGCAAGAACGTTTCCCAACTTGAGGCTTTTGGCTTGACGGGAGACCTCGGCCATAGAGCGGAATAGATGCTGGCTGCGCTGGTGGAAGTACGGCTGATCCATCATCCTCGTGGCGTTTGCGTCTTCAGCCAACCGGCTTTCGAGCGCTTCCATCAAGCCATCGACGACGTTGAGCTCAACCTCGCCGTAGGAAGCACGGGAGATGGCCTCGATGACCCAGACGTATGCTCTCCGCAATTCGTGCTCTTCGAGTGGATTCCATTGCGTAATGGGTGGGAGTTCCGGAGATTCGAGAATGAGCTGATCGATTAGAGCACCGGCGTCATAGGAGTAGTGCAGGAGCTGGCGGGCTATGTCTGGGAGGAGGCTGTGGAGGGCGCGTTCTTGGACTGAGACGAGGTTGGGGCCGCCGGCGTGGAGTGGGTGGGCTGGCCATGGACGTCGGGCGACGAGAGAGGATTGGAAGGGGGACATTGCTCGATCGATGGGGAACATTTTGGGGTGTTGATGAAGGTTGGTAACGCAAGGTTGGAGGATCGGACGTTGGCTGAGAGGAGAGCAAACCAAAGTGTCAATTCTCCGTTGGAAAAGATCTGAAAACGCAGCCCTGGAAAGGAGCTGGGCTTGAATGCGAAGAAATATCATGCAGAAGGTCCCATGGAGAAGAGATTATCTCACCGTTGTTCTCCAGACTACCGATCTGCGGTCAAGGCATGGCCACGAGAAGCGAGACGGATAGGTGCAGTGGAAGACGCTTCCGGGGCGAATGACCAGCAGATATTGCCTAATCGTGTGGCACAGCATCGTCAGTCTCTCATCTTGTGCTCGTCGCACAGAGGTAGCAAACATTCCCGTGGCGGTGGTGATGATGGAGAGTTGACAGGGAGGGGAGGTGAGGTGAAGTCATGGTCGTTTCGGCCCCCGCTCTGAACTCCCAAAGTCTCCATGTGCAGCAACTTCTACCTATTCCCTCTCAGTCTACAACATGCCTCGCATTCCCAAGCAGGCGCAGACGGAGCACTCGACCACCTTCGATCCAGACAAGTTCTTCGAGGACTGGAGTAAACAAGAGTCGCAAGCCTTCCTCTACCGCAATGACTTTCGAAAGTTCGTCCTCAATGCCTTTGGGCTGAATTTCAGAGACGACTATGTCTACAAGGCCACCGCCGAAGTGACCCTACTCCAAGCGCAGACATACCTCGAATTCGGCGCGCAGGGAGGTCTCCATGCGTGGTATAGGGATGAAGCAGGAGAAGCAGTGAGTGCCGACAGCCCACCCACCTTGTCTAAGATTTTTGAACCTCATGATCAAGCACAGTCCTAAGCGTCCTTTTCCCAGAGACCTTCACCTACCGCCTCCGACATCGCCGCCTACACCGACATCTTCAAATCGACGACAAGCACCAGCAAGGCTTTGACTGCGCTTGCGTCGAATGCGAAGAAAGACTCCGTTCGCGCTGATGTCGCCAAACATCTCCAGTCGCACTACGCCCCTCCCAACGCGTCGCGGAATCTTGTGGTGAATAAGTCCAAGAGTCATGTCAATCCATACTTCGACGTCTGGGCGTGGTCGAATCAGAATCTAGAATGGGGTGGTCCGGAAGAGAGGACCGTTCATGTCAAGATCAGTCATGCGATACTGCCTATTCTGTATCACCATTTCGGATGCGTGTGTCCGTCATACGAAGCGTTGTCATACATACAGCAAGTGGCTCGAGGACGGACGATCCTGGATGTGGGCAGTGGGAATGGATACTGGACGTACATGCTTCGGCGGTTTGAGAGCAGTCCGAAGAAGAAGCTGAATGTGACGGCGATTGACAATGGCCAGAGCGAGTGGAGGACGTTGTGGATTGGAGATACTGTTGAGACGGATGGGGATAAGTGGTTGAAGCAGCACGATGGTGGGAAGGATGATGTTCTGCTGCTGGTGTATCCGGTTGTGGGTAATGACTTCACGTCGAAGATGTTGAAGGCTTACCGTGAGTGCCGATGCCTTGAGATTTCTTCTGCTGTGCCACTTGCTAACTGAACGTGCTCAGGAGGTACAACGATCATCTCGGCTGGTGCACAGAACGCCAGCGGCTTCACTGCTTTCGCAAAAGAAACGATCGCGGACTGGATGGCAAGGGAAATGCCGGACTGGGAGAAGGTCTTGCAAGTTCCGCTCCCGTCGTTTGCGGGCAAGGACGAGGCGCTGTTCATCTTTGAGAGGAAGAGCGACGTCAAGTCTTGAACAACCTGTTGCGAGCGTGAAGGGAAGATGCAGGTTATACAGGTGGATTCACTCAATGAGAGGCTAGCGAAACTCAATTTTTGAGCGAACTTGGAACATCTTCACAGCATGGTATTCTGGCGACATCTTTACCTCTTCCCCACATTTTGAATCTATCCTTGCATTCCGTTCAAGTCGGACCCGTAGTAAAAACGCAGTGTGTTGCTGGTGGATGTACCCTTGGTTTCAATTTAGCGATTCAGGATGGTCGTTTCAGGTTCTCGGCAAAAGCTTTTAGATGGTTTGGCATAGACAGCATGTACTTCACTTCTACGCATCGGCGAACAACACCATGAGCGTAGCGAAGTTTGCTCAGGACTTCTTGACGAGGGAAATGGTGGTTAAGTAAGTGACTTCTTTCCGTCCTGCAGTCCTCCCCATCGATTCTCTTCACACCCGTTCGCCTTCCCTCACGACCGGGTTGCTGGACAACCTCCCCTTCCCTTCCCATACCAAAAGTCACTCTTTCAACAACACCTCCACCCGCCCTTCAAAATGAAGACCTCCCCCGTCACAATCTCCGCCTCGTTGCTTTTCGCCACGCTCGCAGCAGCAGACTACGGCTACCAGTTCTCCAACGCCCTCTCCACAGGCCCAACCGCGGACGACACCTGGATCCGCGAAGCCAACACGACCCTCGTCCTGCCGGAGACGAACAGTCCCCAGACGGGGAATTTGGCGCTTTGGCCGGGCATGGGGACTGATGGAGGGGATTTGGTTCAGGGGTTGGCGATTTCGGTGGCGGATGGGAGGTTAGTTCTCTCTTTCTTTCTTTTGAGTGGATGTCTTGGGTGAGGTGGTGTGGTCTTGTGCTGATGTGTTGGCGATAGTTCGGGATGTCCTGAGGCGAGTGGGAAGTGGTGTATTGTTGCGAGTACGTTGGAGGATGTCCAGCAGATGGGGGAGTATGTCGCGGCCGATCCGAGGCAGAGTGTGACGTTTCATTGTGAGTCGCGACGTCCTTGTCGTGGGCGGGGTGTGAGACTGATGTGAATGAACAGATAAGTACAACGACAGCACCTCCAAGTACGACCAGACCGTCTCCCTCGACGGGAAAGTCGTCTCGCGCATCTCAACAGGTACCACAACCCCCTCCCATTCCCTTCACGCACATCGCTTACATCCTCCCACAGAAAGCGGCCACGCCCAAGGCTGGGGCACCGCCATCGAATGCCAACAATCCGCCTGCGGTTTCGTCCCGGGCCACAAATACCTCAACACCAAGATCATCATGGACACAGCGGATGCGGCGTACGACCAGACGCTCGGCACGACGAACGCGACCGGGGAGCTCGTGACGGCGGATGGCGGCAAGACGTGGACGATTGAGACGATTGTTATTGGGAGTTTTACGTATACTTAGGTTGGCGTGCGTGGTGGTTTTCGAGAGGGACGGCAGGCCGGTGCCGGGAGCACGTCATGTAGCCCACTCACTGGCTGCGTGTGCGTTTCGTTGACCGATCTTGGAGTTGCCCACGGAGGGAATCCGAGTGTTGACTGTGCAAAGCAGTGTCGGATTTCTTGTAGTCGTACTCCAATGGATGACGTGCATTCGGCCTCAGGCGCTTGCGCATGCTGATGTTTCGCACTCCTGGATCCATCCCAATTGGGCAAGATGTCGTGCTTACCCCTCTACGTAAGTCGAGTGGATTCTTCGTTCCTGTATGCAATCGGGGAGGTCTTCCACGATTCGCACACGTATACGACTCCGGTCTGCGATCCTGCGGAGCAAACAAGCCGATATCGAATTGGAGCTTTGGGTGAGACAGAATCTGCGGGCATTCGTGTTACCTCATTGGAGAGCTTGCCTTTGTCTCTCTTCTTGCAGTGTCTTGCCAAGCCTTGCCGAGGTCGTAAAGACAGATGGCCGGCCGCAGTCGAGCTCGTAACTCCTGAAAAAAAGGCTGTGTCGACACGTTAGGGATTGGTCGCTTTTGTCTGGTGTTTGGGTACGTGATGAACTATTATAGCTGTTCCCGCGATTCAGTGGAGAAAAGGCTGTTGCTAAATCTGCAGCTTATTCGATTGGCTTTTGAATGGCATTTGCAGGGAATCTTGTCGACTTTGACATGCTCGGATCCGGCAGGATGCTGCTTCCTGCTGGGCAGCTTGCGTGGCAGTTTAGGTACCACTCCCCAGGTTCTTGTTGCCATCCACTCACGCATCGTTGCTTGTCCCTGGTCTCTGCAAATGCAAGAGCCCGGCTCGTGACGGCATCTCCATGTGAGTGAGAGTCGCGGTGGTGATTAGTGTAGTACAGAATGCCGTCGTGGCCGTCAGCCCCCCGTTTGTTCGCGCAATATTTGCTCGTTGCAAGTCCTCGCTGTAGAAGGTACCGCGCTGCCTGAAGCAAAGAGCTTCTTGTGACTCGATACGCAGGTACCTCGTACTTCCAAGGACTTTCTGCGCGCCGCTGCACGTTCTGCGAGCCACGACAGCTGCGACAAAGCATTTGAGCTCCTCGCCGCCCCACTCGCTCACCTACTCATTCCTCCATCGTATCCTTCACTTCAGTATCGCCTATACCGCTCCAAAAGCGCATTCTTTTCGCTGGTCCAGCCTCGTACACATTAAACGAAGCTCCAGTATCCCTCACCCAGCTCCAGAAGCGACTCTCCGAGTACGAAGCCAACATGGCGAACGATGACGACAACCAAACCTCGATCCCATATCAGGCCATCATCATCCTCTGCTTGCTCGGTGCATGCGCAGCGGTCCTCATCGCATGGGCGATGTTCCGGCATTTCAGCGACGACGACGACCGCGTCGAGCGCGGCGACAACCTCGACCACGATGGCTATACTCAGGCGCAGTACATGCGGATAGTGCGTCTGCGCAACCAGGAAGACCTACAGCGGAAGTATGGTCATCACAACTATGTCAGGCCCAAGCCTGGCATGCAGTATCATGTGCAGTCTTCGGTCTCCACCTTCTGATGAAGAGCTACCTACCTGTGCTGGCGATATCAGGTGTCGCGATGATACGGCGACGGCGATGCAGTGAAGGCAGGGCTCTCTGGACCTATCACCATCCCACGAGCACCTATACCTGGACGAGGTGATCGCACTCGAACTGGTCAATGAAGCATTTCCGCCGTCGAGTCCCTAGCGAGAGACTTCGAAGGCTCGACACCACGTTCGAAGTGAAAAAGAGCGCTTGGCCATTCGTATCTCCGGGTATCGACACGCGTCTGTTTTGTGGAGCAAGGATGGCGATTGCGTTTCGGACGGAGCTCTTTGCGGAGGAGGAGAGGAACACGAGCGAGGTGGATGAAGAAGTTTTGCATACTCGACGATGATGGATATAAATGATGATTGAAGACTTGGGATGAGGTTGGAGAGGGAAAGAAGACGGTGAAGTGGACGTGAAAGTCGAGGGAGACCATCTCAATGTCGCTTAGCAGCCACGACTTACGACCAAGAGCTGAGAAAAGTGCCACGACTTCAGTTGGAGAATTTGGAACTCACGGTTCTTTCGGCATCAGCCCTCACTCTCTCACACGAAACAACACATCTTACAACAAAACTCCGCCACACGACTGCATCCTATCTGACGACTATCTTTCCAGTCGCAAAATATACCACTTCACACGCAGTCGACGTGGACAGCTACACTGGATGATGAAGCCTCCCACGCGGCCCGACCATGTAACGCGCCCGGTTCAAGTGGTCCGACCCGCCAACTCATCAAGAAGATCAAACAAGAACCCGGTCTGGAGGCGACGTCCATCGGATCTTTGCTGCCGAAGCTATTGTCTATTCCATCAGATCACACCATCGAGAAGGCATATAGAGAAGAAGGTTATAGGCGACCAGCTGTCTCGATTTCGAAAAGTTACAAAGTACTTCCTGCGACGAAACCCTTTCTTTCCCTTGCCACACGTTTCATCCGGGTCAGACATTGAGCAGAGGTATGGTTCGTCCCTTTCTTACATTCCATGTTGCCAAGACGTTTCTCTCCGGGAATGCGTACGCAAGCACACGTGGACTTTCTTTTTCAGCCCTTGTTCTCTCACGCATCGCATACCACCTGATGAATGGCTATCGACACCCATGTCGTTCGAATTGATGGGAGTGCGCGCTTCGGCCGACGGTGGGGATGTGCAAAATGAGGACGAACGCATACGTATGTTTCTGTGCTGTCGTTGCGTCTCCCTCGTCGGTCGGGGATGTGTGGTTGTGGTGGTGAGATCCGACTTCTTTTTCCATACTTCTTCTGTAACAGCTCCCTCCCTGTCTCGTTTTTGCGATTCGAGCAGCTTTGACTTTTGGGTTGTTTCGATCGAGTCCTGCCTCTTCACCTCTCTTCTGTTCAGTACTATCCTTCCTCTGCTCGATGCAGATGTCTCTCGCCGCCCTCGCCCTCCTCTTTCTTTCGACGATATGTCTCGCAGACGTAACTCCCTTCTACGCCAACGATAAATACAACAAAGGCTCCTTCGGCAAATATGTCACGCAGACCTTTAAATCGAATCCGGAAGTCACAGCGGTGCCCATCATCAACTTTATGAAAGCCTTCACCAACTGCGACGATGGCTCGTACCTCTTCGTCGCGCCCCGCGGTGCCGTCGCCCCTTCGACACCGATGATCCTCGATATGCGCGGGAGCCCCATCTGGGCGTCGACGAAGCGGTATGGACAGGTGTACAATCTTCAGGTTCAGCAGTACAAGGGCAAAGACTACCTGACGTTCTGGGGCGGGAACGATGCAGTGGGCGGGCACGGCATTGGAGAGTACTTCATGCTGGATCAGCATTACAACGAACAGTATCGAATCCACGCGGCGAACGATCTGGGCGCGGATTTGCATGTTTTTACGATTACGGAACAGGATACGGCGCTCATCAGCATTTACCAGAAGATCGCGACGGATCTTTCGAGTGTGAATGCTTACCGCACCAGTGGCTGGATCTGGGATTCGGTGTTTCAGGAGATTGATATCGAGACTGGAGAGGCGGTTTTCCAGTGGCGGGCTTCGACGCATATTCCCATCGCGAATTCGTCTACGGATATGAATGTTGCGACTGAGAATGATCCTTGGGATGTGTACCATATCAACAGCGTGGAGAAGGATGACAAGGGAAACTATCTAGTTTCCATCCGGTTCCTGAGGGCGATTCTTTATATCTCAGGAGAGACAGGAGAGGTTTTATGGCAGCTTGGCGGCGCGGCGAATTCTTTCCATGATCTCTCGGATGGCAAGGCGACGACGCTGATCGGCCAGCATGATGCGCATTGGTGGAAAGAAGGGGGTAGAACGTTGGTCACAGTCTTTGATAACCAGGCGGATTGGTACCACCAAGGGGATCCACAGTCGAAAGGAAAGAGAATTGAGGTGGATTTGGACAATATGACCGCCCGTCTGGACCAGAGCTTCACAGACCCTTTTCTGAAGATTCGCAGTACCTCGCAGGGGTCTTACCAGACGCTGCCGAACGGGAATGTCGTGTTGGGATATGGGTTTAATGGTGTCGTCAGTGAGTTTTCGCCTGAGGGAGAACTCCTTTGCGATGCGTACATGCAGCCTTCGTCGACCTTCGAGAGTGGAAATGTGCAGAGCTATCGGAATTTGAAGTTCAACTGGACCGCTTGGCCGGACACAAAGCCTGCCTTGGTGCTCGAGGGATCGAAACTGTATATCAGCTGGAATGGAGCGACGGAAGTAGCGACCTGGTTGCTGCTAGGTAGTGACGAGCACGCTGGGGATTATGCGACTGGAGCGCCGGTCCAGGCCGAGCATGATGATCCAAGAAGTAAGAGAAGTGTCGAAGATGCATTGGTGGTTCCGAAGAAGGGGTTTGAGGCCGAGTACCAGATCTACAAAGATGACGGGTTGAGGAGGTATGTGAGGGTCGTGGGTTTGGATCGCGAGGGTACGCCATTGGGGACGTCGAATGTGGTGGACATTGGGGACTTGGCCACGGAGTTCGATGATGAGGGAGGGCAGTACGATGAAGACTATGAAGCAGAGGAGGAAGGCCATGAAGATGACCATGCGTACCTTGAGAAAGAGGTGGATGATCTCGAGCTGGTCATCGGGTTTGGTGTGCTGGCGATCTTAAGCGCATTACTCATCCTGTTCTTGGCCGCGAAAGACGGACTAGGTGGCGTCGTTGACGCCGAGAAGGGCTCGACCAGGCCGATGGAGGTTGAAGAGCAGAGAAATGGACTCATACAGCGGATGCGAAATATGGTGTTGAGATGGAGAAGGAGGGATTCTTTCAGTGAACACTCTGCCAGAGAGGGATTGCTAGAGGGTGAGGAGCGTTCGAGGCAAGATACACCTGAAGTGCAGCTTGGCAGTATGAGCCATGGTGTGACAGATAGGTAGCCAGTCAATGAAGACATCAAGTTTCGTTGTTCATGCAAGTCGTGGAGTTGTCGTGAAGATTGCAAGCCGTTGCCGCACGTGAGCTTCGCAATCGGCTGGGAACGGCCCGAGAGATTAGCTAATCGATCAATTGGCTTGCACCTTGCAGGTTTGGCCCCACTTTGGCGGTTTGGGAAGTCGAGCAAGTCACAATTATTGACGCAACCTCTACCAACACACGCACACTCCCTCACCACCCTCCGCCCACCACACCCACCCACATTCCCACCCCCCGGCAGCCCTCGGCCTCACCACCGCTGCCCCAATGCAGGCTCGAGACCGACCGAGCTTGCCACTCCATCACTTCCAAATGCCGGATCGCTGAGCCTGCCCCTCCATCCACCCCCAACCGACGCCCGTCCACGCGCCGATTACTATGGCCGCCATGGAGCGGCGCAGAAAACGTATGCATGGCGCGCGAATAACATACCTGTCCTATGGGAACGCTGCTGAACTGTCCAAGGTGATTTGAAAGAACAGAATGTTAGAGCTTGGAATGGGGACAGAGGTACAATCGCCGTTGATCCGGAAATAACGATTGCACAAGACTGACATGCGCGTAGATGTCCTCCAGGTGCAGCCCTCCATGGATTCCAACCTCAAGAAGAATACCGCCTTCATCAAGCGACTTCGAACTGCCATTACCGCCGCCAACCTCAGCACTTTCCTCCAAGAGATCCGCTCCTTATCACTGCACAAATACCTGACCGAAATAATTTCCGCTTGCTACGAAGGTCTGACCAAGTTGAAGGTTGCAGGAGATATCGCCGCTGGAGTTGAGATCATAAGCGCGCTGCACCAACGCTTCGGTCCTGAGGAGTTCACTTCTTACCTTGGCTGGTACCTTGGACGTGGCCTGGCCACCCCAGACAAGTCGCAGCTGAAAGCACTGGCTGCCGATGTACGCGAACGAGAAGAGAAAGAGCGGATATCGAGGCAGAGGGTGTTGTTACGTGTTGCGACTGAGCTGTGGCTTGTTGGTGTCCTGAAGAGCTTGGAAGATGTCGCGAAGCCAGAGGAGGCAGGAAAAGTACGAGACGTGGGCGGCAAGACTGCGGATGGCCCTACCAAGGCTAAGGCCGCCCATTCAGAGACAGCGGATCCCGAACCCTTTCCACTGGAGGTTCTGAAGGACATGCTGGGCCATGATCGCGAACACGTCAACTTGCCACTGGTGGTACTTTTCGTTAAGACCTTTGCTTGGGACATTCTTGGATCGAAATCTGCCAAAGCTGAGAAGCGTCAGAAAGTCAACGAAGACGGAGCAACGACCACTGCCAACGGGACTCTTGAATCGACGACGTCTACCGAGAACGACGAAGACGCGTCCCCCGATCCGCCACTCACCCCGCCTGCTCTTCAACAACGCTTCAAGAACATCTTGACGCGGTATTTTGAGGATGTGAAGGCCCACATCGTTCGTGGCCAGGATCGTCTGACCAATCAAGGGAAGAGGAACGCTGAAGCATACGTGAAGTCGGGCGAGGTTTTCGAGGATCGACAGGCCAACCATGAGAAAGCTCTCAAGGCTCAGGAGAAGCTTGTCACCAGCGCCCAGACGCTTGCTGAAGTTCTTGGCACTGAGATGCCAGACTTGTCGGAGAAAGACAACGCTTCTGCCGGTCTCGAAAGCAGTATCGGACTTGTCAAGACTGGAGAATATCTTCGCGGCCAGGCTGAAGGTGCTGGTATCTGGGAAGACGAAGATGAGCGTCGTTTCTACGAGAATTTGGTTGATCTGAAGGACCGTGTCCCCGGCATCTTGCTCGAAGACAAGAAGAAGAAGACCGAGACTGATGAGCAAGTTGGCAAGAAGGTCGACGAAGCTGCCGATAAGGAGAAGGCAGCGGACACAGATGAGAGTTCCACCGCCATTGCAAACAAGACTGTTGGAGCACAAGTCGATGCTCTCCTCACACGCCTCCTTGAGTTGACGACCAAGGATCAAGTGGACCAGTTTGCTATCGACTTTTGCTTCCTCAACTCTAAGGCCTCAAGAAATCGACTCCTCAAGGCTATTGAAGAGATTCCGAAGGGCAGGTCCGACCTTCTACCTCTTTATGCTCGCTTGGTTGCCACTCTTGGACGTTATCTGCAGGACATCCCCCAGACCATGATAGCGTACCTCGACGATGAGTTTCGAAGCTTGCAGCGTCGCAAGTCGAAGGATTTTCTCGGACAAGTCAGAATGGTCAACATCCGCTACATTGCAGAGCTCACGAAGTTCGGTGTCGTCCCCGAGCACGTTATCTTCCATTGCCTCAAAGTCAGCTTGGACGACTTCAGCAGGATGAACATCGAGATTATAGCACACCTCCTTGAGAACTGCGGTCGATACCTGCTGCGAAATCCAGAGACCTCGCCCCGCATGAGTTCATTCTTGGAGACCCTGCAACGAAAGAAGGCTGCACAGCATCTTGGCCAGCAAGAGCGCATGCTTGTTGAAAACGCCACCTACTACGTCAACCCACCAGAACGTGCTGCAATCCAGCAAAAGGAGCGAACGACCCTGGATCTGTTTGTTCGAAAGCTTGTCTACGTCGATCTTAGTAAGAAGAGCATGGACAAGATCATCAAGCAGATTCGCAAGCTACACTGGGAAGAGAATGAGGTCGTTGACATACTGCGCAAGATCTTTGTCAAGCCGGGCAAGATCAAATTTGGCAACATCTACCTCCTTGCCATGATGCTCGCGGCTTTCTACCGATTCCACACTGATTTTGTAGTGACGGTCTTGGACGAGCTTCTCGAGAGGGTTACGGTCGGCCTGGAGACGAACGACTTCAAGTACAATCAACGACGCATCGCCGAAGTCAAGTACTTGGGTGAGTTGTACATGTACAGGATCGTCGACTCGCAGCTCGTCTTCGACACTCTCTACAAGCTGCTCAACTACGGACACAAGGGCGGTTATGCTCAGCCTGGAGAGATTTGCGTATGGGACTTGCCCGATGATTACTTCCGTATTCGCCTAGTCTGTGCTCTGCTGGAGACTTGTGGTCACTGCTTCGAGAAGGGAGCGGCAAAGAAGAAGCTGGATTTCTTCTTGACTTTCTTCCAATTCTACATCAACGTCAAGGATCCGCTACCAATGGATGTCGAGTTTCTCGTTCAAGACACTTTCAACGCCCTGCGACCTCAGTGGAAGCTTGTCCTGACTGATTTGACTGAAGCTGGCAAAGTCTTCGGTGAAGCGTGCCGACAGAACTACCAAGATGTTGCATCAGGCAAGACACCCGAACCAGAGGAGCCGGAGGACCTAGACGCTCCTGACGATAACCTGTCCGACGATGGTCGAGTCGATGGTGAGGACGAGCCGGCTGGCGAAAACGATGCTGCCGAGAACGACGCCGCCAACATCAAGTCAGACAGTGATGAAGCAGCCCCAGGTGATGAAGCAGCCCCAGGTGATGAAGCAGCCCCAGGTGATGAAGCGGCTCGAGCTGATGTCTCTGACGGCGAAGAACACATTGTCGTCACTCGACCAGAGGAGGAGCGAGATCCAGAAGCTGACGCCGAGTTCGACCGCGAACTCGCCAAACTGATGGCAGAGAGTGTAGAGTCCCGCAAGTTCGACCGCAAGACGATGTTCGATGTACCGCTTCCTATGCGTCGTACTGTGCGCGACGCCACAACGACAGCTGAAGAGAACGCTGGTGAAGTGCCTGGGCCAGCACCGACGACCAATGGAGCGAATACGATGAAGTTTGCCCTTTTGAGCAAGAAAGGAAACCGCCAGCAGGTAAGCAATGGCCAAATCTTGCTGTAATTTTCAGACTCTGACATAGATCCAGACACGCTCGATCGACCTACCCTCCGACTCGTCCTTCGCTGTGGCTATGCGCACTCAACAGCAAGCCGAGAAGGCGGAACAACAACGCATCAAGAACCTCGTCTTGAACTACGACTTGACGGATGACCAGCCAGATGGTGAACCTCCCGCCTTTCATTACGTTCAATCTAGCAACAACTCTGTTCGCCTCGTCGGCATGGGCTCACTCAACAAGAGCTCCAAGAACCGTGGTCGATCTCAACATTCGACCAAGAAGAGCGACGAGCAGAGCGTGTCCCCACATGATTCAGTTCAAGAAGCACAGCACTCGCCTCCTGAACAACAGGCTGACCAAATAGGCTCGTTCGAAACCCTGCACGGCGGACCGAGATTTGACAAGGCCGGCAATTCACGCCAGAAGCAGCGTGCAAGAAAGTTGCAATTGGGCGACATTGATTGGTATGGCAACAAGACACCCACCACCCCAACTGCTTCTGCTCCTTGTCAACGCCGTGAAGGAGAGCACTCGCTTGACGAATACGTAGTCGACAAGAAACAGTTGACTCGTGGTCGCGGCGCAGGCCCTTCTCGACGTGGTCGGGGACGCGGGCGCACTGTCAGCAAGGGCTAACCGGCCGCTTTTGTGGCTGTTGCAGGACGTAACGAAGTGCGATGGGACAGGCAAGTCTGTCCAGCGATTACGAAGATCCATTATCGAACGATGTTCTCAGGCGTTGTCCTGAACGAAAGAGTATCGAGAGTCATCTTGGGTTCTCATACTACCCTGCCGAGCTGAAGGTCACCATTCTTTGACCTAGCTCATTGCCCTCGAGCGACTCGAGCCGATCGAGCTTCAAGTCGAAGAGTCGAAGAAAGGACGGCGGACGAGACAAGTGGATGTACTTCGGCAGGCAGAATGCTGATCGAGCCGGCACCAAGTCCGCTCGGAGAGCTTCTGGAGAAATGCATCGCCATGAGGCATGGAGTTGCAGGAGCGTATGGGCAAAGCAAGCACACACGCGAGACAGACTGATTGGAATTGGGAGAGAATGGGTTACTAACTAGAGTCACTCCTTTAAGAGCTTTTCTTGAGTTGGCAGTCGAGATGGAGAACCGAATAAACTCGCAAATTTGGTGTGAGGTACATACACTCCCATTTTCTTCGTGGTACAGTATAGGTGAGGTGCAAGTATACAGAGGTAAACCAATCCAACCTATAGCCTTCAAAAAGGTCACAAAGAATCCAAGGTGATGATACAAAACCCATGCACCTAACCACCACAGTCTACTTCATTCCAACCACAGGTCCCTTTCACCTCCCAGCCTCGAACCCTCCACCCCTGACCCTTGCTCATCCCCCAAGGTACCTCAACCCGAAGTACTATGATACCCCGCCACATTCCCACCCTTCTTCTCCGCAAATAACCCCTCATGCTGCCAGCGCTTCAAATCCTCCTTGGTCGCATTCGGCGACGTCGGTCCCGTGGTTCCTGCGTCGGAACCATCGGCGGGCAGGGATTGGTTTGCGGCGAGCCGGGCTTCTTCGTAGTTGTTTGTGGGTTTGCGGGTTAGGGTTGGTGGGCTGCTGGTGGTTATGGGGGAGGTGTCGCCGCTGGAGGGGTGGGTTGGTGTTTGGGTGAGGGCGGTGAGGGTTGCCTATTGGGTTGGGAGGTTAGTTAGGATGGGGTGGTGAAGCGGGAGGGGAGGAAGGGGATGGTGGTACCATTTGGCTGGCGCGGGGTTGGGTGTAGAGTTTGGAGGACATTATGCGGTGATGAGTTCTGGTTGCTGGTTGGGGGCCTCGTTTGTGGATTGGTATGTGGTCGAGGCTTGTGGGGATTGATAAGTCGAAGGATCTTGTTGTTGTTGGGTTTGAGTTGGTGGATGAGGAGTGGGTTGATGCGACAGTGAAGTGAAGGGGAAGAGAGAGGGGAAAGCGGCACGAGACTTGTCCTTGCAACTGTTGTCTGACATGTACTGTACTTGCCTTTCGTATGTCTTGCAAGTGTGACTGGAAACAGCTCCCCTGAGCTCGCGTGAGGTTGTGGCAGGTGGGGAGAGAAGTCACAACTTGGACGGCAGCAGACATTTGAATTGAGGTGAGGTAGTAACGAGTGCCCTTCTTTTTGTTATGGCATGTGATCTAAGGCGATAACAACGGCTGACCCCAAAGCTCATGAAGAGCAGCAGTACCATTCCCAGCGAGCTGCATGTAGAAGAATTCGTTCTTGTCATCGTCGCTGCCGAGGAAGCCAGGGTTGGGATTTGGAGGCAAGCTCTTGAACTGGATGTATGGAACGAGTTGGGAGCCTGAAATGGAAGTTCAACAGCCTGTTCGAACTCTCGTGGTTGGAAAATGCTCACCTTCAGTGTACTCGTCGAACATGGCGATGAAGTTAGCAAAAGGCTTGATGGAGTCGTTGGTGAAGAGCTTGATCGATTCTTCGAAGAAGGTGCCGTTGAATCTGTTGCATCATTAACGTCACTATCCATTCCGGGGTGGGTCAAGAACGACATACCTATTGTCCAACGGACCGATCGGTTCGCCAGGCCTCCTCGCCGCATTCCGATTCCCAGTCCCTGGGTGATACGCGCCCATATACTTGACGCCCCAAGCATCCAGCAGCGCCTTGCCCGGGAGGATGTACTGATTCAGTGCTCCACGCAACGAGTCCACATCGTTCCACGCTCCGACTGGCCATGACTGCAGGGCTTCTGCTGCTTGATACGCCTCGTAGAAGCCAGTTGGATCGTTTGTTGTGTTTGCGAACTCCATCCACGTCTGTGGCACCCCGAGGATGATCCAGGGGTTCTCAGGGGTGGAATGATACCTGTTAATCAGATCGTGGAATTTATCTCCCGGGAAGGCCGTAGCGTTTGTGCCGACGCCCCAGATCTGGAGCACAGGACGCCCGTCTTGGTAGATGTAGTTCGGGCTTTCGAACAGCGGCTTCATGACGTTATTGTAATCGTCTGTCAGAGCGGGAATGTATCTGTTGGGGTCAAAGTCCGCGGGAGACCGCTCATGTCGTACTCGACGGCGAAGTACTTTCCGTACTTTTCGCCCATCTCTTTGACGGTCAATAGCACGCCCAAGGTCGCGTTGTAGCCTGAGCCTGGGGTGTTTTCTTCCGTGGTGGAGTAGAATCGCTGTACGAAGAGGCCATCTAGTTTGTTCGTGACCATGTATTGGAAGTGCTTTTCGATCACGGAAGTGCAATAGCTATTGTAGAACTTGGCATGGGTGCCGTCCGTGAGGATGAAGTTCGTGTCGAGCAGGCATTCTTCTGCGTAGTCTGCCGTGTAGGGAAGGACATCTGTGAGAACTAGATTGTGACGTGAGTTAGTGCGAGATGTTGCAAGGCCTTTTCAGACTTGCTTAACTTGGCTTGAAGGGAAGTCAGGCGGTCCTGGAGTCACATCGTTTGGAATAAACCATTTATAGTTGTTGGTGCCTGCTGTCTGGTTGAGGATTGTGTACCAGCCCTGATAGCCGGCCACAGTCATGCCATTGAGTTCTGGGTGTATCGTTGCAGCATCAGCAAGGTTTGAAAAGGATACTAGAACGACAGGGCAGAGAAATGCCATAGAACGAGCCATCATGCTGTCGCTCTTGAGGGTGAGAGAAGATAGGACAAGAGACTTGATGTGGTCTGTGATCCTCTTCCACTTGAGAACGAGTTCTCATTATATCCTCAGCCATCTGCACGCAGTCGTTCTGTAGCTTCATCACCGGCAAAATGCAGTGAGATACACTAGTATGTTGGTCCTTCTCCTGGTCTTGCTTCCTTCCTTTCCGTGATTAGTCGACAACTCGCCGTAGCTATTCCTATCAGCGTCATTGGTTGGGTAAATGAGAACCTTAGCCACCTGAAAAGCAAGAGGTGTTGCCCTCGCGAGGTCGTTGAGGGGTCTCGTATGGCTAAATCTGCCACTGTAGATCGATGTACGTTGACTGAAGTGGATTTAAGCTCTTTCACCACTGCACTAGGGACGCTCCTACCACGCCCCCGTCGACCGAACAGAGACCAACAGTACCGCCACATCGTCTTCCGTCTGTCAGATGAAGTCATAAAGGACATATCAGCAACTCCACGGCCGTGGACATTCAGCCGGTCGGTAGCGTGAGTATAGGACGTGGTCATGCGCTCCGTCTGCTCAAGTCACAAGCCCATGCTTGTTCATGAAGGCTCGGACCCTCGCAGCCACGGATCCTGTAGCATCAAAAATCGGCGTTAACGCAAAATCAGAGGTTGTTTGGCTCGTCGATGGGGTGTTCTGCAAATCTACTCCAAGATGCCCCTGACGAGTGGGGTTGAGATCCACTGGGGCATATGATTTCTGGCTACCGGACTTTCCACCGGGTGAATCTCTTAAACCTCTCTTTTCCGATCACCGGAATCAAGTTTCGTTTCTGAGTCAACGAATCAGCGGATGCAATTCCAGGTTGATCATGACACGATGGCTTCCAGTTATGGTCAGCACTGCCATTGACGTCGGTCGCAGGGCTCCCACCGACCGCATTCACATGCAGTACGACTGACTCTGCAACTGGATCTGGTGAGTTCTCATTGGTAGTAGCTTGAGCGACTGGAGAATCGAGACGCAAGCTGTGGCCATTAATGCTTTGCTTCGCAAGGACGGCTGTCATTCCTTCCCAGAACTTCTCGGCCTGAGCAGTCCGTCGCGGATAGAGACGTGTATGGTGAGCTACGAAGGTCTTCAACAGGTTCTCGATCGGACCGTCTTGGTCGAAGTATTCCTTTTCGGTTGGTGACGTCCGAACCTGGGCAAGCACTGCCGAGCAAATGATCTCGTCGATGTCGAAGTCGTCTCGTCTCCAGCCGTCTAGACGTCGCTGTACCTCGCGTAGGCTGAGCCATTCACGAATCGTGCGGTGCAGGAAAATGACACATTGACCGAAGAGCGAGCTGGAGGACACGGCCACGAACTTCGGGCCCAAGGGGACGTCCTGTACAACCAACAAGCCCCGACAGAAATTCTGCAATCGCGCCTCGATAGCTCTTCGACGCTGGATGTTGTGGCGAAAACCTGTTGGCTTGACTTCCTGGTCGACTGCGAGCTGTTGTTGGCCCTCGCTGATGAACCAGTACGCCATCGGGGCCAGCAGGTCCTGTGCCTCGACCGCCACGATGAGCATTTGGGCTGAATCACCATGGTCGGGCTTAGCGACCCTGTTGAGCATGTGGTCGTAGAAAAGCTCCAGTTCTTGAGGCAACTGGTCCAGTTTTTGCTGAAGCTTAGCGATGGTGTTTTGATTCGTAAGGCCCTCGCTCAGCTCGTCCACCACCAGTCGAACCCACAAGAATACACCGTTAGATCTGTTTACCACACTCTGAATGAGATCAGCTCCTAACGTGTCCTTCTCATCACTGCCTTTGAAGAACGGGTGGCTCCCTAGTGTGTCACGAACGTATGCAGCAATATCTGCTCAATTGAATTCCTCCATGAGCAGTCGAGTGGTCATGCCATCGTATGCTTCTAGAAACTCATTTTCCGGCTGGCTAGCAACACAAAGCTTCACGTTAGGAAATTCGGTGAAGAGTCGTAGAAGCTGTATGACTTCCTTCGGCTTGCCAAGATATTCATCTGAGCCATCGGCCAGCAGGAGAAGACGGTAGTCGCGTTTGAAAATGCACTGACACGCCGTCCGCAACTTGTCAAGTAGCTCAGGAAGCTCAAGTGATACCTGCGATCCAGTAAAATTCGAAAGGGAGCAATCACGGTTGGGCACGGCATCCGTGAAGAGCGACCACAGATCCAAGTATACTTCGGGGATGAGCTCAGGACATTGTCGAAGTAGTTGAAATAGCAGTGTCCGAACGAGACCTTCCTTGGATCTTAGAAGGGCTACGTTGCCATTTCCCAGAAAAAGAAGGCTGCTGAAAGCAGTCTTTTCCCGTTTGTCCAGTCTCCCAGCTTGCTTTTGGTGTCCGGATCTGAGAACAGAGACTTCATCAAGGTTGATTTGCCTGAGCCTGGCACTCCAGAGATCCAGAAAAGTCGCTCCGAAGAAGTAAGCCAAGCTTTAAAGTTGGCGGATTTCTGGCCAATGTTTGGCTGGCCTAACCAGCGATAGGAGTTCTCATGGCTTGGGTTTTGGTCTAAATAAAAAATTCGACGATCAATCCCGTCGAACCTCAACTGACCAAGGATACCAGCCTGAATCGCGTAATCTTTCCCAAGACCTCCAGTCTCTGCAGCTCGGCGCATGAGTAGTCTGCTGGTGACCACTGCTTCGGCACAGTCCGATTGTCCGGCACGAGAGATAGAATCCCTTTCCTCGGGATAGGATCCATTTGCTGGGTGAGAATAGCCACCTTCCTTTTGTGATTTCTGTGCTTCCAAGAGTTGCTGTATGGACCGGTGAAGATTTTGCAGCTCTGCGACGTGGCTCGATCCTATTGTAGTACACAGTTGCTCGACGGCTTTGAGTGCTTCGAGAATATTGACAGCATATCGCACCGTCACGAGCCTATGCACTTTTGCGGCTATGCTCTCGAGCCGGTCCTGTAGGTCTTTGATCGCATTTTGGTTCCACTCGCTCCGGATTGCTCTCCAAAAGCTGTCGATAGAGAGCTTGCCGGTGCCTTGGGGGAACTTGCACTTGTCGAGAATGTGGAGAACTTGCTCTGAGACATTTTTGCTCTGTTCACACAACTGGATCAGGCTCTGGTCGTCTTCAGAGGGTACGTCGCCGGCATCCAAGGCTGGCTTTAAACGGTCGAGAAGACTCTGAACAATCTTTGTTTGGGATTCAATGTCAACAAATTCGGTCTTTCCACCAGCGGTCGAGATTTCTCGTGTCGTCTGCACAACCTTTGCAGTAACATCGACAATTGTCACGATGTTAGCGGCAAGGCTGAAGGCAGTCAGCGGATCCATTGTCGGAGGGAAGACTTGGAATCAAAGTGACGAAAGGCTGGAAATGGGCGCACCTTTTACATTGTTGCCGCCAGCTATGCTGCGGCTGCCCTCATGTCGACAGAGATAGGCAGCGAACGAGACGAGGCTCTAAGCGCCCGGTAGTACATGCAATCCACTGCAGGCGCTGGACCAGTAACGTGTTTCGGTGTTTTGCGTGGAGGTGGCTTTGCGTGGGATTAGTTACAAAGGGAAGGCTGTGTAGACGACACACCTCTTCCTCCACCTTAGATGTATGCCTTATCCCGTCCTTGGCTTCGCGCCTTGCTCTGTCCTTCACTCTGGTATTTTGCGGATTTCTTTATTGTCTTTGCACTCTTTATTGTCACTTTCGCCAGCACTCTCTGTCACTCTCTGCCTCACTATCAAATTCGCCGTCGACCTCACTTCTCTACCTTATTTCTCCCATTTATCATTACCTCATGATCTGCACCATTTGGTAGGTCTATGTAGAGAGCACTTATCCGAAAGTACTTGAGACTGCACTCCCGATGGATTTTATACAAAGGAAGGAGCGTGTCGACCAGTTCGTCAGGAACAGCAAGCACACCTCTGTTACACACATACGGTGGCCGGTCCAACGCTTGCGATATCGTGATGAAGGGTTCTTAGAAAGGTCGACCGTGCGCAGCAGTTGGGCGAATTCTCTTCATTCGGCGCCGGAAATCTTCACTAAACGCATGTTTGGTTGCTCTGAAGTAGCCAGGGGAAGTTTCGCTGCAGCGTAGGAGACTCTCTAGTTTGCCCTTCCTGGTCTTATCGGCTCACGCGGTTCCGGTGTGACGTGGACACGAGATCTCACGAGCGCGTCTCCTGAAGACTGCTGCTGATGGCGTGTATGCTATTTTGGTGGAGTGTCCACTCGGTCGTCATCGCCTAGTTCCTGTGTTGGAATTATTCTCTCATGTGTTCGCTGGATCGGCCCGTGAAGGAGGTGCAGAGGCTGATGTCGCGAGAGGTTGGCGTCAGCCGATTTGAGTTTTAGAGGCCGAGCGAGCCGAGTGCCGCCAAGACTCGGGCTGGTTGTCGCACCAGCCGCCTAACGCCATCACCAACCACACCTCAGCCATTTCCACACAGCCTGCCAACAATCCCTCCATGGTCGTATTCAGGCGCTGTGCTTGCTCACGCGAGCAAACACCACCATGAGAACAGTCCAACACTCCCTGTTCGCAGTAGCCCGGGGCAGTTCGCCAAACAGCGGTGAGGAGTGGTGAATTGCTGCGCTTATGCACTCCGCTCCTCAGCATCAATGGCAACGCTGCTATTGCATGCACGAGCGCTGCCATAAGCGCAACCATCTTCCGTCCCATCAGCCCATCCGGAAAGGCGGCCACGGCGGGAGTGCCCTTTTGTGCCTGCCGCCGCATGGTTCGAGTGAGGAGGAGCGAGCCTCCGACTTCTTCCAATGCGTGATGAGTCTGCTACTCCTCCCGACCTCCTCTACCGCCTTTCCCTCCCACTGCATATTGAAAGGCCCTCTCATGCCTGTACCTCGACGTCGACACCTCCTACAGGCATGAGTGGTCATCATGTTGCCGCCTTCACCAGCACCTAGCGAGTGCGATTCGCTCGACGGCATTGACGACCTAGACGCCTTCCTCGCCTCACAGGGACAGCTCTCGCAATGGCCCACTCCGCCCTCGCTACAGAAAGACGCCCTTGTCGAAACGACTGAAATTGATGCAGACGCTGAAACAGAATCTGAGTCTGATGACTGTATGCCTTATGCAATACCTTTTCCACCCTCCATTTTCATACTCACTCTCATCAGTTCGCCATATCGCTACAACCCTGTCAGAAGCAGGCAGCATCGATATCCAGGCTACCCCTCTCGATGTCGAAATCATTCGCAACATGCTATTACGCGCCGACTTGCCCATGGAAGTCATCGCCTTGGCGCTCAACATACTTTCTGGACTCCACACCCAGGAATCGAAAGCCACTTCCTTCACCGATACTCCACCTGACTTAATCGTTGTCGGCGCATTCAGCCTGGCCGTATCGTATACCAACGACCACGCACCGCGTCCGTTTTGGTGGTCCCACTTTATCTGCGATTGTCACTGGACAGCGAAACGAATTGGTCGCACCGTTTGGAGAATGTTGGAGGCCCTGGACTTCGGCCTGCACCAGTTCACTCGGGAAGAGTGCATGGAGAATGCAATGAGTCGACTTTCGGAGCCAGCAGAACCGGAGCCGACTTTGACTGAAATGCCACCCTTGAAGCTTCAGATCGACAGTAACATTACTCGTTGGGAGTACGGTCAACTCACACCAGATGCCACACCGCCTTGTTCAGCATCACCGGCCGTCCACTTAGAGGACGAGGCACCACCACTTGGATGGAGGATGCCGCTCATGAGATTCTTACCACTGCTTTGAAATGCTTTATTGTAATCTTGGTTCTAGCGTTGGCGCTGGGAAGGAATTGGAGCGATTGATACCCACTGGCATTCCTTTGATTGGCGAGTTTACACTGGGCCATCGCTCTTGAGCTTTGACATGATGTCTTTCGGATAGGGGCATCTGCATACAGTCACTCGAGGAACATTTCTTGTACATACATTGATGATGCGAGATGGAACTGCACATTAATCATTCTAATGCTTCTTACGATGACATTCCTTGTTGCTTATGCGCCTGATACGTCCGCAATAGCAACATGATTCCCCCCACCGCTCGTTGAGCAATGTCCAACCAACATTTTCGCTGACCAAGGCACATGTCTCAGATATTTTAGAGTTGTTTCCAAAAATGGCAAGAACGACCCCCTGCGTAGCTCAAGGATCGGCCTCGGTACAATTCAGGCTGAATCGGCCAACACCTCGTATTCACAGAAAACCTGCATCAGCATCATCATCAGACCAACATGGAATAGCAAAACAAGACACCATCTGCCGCGGGATTGATCGAACGTAATCTAGGACCGCGTGGGAAGCAAGGACGAGATCTTGAAATCGAGGACGTAGAGCCGGAAGAAAACATCCAGGACTCCATTCTCCTCCACCCGAACCGATCCAACTTGAAGTCAAGAAAAGATGCCCGACTTCTCCCAACAATCCTACTGGGACACACGCTTCGCCGCGGACCAAACGCCCTTCGACTGGCTTCTGCCGGCACAAGCACTATGTACCATCGCGCGGGACATGATGGACGACGAGGCGGCGCTGGAGAACGCCGAGATCTTACACATCGGATGCGGGACGTCGGATTCGAGCGTGCTGAGGACGTTGGTGCGTGATCCGGAGCAGGTGCATAATGTGGATTATTCGGAGAGTGGGGTGGAGGCGGGGGAGGAGAGGGAGAGGGAGGTGCTGAGGACGGAGGGGAGGGAGGTGAAAGTGAAAGGTGGCGAGGGCGAGGGGGCGGAGTTACTTGGGGATGGGGAAGACGAAAAGAAACACGACAGCGCCTCCTTCCAAGAAATCATCAAACCGCCTCCCTCCCGCACAATGCGCTGGTCGTGTATGGACCTCCTCTCCCTGCAATCCACCCTCGGCCTCCTCCACCACCAACTCACCCCCTCCCCGACCCGCCCAAAAGGAAAACTCTACGACCTCATCCTCGACAAATCCACCTCGGACTCCATCTCCTGCGGGCAGGACATCCCCCTCCCCTTACCCTACTCCCTCAGCATCAATGGATGGACGCGCCGCCTCCAAGGCAGCGGCACCTCCACCACCGGCTCCGTCCACCCTCTGCACCTCCTCGCCGTCCACCTCGCCGCCCTCACAACCCCGCGCACCGCCCGCTGGATCGCAATCTCCTACTCGGAAGACCGCTTCCCCTTCCTGCCCCCTTTCCCGCAGAGCCACGGCGCGGGGATGCTCGACGACGGGGTGATCAAGGCGGGGTTTCCGCATCCGTATCAGCTGTGGGAGTTGGAGAGGAAGGAGCGCGTGGAGGTGGGGAAGGGCGAGGAGGAGGAGACGTTGAGTGAGCGGAGGAAGAGGTTGAGTATGCCTGGGTATGTGCATCGGCCTAGGGTGAGTCATTGGGTTTATGTGTTGAGGAGGACGAAGGCGGTGGTTATTGATTGAGTGGTGGGCCGGGACTGAGAGGAGGGAATGGGCTGAGGTCTGCGTTCTCCTCAAGGAGGTCTTTGTGGGCTGAGATCGCTCGAGGTCGAAATGCCTCCCAGAGCCACGACGATGAGATTCAAGGCTCGCCGGCGTTATGCACAGGCACTGGAAGCGTCACGGCATATGCTGGAGGCTTGAGGACGTCTATGAGCACGCTTGAGTTCCGGCGACCTTGAAAACGAGGCCGAGAAACGTCCCGAATCCGCGAGAGCTGGGCAGAACCCCGGGCCCAAGGATGGAGTATGTCCACAATGATGACGGTGATGCCAGCTGGGGAGTTGAGATATGTGCGAAGAAGCACACAAGCGGTGTACTATGCAACGGAACAGGAAGTGAAAATTGATAATTCTGTCAGACTTCTTTCATTACTTTCGCAAACGTGCACGTGTATTCGTGCCGTCAAAGGGGGTATTCTGCATGCGAACTCAAGAAACAAGACGTACACCACATCCGCTGGGGCCGTGACAATGTCTATGCTGCCGACAGAGTCAAGCCCCATCCTTCCGAAACACTTGCTTTTGTTCATCACTTCGTCAAATCCTCACTCAGAGGTAGTGTCGGCCGTACCACCGTTTTCCATGCCATCGCCATTCGTCTCGCTCGTTCTTGCTTTCTTTCGTGAAGGACCCTCGGTCTGTAATTCCGCGATTCTTCTCTCCAGTTCGGCGACCTTCATCTGTGCCTCCTGTTCGCTTGCTTCGAGTTGCGTAACCCGACCCTTGAACAGATCATTGATGACCTCCAGCTCGCTCACGCGTGTTCGGAGTACCTGGTTGGCCTGAGACAGTGCTTCGTAGCCTTGGGGTGGGTCCATGTTGTGCGATGATGTTCCATTGAGAGGACTGGGAGCTGGACTTGGGTTTCTGTCGGACTGAATGTTAGCATTTGGGCAGGAGAGACTATCTTCTTCTACGAACCGTAATGAGAAGGCCGGTAAGCTAGGACTGGCGAACGTGTCCGAGGGTAGCGTGACAGTGTCGAAGATGTGCGGCGGCGCGTGGTTTTGATTCAGACTCGGTGTGTTGCTACGTGACCCTTGTGCAGGCGAGGGTCCTCTCTGCGGCGGCTCTCCAGCATATCCTGGCGGCAGACCGTGCTGGTGAGCGTGGAGACCGACATCTGGATGAGCCGCTGGGTATCCATTCGGCGCTTGTATCATGCCATCTTGCCCTCCTTGGCTGTCTCTCTTCTTCGTCTGTGAAGTCTTCACCCGATTCCGACTCTTGATTACATCCGTCTTGAGGCTGATTGGCCGAGGGCGTCCGTGGAGCTTGAGGAACAGACCGCACGCATTGCACAAGACCGATCCCGACTCGTCTCTTCTCCAAAGCGGGGTCGTCGAGGTTTTGCAGTTTGCACAGGTTGGCTATTGGGAACGAGTCAGTTGGTCGATCATATTATCGCAGGTGTTGAATCGTGTATGCGGCAGAAGATCGCAGACAATCCATGTGGTGATGTTGGAAGTGGGCTATGATGATGGAGATCGCTGCTGTTGACTTCTTCTGTGGGAGAGAGTATATGGATGTCGCACTGACGGATGGTATCGCGGACTGCTATCGATATCGGCAACGCGGGAAGCTTGCGATCGGTGGTGCATGGAAATTCGGGACGGGCTTGGTGGAGGAATGCAACTTACCGGCTGTGCGTTGCCTCCCGCCGTGGCAGGATACTGCGAGGCCATGGGACCCGAGGAGTTGTTGGGAGTCGAGGAGCGAGTACTGTGCAGGCACCAATGTCAGTCCCAAGTACTGATGTGATCAGGTGCGGGCAGGTGATTTGGCCGAGATAGATAAGCTCTTTATCGGCTAGCTCGCATGCAAGGATGCAGCAGCTGATTTTGGGGGTGGTCGCGAAAGGGAGATGCGATCAGGCATTCACTTGAAAGCGAGTGGTATGTTCAGACTGACCTGTCACCACTGTTGCTCGCGGGCTTCACTGTCGCTGCCGGAGCATTGGCTGCGAGCGATGCCAAAGCTGTCAATCCTGTCCCCGAAGCGTTCGACTCCGCTGTGCTGCTGAAGGATTGCTGGTGATAATAGTCGTCGTTGTGGCTTTGGCCGAGACTGTGATTCTGGGCGAAGTTGTTCTCGTGGTGGTGGGCAGTGTTGGATGATCTCGAAGGTGGATCGGCGAAGACGGATGGAGGTCGCTGGAAGGCTTGAGGCGCGTTTGGGACGGCGTATTGAAGCATTGAGAGGGCGAAGGACGTGTGTCAACGCGTCAATCTTGATGGTCGATGTGGTGGAGGAGTTTGGTGAATTTGTGAATCGCGGAGATCGGCTTCGTTTCGTTATCAGGACAGGACACGGGGACAGAAGGCAGTGGGTTCGATTAGCATTAGCAAGAAGGCTATCAGTGCCGTAGTGAAACAGAAAGCGCTATCAGAAGAAGCAGAAGCAGCAGGCAGAACAATAATCACGGCGTAGCATTGGAGGAGCCGTGTCGAACAAAAACATGAACCGAGATGGAAGGTCGCACTGATAAGGGGCAGATTGATAACGGCGGCTGGCATGGATCTTCCTGGCATGCGGTGACGCCTTCTAGCCGCGCATCGTCCCGTCGCCTTGTCTGTGAGATTGCGCAATATTCCCATCCACGAGGACAGCCACTCGCAACACCACGGCGCGTCGGACGCGATCAACGCTGACATCCAGAAAAGTGCATGAAGCTGTCGGCATCGACGGCTTGGTTGAAAAAACGTCACCAAGGTGAGAGCCGGCATCTCCCTGCTTCGAGCCCCTGGAATCGCGGGGCGGATGACCTTTCCACAAACACCTTGTCTAGCTCGCCCGAGGATAAACGCAGCTGCAGTGAATTGTTTTTGTAGGAACTGATTCACACGCTCGTCAATGTTGAACAGCATTGAACGATTGCCATATCGCGCTTTCAACTATTGCATTAATGAAATTGGCAGCGTGTTGCTGGTACAGTAAATTGACTTCTCCTTGAACACGAGCCACGCCCGTCGATCGCCGCTCCACACCAACGGTCCGCCCGCAGAGCCTCATCGCGTCGCCCGCCCGGCACTTGTTGGCATCCCAGGCAAGCAGCTTCCTCCCAAGCCACAAGCTGTCCGTCGGAGCTCATGCCACCCCTCGACTTCACAATTCACAGACATGCCCGGCAAGAGGCCTGCAACGTCGGGCTATGCTCGAATAGCTCAGGCAGAGGAGGAAGAGGAAGAGCAGCCCTACTCCGACAATGAGGACCCCTTCGTCGACCCCTCGAATGCGATTTCGTCCCCAGGCGCCGAATATGCCCCCATCCAGCCCAGAAGACGGGATGACATGCGCATGCCCAGCGGAAACAGCACTCCACGCAGACCGGGACGCCGACACCGAGCCAACAGTGGAGTTGACATCAAAGCGATTAATGCGCGGTTAGAAAGATGGGCAGATGAGATCAAGGAGCGGTTCAAGAGGAGAAAAGTCAAGGGAAAGAGCTCGGAAGAGGAACAGCTGGAGATTCATCATTCAGTCTTCCAAGCGCCCGACTGGATACGGCCGGCCACCAAGGAGACGCTCGACGCCGAGTATGACGACAGCGCACAACGCATGTCCAAGATCGAGTTCGACGACCTGGTGCAATCTGTGCGGACAGCTATCGAACTTGGACTACATCCTAAACTCATCTCACAAGGCAGCAGTGGCTCTTACTTTGCGCGCAATAGTGGCGGCAAGGTCATAGGGGTGTTTAAGCCCAAGGACGAGGAGCCGTACGCCAGCAAGAACCCCAAATGGACAAAATGGATACACCGGAACTTGTTTCCATTCGCATTTGGACGGGCCATGTTGATACCAAACCTGAGCTACGTCTCAGAAGCAGCGGCCTACGTGCTAGACTGCCAACTACGGACCAATATGGTACCGTACACGGACGTGGTGGGTTTGAGCAGCAAGAGCTTTCATTACGACTGGATGGATCGGAGAGCATACTACAGGAAAGGGAGAGCATTCCCTGAGAAGCTTGGATCGTTTCAAGTGTTCTTGAAGGGGTTCAAAGGGGCGACTGAGTTCTTCCGCGAACATCCTTGGCCTGATCAAACCACAACCAGCTTCACAGACGCACCGGCCCGGAAGAGAAGGCGAAAGAGATGGGATGAGACATGCCGACCTACGAGCGCGGCTGGAAAGGACGGCTACGACAGCGATGAAGATGGAGAGCTGAGTTCAGGGCAACAAAGCAGAGGCGAGCAAGTATTCTGGTCAGAAGGGCTACAGCAGAGCTTCAGAGAGGAGCTGGAAAAGCTAGTGATATTGGATTATGTGATGCGAAATACCGATCGAGGGACGGATAACTGGATGATCAGGATAGACCGGGAGACACAGACAGCATCAATCGTCAGTGAGCCAGTGCAACTGAATGTGAATGGCGAGGACGATGAAGGCTACCACAGAAGAAATGAGAGCATGTCTGCGAGTCTCGCGGCGGATGGAAATCGGTCCAAGGAGACAGCTGTGCCGAAGATAGGAGCCATCGACAACAGCCTGTCATGGCCATGGAAACACCCTGATGCGTGGCGAAGCTATCCATTTGGGTGGCTGTTCTTGCCTGTCAACCTGATTGGGAGGCCTTTCTCGGAGAAGACTAGACGCCATTTCTTACCATTACTCACCTCGAAAGAGTGGTGGAGCGAGACCCAGGTCAAACTACGCAGGTGCTTCGAGATCGACGTTGACTTTCAGGAGCGAATGTTTGCACGGCAAATGGCAGTCATGAAAGGGCAGGCATGGAACGTGGTCGAGACTCTCAAAACACCCGATCACGGCCCTCTCGAGCTCACCAGACGAAACCGCGTCCACGTCTGGGATGATCTCGTCGACATCCCCGTCGCCGTGCCTCTCCCACGAGCCTCAGAAGAAATGCGCATCCGCGCCGCCGCGACCAACGCCGCCGAATCCCGACCCCTCGCCCTCGCCACCCCACCTCGCGGCATCGCCGAAGAAGTCGAAGAAATGGACATCACCGCCACAATCCCCTCCACCTCCGTCCCGAACGGCGACCTCCTCGGCATCACAGGCACCTCGCTCCCCAACGAAGCCAGCAAGAACCCCTTCAACCGCTCCCGCCAAAACTCCTCCCAAGACATCCACCACCCAACCATCCAGAACGCCATCAAAGAAAACCTCTCCCCACCCCCATCGAACACACAATCCCACGAACTCAAACTCTCCCCTGCGACGCTGCACTCGGAGAACCGCCGCCCGATCGCGCCGAGGAGTCGCACGGGCGGCGCGCGCTCGAGCTACGATATCCCACGGTCTAACGTGCTGTGGCAGGCGAGTCCGCAAACTCGAGGAGGGAGGAGGTTCAGTTTGAACTTCGCGCGGAGGAGTAGTGTCGCCGAGGCGCCGTTTGATGACGATGGCGATTTGGGCTATGCGGCGGCGGCGGATCGGGAGAGTAGTATGCGCAAGGTGATTGTGGAGAGGCTGGAGATGGTGAAGAGTAAGCCGCCGGTTTTTAGTTGGTGTTGATTGAATGGAAACTAAGCGGATTGGATGGGATGGAGTAGGTGGAGGGGAAGTCTGGTTATACGAAGTGTCTGATGGTGGCACGGATGCAAACATATTTTGAAAAGGTTCTTGTTTCTGTAGAAATGCTAGTATGATACCCTGTGCTGTGTCTATTCAGGCCTTGATCGTTCCTTTCGTATCCATTTCTCAACACAAGCTCGGTCCTGGATTTGATGTTTGAGTTTCATGCTTGACTTTCTTTCTCAGGAACAACCGCACCGTCTGTAATGACAAGTCGTAGACCTGCCACAGCGTCAAACTCTCCCTCGATTCATCGCATGCGCCAGTCCGTGGTTCGTGCCCGTGTCCGTCGTAACATCGTTACCAGAAACGGCTCAACACCTGCTGTGCCAACTCACCCACTCTGTGTCGCGCACTCAACGCCGTTGAGATCCACTCTCCCAATCCGCCGGCGCCGTTGGCCCGGCCAAAGTACAGCGCCAACACAGCAACGAGCACCGCGGCGCCGGTCCACCGGGCCGGCCGACGGTAGCGATATCCAAGCACTTGGATCCTTTCGCGCATGCGTTTGACGGCGTCCTGCCTGCGGATCTGCGCCGCTTGTTTCTGGAAGAGGTCTTCGCCGTACGAGAGGGTTTGTTGGGCGAAGGCGTCCGGGTCGCGGGTGGTTTTGAGGACGCTGTAGTTGCTCACTCGGCTCCAAGCGCGGTAGGGGAGGTGTTGTGGCGGGTGTTGGGTGAAGAGGGTGTGGGTTCTTGTGATTAGGCCTTCGATGTCCAGGGGTTTGGGAAGTTTCGCGAGGATTGAGTGGAGCATTTCGGGTTCGTCGTGGTCGATTTCCAACAATTCCTTCTTGCGAGACATGACGATCTGTTGGTGAGGCGGTGTCAGCTTGTACGACGTTGGGTATGAGGTTCAGACCCACCACTGCAAATAGGTAGACTGGCACAGCAGCTTCGCTGGCCAGCAAATAATCAAACAGACGCGCAATGTCTCCATATTCCTCAATGTCGTGTGCATACAGCGTCAAAGTTGCAGCAAGTGCGAAGAAAGGCGTCGGCTGTGTGGCACCTGATAGGTGTTGGTACAACTCCTTATCTGCGGCGTAGAGGATAGCTGGAAGCAGGTGAAGATGTGACTCGGCACCGGACAATGTCGGCAGCATGAAGTCCCTGATACGCAGCAGCGATAGCCGCGCGACAGCCGCCTCGGCGCCATCAGCTCCCAGGACAAGAAGCAGGACCTGGACGATATCGTGATAGCCCTGAAAATAGCACAGTATGGGGTGCTGTCGCAAGACCGACGTGATCAAGTCTGACAGCTCTGATTTGCGGCGGTCTAGACGCTGCTTCGATTCATCTGCATGATACACTTAGCTGGGGCTCTGTGCTAGGCAAAGAATGGCGACGTGTAGCAATCACTCACTCTCGGGGTAGTACACAAACGACCGATTGACATCGAGCTCGACTTGCTCCTCGTCTCTGTGCCGCTCCAACTTGGTCCAATCAGCCTGCTCTGACGAGTGATGCTCGTGACATCCCAGCAATATTGGCCCTAGATCCAAACGTGTATCAGCAACTTCGGCTGGGTGCATGAACGGAATCGGACAAGGAATGTTAGCTCATACATGCCGTGCGTCTGACCTCGTCTTCGATTAAACCGCCTTGGGAAGTTGCAAGATGCGCTAGAGTCTGGAGATCTCGATTGCGACAGGCAGCCAAGACTTTGGTGACCTTTTCCTTGTCGTCTGGCGAAAGAGGACCCTTTTGCCACGAGGAGTTGACAGGCGAAACTATGCCGTGAGCGGGCTCAGGGTCTGATACAGCTCGCTCCATCTCGTTCTTCTCGCTTTCAGTCGTGATTTGTGGTGTGGTGTCGCCATTGTTGGCATCTGGCTGCTCCACCTGGTTGGTCTCCGCTGGCGCCATGTGGTTTGGGGATGCGCATCTTGCGAGTGCAGTGAACGGAGACGGTGATCGTGTGGTCGTTATTGTTGGAGGCTGCCCGCAGTCTCCTGTGCGCCACGTCAGTGCAGGCTCGGTTCCAGCGCCGTGGATGCCGATGATGCAGATGCAGCTGGGAGTGAAGACGTGAAGTCAGGGATGTCGCGCTCAGACGATGAGCCCCACTTTTCCCTGAACTCTGCTGCCCGTCGCCGTCGACCTCACCTCTTGGAACAACGGCGGCTCGACTGGGCAGCCAGCAACTTGTCCAGGCAATTCAATTTCGACGCAAGAGGCAGATGCACAACTTCACCATCTGGCATTGGTTGACGACCGCTCCATTATCGCAGTGACCAGAGCTCGATCGCGGTTGGACGTATGCGGCCGCCTGTGCACCCTTGTCCCGCTCGACGCTACAGAGTGGAGTGACACATCACATTCTGCTTCTTCTGCTGCTGCTGTCCGCTCAACCACGCCTCGCGCGCCTCGCAGCCGTCAGCACTCGCCTGTGCGCTTCGGTGAGACATTGCAACGCCTTGGATGTGGGTGCTGCGCCGATCTGCTCAAGCATTTGTCGCTCCTCCGGCAATCCGGGTTGTTGGAACGAGGCCACCTGCACTCGCTCGCTGCCAGACGCGTCCTGCAAGGGCGTCGCCTGTTGCGCAGTCTATCTGAGACCATTAGATTGCTGGCAGGGCAGAATTCTGGAATTTCCAGCCAATGGTAATTACAGCTGCTCGCCATTTTCTCCTCACCTCGATCAAACATTCATTAATGTACATTGACTGCGGCTAACTTTGCAGGGGTAGCAGGATACACCAACGTCCAACCTTTCCCGGCGTTGGTATGCCCTCGTAAAGCGCTTCCAAGGCTGCGAGTGTGAACGTGTGATTGTTCACATTATAGCCCACCCCGCCACGCCCGGTCGCTCACACAGCAAGCATTGTGCCGTCCTCAATCCGGCACAGGGCTGTCAGTTTCACTGCTCCACTCAGCTGTCAGTCTCCGTATAGAAGAAGGGCTTCGGTCATTGTACCCGAGCTATTCATCGTTTACATTCATCTTCCTCCCGCCAAGGCATGGTCCCATGATGGCATCTTCGACGACTGCGGCTCTCAGCCAGCTCAATGCAACCACTTGGGGCATCTACACCAGAACGATCGTCCGAAGCCCAGTCATCCGGTGGATCCTACACGCACAGATTCGAGACGCGAGATCAAATGACGCTGTGTTTGTTGGAGAAGACTATTTGGAGGTCAAAGAGGTCGGGAATAACGGTCATCTGCAACATATCGCAGTCAAATCGGACTTTGACGCTCGCATCATCGCCGCCGCGGTATTCAACACAAACGATGACGACGATGAGGCCAACTTTCTGGCGCAGATCAAGCAGGAAATCAGCCAGGATGGCATGAACACCAGCCTGGGACCTCCTCAGTTGGTAGTGTTGACATTGGACTCGGGCAACCTCGTCTTCGTAGCTTTGCGACCTGATGAGGACGGTGCATGGCGCTTTGCGCAGTGCATCGTACCATTGCCTCAGTACGAGCGTAGACTCTTCCAACCAGGCCAACACTTGGCAATCGATCCCTCGTCTCGAGCCATAGCTGTCGCTGCAAGGGAGAGCCAGATCGTGCTTTACGGTACAAAGTCTATGGAACAACTCAGATATGAGCTCAAAAATCAACCATCAGACTTCTGCCCCATATCCTCGACACGACCATTCAAGATCGAGGGCGTCATTCAACATGTGGAATTTCTACAGCCACCATCCACCAGTTCAGACCATGTCATACTTCTCTTGATCATAATCTGCCAAGGCCGGACGAAAGCTGCAGTGGTGGATTGGAATCAATCACTGGGCCCGCGACAGGCTCAGCTCCACCCATTCCAGGTGATCGATGAGTCTGAGGGCATCCCAAGTCTGCTGATCCCGCTCCGAGATGCTGCATTCTTTCTTGTCACGAACGACAAGATTACACTCTACAAAGACATATTGTCTGGATCTGTCACGTCTGCGAAATGGGCATTGCCCCAAGACCCTGCACAGCATCCCGGTCTTTCCTCGTACTCGCCAATCTGGGCCAACTGGGTGAAGCCTCGTCGAAGCAAAGCGGCGTTACAAGACAAGGATGGCATGTACCTTGCGAGAGAAGATGGCTTGGTGATCTGGATTGATATCAAGGTCGGCTCAAAATCAACATTCAACATGAGTCGCGCGGGTGACCTGGAATGCCATGTTGGAACCGCCTTTGCGTCAATTGGAGATGAAGGTGGGCCAGACATCCTGGCCATTGCGGGCGAAACGTCGACAGGGAGGACAGTCCAAATTGGTCCATTCTTCACCACCCGGATGACTGAGGTCATGAGCCGTGAAGAGGCCATGAAGTTTCAAAAGATTGAGATCATATCCAATTGGGCGTCTGCGACAGGCATGATTTCTGCCAAGACTGTGCACGCCAACCGCCACCACTCTGCGCACACTGACAATGTGCTGGTCACGTCCGGGCGACAGCCATACGGAACGGTTACGGAGGTTCGAAGAGGTCTGGAGGGCAGAGTATCTGCGCGAGTACCTTTTGAACCGTTAAGGAGTGTCACCGACCTGTGGGCCATCCCAGACCGATCAATGGGCTTTGCAGTCACTGTGCTGTCGTCACCAATGGGTACAAGACTTTTACGGATCGACGGCGATGGCGAAAACGTTGTCGAAATTGAGAGCTTGACGGCTTTCGACCTGGACAAGCCAACAATCACGGCTGGACACATTGCTAGTGGGCAGCTGGTTCAAGTCACTGAGCATGGGTTTTGCGTGACGGATGACATACAGGGCAACTTCGAAAACACAAAAATTATGCTGTGCGAAGGTGATTCGAAGATTGCTGCCGCTGCAATTGTCTACGAGATCAACACTCTCGTCACGGCGGAAGAAGATGGAGGCAAATTCCAGGTACGCTGCTACAGCGTAAGTTCCGACAACGAGCCAGACATTCAGCTGCAAGCTTCTGTATTCGTCCCGTCAAAGATTCTAGGCATTGCAGCTATGGGGGCTGGTGATGATCTTCTGGTCGCGGCATCTACTGCCGAAGGCGCTGTGACTGCCATCTTCTTCGGCAAAGACTCGCCCCCAAGAACATTCACGCAAGCACTGCCACAATTTCCTGAGACTACTGATACACCCAGCGTGTGCGATCATGTCGCTCTTCTTCAAGCCGGCATTGGCGACGAGGAATCACCAGACTTCCTGGTTGCGTGCGGCTTGAGAGATGGACGAATCGTCACCTTTGTCATTGACTTCGAGTCGACCCAACCTCTCGTCCCAAAAGATGTTATTACATTCAGAGACAGCACAGTCAAGCTAGTGCCACTCAACACCAAAAACGCTGTATATGCTTTGAACGGCACCGACATCTGCCTGCTCTCCTGGGATGGCACCACGGTCTCGCTTGAGAACATCTGGATTGCAGACAAAGCCTATCCAGAGATGGCGCAACCATCGGCCGTCGCCTGTGCTCAAACGCCAATGGCTATGTGGCTTTCGTCTAGCATGCTTGCTGACTCACTTGCAATAGCTTCGGAAGAGGAGTTGTTCTTTGCTGCCGTGCAACCATTGACCACGAACGTGCCGCGACAGATCTCCGTCGAAGGCACGCCCAACCGTCTAATACATGCCGAATCCCTCCGCAACATCGTCTGTTCATCGCTCTATGCAGGCGTGCGGACTTTCCCCTCGTCGAAACCCCACACCTCTCGCGAAGAACGGCGGCAACTATGGCCCGTTATCAACTTCATCCCAAGCAACAGGAGCGAAGAGGTTTCCTACCAGCACCACATGCAGCCTGGAGATCGAGTGAATGCGCTACTTGAATGGTCCTACAAGGCCCGTCAGAGCAGTAAAACGTACTCATTCATCCTGGTCGGAGGCAAAAACAGGCGGCGCAGTGGGCAGATCCAGGGACGAGTGACGTTCCTTCAGCTGGTCCTCCGGAACTGGAGAGTCGAGAGCGTCTCACAAAGATATACGCTGGAATTTCCCGCTGAAGTGTATGCCTTGGCTCGGTTGGACGACGCAACGATTGTGGTATGTGCTGGAGAGCTGGTCTACAGCTACACGTATCGAGAGGAGCAAAGTGAGTGGCAATGCGTGCGAACGTCTGGCGCGCAGGACGGAGTCAGATTGGCCAGTCCTGGAGTCTATGCCACTGTCGAGAGCGGGGATGACTCTTCAAGTGTGGCCATTTCCACAGCCAGCGACTCACTCGTCGTACTCAACGGCCCTTCCGGCGAGATCGAGGCCATGGGGCCGCATGCCCAAGACCTGCTCTGCCACCATGTCATCACAGGCGATTCCACGAGAAGACTCGCACTGGTATCGACAAAGCACGCGGAAATCTCAGGCCTATCGTGGTCACCCATCGGAAATCGCAACCAATCCGCCCAACTCCAATTCACCGCCCAGCTGCGCCACTCTCTCACTCGTCTAGTCCAATCGACGCCTCCACCCCGCAAAGGCTCGCCTCCTGAAGGGATTATGCACGACAGAATCATCGGCTGCGCCACAGACGGCGCCCTCGTCGGCATCGTGCTCATCGACAGCAGTCTCTGGAGACGACTCTCATGGCTCCAACGCCTGATAGAATGGAGTCCCGTCCTCTCACCCCACGCCCAACAAACACCCCTCTACGACCGCACCGGTAACGAAAGCGGCATCGCCTACCCCGAACGAGGAATGCCAATCGGATTGACAGCCCATCAAACCAATAACCTCGTCCCCCTACAAGCTCGAAACCGCAAAGAAAACGACCTGCACATCGACGGCGATGTCTTGAGCCGGGTTCTGGAGAGCAGATATGGGATTCAGGAAGTGAGGAATGTGATGACCGTGCTGGCGTCGGAGACGGAGCATGCGGTGGGGAAGTGGATGATGGAGCATTTGGATGAGGAAATGGAGGCGCTGGAGGAGGTTGTGGGGGTTGTGAGGGGGTTGGATGGGTGGGTTTCGTGAGGTGCTAGTGGAGGGGATTGGATTAGAATGGAATGAGATGTGGGCGGTGAAAATGGGACGTGGTAGATACCCAGGATTGGAAGGCTGGATCGGCTGTGAAGACGAGCGATGAAGGGTACGATGGGGTTGTGATGAGCATGGGCATGAGCATGACGGCCAAAATGGGACATGAGAGTATCCTATAGATAAGACATACTTTCCTCGAGGCATTTGATACCAATTCTGCAACAGGCAAGTGACATACTGTGTTGAGCAGGCTGCCTGTCGGCGTGTTGCAACTCTTGAAAACGACATTAGTGAATCATGCTGTCCTTCTTTGCTCTCTTGGGACTTGGATATCACACACCCGTCGTCGACAAATGCAGGCTTCCTCCTCAAACCTTTGCCCATCAGTCTGGCCCACTCAATCAATCCGCCCACAAAGCCCCCGTCAACTTCCGCCACCACCCACTCGACCTCTCCCTACTACTACTCCGACTCCTCACCCCGCCTAGCAGAGCTCTCTCCTCATCATCCCCCTCCCTCTCCAAAGGATACCGCACCTCCAAAATCTCCTGCAACAACTCACTCGCCGGTCGGGTGTACTGCGAAGAATACGAAAACTCATGCAGTCTGCAGATGGCCGCGGTGGGGTTGGCCTTGTAGACGAAGGGTTCGGGCCTGGGGCCTGGGGCATCATCGGGGTCGGTCACAGGGCTCTGGACGAGGTCGCTGCTATATTTTGAGCTGGGACTTGAGGAATGTTTCGCATTGGACTGTGCTCGTGATGCGGCGGCTGATGACGACTCGCGCTGGGGGTCGTGTTCGTGGTCTGCTTTGAGGATCTCGGCTTCGGCGTAGAGATCTGGGCGTAGCTCCATGTTGATGGTAGTGCTAGTGGCCGGTGGAGGATTGGATGTGACGGGCTTCTTCTTCGCGAGTGATGTCGTAGGTGGACTGGTAGGTTTGATGTAGGATTCGAGGTGGCGGAAGACTTTGAGAGGCAAGTGCGATGTTTCTTGGAGAAAGCGGTTGCGCATGTGAAAAGGAAGTTCGATCCTGGCTTCACGGTTGTTGTTGCGTTTATTGACGGGTGAGTTCTTGCCATGCGCTGCTGATTCGTATTAGGCAGGCGCGACTCGCATGTTTAACGTTATTTCACTCACCGACTATGTGCCCGTTGTCTTGCGACATGTTTGGCGTCGACCTCTTGGTTGATGTTCATGGCCCCACCGGCGGATCAAGCCCCAACGCCAGGGTTGGAAGTTGTCGCCTTCTGAATCGCTGTTTGCCCGACAAACGCAGCTTGTGTGCGCTGTACGTCACAACAATTGCCTGCATGGCTGCTGGTCGTGCTTGATATCTTCGTTCATGTTTTACGGCCCGGAAGTTCCACTCACGGCACCCTCTTGACTTTGCTGATCATGTCTCCCAGCAGATCTACCATCGCCTGCTTCTCACTCTCCTTCTTTGCGCGCTCTTCTTCCATCTGCCGTAACTCAACTTCCAATTCGCGCATCCTCTTCTCCTGATCCGCCTCGTTCACTCCAATACCAGGCAGCGACTTGATGACAATCTCGATCTGCTGCTCCTTCAACACCAACTCTTGGGCCATCTCATGCATCGCGGCGTTGAACTTGTCTGCCGAGTCTGGCGCTGTAGGACTATCATCTTGGGCATTGGCTTGACCTGCAGCCGGTGTTTGCTGAGAGGCCGCTCCGTCTCCATTCGCAGCAGGCGCAACGCCGTTTGCTGTGGGCTCGGACTGTGAGGCTTGCGGTGCCTGACTGGGCTGGTCTGGAAACTCGCCGTAGGGGTGTTTGTTGTAGACGTAGTTCAGCGATGCGTACATCTGACTGAGCAGCTGGCATATTGTTAGCACTGGCGCAAGGCTGGTATGAAGCAAAGCGTACGTCGTCTACAAAGTCCTGCAGCTGGGTCAATCGGTCCGCCATGTTTTTGTCGTGTTGAGAGTGATTGGCAGTGTACAGGAAACAGAAGAACTATACGCGATGGGCAATCACATGTCAAAGTAGATGCTAGCGCATGTTATTGTTGACGGAGAGGAAGGCACGCACATGAAGACAGGAAGCTGTGACAAGGATCGGAGCGGGGCCCGGTGCGCGCACGACCCTTCTTCAACTTCGACGCGCGCGGCCAATGTTCGGGCTTTGTCTGCTCCACTGCAACGCATCGACACAGTGCTGGCCGACATCAACGGAGCTCGACTGCTCCAAAGTGCCCGATTATGCGTAGGGCACTGCATTGCCCATGCTTCACAGCCATGCCGTCTTACGCCAATGCGTGAGAGCCGTCTCTCCCCGAGCCATCCCTATACCGAACACGCGACAATTCCTTCCTCCATCAGCGCCATGTCTGGTCCAGCAGCGTACACGCTCCTGGTTCTCGAGGCTGCTAGGAACGGGTTTCAATACCGTCCGAAAGAGCAAGTCCAAGGCATCCAAGAAAGCGGCCAAGAAGCAGCCAACATCCTCTCCTACGAGAGCACGGTCTGATCCCAGAGGGCCTGGAAAGACCGCAACACAGGCGAGAAACAGTGTACGTGAAGCGACACAGGAAAAGAGTTCAACACCCGAGGACATTCCCCTGCCATCAACAGCCCTAGCTTCCCAAGATCACGACGATCTATGTTCATTTCGTCAACGGAGTACCAAGAACGGCGTGAATAAGCAATCCACATACTACATCGGCACAGAGTACGAATACACAGTAGCAAAATCTCTCAAAAAGTGGTACGGAATGCTCCTGGAACGACGTGGTGGCCCCAACGACGAAGGTGTGGATCTCGTTGGCAGCTGGAGGCCTCCAGGCAACTTGCGAGATTTCAAGGTCCTGGTGCAATGTAAAGTCAGCCGCCCAAACGCTGCGATTGCTCGTGAGCTGGAGGGCGCATGCTCTGGAGGACGACCGGATTGGCGAGGGGACGGTGTGCTGGCTATGCTGGCTTCTCCGAAAGCAGCAACGACTGGTATGTGGCAGACGATGCAACGCAGCCCAAGACCGATGTGTTTTGCGCAAGTCTCCAACAGGTGTCATGTCGTCGACTTCCGCTCCAATGACGCGGCCGACAAAGCTGGCCTAGACGAGTTGGAAAAGCACACCATTTACATACCCTCGAAACCCGCGAATGGAAAGACTGGGCGATCGAGACGTAGCACTGCGGTCTCAGCAAAGGGTGAGCCGTGGTGGACGCATATGAATTTTCAGCCGTAACGTGTTTTAGGTAGGATATCAGCAATCACGTCCATCATCATTAAGGGCCTAGTCTACGCCGTAGCCGTGCTCGCGGTCTCCACGATGCTCGGTATATGCTATCTCTTGTTTGCCAGCATTGCTTTGGGATTATGTATAGCATTCTCATCGAAACAATACTGTATGAAGAAGACTGGAGATGGGGAGTATGCGGGGTGGCATTGGATAACAAAGGACTGATTAAGGCCACGAGGGCTCTCCGAACCTCACCCACCGCCTTTCGCTATTCTTACTCCCCACGACAAACATTGCGACCGATGACTTGTTTACCGAAGCCTCTGCAGCTGCAGTACAACACAACGTCCATTCATGTTGTTCACGCCCTTCGAGACGATGCGTCCAATCACAAGCTATCGTGACTCAACCCACTAAATGTGGGGTGACTAACATGGTAACTTTCCTCATCTTTCCTTTACAAGACCTCACCTTTCTCAAGTATATGAGGCTTAGCCCGATCTCTTTCTCCTATCACCACGACCACCATACTTCGTTCTTCGAGCAGTATCAAACGCGGTAATGTCAGATCCATTGGCAACCGTGAATGCTGTTGATAAAATCGAATGCGGAAAAGATGCTGCGAAGCATTTCTCGTTTCCAGAGGGATATCGGAATCTGAATCATGGTACGTACAGAATGGTGCCTTTTACAGCAGAGCAAGAAGATGAGAATGGTGGCAATGCTACATGACGACTTATCGATTCATCAATTGCGAGAAACGACCTCGTTGAGCTCTCATCTCAACACTTCATCAATCATTATCAAAGCACCCCATCTCAACTAACATCCACCCAGGCTCCTTCGGCACCTTCCCCAAAGAACTCACCTCCACCCTCCGTCACTACCAAGACGAATGCGAAGCGCGCCCAGACTGGTTCATCCGCTACAAATACCCCCGTAGCAACGACTCCTCCCGCGCAGCCATCGCCAAACTGATCAACGCCCCCGTCGAAACCTGCGTCTTCGTCCCCAACGCCACGACAGGCGTCAACACGATCCTGAGGAATCTCGTCTATCAACCTGGCGATGTGATAATCTACTTTGCAACAATCTACGGCTCATGCCACAAGACGATCCAATACCTCACCGAAACAACCCCCCTCGAAGCAGTCCAGGTCGAATACACCTACCCTTGCTCCGACGCGACCCTCCTCTCCGCCTTCCAAAACACGATCCACAAAATCCAAACCGCCGGAAAACGCCCCCTCGCCGCCCTCTTCGACACCATCGTCTCCCTCCCGGGCGTCCGCGTCCCCTTCGAAGCCCTCACGACCCTCTGTCGCAAACACAGCATCTTTAGCATCCTCGACGCCGCGCATTGCATCGGCCAGATCCCGATAGACCTCAGCACTCTAGATCCGGATTTCTTCGTCTCGAACTGCCATAAATGGCTGCACGTCCCGCGGGGTTGCGCGGTGTTGTATGTTCCTGTTAGGAATCAACACTTGATGCGCTCGACACTACCGACGAGTCACGGCTTCGTGCCGCGGGAGGGGACCGCCCTCGTGAGCCCCCTCCCGCCGACGAGCAAGAGCGAATTCGTGAATAACTTCGAATTCGTGGGCACGGTCGATAATAGCCCTTATCTCTGCCTGCCCGCCGCGTTGGCGTGGCGGTCGAAAGTCGTGTATGGAGACCTTCGCGGCGAGGAGGCGATTATGCGGTATGGAGAGGATCTCGCCCTAAGAGGGGGCGATCTTGTCGCGGCAGCGTTGGGCACGGAGGTGATGCAGAATGCAGAGGGGACGTTGCGGGGGTGTCATTTTGCGAATGTGAGGTTGCCTGTTAGGGTTCAGAGCGAGGCTGCGGAGATGGTCAAGATCGCACAGTGAGTTTTTCCTCTTCTCTTTCTATTCCCCTCTCTTTTTGTGATGAGATGAGATGAGATGCTAACGAGTGGAATTTCGTAGATGGATCAGCCAGACGCTAGTCGATGAATACGACACGTTCATGGCGATTCTGGTGCATGGGAGCAAGTTGTGGGTGCGGCTGAGTGCGCAGGTATATTTGACGGAGGAGGATTTCGTTTGGGCGGGACGGGCGTTGAGGGAGGTCTGTGAGAGGGTGGGGAAGGGGGAGTGGAGGGGAGATGGGCATGGTAAGGCGAAGTTGTGATTTGGGATCGATTGAAGTGAGATATAGAGTTGAATGGGTGATGGGGATGTGGAGAATGTTGTGCAAGCATTATCAATTATCATTCCCAGTAGCTATGGCTGATCTGGGGACAGAAGCTATTTTCCACTTCCTTTTGCTGCCGTGATGTTTCTGCTCATCTCTTCTTAAGGTCCTTGTTCTGGTGAGTCCCTTGTGGCCTTGCATCAATCCCTCCATCGAAATCACACACTCCGCCGCCCGCCGTCATCTCATCCACCCATCAAAATATGTACACCCGCCCTCAGAACCTCACACAACCCGGCCGTCACATTCAGCACGCACTCTACTCATACCGATAACAGAACGGCCCCGCAAAAGTATCCATCAGATCACCAAACGTCGGGTCTTCAGCCACGAAGCCGAAGGGAAGTTGATCGCTGAGCTCCATCTCCGGGCAGTCGGGCGCAGCGCAGCCGAGGGTGTTGGTGCCGCGGATGATGTTTTGGCGGCGGTAGATGTCGAGGTTTTGCCAGATGGTCCAGACGCTGGAAAAATGATGTGTTAGTATGGTTGGGTTATGTGAAGGATAAGTGAGAGTTACTTATCGACCATGGCGTGGTGGAGGTAGAAGAGAGGGTCTGCGGGCGAGGAGTGAAAATCCATCATCGAGCCTCCGATCTGCCAGTGTCCGCCACCGTGGACACCGAACTTGTTCGTGTCGCTGTCGTAGCCTTGCATCAGGCCTTGGAAGTCCTCGATGTAGATCTGCTCGAGGATGAGGGTGGTGAGGTTGGTGTAGGTGTTGTAGTTCTTGGAGAAGAACGGGTTGATGTCGCGCTCCAGGCAACGTGGGTTGTATTCGAACGACGAGTTGACGTTGTTGGCGTTGGGGAGGTCAAGTGGGCCGAGATTGACGGTGTACTGGCTGAACGGACCTGTCTGCACGCACCCACCTCCCGTGCCTGGTGGGTAGGTGACATCTTGCTGTGCGAGCCAGGTGTCACTGCGACCAGAGACGTACTTGCCGTTGCTGCCCAAGCTGTATGCATCGCCTGTGAAGAGTGGGCTGTCTTGAGGAGCCTCCCAGTCCTCCGCCCAGTTCCAGTATGGCAAAACACCGGTGTAGCCGCAGAGGTCCTTGAGGTCTTGCTCGAGGTAATGCGCGAAGGCTCGGTGCCACGCCAGAAAGTCTGCGGTGTCGTGGATGTTCATGGTGTAGTTGATGTGGGTGGCGACATATTCGTCAAACCGCGACTTCACACCTGGGTAGTCGGGCGCTTCGACGTCGGTCATGCGCTGGGGTGGCAGCTTCTGCAGACAAACGACGGCGTCGGTGAAGCTCTTGCGCGTGGCCTGGGGGAGTGTTCGCCATTCCTTTCGCACGTCGGCATTGTCGTATGTGCATTGGGTGCTTGTCCTGGATCCAATGTTGGAGCGGATGGATTCGTCGGCGATGGTGGAGATGTTCTGGAAAGCCTTGCCGCTCGCGATATCTGCGGTGGTGTAGTCGTTGATGCTTGGAGCTTGAGCCGCGGTGAGAGTGGCAGCAGAGGCCAGGCCAGCGACCGTTGACAAGCGCATGATTAAGGTTAGAGGGTAACGAGCGAGAGTGAATGAAACGGGTGTAAACGAGTGATGAAGAAAGAAATGTTTCAACGCGAGCCCGGCCAAGTGAGACCTGCAGTGTTGTGCGTGGTCGAGCAGAAGAAGATGGGAGAAGGAAGAATTACCTTTTCGGCGGCGAGTCGTAGAACCGCATATGGACGTCGCCTAAGGGCAGTCCAAGTGGTCCTTCGGCGCAGTCGAGATGAGCGGACGGAAGGGCGGCAAGCATGTGGCAGGCTGGTCGGCCAACTGGTGGGCAGCGTGGCAAAGGCTTGTCTCCGCTCGCGGTGCAGTGAATGGACAGGCGGTGGTGATGGGCCACCAGGAGGCGCCAAGATGGCGTGAAAGGGAGCGGGAATGTCGCTGGGAAACGACGCCGCCGTTTGTGCGTCGTGCAGATTTCACGGACAGGATGCAAGGATTAATAGGCCAAGCTTTGCTATTTCGAAACCCATCACGTCGCACCGGCGGCCACGCAGGCTCGCCACGCAGGCTCGCCACGGGCTAGCGGGCGTGGAGAGGCGATCGCTTCTGGAATGCCATGTTTCGCATCGGGCAGAGGCTGGTGAGATGCTGTGCGGCACCAACGAGGCTTGACATTCTCGTCGTCGCCCATGGCAGACGTGGGACAGCGACACGGCACCACACGCCCATCACCCGCATCGGTAGCTTTCTGGACGTCAGTGGTAGAGCCGGCCGGCAAGGAGAGCACACGAGGAAGCGCTGTGCTCGCTTCACCCTCTCCTCCTGCGCCCGGGGATTAACCAAACGATGCCGCAAACGCAAGGTGGATACCAATAGGAGGCTACACGACTCGAGCAGACCCGGACCACGCCGATGTACGAACAACCAGCAGCGAGGTCAGGTTGGTATGGGAGGCAGAAGCAGAGAGATCGGGAGGTGAAGGTGTTGTTGACGACGAGGTGCTGTCGACGTGCGTTGCGGCTCTGCCATGGTGCCTGCCACCAGCGCCGTTTGCCCGCCGAGATCTGCGTCATGATGGAAAGTCTAAATCCCCAGGCCCGGTATTTTTGTTGCACGTGTTTCGAGCTGGCCATCGCCAATCCACCAGCACTGCCATGCTTCTCTGACACATTCATTACTGACTGCAGTTGCTCGTGACGATATCGCACACCCACTATGCGCTTATTTCTTTTACCGATTTCCACGCGACGGACCCTCATTTACTGCGAGCGCGTCCAGGAACAGCTGTCCGGCGCGAAACCACCGCTTCAGGAGCGTGTCATCAACAAGGCTTCGCAGACGTGGGCGACATGGGAAAAGGCGGAGAAAGGCTGGCAGAAGCAGGTCACGGTATATGGAAATTCGCTGTTCAAGCGGATACCGTACGAAGAGTGGGGTCTCAAATCGATACCGCCTGCCACGAAAAAGAGGATAGAGGACATCAACAATGGCAAGATCAAGTTCGAATGCTTGTATCCGGCCGCATTCATTGAGGAGCAAAAGGTGCCACAGATCTTGAAGGCACTGGCAACAGAACGCCAAGCTTTACATAGGAAGAATATGTGGACATCGATCGCGTGGATGCCAATCACTCTGCCTTTCACCCTCGTTCCAGTGTAAGATCTCAGCCTTATCCATTTTGCGATGATCCCTCTGATTTCTCTCGCAGTATCCCCAACCTTCCATTCTTCTACCTCGTCTTCCGCGCTTGGTCGCATTACAAGGCCCTCTACGGCTCCAAGCTGCTCGAGCACCTCACAACCAACAACCTTATTAAGACGACCGATTCCAAAGACATGGACGAGCTATACGCAGCAGGTCTTCTGCATCCGAAGCGTGAGGTAGCGAGAGATACCACTCGACCGACCGAAGATCAAATCCAACAAGTCGCCAAAGTGATAGAGGCACAAACGAACGGCGGCCAGGAAGACGTTATGCTGCTTCAGAGATGGAACGGCAAGCTGATAGCAGAAGGGTTCCATCTGCCCGAAATGGAGATTGAGATAGAGCGGGCAGTCGAGCAGGTGGAGAAGGCCATAAAATCGAAAGAGGAGCTAGAAAAGGAGAAAGCAGAGGTACTGCAAGCGGCCAAGTCGAAGACCTCTTGAAGAGCTTGGATAGATTATGCTTGATGTTGACGACTGTATAGAGGCTGGTCTACGAACCGCATGGCACGGCGCTTGGATATGAGAACTGTATAGAGAGCGCCGCGACACCGCTCGATTGTTGATCACGATTATCAAGGTCATGTTGTCAATGCAACAGGGTTTGGTCGGTAAGTGAAAGTACAAGATCTTGCTGACCGATTAACCAGCAGATTGAGTCTGGACATTGAAGGATTTACAGCATTTGCATGACTCGCCTACTGCTGCAGCATTTCAAGAAACATTCCTTGCAAAGGAGTACAGGGTTACCATTGCATTCGATAACGACGTTGCTTGGAGCTGTGATGCTTGTCGATCACCACCCAAACCTCACACCGGGCCCACTCTCACGAACGCAACACCCCGCCGGAAGAATTGAGACGACAATCATCAGCATCAACCTAGCCTCGAGAATATTCCCCCTCTTGGAACCTTACGATGCAACGTACTACCGGTTAGGTATGAGCGCTATCGACAGGCCCATGTTACTGTTGCGATGAAGTCACATGCTCTTGGGATCCTGCACACGACGTCTCATTTGAGTATATCTTGTTGTATTTCGTACTTTGTCTAAACATGAGCAAAGGCGCGTAGATGACAATGCTGTTCACGAAAATTGCAGCGGCCGTTGCTTTGCTGGCGACAACAACCTACGCAACACCATCTCCATCATCAACCGCTTCCGCTGCAACCCCAGCATTCACTTACAATGCCACCACATTCCTACTTCATGGCAAACCGTACCAAATCATCGGCGGGCAGATGGATCCGCAAAGAATTCCATACCAATACTGGAGAGATCGATTGAAGCGAGCCCGAGCCATGGGACTTAACACGATCTTCCCATACATTTTCTGGGACCACCTGGAGCCCACTCAAGGCGCATGGACAGCTGACCAGCCTCAGAACGACGTCGCCGCATACATCAGAACTGCTCAGGAAGAAGGTCTCACCGTCGTCCTCAGACCTGGTCCCTACATCTGCGGCGAGCACGATTTCGGCGGGTTTCCAGCGTGGCTGTCGCAAGTTCCTGGCCTAGTCGTGAGGGACTACAATCAGCCGTATCTGAATGCCTCGAAGAGCTATCTGACGAAACTGGCAGGCGAGTTGAAAGACTTGCAAGTTACGAATGGTGGCAACATCCTGATGGTACAAGTCGAGAACGAGTACGGAAGTTTTGGGGAGAACCATCAGTACATTGGTGCCCTCCGTGACATCTTGAAAGGCCTCTTCGATGTTCCATTGTACACCAACGACGGCGGCGTGGACTTTACTCTGGAGGGTGGCTCCATCCCGGGTGTTTTGGCGGAGATCGATGGAGACCCCTCCAGTGGCTTCAATGCCAGAGACATGTACATCACGGATCCGAGTGAACTGGGGCCTCTTCTCGATGGCGAGTATTACACATACGCTCCCGATCAGTGGGGCTCGTACAATTCCCACAACTCAACCGAAAGAGATCCGCAGGCTGTGACGCAGTTTGTGAAAGACATTGACTATGTGCTGGGCAACAAGTCTGCATCCATCAGCTTCTACATGGTGCACGGTGGAACGAATTTCGGTTTCGACAATGGAGCGCTTTGGCAGAATCGGACGACGGTCTTCACTACGAGCTATGATTACAGTGCGCCTATCGACGAGAGTGGCAGGACTACAAATCTGTACCACACGATGAGAGAGACGATTGCCAAGTACGTACCAAAAGGCAGCATCCCTGATGTCCCTGAGGATGTACCAAGAATGGCGGTGCCCGAATTCCAGCTGAAGCCGATTGTGCCTCTTTTCAACACCCTTGGGAAGCCGACGACGAAAGCATCGCCAGTCACAATGGAAGCTCTGGGAGAGTCATACGGCTTCATTCTCTACGAGCACACTGCAACATTCCCCGTCTCAGGAGTGGTACATCCAGGCGACCGCCCTCGCGACAGAGTCCTCGTCTACGTGAACGGTGTCCGCAAAGGTGTCATCGACAGCCAGTATCAGCATCCACTCAATGTCACCGTCTCCCTCAAGCCGAGAGATAAGCTGCAACTGCTCGTTGAGAACCTCGGCCGTGTTGACTATTACTCTCGAGGCAATCCGTACGCAGACTACCTTCGTCAGCCGGAGAAGGGTATCGTGGGAGACGTCACCATCGGAAACAAGAAGCTATCAGGCTGGGACCACTACTCCATCCCTCTGGACGACCTTCCATCCGCACCTCAAGGACCACATCCCTACGACTCCGAATACTTCCACCAGCATCAATCCACTCCAATCTTCTACCAGGGCACCTTTACCATCCCATCAAACATCACATCATCCGACCCAGCTGCTCTCGATACCTACCTCGCAGTACCAGCGGGCATCAAAGGCCAGGCGTTTGTCAACGGCTTCAATCTGGGAAGATACTGGCTCGTAGGACCTCAGCAGTCACTCTACGTGCCTGGCACGGTCCTGAAGCGAGGTTCTCCGAACGAGGTCGTCGTATTGGAACTGGAACCCGATCACATCAATGCGACCATGACGGCGAAGGGACTGGGTGACAGGGTGTGGTTCAATAATCCGGATCCAGATTGTCTGAGATGTGTATGAATAAACCCTCATCTTCATTTTCGAAACAGAAAACCAAGTTTTTCTATCCCCTCTCTACAAAGTCTGTCTAAACCCAACCTGCCCCTCAAGCACCACCTCCCCGCTCTCCGCCTTTCGATTCTTCCTTGAATACACATAAAAGTTCTTCACCACATGCAACACACTCACCACCTGCGTCGCAATCACCGTAGCCATCGCAGGCGTATACCTCGGCGCATCCTGCTGCCGAAAAATATTCGACGCGATGATCCCGCCAATCGCCCCGCCGCCAATAATGAGCGCGCTCGCGACGCTCCGCTTCATCTGCCCGACGATGTTGTTGTGCATGTAGCTCAGAATCGTGGGGACGTTGCTATTCGCTCCACACACGCCTAGGAAGACGCCGGCGTAGCGCGCGGCGGGGCTGGAGGTGGCGTAGCCGACCATGGCGACGCCGACGATGGCGGCGGCGCAGTTGAAGATGAGTATCGCGCCGCGGATACGGTACCTGTCGGCGACCCACGCGGTGAAGAACATCCAGGGGGCCGCGGCGACGTATGGGGGGAAGGAGAGGACCTGGGACATGGCGGTGGAGTAGCCCATGTCGCCTTTGAGGATGATGGGCAGGAAGAAGCTGAAGGAGTAGGTGACGGTGTTGTTGAGGCAGTACAGCCAGGCGTACTCCCAGATTTTCCAGTCGCGGAGGAAGACGAGGACTTTTTGGGCGGTGAGGGTGTCGACGACGGCGTCGCCGCGGTCGCGGTTGATGCGGTCCAGGACGATTTTGGCTTCGGGGATGGTGAGGAAGGGTTTGCGGAGGATGAGGAAGGGTCGAGTGGATTTGTCTGGGAAGTCGATGATGAAGACGTAGCCCAGCAGGCCGAGGAGGACGGTGATGATGCCTTCCATGATGAAGCTACGGAACAGTCAGTGGAATGAGGACCAAACTACGTCTCGACAGGCATGCTCACATCCAGCGCCAACCACGAAGGTTTTCAACCCCATCCATCTGGCTCAAGCCGTACGCGAGGATATTTGAAAAGCCAGACGACAGCAGCGCAAGCAAGTAGAAAGCGCTGAATCGCTTCTGCACTTCATATCTGAGGTACCAACACGAGAGCAGGAAGATACAACCAGGATAATAGCCCGCCTCCAAGATTCCGAGAAGGACTCTACAGCCCATGAGATCGGTCCATTTGTGGTTGAAGCCAATCCCGATGGAAACGATGCCCCAGGCGCAGCCCAGGGAAGATAACCAGAGACACGCCCCGAGTTTCCGAATGACGATATTGGCAGGGAACTGGAAGATCACATACGGCACGAAGAAAATCATCGTCACAAGAGTGTATCTATTGCCGATTGAGAGACCCAAGTCCTCATCCATGCCGGCGATCCTGGCATTGGGGAGGTTAACGCGGTCGATGAGGGCGAAGGAGTAGATCGTGGCGAGGACGGGGAGGAGGCGCATGTCGATTTTGCGGACAATACGACGGGTCTCCTTGTCTTCGCGCTCGTCTGGGGGAATGGCTTCAATATCGTGGTCTTCGACGATGGCGGCGACGTTGACGCCGTGGTCTTTGCCTCCATGTTGGATGTCCTCGACATGTTTCTGTTGAAAGGCTTCTGTCAGTAAGTGAAGTTGGGTGTTTGGCGAGAGCAACAAACTTACCGCGTCGGGCTCGTGAATTGACGTACTCTTCTCTGAAGCCATGACTTCCAGCAAATGGTTGAATAGGAAAAACCCGATAGACGCACTCTACAAAAGAACGAACCAGAGTCAAATCAGAATCCAAGTCGACATACCTCTTATCTATCTCAAGGCGACACAGAATGTTCATTGCCCTCGGCAGTGAAAAAGAGGAGGTGTAGGGCAATCCTCATCTTGGCAGAGGCGACCTTTCGCTGCGGTGTCGAGCGCCGCATCTCGTGGACTTCTCGCCTATCTTTCATGCGTGTCGTAGATCTTTTGCCTGAATGAGGACTGCTCAAGAGGTTTGCCACTTGCTTGTCTTCTTATCAGAACTTCCCCAGAGCCTCATGGACGCTGCGGGCATTAAGACGTGGGGTTGAGTCCCTTGTTCGCTCCGTTGTCTCGTTGTCTCGTTGAACCACTTGGACTCCGGATTTCACGGTCGTCTTGCTAATGTTAATTGATCGAAATCAATGAGATGTTTTGCGGGCAGGCGCCAAGGCGAAGTAGAGCTTTCGATTCCAGGTGAGAATGCGACACGGTCATGAATGCTGTGTACTGCAAGATGCCGGTAGAAGCTGTCTTGATATCAACACGACGGACGACTCGATCACAAACGATCATATGCACATTCTTTCACATTGATAGTTCAGCACGACCCGCATGATCGGATACATCCGCGGCTAGAGAAACCTTAACGGAAGCTCAGAGTTTCACATGATGACGCCGACCGGTTTGCGGAGCCGATATAGATCCAATACACCCCTAAAAAGGATCTCTTGCATCTTGTTAGAGTTACTTGGTAGCTTTGCAGATGCGGTCTTACAATCAATGACGGCCAGCACGTCTCAGGCTAAGTATCCCTCCTTTCCTCCTTTCCATCTCCCGTCTCTCACTCTCACGAAACACCACCGGACACAATGGCGTCGACACTCGTTGCAAGCTCTCAGTTTTGGTGGATGACCCCCATCCAGGCCATTGCGGCCATCAGCGCTGGCATGAACTCAGGTACACACATCCTACTTCCCAATTTCTAACCACCTCTCACGATGTCACCTTATAGGCGCCTCTGGTCTCCAATCCCCCTTGACAATGCCGATGCTCGAACTCCCCGACGTCCCAGCCCTCTACGCCGGCCGCCAACTCCGCTGGCTGCTGCACAAGTCGGACGGCATCTTCCCCCGGATCAACGCCATCGGCACCGTCTCCAACCTCGTCCTCGCGGTGATGTGCTTCCTCAAGCGCAACGAGTCCCAGATCGCCGGCGTCAAGTGGCCCGTCCTTGCGGGGGCTTTCTTGTCGAACGTTGGTGCTACGCTGTGGACGTTCGCCTTTATGATCCCTAGGAATAACGGCATGAGGAAGTTCTCGCAGAAGGTGGAGGAGAACCCCGATGATAAGGTGGCTGAGAAGGAGTTGAGAAGGCTGCAGGCGGAGTGGAGGGCGTATGCATATGGTAGGTCTCACTGGGTAGCACGGTTGGGGCTGTAGCCGTGTTTGCGTGATACAGTTCTCGGGTACCTGTCTATGTGTGACATATGGCTGACATCTCGCGATAGGTCGTGCTGCGATCATGTTATCGTCTTGCGTGTTTGGAGTCTACTCGGTCTGGCTTGACGGGCGATACATCAAGTATTAGGCGTGGGATGGCACTTGGAGCACTGAACAGACGATAAGATGTAATGGTAGTGCGCAATTGGGTATATCCTTTTGGAAGAGTATCGGATTCTTCGTCCACTCAAGTACATCATTACATATGCCTTACAAAAATCAACGGCCTGGGTATACCGTGCAGATCCGTTCAGCGCCAAGCTTTTGCAATAAACAATCTCAAGAACATCGTGCGTCTCGACGCAAGGAAACAAGTAGGTGCTTGCTCTAAAGCAGGCCAACAACGGCCATTCCGACGGCACCGAGGGCAGCGCCGGCAAGGAGAGGCTTGGAGGTGGGGGCAGCAGAGTCACTGCTGGAGGAGCTGGCAGAGGCCGACGACTGTGCGGCGTTGACTGCAGAAGAGGCAGAGGAGATGGCCTGCGAGCCGCTGGCCTCGGCGGAGGACACGATCGCGTCGGCGGACGAGAGAGCAGCAGTGGCGCTGGTGTAGATCGACGACAGGGAGGCCTTGTCGTCGCCAGTAGCGGTGGCCACGGCTTCGCTCAACGATGCGATCTGGTCGGAAGCGATCGACTGGTAGACGTAGATGCTGGACTCGGCGGCGGCGATGATGCTGCTCTGGGCGCCCTGGGCAGACTGTAAGTATGCGATCACGCGCAGTGTGACTTCTCATGGACATACCTGTGCGGAGGTGGCAGCAGCGTAGGCGGCAGAGTTGATGCTGGACTCTTGCTCAGGAGTGAGCTTGGAGGTGGCCGACGCGATGGCCGCGCTGGCGCTGGCGAGAGCGGTCGAAACCTGGCTCTCGATGGCATCGCCAAGGTCGGTCGAGGTGCTCTGCGCGGCGGCGAGGGCGCTGAGGCCGGAGAGGAAGATGACTGAAGTGCGCATGTTGACTGTTGGGTGATGTAAAGAATTAGATCTGGTGGTACTGATTGATCGATTGCGCGTAGATGAATAGAATCTGTACCGTGGGTGGAGAAGAACTGATAGGAGACGAAAGACGACGCGAGGGAAGCAGGCGCAACCTGATCATAATATAACGTGGGCGCGTCTCCATCGAAACGTCCTCCGCAAACACGGCACGAATGTACCAAACATTCGCGATGCTTAGCCCCGACCGCGTGCTCCATCGGGCTTGGAAGGCCTCCTTTGATTGGGCCGTACCTGAATCCCAGTCGAATTTGCTGTGCGACAAGGCGCAGCCAAGTAAATCACGTTGCCTCTAAACTCAACGCAGACAGCCGGTGCATGAAGATCAACGCAAAAGGGGGGAATACGATGTGGCTGTTGCTGTGGCGAGACACTCTAATTTTGGCTCGTGCAGTCGTTTGGAGTCTGGGTTCTGCTCGTACTTGACTCTGGCCATGTACGCTGATGCAATTTTCGCGGGACGTGAACCTCTTCTAGAACGTATGCGAAAATCCGAACCACGGAACCTGGACGCAAGGAAGCGCAGACGTCACGACTGACGCAACAACCAGAAGACGGATTGTGCGAACTTCGAAGGACGGCGGCGTCGTGTACGCGGACATCTTACAGTATTACAGCATCTGGCGCATCCAATGCCGCATTGGCAGTATGAATGCTGAAGTACAGCGCTCAAGATGACGAGACTCGGAAGCAGAGACATAACAGTCGAAGAAGCGTTCCACCGGGAGAGCTGGAGACGTCGAAAATCAAGTCTTACAAGGACACTGCCTCAGCAAACGCGACGACGTCAAACAGCGGTCCACGAGTACGCGGAAATCATCACGTCCTATCGGAATACCACGGCCTCGACAGTGTGACGAAGACAATGCGAGTGAGAGGCGTCAGGGTCGGATGAAATTTTAACGGCAGGAAAGGAGGTAGCCACAATCCGGAAGATGTCGACGAGGTTCGAGAGTCAATATGGATGCCCGCGACATTGTCTGGCAGGAGCGATACGTACCAATCCGCGCATTGCTGTCTCTGTACTTGATCACGAGACTGGCGACTCGCAAGCCCGACTGTGTTCTGACCACGTAGGAGTATGCGCTGGAGAGGATCTTGCATGATCAACGAAGTAGGTGAGACGAATTTGTTCGTCTGTTCAACGACGCGTCTCATCCCGACATCACTGGTGGTGGCTTTGGCGATTTCCAATCAATCAACGGCGTTCGTTCCAGGAGCTTGTCATCACACAGACGAGTATACGCACACAGATGGACCAGATGCAAAGATGAGAAAGGAAAGGAAAAGCAGCAACATGCTTGCACATCTGATCGGCCCATTCGGCTCGGCTTGACTTCGTCCGACCTCCATCACATGAGCTGTCACGTTTTCGACCTCACGTCTTCTAGACTCACCTCCCAAGCCACTATGCCCTGACAAACAGGTACAAGCAAGCCCACGTGGACGTCGTTGGATTCCAGATTCGAAGCATCTCTCAGCATGTTCAATACCATGACATAGCCAAGAGCATGGGAACTGGCGGGCTATGGCAAAACTCCGAATCTTCCGAGTCAATCATGGCCAGCACAAGATACGCATTACGAAATGACAAGAACAACAGACAGGAATTGTGAGCTTGAACGCGATAACGTCAATGGCAAAGCACCGAAATCCCCGTCTTCTAGTTGGTAGCTAGAACGTCTATACCTTGCATGCAAGGCTCTGTAACAGCTAGCCAAGACGGTGGCAACTATAGAAGCAAACCATCCAAGAACGCTGCAACGTTCGAGACGTCTCTATTCGACCGCCCTGTTCCTAGCAAGCACGTGGGCGGGGAGGCCAAGAAACATAGCAGCGACAACAGCAATAGGGCAAATGTCGCTTTCGGAACCTGGTCAGACGCTTTGACAATGTTCCTCCCTCGTCGCGGCGACTTGCTATGATACGAACATCTTCCCGAAGGCGTCAGACGAGATCAATCCAACGACTATAAAGATGGGCGACGCAGCCGCAGTATTCGACTCCTCACCACCAACGACAACCAGGACAATCACCAGCACAGCACTCCTCTCAATTTTTCGAGCTCCTCAGCTTCAAATCCCCTCGACAAAATGAAGGTTGCATTCGCCACTGCTCTCCTGGCCGGCCTCGCCGTTGCCGCTCCCTCCCAGATGCAGGCCCGTGACGAGAAGGCCGTTGAGAAGCGTCTTGGTCCATTCGGCCTTGCTGTCGCTGGTGGTATCGTCTCTGGTATCGTCGGTGCCACTGCCAAGAAGTTCCTCGACGGTGGCTCCAAGAAGCGTTCTGCTCAGACTTTCCAGGAGGTTCGTCAAACTGGACATGGCTGTCGGTGCGAAGGGTTGCTGATTTGATGACTACAGTTTGAGGGTGGCTTCGCTTTGAACGTTGCCAACATCATCTCCGCTGAGGCCGACGCGGATGAGGCTTCTGTCTGCATCAAGACCGGTGGCTACAACCTCACCGACGATGTCAAGGTCCGTGCTCTTGCTACTGTTGAGTTGACCTCGTCCGAGAACGACGTCTCCGAGTAAGTCATGCTCTATTGCTCGTTTCAAATACCATGCTGATCTTCACTCTCCAGCTTCGACTGCTTCTTCGCCTCTGGCAACGGCAACGTCACCGTCAACCTCCCTGACCTCCTCTCGAACGTAAGTGTCGCCAGCACCTGATTCATCATCTTCCTCAGCTGACTCTTGCCTCTAGTTCGCCATCAAGGCCGGTCCATTCAGCTTCGAGAACGGTGTCCTCAGCCTTTCTTCTTAAATGCGGGAAGTCCAACCAGACCGCGGGACGGTGTACCCGATGCCGTTTTTGAGAAAATGCTTGCTATGATGTTTGGATACGATTCGATGGGAACCCCCAAAACAGACGTCCTGGACGCAGGTAGTCTGAGTATGATGATGGATTGGAGTGTATGATATAAGCGTTGCGCAACGTTCAAGCTTCTTCGCTTCTTCGCTTTTTTCACCTCTCGTCCTCGTCGTCATCCTGTTTGATGTAAGGTTTCTGGTCTTCCTCGTCATCTGAAAAGGGAATCAATATGGCGGCATGTCCTGTCGACACCGACTCCTGGACTTCTTTGGCGCTTGTGGAATGGCCGGACCTCGCTGGTGCTGGGGATTGAACGGAAGGACCGCTCGCTCGTTCCACAACCCGGTCACGATCTCCAAGGAGCGAGCGAAGGAGATCCTCTACTTGACTCGTAATACGCAAGCTGCAGTATTGAGAAATCTCATTCCGTTTGGGAGTCGCCAGCTGTGAACGAGGAGTCGGAGGCTGCACGATATAGTGCTTCGTTGATCGACGTCCATGTCCTTGATTCATCTTCTTTGCAGGCGTCGCTGTCTCTTTTCGTATCACATCGATGAGATATCGTTGTTCTGGACTGGACAACTGCAATCCACCGGCCTCGAGAACTGCGGCATAGTGCTGGTAGTGAGGCATATAGTCGAAGCCGTTGAGGTTCTTGTAGGTATCCATTGGCGCGACTGTTGATGTGATGGACGACATAGTTGACTTCGTCTAGATTGAAGAGGTTGAAAAAGACTAGCTGGTCTTTCAAACACGGGGAAGACAGTAACATATCATGCCGGTGCTTACTGCTCTAAGAAATTCCGAACCTTCCGCTCCGAGAGCAGATGAGCTTGCGGTCTCGCTCACATGTCCGGATCCATCTGGGCCTCGCAACACTCACTCATTGGCCGTCGGACCCGACGTGCGGGTTCCTCCATGGAAGGATTCCCCTCTGTCCGCATTCGGTGCGTCTTTCGGCGGAGGGTGTCCGATGATTCACTTATCTTACCGACGAGATCATTTCACAAGCGAGAGCATCGGACAACGTTCTCACGGCAGCTATGCCGTGTATGGTGAGGATACTTGATTCATATATACAAGTCACGAGGCTATGCTTTAGAGCCTCGCCGTTGGCGGAGCCTCCAGCTTCTCATCCTTCGCAAACTGATAATAGTATTCGAGACATTTGGGATTGAGGAGCGTGCCCGATGGTTTGACGATTTTACCAGAGACGATTTGCTTCACCGGCAATTCCACCTTCTTGAGGTTGACGGTAGTCTAAGCGATTGTCAGCTCTGCTATCTTAACGCTACCATCTTGGAACGATGCTTACCGGGATCTCAGGGGTCTCGAAGACGAAGCTGGGTACATGTCGGGATGACAGCTGTTTTCTGATTGTCTCACAAATTTGCTTGACGAGCGACGAAGTGAACTTCTTGCCAGGCTGCATCATCAAGAACAGCATGACCCGTTCGTCGTCATCCTGTGGCCTCCGTTGGCCGACACAGATGCTGTCAGCGACGATATCTGCGAACGACGCTTCGATGACGTTGTAGATGTCTGACGAGCCGAAACGTACGCCACTTGGGTTCAGCACTCCGTCAGCTCGTCCTAGCATGAGGACTTGCTTGGTCACTGGATGGAACAGGATGAAGTCGCCGTGAGTCCAGACTCCGTCGTACTTTTCAAAGTAGCTGCTGAAGTATCGCTTGCCGTCTGTGTCGCCCCAGAACATCGCAGGCATTGTTGGAAACGCTTTAGTGCAGACCAGCTCGCCAGGGGTACCTTCTTCGACTGCTCGTCCCTTGACTCCTCGGCCACCTTCGATCGTTGTGTCGAATGCAGCAGCCGCCATACCGAGACTGATACATTGGCATCCTCCAACATAGACTGGAAGGTTTGGATTCGCGGTTCCGAAGGCCGCGACAATGTCTGTGCCACCAGAGATGTTGGCGAGTTGAACGGAAGGTGGGAAGGCTGTGTCGTAGAACCACTCAAACAGCTTCTCAGAAAAGAGCATCCCAGTACTTGTGACAACTTTGAGGTTGCTGAGATCCGCCACTCGCTTCGGAACAATGTCTTTTGCCATGAGCGTTTGCAGGTATCGAGGTGAGATGCCGAAGTGAGTAACCTTCTCCTGAGCAACCAGCTTGATGAAGTTCTCTTCCTTGGGGTAAAAAGGATTGCCGTCGAACATGATCGATCTAGCTCCCATGAGCAGTAGTTGCACTGCACTGAGGTACATCATCCAGCCGGTTGTTGTATACTGTAGTTGGATCGATGTATGATCGACAGACCGGTGCAATGTTGACTCTTTGTGGCCGCTGAGAACGACACCTCCGACTGAATGCACGATGCACTTGGCCTGGCCAGTCGTTCCTGACGAATACAGCACGATCATCGGCTCGTGAAACTCGAGCTGCTCGAACTCCAGTTTGGAAGACTTGGCCCTCGAGATGAAACTGTCCCAAGACTGACACTTCGGTATCGACGACATATCAACTGGAGAGCCCTTGAACCGCGGCTGGGCAACAAAGCCTTGGAACTCTTTGATATGATGGAGTCCTTTAGCGACCTCTTTCCACTTTGGCCGCAAATCAATGCGCTTCCCACGATAGACAGCTAAGTCGTCTATGAAGACAAACTTTGGCCGGATCTGTGTGAGCCGGTCAAGAATCCCTCCAGTGCCCATGTCCGTGCTCGAGCTCGAGAAGAGAGCCCCTATCGCCGTTGTTGCAAGGAAGACCGTCAATGTGTCCAAGCATGAAGAGGCCACTGACGCAACTCGATCGCCCTTTTTGACTCCATGGGCCCGCATTGCTTGGGAGAGACGGCCAACCCTTTCACGCAGTTCCTTCCAAGTAACCTGGCGGATAGGCTCCAAGAAGCTTCCCTCTCGCACCCCAGTGCAAGCAATCTTGTCGTCTTCTTTCCCGATCGAGGTGAACGGACGTCCATTCTTGTCCCCAACGAAGAGGATGTTCTCTGCGAAGTTCAACTTCACGCCTTTGAACCATTTCGGTACCGAATCGATCCTTGCCCTCTCGTCGACGACATTCTCTGGCACTTCGCCAGAATATACGATGGGGAAGTAATTGAATGTGAAACGCCAGAATTCATTCCGGTGCGTGCAGGACCATTGGTGAAGTGCTTGGTAGTTCTGGCAAGCCCGTAAGTCCTCCCTCGTATTTCCATCTTCTGACGAGACTCACATCGAAAGCTCGCCCTGTTGCCTCTTCTGCAGCTCTGGTGAAGTGATGCAGTACTGTGGACTCTGGGTTAGGATTCTCCCAGACCTTGCGAGGGATGGCGAGTTCGTTGGACATCTTGACGGTGACCAGGACGCTGGCTAACTAAGCTCTGTGGAGAGAGGCTGCATCTCTTTGTAGAATACATTAGCTGTTGTCGTCACAGATCCATGACCAGACACGCGACATGCACAGCGCAAACCTCGATGTCTCGCGCGTTGTGCCCGTCTGAGCCGACGGATGTAAAAGCAGGCACGTTGCAGCCATCGGACCGACGGCTGCAAATGGGGAAACCATGGGATCGCATTTTCTAACGCATGCTGGGGAGAAGACATTTTCTGACGTATCTCAAAGCTGATACCAGGATATGAAGAAGTTCTACGTAGGAGATAACGAAGGTGATCAACAGACAACTGACTGAGCTACATAGGACCGTTGCACAGCAAGCTAGACTATGCACCGGTATTCAACACGACATCATGAAGATGGTTCTAGTAGGCATAGAGCAATACACCTTCGGGCTCGGTGCGTTGGATCCTTTTGTTCTCTCTCTTCAGGCAGTATCTCAAGCCCCATGCGCAGATGATAACTCCTACGGAGAAGGCAGCGCTTGCAGAGAATGGTATGTCGTATCTTGGGGCGTTCGAAGCTGGCCAGAGATACTGCCATTCATCAGTATGGTTAGCTTGTTACGAGTGCTGTCAACTTACTGGGGTATAGATTGTAGCAATATTGCCAATCATATTTGCCATGGCAAGTGAAACAGCTTTCTTTTCCCTTGTCTGACCACAAGTACTTGCCATCCATCCTAGCTGGATGCCCTGGCAATTGTAGACTCCCATGGCGAAGAAGAACATGCCGACGTATCGTACAGCAGTGTTCAGTGTGGCACACGCCATGATGAAGCCAGCAATAGCAACCAGCTTGGCGATAGTGATACTGAATGTAAGGTCAGGCATCAACCAGGTTCTCCCGGTAAGGAAATGAGCAACTCACTGCCAAGTTCGTTCGTTCATTCGGCCTAAGCATGGTCAGCAATTGCCGATGAAGTGACTCGAGAACGATTCTAACCTGAGTTCCATGCGTAAACAATCGACACCGCGCCAGCAAAAAGATATGGTGGGCACGTCAATGCCAGCGTCGTATTACGACCGAATCCCAACGTTCCCACAATCGTCGGGAAGAAGTTCTTGAAGTTGCTGGCTGCAATGTGAAGATGCTGCATCAACACGATGATCCACATCCTGTAGTCACGACAAGCCTCCTGCAACCCTTTCCAGGTGCTGGTGCCGGCACGTATCTCCACGGTGTCCCTCACTACTCGATCGTTTGCCAATTCTCTTTCTTCTTCAGATAGCCACCACGTGGTTGTTGGTTCGTCTGGTAGGATGAATGCCGACGCGACTGCTACCCCAAAGGACACAATTCCCTGGAGAATGAAGACCCATCGCCATCCGGCCAGACCTGCGACCCCTTCCATTTCGAAGATGCCTATGGCGATCAGCCCAGCAAAGGCGACGCCACAGATACTGCCAGTGAAGAGAATGGAGATACGCGTGGCGACTTCCTTCTTCGTGTAAAACATGGACAGCATGTACAGTGCTCCAGGGTAGAATGGAGCTTCGCAGATGCCGAGAAAGAAGCGCGTGAGGAAGAGACCGACGTAGTTGTGCGTGATGCCCGTGAGCGTGCTGGTGACTGACCACAGAGCCATCCAGCCTGCCATGAACAAAGAGGGACGGACTCGCGTGATGATCATGTCTATGAAGCGTGTCAGCGAGCAAGTCACAAAGCGACAGCCGTCCACATACTCGCGGGCAGCTGGCCTAGAATCTGTCAGAGGTCAGCCGTACGTTCCATCTCGTCGATAAGGTTGAGACTCACGTATCCGACGAAGAGAATCGATATGCAGGTATTGTACTGTACAGACGAGATGCCTAGGTCCTTGTCCAACTTGTCAAGCTTCGCGACCGTGATGGCGGTTCTGTCGAGGAAGTTGAAAAAGTACATGACCCACAGACATGGGAAGATGATCCAGTCCAGCTTGCGAATGAGTCTGACCTCACGAGCATCTTTCTTCGTCTGCGACCCAAACTGGTCGACGGTGTTGTTCACGTCGGGGTTGGCGACTTCGCTGCCATCGGCGCAATTCTCGACGTAGTCGATGTCCTTGGTGTGTTTCTCCTGAATGTTCGACATGGCTAATGACAGTCGCGCGCGTTGTTGGACAAGGGACGTCTGGTGGGAAGTGAAGATGGTCCCACTTGGTAACCGTCGCGCCGTCGTGAGGTCTTAGATATCCTGTTCATACCGCCTCCTTGGCTATGGCCTTCCCCTCGTGCGTGGCTCCCCCGCATCGACAATGTGGCACTGTGGACGATCCGGACTACCCATAGCGGATACCCCATGGCACAGAGGTACTAGTCTGGAGTTGAAGGCTGAAGCCCGGTGAGCGTCGGGCCGCCCATGTCCATCGGCCCGAATTTGAAGACAGCCTGTCTTACTGCGAGGAGAATGCGAGGAACGCGTAGGCCGTGTAGTGGACTTATATCAAGTTGTGCAAACACACGACCCTTTCGTGCGATAGTCTTAATGGTCCACGAGATCAAGAGTTCAGGTCAACTACTCCAACACCGAGTCATCGTCGAGCCTCAATACATGCCGGTCGAAAACACGCAACGGAAGACCAAGCGGTTCATCACCGGACACAATGAAGAAGGAAAAGCTGTGATCGAGCAGATCGATGAAGGTCGTCTGAGAAAGATTGACAATGGCGTAGCTCAGTATAACGAGCTGTGGCAGACCTCCACCTTTCCTGTCGACATCAACCACGACGACTGTCGAGCAAAGGAGAAGACAGTCATGTCCCTTTCACTGCCTAACGGCGTGGTGTTAAGAATGGTGGATCGCTCCCCTGGCTCATACTCCGCCATGCACCGAACGCAGAGCCTGGACTACGGCATTATGATCGAGGGCGAGATGGAGTGCATCATGGATTCGGGAGAGAAGGTTGTGTTGAAGCCCGGAGATGTGTGCATTCAGCGTCAGACGAATCATCAATGGTACAATGCCACCGAGGGCTGGAACAGGATGATCTTTGCTATGATGGATGCGAAGCCACTTGAGGTGGCTGGGAAGGTGTACAAGGGCGAGACGGGATATGAGCATGTCAAAGATATTGCATCTCGTTTGTAGATGTATGAATAAAGTACATACGGAAGTGGATCGATGCAACCATATCAATACCTTTCATCTCCTTGTCTTGATAAAATCTCGTTCCATACTTGTGATCATCAGCCGTGACTGTCTGCGTAGCGGAGGCGAAACCCATCAAGATATAGTCCCCAATACCTTTCCAAGCACACATTTTGCCTGAACGATAAGACTCGCAGAGACATGAAAGCAGAGAATACTGGTCACTGGGTGCCTCAATGTTATCGACAATATCTGTGATCAGACAAAAGGAGGATCCACATTGGGTCTCCCAATTCATTTGAACTTTGACGTTTAGTCTCCTTCCACAGGCCAGGCGCTTTGTTTCTTGCGGTCTCTCGAGAAACGGTCATGTTTATTCGTCGATTTGGGTGAGACTGTACAGTAGAATCAAGCCATTGTACACAATCGTCACTACTTAGGAATGATAGGCGCCAACAAATAAGATGCCCTATCACCACCAGTATACACCGTCGTCTTTCCCTTATACGCCTCTCTCCCTCGATCCTCTGGATGATCGTGAAGAAAAGGCCCCGAGCCCTTCTGCCTCCAATTCAGCGAATTGTCAGCCAAAGCCTCAGGTCTCCTGAAGTCCCTCCCGGAAACCATCAACGACAGATGGTAGCACTTTGGCAGAATGATACTGCCGGGCCACAATTCAACATCGACCTCATAAACCTCACCCGCTTCCAAAGGCTGCTCCTCATCATGGCTGTGATATGGACGGTACGGCGTGCTCAACTTGTGGTCCAACTTGCGATGAGATGCGCGGAGCCAACCTTGAGATATGGGAGTGCGAGGATCCCAACCGCCTTGAAAGTCAACTTCTTTGCCCTGCGGAGAGAAAACCTGGACTGTGAGGAAGAGATCGGCGTCTGCAGTCGTGGAAGAAATGAAGAGCTTGGCGGTGAAGGGACCTGTGAATTCGGTCTCTTCAGAGAGAGGCTCGGTCTGGAAGACGACCTCTCCGTCTTCGGCACTGAAGGTGGCTTCCTCTTCTGCGGAAGGCGTCGAAGTCGACAGCGCTTTGTTTGATGCCGAGAAGTACATTTCTGTCCACTTGGTATTGGGCAGGGGCCAAGCCGTGTCCTTCTTATGTTCTCCGAATGGAGCACCAGGACGACGCATTTGAAGCTGGACGCGCGGCTCGTCTTTCCAGCCATTGTCGATGCCTTTAAGATAGTAATCGAAGAAGCGTCTCTGCAGAGCCATGGCTTCATTGAGATAAAAGCCCTCATCGTGTCGGCCCGCGTGGATCTCGAGCCATTTCTCCTTCGATGCAGCTCTAGTGAAGCCTTCGGTATTGCCACGGCCGTGTAGTCCATGTCCACCCCAGTTGGAAGCGCTCAAGAAGGGAGTCACTACTCTATCCCAGACCGGCGAGCGCTCACGATACCAGTCATCGTCCGTTGGGCGCTGAAGAGCTTCAGCAATGCAATTGACCCAGTTGGCCTGCAGTTCTTCTTCGGAAAGATTCTCTGGCCCGGTTGCTTTCTCGTTCATCCAAGGATCAGTATAACCGGCTGGGTTGCCATGTTGATTGCTCAAGATCTGCTTTGGGAACCAATTCTCGTAGAAAGTGTTTGATACGATCCCACCGTGACGCATGAAGTCTCGATAACAGTCAGCAGCTCCCTCCCACGGGATCATCGCAGTGAGATGAGGAGGCTGCAGTCCAGCTACGAGCCACTGGTTCATGGCATAGTAGGAGATGCCGTTAAGTCCGACCTTGCCGTTGCTCCAAGGCTGTGTTCCTGCCCATTCAATGGCATCGTAAAAGTCCTTGACCTCGCGCGCTGAGAAGATGTCGATCTTGCCTGGAGTCCTTCCAGTGCCGCGAGAATCGACCTGAATGCACGCATAGCCCCAAGGTACCCAAATTTCGGGATCGACGACTTCCCAGGTCATGTACGAGCGAGTCGAGCCTGGCAGAAGATCAGGATGATGCTCAAGAACCCATTTCCATTGCTCAGCATAGCCTTCTTTGTATTCTACGCCTTTGCCGTATGGTCCCATCACCATGACGACTGGGCAAGGAGTCTTCTCGTCATCTGATCGAAATACGTTGGCTCGAAGAACCAAGCCATCATCGGCCTTGATAGGTACGTCTCGTTCGATGATCATGTTGGTATTATGGCAAGAATATGCTACGAACCTTCTTGTGATACCCTCAAGTCTGGCGAATATGCAAGCTTTACAGGTGTTATAAGGCGGGTTGTCTGCTCGTGACTATGGATGTCATTCATTGCTCGACATTGGAAGCTATGGGATGTGTGATCGGGCCGAACGATGGGTGTACAGCCGTCGGCGTCAGCTTCGAGTGCGGTGGAGGCCAGCCTCGCGGTAGCATGCATGGTGAACGACTTTTCGGGGTGCGTTGAGATATGGGCCTAAGACATCGAAGGGTTGCGTGGCTTGCTGCGTAGACGTGCGGCGGTGTGCGCCTCCTGTCCGTTGGGCCGGTATACTGGACTTTGTGCGAGCGATTGTCTCATGTAGCTTGCCTGGATGGAAGCTCGCCTCTCTGCATCGTCCACGCCGCGCAGAACAAAAATAGACCCGCCTTAGCCGATGCGTTCCACGCTGACCCTCGGTGGTAGACGACTGCTCCTCAAGCCACTGCTCGGGCTAGAGGGCGACAGCGTGGTCATGCTATCATTCCAGCTCATCTCTATGACAAAATGCCTCACATCGCATCGGTCATCCCAAAGAAGTCTCCAAATGGCAGACCCCCCTGAGCCGACTCATCCCATCCCAGCTGCCACCAATCGTTTGCTCCGTCGGCCCAGAGGAAGTTCATAGGCTGCTGCTGGTTCATATCGACGGGCTGTGCAGCCAGCATAGCCAGATCGTCCGCTAGAGTTCGGCTGTACATTGGGGCGACTGGAGAGATACTCTGTGGAGCACTGGAGAAGTTCAGGGGCTGTACTCCATCCTGGATGACTTCGGCGATCGGCTCTGAGTTGAGTGCGTTCTCCAGCTCTTGGGCCGTCGGGGATCCGTCGTCTACATCCACGTTCGGCTTCAGCTTTCGAAGACCGTATTGCAAGACCGAATCTTCCAAGGGCTCAGCAAGACGGCCGGCGTCTCGTCGAGTGCCCGCGACATGGTCCAATTCGCTGTATCCTGTAGATTGAGCACCATCAGACCTGACTGTAGGATGATCGCCGTTGACTTTGGACATCTGTGCCTCGTAGAGTATTTGCACTCGAGCCCACTACAACATGTTAGTCTGATTCTTCTGTTAAGAAACTTTCACTTGCCAGTCGCTCCAGTATCTTCCAATAAGGTTTCATGGCTCGCAGCATCTTCAAGCTGAGCATCAGGTTCCTTCTCGCTGCCCCGCCGAGATGATTGTCCTTGTCCAACACAGTCATATGGATGGAGGCTGACACGTACATGCAGTATCCAAAGAAGGGGGCGATCTGAGCTGGGTCCCATTCCAGAGCGAGGAGGTCGGCTCCGAGTTGTGACAAAGACTGGGCAGAACTGAGAGCGATCTCCGCGCTGACTCTCACAGCTTCGATGGGAACCCCTTCTGACAACGCCACTCCGCTGAAGTGAGGGACCAGTGACGAGTGGAGGACCAATCGAGATTGGTTGTAAACAGCATGCATCAGAGCAAACATTGTATGTTGCTTCATAACCAGCTGCTCGTACAGGTTCCTTTTGCAGTAAGAGAGCGACGGCGGAAGATTGGAGTACCACGATGATAGCTCGTTCTGAAGAGCGTATATTGTGGTCAGCTGTTCCTTGGCTGGGGATGTCCTTCTAGTCTCGATGTTGTCTCGGATGCGGCCCCTAGATACATCAGTCGTGATCATGTCATTCGCTGTCGAGATACCCACCAAAGCTGCAGCACCCTCAAAGTCTCCGCCATGGCGTTTGGTGTGGTGGAATGGCTGGTTGGAGGACTAGCCAGAGTCACGGTTGGTTCGTCCACGCCATCGTAGTAGGCATGCTCGGTGCTAGGAAGAGGCAAGTGCAACGCTCGGATATCGGAAGAGCTGCCAACAATGTAATGGTCTGAGTTGATGACATTGGTGACCCATCCAGCCCAAAAGCACCGCCGGATGGTTTCTGCATCTTGCCACTTGGGTACATTGGTGTAGTTCACACCAGTTCTGGGATCGAACAAGATGGTTCTTACGGCTCGGTATGCGATGCCAGAGAACATGGTGTTCCGGCGGGAGTCTCCGTGTGAAAACCAGTACAGCGCAAGGACTTGGCATGTTTGGGCGCCTGCTAAGGTCGGCTGGTCAATAGTTATCAAGGCTTCACGGCCAGCCCGCAGAGCCCACTGCATGCCAGCCTCTTTGAGATCGCCCAGAGATCTTAGTTCGGCCGCATGCTGGCGACCCAGGGCAGTACCAGGCGCAAGAAAGCTATATGCCGTCAGTGACACTTCGACGAGATGGGAGTTTAGTCATACTTTGTTGCAAAAGCACATGTCGCCAATAGTGAATGCTGTGGCAAACGTCCCTCGGCCCACTCCCGTTCAAAAGTTGGTCGGTGAAAGATGAGCGACGAATTGAAGACGCAGACGAAGTACGTATCTGTTAGCAGCTTTTGCAAGTGCGTCGGCAGCGGTTGATCATTCAGCGATATGGTAGTGTCTCCAACTGCAGGATCTATAGGCATGCCGCTGGGGACTGTTGTTGGAGCTGGTGGCATGCCAGGCATGGTCGCCCCGGGTTCTCTCCGTGCACTTCGGTCCGATGCTGGACTGGTCAATACATTAGAATCATGATTTCCGTCCTCAATCTTCCGTTTCCTCGACACTCTGCGTGCTGCCGCCAGCTGTTTTCGATCGGGTGGCTCTGGGTAGCCGCATTGTGCGTTTAGTCTCGTACACCTCGCGCATTTGGGCTGTTCGCGAGAGCATCGCAGCTACGGGCAAGCGTCAGTATCCATATTTTCTCAGCCTGAGCAGCACATTCGTCATGCATACTTTCTGATCGCGACACCGACGACACGCAGTCGCCGCCAGAGAGGCCATGCTGACTTGGATATTGCTGAGCAGCCTCGCTAGAGCCTCATATGTTTGTCCGCCGGGTATTGACGAAGACTTCCACCATCCGATGATGCAGGCGTGGAGGCTGGCGAATGTGTCCAAACGGTAGCTTATGTCATGGCGGAGGAGGATCTGTAAGACAGATCGCCTGCGGATAGGTCCCAGAGCTTGATCGGGTATTCCGACGCCCTAAGTTCCTATTCCCAGACCCCGTTTGTCAAAGAGGACTGATCTTGACTAACGAAAGCAAGACCGCAAGCAGACTGATGATGGCATGGATGGTATTGCGTACTGACAACTTTTGATTTGCAGACGACGCTTGAAGGTTGCCCTTGATGCAGATGAACGTTTAGGGTTTCCATCGCTACCTTGGGTCGTATACCACTACAGGCATGTCATACGCTTTCTCCGGCACGAAGTCAATTCTGATCATCTTCAACAGCCTGCAGCCGTGTCGTAAATAAAAGTTGTACCCGGCAAGACTGCTTTCGATAACGACCGGCAGCTTGACCTTATCGGCGACGTCCAAACCCCACTGCAGCAACCTATGCCCTATACCATGCCCTTTCTGCCATTCAGGCTTGACCATGAGGAATTGGAGATGGAGATTGTTGTCGAACGATGTATCGTGCTCGTAGGCGTCGTGTAGCCGCTGCCGTGCTTGATTGAAGAGAGCGTAGTCGAAGACGGTGTTCCGCGTATGTTGATGATAGAGCACCTCAGCATCGGCGAGCTTCTGCTCTGTAGTGTTGAGCCATCCTTGACTCTCGCGGGTCCACTCTGCGTTGATGGGGTTCTCATTACCCTGCGCATCCCATGCAGCGAACCCAAGGATTTCTGCTTTCTGTCCTGTAACGCCGACGTCTAATTTCTCTGCAACCATCATCCGGATTGATGGCCTAACGAAGAACATCCGCACTCGAGCCAGCACGAAAAGGTAGAACTCTTCCTGGCGTTCTGTCCGTCTTGGACAAAAGTGGTCGTGGAATTCGAATGTCAAAAAGTTAGTCATGAGGATTTTTGCGATGGCCGGTATGTCGGCCCTCGTCGCCCAGCGGCAGTAGATGTCCTTGGTCGGTACGATCTCGTCGAGCGCTAATGGTGCGTCGGCATTTTGCTTGGATGCCATGTTTGCGCGCAGACTATGTCAGAGCTTGATTGACGATGTTGATGCTGGAGGGAAGTCATTGAAAGGCCAGCGAGTCTTGCTCAACGTCGGCAAGACTTGCCGCTTCTGCTTCGGAAAGTAGCCGATGACTCTATTGCGACTTCAGCCATTGGTAAGCTCGTTCATCGCTGCAGTTTGAGGAAAGAAGCACGAGGAGAACTGGAGGAGGATATGGACCAAGAACAATTCTCCATATCGGTCTGCTGGCTGCCGTATTATCAACACCTCCTGAGGCCACTTCTTCAAGAGCGTTGAGAACAACAATGCGTATCTGGTAAGACCATCAACCGCCGAAGAAAGGCCACACGTGGCGCTCTGGCTTCTGGTCCCCATGAAGAGTCGGGTCATGTACATGCCTGGCGAGACGTTGGCCGACTGTGCTCTCCATAGACATGCTCCTCAGCTGGCGATCTCCTATAGGGGCCCGTGTAGTCGTGGCTCGATGATACCCATCCTCTCGAAAAGGCTTCGCAATCGACGACATCCTCCCTTCCATGTTTCTCAAGTCATTAGGCCATTTCCCAGAATTGCCCTCTTTCATCCTCCCTCGATTTGCTGTGTCGCCTCACAATCTCTCGGCCTCACAACTGGACCGCTTCGATACCGACAAGCCCTTTCGAAGCCACCCAACAGATCACCAACCCTGCAAAGGGTCCCTCTCCTCCTGGTACTCCCCTTACCACTCTCGTCTTTACTCGGTCTTTCAATTCGCAACTTGGTCGCAATCATGCAAGCTTGACACCACCCAATCTCCTTTTCCCCGCCGTACTCTTCAAAGAACGTCTTGGTCAGATCAATGAACACGTACAGCATATGTGCGTAGGCGAGAGAGTTGAGGACGCTGTAGTAGTAGACGGATTTGCAAATGTCGCAGGCGGTAAAGTAGGCTTTCTGTTCGATTTCGTGGAAGGAGCGTTTGAGAAAGGTGGTTGCGGCAGGGTACGTCCGGATAAGGCGGAGGAGGGTACAGTCGGAGATGAGGGCCAAGATCCAGGACACGATACAGCGCATTGCGTGAGCAGGATTCACAAAGACGTGGAATGTTGTGAAGGTCGATGAGGTTGTGATGAAGCAATGTTCTTCAATCTCGAAATCAAAGTTCTCTGGGTCGGTAATGGCCGCGATGCCAGGACGTCCAGCGAAATCGGTCTCGACCCACGAGAGGAGGCGCTCACGGTAGGAGTCGAGTTCAACGCAAAGCTTGAAGACTTGTTGTAGGCGAGGAGGTGTTGCAGCATTTATCTTGAGGAAAGGATCAGAGCGTTCGAGCATCCCTGGAAGCGGGACGAGCAGTGGGAACCAGTCTCTCGAACCACCTGGAGGGAAACGATCTTCCTTGTCTCGCCATCGTCTCTCTTCCCAGAAGAACTTCTTTCTCTTCGCTGCACAGACGAACAGGGTCTGGAACCGTACCCACATCAACACTTTCTGGTCGAACGGTCTCTCCGGATCCAGGCAGTTAGGACCACAAGCCTGAGCGTACTGTGCGGCGCCGAAGAGATGTGTAGCGTAGTTCCTCGCGCGAATCTCACCAGGAGATCCATCGTTGTAGACGCTCATGAGTAAACAGCTGGCGATAACGTCGCCTTCGAAGGCATATACCCATCAGCTATTGTCCTCACGTCTGCTAGAAGATGCAAAACTTACGAGGAGTGTACTGTTTCTTCCCACCCTTGCCACTCACAGCCTGCATGATACTCGCCAGCACTCGCCCGTACGCCGTTTGCGACGCATGAAGCAGTCGCTGATCCTTGCGATTAGTCCCAAGATGCGCCAAACAGAGCGTATCAACGGCACTGCTCATCATCGGTGAAGATATGTCGACGAGGGGCAAGTTCATGAAGAGGCTCATATGCCGCGCCAGGTAGACTTCGGGTTCTACTGATGAAGGATAATGCTCGTTGAGAAAGGTATTGAGCAACTGGATCCTCTCAACTGCGCTCTGGTCGATTTTGGAGTACCACGTCGCCAAGGTCTTGTCGCTTTCGCCATCGCCATCGAGTCGAAATGTTGCGCACGTTTCGCAGAGTGCTTGGGGATCATCGTCGTCCTGGACACGAATCAGCCAGATAACAGAGACACAGTGAGTGGGATAGATTGACTGACCTTCCTTCTCTCCAAACAGTCCTTACAAAAAGCCGGCAGAGGACGATCGTGCTTCTCCCTCTTATTACTACCACCCGCCTGTTGATGCTTCCAATGAGCGGCTGCGCTCATCGCACCCGTACCGCCCCCTCGGTACTGCCAGTAACTCTCTCACAACAGAGAACAACCGTAATGAGCAATGCCTTCTCAATTCGGTAATAAATTCGGACTCGTTGTGGCTCTTCTGTCCGAGAATCCACACTGCTGCAACCTCTCCAGACCATGTCAAAGCATATTGTTCCTTCCAGCACGAGGGGCAGAGCTTCGGACGGTGCAGACCGTAGCGTCGTCAGGCGTCCAGGAACCGGAATCCAAGTGAATGACAATGGCTTTGCGGATGTCTTTCGGTGTCGTGTTCTCCCTGGCTTCGAGTGAGTCTCTGGCGGTGTAGGCAGATAACGAACGTGATCTTGGACGTCGAGCTGAACCGATGCCAGGACTTCGCCACCACCAAAACCGCGGCATGATGGAGCTGGCGCGCTTATGTAACACCAGATAGACTTTGGAGCAACATTTTGGCCCCATCGGCGTCAGCGTCAGTGATCGAAAGAAGTATCTCGTCGTCGTCGTCGTGTTGAATAACTGATGTAGAAGACGATTTGTACACACATATTATTCATTATATACTACTGTGGTCGCGGGCTGCTGGGCGATGCAGAAAAGGAGGCAGAAACGTGTATGTACAGAAGCCTCGTCAACCGTCCCAACGCTCTTTACGATGGATGCTGTTGCGCCGTGGTATAAAAATGATGCCCATCCCATAGACGCCCCCATCTTTCAATGCTCATGACAAGGGTCAAACGCGTCTTCGAGGTCGTGCAGAATCTGCAAGATCTGCTTGCATCTTCGCCTCTTACTCTTCTTTCTATCAGTCGTCGCTGTCAAAATGAACGCATACACGAGGTTCAAATGTCGGGGTCAAGGTCGTTTCTTGCCTTGCCGCGAGGAGGATGGCGGAGTTTCCGGGCCAGAAGACCCGGTGATGTACTGTGCCAAGCTCGCCAGCGAGATGGGCCCATTGGAGAGATGTATGATGAACAGCCAGAAACACAGCGCGTTGACGAGGTAATGCATCCGGTAGGCGTAAGTGACGCCGTAAGCAGCGGCGTAGATGGCGAATCCAAACATTAAGGTGTTGGTGAGATAACGGATGCTGTGCAGGAGTCAGTAAAGGTGAAGTGAAAGAGGGATGTGGCTAACTGACCGACTCGTAACGCGTGGTATCATGTTGCTCGTGCTCATCATCTCGACCAGCAAGATGTACCCGAGCACGCACAGCAGGTTGTGATGGGTTGAGAAGGGGGTCAACCAGTGGACCGCCAGGTTGTGTACCCACACCACCAGCACTGGCATGTTGATGGGTAGAATCCAGAGCATGAGCACCAACATGGAGTGGGTGTAGTTGTAGAAGTTGTAGCTCTGGGGCGTCTGAGTCTCTTGCGCGGTTTTCAGTGCGCGAATGCATGTAGCAACTTGAACAATGCACAGCACCATGTAGGCGAATTGGTATGGAATGACTGTAACGACCATCAAGACCAAGATGCCGGTGGTGACAATACGCTGGTTCATGGTGAATGAGGTTGGGTGCTGAGTTTTTGTCGCATCTTCAGCGTTCGACTTGGCCCAGGAGCGGATCCGGGTGAGGGTAGTGGCGAAGATGTGCGTCAAAATCAGGACGACGTAGTTCATCGTGATGCAGATACCCACGCTGATGATGGCAAACAGCGGTACCAGAAACCAGAAGAAGGGATCCGAAGTGCCGAGCATGAGATCGTTGACAGTAAAGTCAATGGTCTGCTCTGAAGTTCCTGTCGATGTACTGAGTAACCGCCGCGTCCAAATACTGTGGCTCGACTTTGAGACTGCAATTCCGAAAAAGGTCAGTGCTACAAAGATGGCAGGCAGCGATGACCGGATGCATTGGTCCATGCTGTGGGTGAAGCTCATGAAAATGCCGGTCGTGTCGTAGACCTTGAACTGTTTGCGCAGGACTAGAGCAACAACAAGCAGTGGGAAAGCGGCGAAGACGGTTCTGTACCGCATCACCAGCTTTCCAGCACTGCCGAGCTTGTCAACCTTGAGGGACACCTCAACCGTCGAATTGCATGTTGGATCCGTCCAGAACTGCAAGGACAGCCCATCAGTCGCACCACCGCTCAATGGTGGCGGCATGTATGGAGAGAGTCCATGCACGTTGATGTTGCCACCTTTGGTGTTGACGAAATACTTGGACTCGTACGGCTCAGCAATGTACTGACGCATGAGAGGAGCGAAGCTCTCGTCATATTGGTAGCAGTGTCGGCGGTTGACCTCCAGGCTGTATGCGAAGAGCGTAGAGTGTACTTCTGGAATCTTGAGCTCAGTCATCATGGGCCGATCAGCTGGTAGAGTGAGTTTCAGGCCGCGCATGAGCAGTTGATGGTGCCCCTTGCTGACTTTGATTGACGACTCAGAAGCTTGGCTGAACTCTGCAATCACCCAGCCAGGTGTTCGTTCCTTTGCCTTTTCAAGCACGGCGATGAATTGGTAGTCCGCGATTGTCGATAGATCATACTGCAAGTATGAGAACGGCCGAGCATTGTCGAACGCATTGGTGGAATGATTCGTCGATGCTGGTAGCAAGGAAACATCGGAAGCAGCACTTTTGCAGGCAAGCCTAGTCGATCCGGCCGAGTTGCCCGATGAATCCAAGTTGATGGCATACGACAACACCGAGAACCCAGTAGGCGGTGGAAAGACACTGCACAGGAGTACAGAGAGCGAGCCTTCTTCGTCGCTGGCATCGAGAGTCTGATCAGTCAGGAGAGTGAACTTGCTGCCTTCGACGAAGGGCTGAGCAGGGATGGGCATGACGTGGGCCTTTGTAGCGCCACCGTCACCGAGTCCTCGCAATACAAGACGCTCGCCGTGCGACATGATGGCAGTCGAGCCGTGTTCGAGCGTGAGGAAGAAATTCGGCTCCTCATCGAGCAAGCCCTTCTCCACGACTGGCTCCATGCCCGTCAAGAGCCTCCTCCTGAACGCTCTTATCCTTTCTGGTCGACCTCGCGTTTGTGAGGGACGTCGAACATCAACAACGTCAAACATCGCCCTCACCAGCGCCTTGCGAAACTGGTCACACCACATGATTGCCAAGTGATCCATGCCGGTCCAGACATTAGGGATACTCGAGGTGAAGACTGTAAAACCGTGCGTATCTGGCACGAGAGAAGTCAAACTGGTGTATTCAGATGGGATCATGGTATCCAAGCCTCCTCCAGCAACCGAAACCAAGGTCATGTCATCCAATGGGTTCTTTCCTGCGCTCATGCCAGAGTAAGATTCTCTCCAGAACGTGTTCACGTCGTTGTACGCCTCCACCATGGCTGGGTCGAACGAGATGGGAGGTCTCGCGTGTGGGGCTGAGAGGGTGATGATTGTGTTGATAGTCTTCTCCTGATAATTCGGTATCCTCAGCATCGTCCTGGCAACTACACCACCCATCGAGTGACCCAAGATCATGACAGACTTGGGATCTGGCAGTCCAGGTTCTCTCTGCGAGCGTGACGGCTGATGGTAGAGTGCCAGTATGTAAGCCACAGCCTCGTTCAGATATTCTGCCTGATCCAGCAAGGTCTGGCCATGAAAAGCAATCAGCTCTTCATTGAAGTCGACTGTGAAGAAGTCCAGCGGTCTCTTTCCTGCGGCAATCGCCCCCTCATCCATTCGCAGCACATCATGAAAGTGGCGGGCTGCCTCTGCTGCTATTGGCCGCACCTGCTTGTAGCTGCCTGCGTTTCCTGGAATGAAGAGCACTGGAATCCCCTTTACTCTTGTATCCTCATCCACGCCTCCTTCTCGATATAGATAGAGCGAGTATTTGCTTGCGAAGCGAGTGTGTTCGGTGTCGAAGTCGGCGAAGTGGTTGAAGCGCGGCATCATGTAGGACATGGCGCATCCTTTGGGGTCTTGTTGGCGATTGAGGAAGGAGTGTATGATGGTGAAGAGCAGGATGACGGCGGAGACGCTGGTCGCGAGGGTGAGGAAAGAGCAGCGCCATGGCGATCGCAGTCGTGCCGCATGTTGACGGAGGTGGTCTGCTGTGGGCGAGTCCTTGGGAGCAGGCACGTGCTCGTCGAGGGGGTTCTTCTCCAGCGTCGGGCTGGACAGCGATGTGCGCGGGTACGGGGCGGCGGTGGAGACGGGAGTGGTGGTGGTGTTGGCTCTGTCAGTGGAAGCCACCGGCGATACGCTTGACTCTCTGCTCTGCTTCCGCTCGTGGATGCGGAGCGACTGGCGGGTGCCGCCCCGCGTGGCCATGTCCCTTTCGCGCGTGGTCATCTCGCGGGGGAGGTGGTCTTTGGTATTCGCGCCGTTGGCCGCCGTGCTGCCATCCTCATCTTCTTCCCCGGACGGCCGTCTCCTCATTGAGCGAAGTGCTGTGCCGATGCAGCATCCACAACGCAGGTCCCGCGGGTCCAGTCCAGGAGAGATGGGAGGGAGGAGAGCGATAAGGCGCGGCGGGGGTCTTGTAGCGACAGTCGGTGGAGGCGGCGAGGACGGGCGGGAGGGAGGGTGGTGGGAGCGGTGGTGGTGGAGGAGTCGCGGGCGGTGGCTGCCTTGGGGTGAGCAGAAGAAAGAGAGAGGCGGGCAAGTGCAGTGGGCGCTGGCTGCAGTCGGTCGTTGGCGCCGGCTGGTGGAGGACGGCTCGGAGTCGGGTACAGGCGAAGCAGGAGAAGATCCACTCTCACATTGGCCACCTCTTTATCCGGGCGAGGGCCGTCTGCTTCGGGGCAGGTCAATATAGATATATCGCGCTCTCTCAATACTCCATCCACCTCGCTGCATGCACCCGGCGCGAGACAGGCTGTTTTGGGCGGTGGAAGCAGCGACGATAGATAGCAGCGCGCACTTCCGGAGCCACCGCAGGAGCAAAGCTAGCCGACGACAAGCCTTGACGAGAGCTTGTTTGCCCGAGTAATTTCTCCAAACGAATCCACCGCGACACCCAATGTGCGCGCTGGGGCCACTCAATGGCGTGGGAAAATATCCTTCACCATCCCGGCAACCCCGGACGCGCTGCTTCTTGTATTCCTCTCGGTTTTGTGTCAGCAAGGCGGCGTGCACACGACCACCAAGCTGCCTCGACGCCTCCTATCTCCGCCAAGGCAAAGACGCGCAAGCTCCAAAGCCAGAGCTGTGCAAAGCTAGTAGTAGCTATCTACTGTACCAGAGCTGTCGACGGCGACGAGCTGCCTGCAGAAACGCCCGCCATTGTTGCGTCGTAGTGCATGTTTCAGACGCCTCGTCCCGCGCGAAATGCTCCCGTCCATCATCGCGTCATCCTTGACATCACGCCTTGAGGAGAGATGTGATTATCCTCGCCATGATATGCTCATCAGAACATCGCTCGCACGAGCAGCCATGCCACGCTCCCGAAGCAACGAAGCGTGGTCAAGAACCATGGCCGCCTCCCCCCCGTTGCACATGGCGTGCTGCATCTCCAAACTAACCCGGAGGCAGGCCCGAGCTTCCTGCCAACCAAAGACCCATCCACCGTTCGGATGATACCGAAGACTGCACATTGTCACACCCCATTTGAACAGCCGGCCATTGAATATCATCAAACGACATGTGCCTTCAATCGGTTCGATATTGTCACTATGCCCGCAAATTCTGTCGAGAACGTGGCTGCATGTGTGGCCGATACAATCGTCGTAGTCAACCTTTCTGCGGTCCGCATCTTGTCTCAAGGCAGCGAGGTCACCGTTATGTGCAATCAGCTTTCAGGCACTGATTGGCCAAAGTCTTGATTGCCCAGGGGGCCAGCTGAAGATGCTGTGCAACTGCAACGGCACGCGCAGCCTTAGCCGCCGTCGACAATCTCAGACACCTACACGCTCAAGGGCAACACGTTCGCTACATCTCAACAACACTCGTCTCATATCGAACAATTACTCCCCTCTCTGCGACGCCAACAATGAGGAGCACTATCTCCTGTACGGATGGCGACGCCACCGAACTGCTGCCAACGACTTCCCATCAGACCGATGATACAAGCGACCGATTACAGACAACTACTACCTACATCGTACCAGAAGAGTACGACTACATGCGCCTCACCGAACGGAAGCTCTGGCACGTTCTCAACCCCATCCCATCAATCGCCATCACAGTAGTACTGGGTGCCATCTCAAGCATACTTCAAAATCGACTCGCCGATACATTATGTATACCCAATGGCGATATGGCTCTTCCAGGCAGCTTCTCCATTTGGAAAGCTGAATATGGCCTGTCAATCACAGTCGGCTTCTGGAAGCTCGCTTTCGCTCAAGCCAAAGCTATTGATCTAGCCTGAGATATCATAATCGGCCGCGGTGGTCAAGCACTTCTGATATGGATGGCATACCATGTCTTTAGTAGACTTATCATCCACATCATGAAGGAGGGAAATGTTACATGCGACCTGTACGCAGGAGTAGCCTTCCAAACAGCCTCTGTGAGCAATACCTGGACCCTCTGCGTGGACTTTGCCCTTGGGAACTACCCAAAGACGTGGTACAGCGTCATGTGTTAAATTACCATGATGATCTGCAGCATCTACATCATCGTCTTCCCTACTTTGGTCTCTGCCATGACTTCTTACGGCGCCATCTCCCGCGCTGTCATCAGTGATGGCAATGTCTCGGTTCCTTTTGAGGATTGGCAACAAGTCGATTCAACATATAGTGTTCTTCTGGATGGCGCCAGAATTGGAGAGTCCGATGACTATACTGTCTACGCCCATGATGACTTCAACTTGACTCTCCATATACAGGATTGTAAGGCATTTGTCTCAAGTGAGTGTATGAGATCCTGACATATGACAACAGATTTTGCGAGCCACCTGGAGATCTACACCCGACTCCATAAAGATCTCAAGATCGAGTTTCCGAGGAGCCTGAGCGATCTGAAATCAGCGGCAAATGCCACAGAGCCCGAGTATTTGAGAATTGCGAGCGAATTCAATACCACCGACAACTACACCATCAGGCTCGATGCGCCGCTATTAAAAATCCTGAACTTCTCCGCCTTCGCAGACCGTGCCTGGACCCACAGCGATACACTTGTCTTTACGAGCGAGATCTTAGGCCTGGGAAAGGAGCCTTTGGGTTCATGCGCCCCGACAAAAGACTATCAATGGGGATTCAGCTTCATCCTACTCTTCACCGTCTCGACTGTTCATTCGATAGTTCACGTCGCACTCTACAGCCTCCTTTGGTACACCCGGCGACAGAATCAAGGTGGCGAACAACGAAGGTATCGATCGCATTTGTGGAGAGCAGTCGTGGATCTGAGCCGTCTCGGTCAACTTCAATGTGGCGAGCGGTTCTTTGACTTACCGACGAGGCAACTTAGTGCCACGATGAGAGGCCGAATGATGACGTTGAGTAGCAGCCGCTTGCAGGGTGGCACTTTGAATGCTCGAGGGTTGTGGAAGAGACGGGCGGCGGCTTCATCATATACATCGAGGCGAGAATTCGTGCCGACGGCTATCACCGTTGATAAACCACCAGCTGTGGAGTCGCGGTGGTTGGACAGGCTCAAGGATCGAGTGGATGTGGCTCAAAGCTGGAATACAAGTGTGGAAGTTTATCAGCGTCCGTCAACGGATGACGAAGGCTCGTCATCGACAAGACTATAAAAACATCAATGTCGATGGGATGGACTTGACTTCGTGATTCAGTCGATTGCAGAGATGCTAGGTGTTTTGCTTGGGAAAATGCGACTACGCGACTTCTACCCTCGCATCTGGAGCTTTCTCGCCACCAACAGACATGCGTCTCACTTCTTCAAGGGCGGCAAACTCCAACGACTCCTCCAGACCAAGCTCTCTCCTACACTCTGCCAACAACCTTCTATCCGCCTCTCCAGTCCTGCTCTTGAACACCCGGTCCATATCTTCAAGGGTTGCGTTCTTCGTCTCCGGCAGGCAGAACCAAACCCACACAATCCCTCCTGCGAGAAAGACGGCAAAGAAGATGTACGTTCCCACGCCCAAGCCTCGAACATCGGTGGGACGAAAAACGCAATGGCGAAGTTGTTGACCCAGTTTGAAGAGGCGCCGATGGAGGCCCCCTTTGCTCGAATGGAAAGTGGGAAGATCTCAGCTACGAGAGTCCAACTGGCAGGACCCCAGGTCGCTCCAAATGCGCCAATGTATACCCAGATGAATGAGACTGCAGTCCATCCAGCTGCTCTGTGGTCAGGCCAGTTGTGACGGCACTTGGCGACGATGATGCCGGTGAGCACCATTGAAACGAACATGACCACCGAGCCGACGAGCAGCATTGGTTTGCGGCCCACCTTATCGATGACAGCCATGGCAGGAAGGGTGGAAACGAAGAATACCACGCCAGTGACACCAGTCGCTAAAAGCGCTTGTGTGCCGCCTGTCAGTCCGAAGCTTTGGAAGACGTTGGAAGCGTAGTAGATGATGGCATCGATGCCGGACCTGAAAGAGGAAGCGTGTTAGTGGGATCATATATCTGGATCTCAAGATGCTCACCATTGCTGAAAGAACATCACCAGCCAAGCAGTCGACACTCGTTTGAAGTTGTCACGGGATCTGAAGACGTTGACGTATTGGGCGACCTCACTCGTCCAGACACTGTTCTTCTGCTTTTCACTCAAGTTTGGAAACGACTGTTCGAACGCTCGCCTCTCAAACATGCACTCTGCTTTGATTTCGAGGTACTCCACCCGAATCAGAGGATCGTCCTTGGGAAGCTTCTTCAGCCACGCAAGAGTCTTGATTGCTTCATCATCACGGTCTTGTTTGACGAGCCATCTGGGTGAGAACGGCATAAACCAGATACCGAGGGCCAGAATGACTGCTGAGATGCCTTGGATGATCGACGGAAGACGCCAGGCTAAGTTGGACTGCCCGTCGCCAGTGCCGCCGATGTAGTTTGATCCGTATCCTATCCAGAAGGACAGCATGATGCCAAGGATTGTTGCAAACTGGTAGAACGAGACTAGCAGTCCTCGAAGTTCGGGAGACGACAGCTCTGCGTTGTAGAGAGGACTGTTCTCGTCAGAACTGTCTATGGAAGTAATTGACTGACCTACCCAACGCCGCTGAAAGTTCCAGCTCCTAAACCCGTGAAGAATCTTCCCGCATACAACAAGGATGCGTTCTGGTAAGATGCGCCGCAATACAAGTAGCTTCCCAAGATGACCCAGCAGCAAGCCGAGAACATTGTATATTTCCTCGAAAACACCTCACCCAAGATTCCCGCCGTAAGAGAGCCCGTGATACCTCCAAGTTGCAAGACGGACGTCAGCCATCCCTGGGCGCTCGACGATTCCGCGATGCTGGGGAAGTTGTCGATGAATCTCGTCATGACGAAGGATTGTCCCAGCACGCCTTGCTGGTAGCCATATTCAAATCCACCAAACGAGGCGAAGAAGGCGATGAAGAGGAGTTTGGGGTTGTGCAGGAGGCGTTGCCATTTGCCTTTGCGGGCGTTTTCGACTCGCGCGATGGCTGCGGCGGAGATTGGGTCGTTCATTTTGGATGCGAGTGGAAGGAGGGAAGAAGGAAGGCAGCTCATCGTGGAGAGCGGCTCTGGCCTGACATATGACTTGTGTCCATATACCACTCACAAACATAGCCTACGGCCACCACCTTCGGTGGACCGATTCCAACACAACAAGGAAAGAGCCTGCAGCTTCCACTTTGAATGCAACGGTATACGCAGTCTCCAATTGCCGTGTCGTTTACGGTCTATCGTACCATCGTGCTACACATGGTCTGCAGAAATGCGGACATCCCTGTCACTTCTCCTGCGCTTCGCTCCACACTTCTCCAGCATTACCCCGAGGTAGCGATCTCGGCATTGGGGCGATGGGGAGAAGAATGTCAAGTGATGAAGGTAACAATGCTAATTTTTCCATGTTGAAGAAGGAGCAACCTCAAGTTCTGATCCGTTCGATTCTGTTTTGCAGTCATGCGTTAAGAAAATCTCCTTCGTATCAACGACATAATCTACCACAGGATCTTGTTCTGCCTCAGGTACGGATAGTCCTATGCCTCCATCGATATATCACTCATGTCTGGGGATGATCTGATGCCTGTGAGAGTCTTGCGGGTGGTTTGATGTTGATCGATCAACATTGCATTCACGAAAACCAGCACGCATCGGTTGCCCCCATTCTCCACATTAAAGTGGCGTGTCCTTGTGAATGGAGGAGAGATTTGAGGTTCACAGGTTCATTCTTCATCTGCCATCTCCTGATCGCTCGCAGGGTCCTCATCAGTCTCTCCATCATCGCCACTTTCCTCCAACGAATCATCCTCACTCTCATCCAGCGACATTTCCACGTCTTCTCCTTCACTCTCACTTCCCACCTCCTTCCTCCGCCACTGGTTCCACACCTGCTCCCTCCGCCTCTTCCCCTGTGCACCTCTCTGTTCCATCTCCACAAAGTCATCACCCTCAACAGAGCCAAGAGCGTGCTCCCACTCCGCCTCGTACTTGACTGTATCTCTCCAATCATCTCTGATGGATTCTCCATGACTAGGATGTTCGGGAATTTTGACCTCCTGTAGGTTCACATGCTCTGGTGGGTCTGTGCGGAGTACTTTCCAGAGTCGACTTTCTTCTTCCACATTCGAATTGTGATCGATAGCGTCCAGATACTCGTGTTCGACACGGAGAAATGTTGCAGGACTCAAAGCCCGCTTCCGCTTCCGTGATATGCTGTGTCGCGAGAGCTTGCTGGTCAATTCTTCGTCGTCTTGCAGAGGCTCCGGATCTTCATTGGTCTCGGTCTCGGTGAACATGTCACTCTCGATCAATCCTTCATCTGCGCCTGCCTCAGCGGTCTCTTTCTTCTTCCCAAAACCAAGCTCATCTTCAACTTCATCATACGTGAGCTTCACACCGGTCTTGGTCCCTGGCCGTCCATCCATGTACTTCTTCGACTCGGTCAAGACATCGACCTTGCATCTTCTCGCCACCTTTGCCCAGTACTCACGCGCGTTGTGTTTCATTCCCAGCACATCCAACGCCGACCACACATCCACCTCTCTGACCTGTGGTGAAGGTGTCCAATCATGTCGGCTCGAATCTCCTGCTCGAAGTCTAGTCATGGCTTGGAAGAGTGAGACTTGAGCGAGTCGACGAGTCAGACTTACAACAAGATTGTGTAGATCTTCGAATGCCCCTCTGAAGATTGCAGGGCTTGTCACTGACTTTTCGATGAGGTCTGCCAGCTGCCAGTTGTAGTCGTGCGAGTGAGAGCTGTTCATGAAGAGCGACCGAGAAAGCTTGAGGAAAGATGATGGTCGGAGGAGAGTGATTGAAGCGTCTGACTCGGTTACAGGAGGTGAGTTATTAGATACAGCATCTTCATGTTCTGTCTCTTCTTCCTCTCCAACGTCATTGTCGGGTTTCTGATCGAAGACTAGATCGATGTAGTAGGCAGATTCCTCGTCGATGAGCCAGTTTTCACCGAATTCGGCCTGCTGTAAAGAAATTTCGTGTTCGTTGACTTGTGTTGCTAGAGTGACGGCAGAGTCCTCCAAAGCACGTTCACACTCGTCAGATAGCTCAACAGCAGCCGGTGCGTCAGCCATGTCGAAAGTCGATCTCCTACGTTCCAACTCTAGCAGCTGCAGATATACTTTGATCTCGCTTTCACTCTTGGATGGCACTGCGCAATGTAACGAAGGCAGGTTATTACGTCCAGTAAGGCATATTCGTCTGAAAAGACAGGCTTTCTCTTGGGAGGTCCATAGAGATGCTCCGATCTGGGAAGTGAACGATGTATTGATATGGCCTGGATTTCTTTCGGCCGCCTCGGTAATGACTGGATTCAGCAAATCTCGATAGTTCTGCTTTACTTCTTTCCGCTGAGTGGACCGTGACTGGAGGCGTTTGGATTCGCCGGATTGCTCTTGGCGGGGTTTCCTTTCGCCAGATTGCCTTTCGCTGGATTGCCCTTGGCTGGATTGGACCATGGAGTTTGGTTCGTGGAAGAGTTGGCGTGGTTGTGATAGGGGCCTTTGGTGCGCTGGGTCATCCTGTCGAGGCCCTGGTTGATCTTGGTGAGGCTGTCGACTTTCTGGCGGAGGAGAGTCGCCTGGTCTTTGACGGTCTGAGTTTGGGGATTGTGGGGCATCTTGAATGTCGTCGTCGTCGCTGGTGGAGGTGGATGAGGGAGACATGAGTTGGGTGGAAGTGAGGTGCTGATTTGTGGTGGTCGTGATCTGCAGTGTTACGCGAGTGACGTTGGATCGTGACAGAAGTCGTGCAAAAAAGACTTTTGGCCAAGTCTCGCTTCTGGACTTCACCTCGCGGTCGAACACGGCCACAACATCCACCACGCATGCACTCTTGATGCAGCGGTTGGCAGTCAGATTGAGGACGGCATGTTCGACACGATATGCAAGACCATTCACCTCGACCACATTTCGCCACCACGATGAGCCGCCATCCGTCCGCCTTCGCGACTATCAAGAAGACAGCATCAATGCCATCCTGAAATACCTCGACAAAGGCGAGAAGCGACTTGGATTGTCTCTTGCTACCGGAGCTGGAAAGACAGTCATCTTCACCCATCTCATCGACCGTGTCGCAGCTCCCACTCAAGATGCTACTCAAACGCTCATCCTCGCTCATCGGCGGGAGCTGGTCGAGCAGGCGGCGCGGCATTGTCGTAATACATACCCAGAGAAGAGTGTCGAGATTGAGATGGCTAAAAGTCAAGCGACTGGCTTAGCTGATATCACCGTCGCCTCGGTTCAGACGCTGCAACGCCCGGACCGTTTGATGAGGTTTGATCCTGATCGCTTCAAGCTGGTGCTTGTGGATGAAGCGCATCATATCGTGGCCGACAGCTATATGAATGTTTTGCATCATTTCAAGCTGGACTCTTCCGGCGAGAAAGGCCCTGCTGCACTTGTTGGAGTCTCGGCAACATTTTCTCGTCATGATGGGCTGAGGCTCGGTCTGGCAATTGACCATATCGTGTATCACAAGTAGGGTACGTCTTGAAGAGATGGTTGGAATCTGCTGATATTTTGATAGAGACTACGTCGATATGATCGATGATAAGTGGCTTGCCAATGCCGTCTTCACCACCGTCAGTACTGGAGTCAATCTTTCCAAGGTCAAGGTTTCACAAGGGGATTTTCAAACTGGATCATTATCAGAAGCCGTCAACCACGAGCAGACCAATCTGTTGACTGTCAGAGCATGGCTGGAGAAAGCGAAGAATCGACGATCGACGTTGGTGTTCTGCGTGGACCTCGCTCATGTTGCAAGTCTGACGGCCATGTTTCGACAGCATGGTGTCGATGCACGATATGTGACCAGTGACACTCCAACCAAGGAGCGAGCTGATCTGTTGGAGGCGTTCAAAGCTGGTCATTATCCTGTGCTGTTGAACTGCGGCATCTTTACAGAAGGCACCGACATACCTAATATCGATTGTGTCATTCTGGCTCGACCTACTCAGTCACGCAACCTCTTGATTCAGATGATCGGACGTGGCTTGCGCTTGCATCCGGGGAAAGAGAATTGCCATGTGATTGATATGGTGTCTTCGTTGGATGCCGGAATTACGACGACGCCGACTTTGTTTGGTCTTGATCCGGCGGAGATTCTGAAAGAGACAGATGCCAAGCAGATGAAAAGTCTTCGACAGCGGAGGGAGTATGAACAAGTGGGGAGTGCTACTGTAGAGGGTCAACCTCCCGAGCTTAAAGGCAGCATCACCTTTACCGACTACGACGATGTCAATGATCTGATACAAGACCACGAAGGCGAGCGCCATGTACGGGCATTGTCTCCGCATTCATGGGTGGTGGTTGATGATGGTCGTTGGGTGTTGAGTGACCGCACTGGAGCTTGTCTTACCATTAAGCAGGAGGCCGACAAGTATTTGACTACTCATACAGCGAGGATGCCGGCCGGATCGACTTCCAAATCGCCATACGCAAGACCACGGCAGGTTGGCCAAGCAGTGACGTTTGAGGATGCACTCCATGGTGCGGATACCTTTGCTGGGAAGGTCTTTCAGCATGCGTATATCTCGAAGAGTGCGCACTGGCGACGGCAAGCGGCGACTGATGCTCAGTGTGAGTATCTGAACAAGTTTCGGGATGAGGATAGTCAGCTAGATCCGCTGTCGATTAGGAAGGGTGGTGCGGCGGATCTGATTACGAAGATGAAGCATGGTGCGAGGGGGAGGTTCAAGCGGATGGCTGGGGAGAAGAAGAAGGCAGTGAGGAAGCAGGAGAAGGTGGATGAGTGGAAGAGGAGGCAAAATGAGGCAGAGGTGAAGGTGGGACCGGTGGGTGTGTGATGATAGATGGTGAGATCATCCTGTGAGTGAGGTGTGGATGCGGTCGGAAGGTGCTGACAGTCTTGGGAGATTCATTGACGACGTCCTCTCACTCCTTCTGTCGTCGAAGAAGTCACCACACGATGCAGCTTGTTCTGCTGTTCTCCGAACAAGTATTCCTTGGCGGCTTCCGGGTCCCAATGCTCTTGTTTCAGATGCTTGATATCGACCCGAGTGCCTGGAAGTCCTGCGACAATCCCCATCTGGATTGGCCACGACTGGTATACCGCGTTCTCGAATGCATACAGCTCGCTGCAAGGGTAGTGATTCAGGGGCAGGCAGACCTTCGCAGGTTTCACCGTCTTCCCCGTCCGGGCATCAACAGTCGTTGCAGCCTGCGACCTTCTTCTTGTTGAGACCGCTGCATGAAGTCTATTGCGCGTCTGGCTCCAGGCTTCATCTTACGCGCCTGGCTCGCAACGAAATGGCATGATTTTTAATTTCTGGAACACTTGCACAGCGCCTCGATGTTCTACGCCCCGCACGAAAGGGTACTCAGCCGTGATTTGCACAGCATTGCGTTTGGGGTGCAGAGATGCTTACCAAGTTTGCTGCTTCATTCGTCCGCTCGTCCATTTGCAACACAAAACCGAGATACGCAAGAACCAACGCCAAGTCAGTCGCGTGGCATCACGTTATATATATGACTACGCGATCCAGCTGAGGGTGCAATGCTTCATTAAAGAAGGGGAGAATTGGTCAATGCCAACATGAGCGAGATCTGGGTAGTCTTTGGAGCTACTGGCCAACAAGGCGGTGCAGTAGCACGAGCTGTACTGCAAGACACGACGATCTCAGTACGCGCCGCTACGAGAAATCTTTCAAGTCCCGCTGCTGCCACCCTTCGCGATCTTGGCTGCGAGCTTGTACGCGCCGACCTCGATGACAGGACGTCCCTTAACACCGCGTTGAAAGGCGCGTCTGGAGTTTTCCTCGTCACGACGAACGACGTGGACGAAAAGTACTACGAACGCGAGTTTGCACAAGGGAAGAATGCAGCTGATGCTGCTGTTGAAGCTGGCGTCCAGAAGATGATCTCCAGCACGCTGCAGTCAGTGAAGAACGCGACGAACGGCAACTTGACGAAAGTGGTGCACTTCGACGTCAAGTACGACATTGAGCAGTATATCCGGAAGATGCCCATCGCCAGCACCTTCATCGCGTTGGGCGCGTTCATGTCGAATTTTGCCACCTTTCTTCGGCCTCAAGATGTCGGCGATGGGACGTTCGCGATTAAGTCGAGCATGCCGGGGTCGACTTTACTTCCTTTGGTCGACGCGACGGATGTTGGACGCGCTGTCGCGAGGATGGTGAAGGGGTTTGATAGGTACCGCGATCGGACGATCAACCTGGCTGCAGAGTTGCAGTCGCTGGATGAGGTGGCAGCCGCGATTGGGAGGGTGAACTCCAAGGCTGTGAAGTATGTTCAGATATCTCCCGGGGAGTTTCTGGCGCCGTTGTCGAGGCACAAGGCGGAGGATTGGGCAGAGTTCGCGGTGTTCATGTCGGATTATGGTTATTTTGGGGAAGAGACAAGGGCTGCGCCGACAGATGAGCTGGGGGAGTTGACGCGTTTTGAAAATTACGTGAAGGAGGGGATTGTGCTTGGATCGAAGTAAAGGCGATGTTCGTAGAGTGAGGAAGCAATTACGCGCATATTTGTTTCATCCCCTACGACTTAACCGACAACCAAGACGTTAATCGTACTCCAGAGCTCGAGCAGCTCACCCTACGCGAAAACCGGAGATGAGTGCATACACATTTCGCAGTTCACTGACTCTATGAAAGTCCTCAAAATATTACGAGAACTTTCGCGTGCCAAAGACCACGTTTACACGCGTTTCTTTACACGCGTTTCTTTACACGCGTTTCTTTACGCGCGTTTCTTTACACGCGTCTCTTCACACGCGTCTCTACGTGCAAATATAGGGACACTTCTTTTTCGGAATCGAATGTAATGTACAGCACCAGTATCTAACACGCGTCTAGATATAGCAGCGTCGCGTATTTGTCTATTCGTGTTTGAGTATAGAGTTACAATTTGCACTTTGTAAGTGTAGTGTTAAATGCCAAATTGGGGGTAAGTAGGTCAGCTGTTTCTAGAATACTTAAAAAATCTAAGTCAAAGAATCGGGTGTATTGTCTTTGCTTTAGGTCTTAGCAGAGCCCCACTTGATAGCAATGTAGATAGATAGAGCGCGTGTCTTTGTATATTGACGCGTTGAACGTTCTGTTTAAGCGCGCATGCTTATATAAAAGCGCGTAGAGAAAGTATAAAATGCAATAGATAGAACGCGCAAACAAGTGCGTCTAAGATTAGTTAACTAGCTAACGCAACAGAGCGACGCGTCATTTAAAGCTCTAAGCTTATAGCGCGTCTCTCTAAATAAGGGAGGAAGCTGTATCGAAGAAGACAAAGACAAGGTCTAAACGCGTTTGTGTCTAGATTAGGAAGTTAACATTTGAACAAGGAGCGCCCCTTTAAAGTTGAAAAAAAGGTCTGTACACATAGGCGAGTAATTGCGCGGTGCAATTAGTAACCGGACTTCATCCTATATCCTACTACTCTTGTACCCTACTACGACTTTATTAGACTCGAAACCGGCTACTTTCTGTTTTGGGCAAGTATCAATCGAGACTGTCTAGGATGCCTTTACTTTGCAAATAGCACTTTTATCAATAGCGTATGTATTAATGTTGCTTTTGCGCCTGCTGCTGCACTAAGAGCCTTCTTCGAAGGCGCTACGCCTTTAGCGAGGTCACGTATAGCAGGTCTGGGCACCTAAGCACCTCTTTCCGAGTTACAGCTGCGGCAAGCACAGACCTACACGTTTTAAAAGGTCATTAAGCTTTTCTTTCGAGGGTTTGATCGAGATCCAGTAGAGCTACACGCGAGGATACGCTTTCTCCAACAGCGACAATCGCCCAGCTGACGACTTGTACAGCAACCTCGAGCGAACAATCCAGAGGACAGACCCACGTGATGACTTACGCGACTTTGAAGTCGCCCACCGCATCTAGCTGCCCTCTCTCGACGGGCTTCTTGCTATAGCTGAGGGAAATAACGCCCTGAATTAACCTCCCCACTGATGCACCCACAGCAGGTGTCGAGCATGTCGGCCGTCAAACCACGTACGAACACTGCTCAACGGATGCTCGATATCAGCTCGCTATGTGAAAACGGCTCTTGCTCGGAGATGAGTGTTTGGGCGCTCAGACCTGCTGCACGTGACTACAGCTAATGCGAGAGTGTCCCCTCGGCATCACCGCGTGCAGCAGCAGGCCCGAAAGCAACGTAAATACGTGCACTACATACAGTAAAATGGTATTCTAGACAGTACTAGGCCAATTCGCCCAAAATGGAAACCTTCCCCCCTCTTCTGTCTAACAAAAGGCGTGGGTGGGTAGGAAAGACGCTCGATTGAGCTAGAGCTGTAATAGCGAGTAGTAGGGATGAAGAGTAAGAGTAGTTAGTAAGGCTAGGCCCTATTACTTGCCTATACGTACAGACCTCCACTTTTATATTAAGGACCGCCTAGTAAAACTTATACGCGTTTCTCGTATTAATCTATCCGCAATAAGAGACGTTTGCGTAATTAAGAGTCTAAGCGCACTTTGATAGTACGGTGTTAACTTCCAGATTGGGATAACGAGACCAGCAGCCTCTAGAAGGCTTCAATCATCTGTCGAAGCGAAAACTCGAATGCGCTAAACTTCGTTTAGGTCGTAGTGGAGCGCGAATTGGCAATCTAGATTCAACGTGTGTCTTTCTATATTAATTGCTGAGCTGAGACTGCTCTACAGGGTTTGTGTAGGTGTCGAACACAGTGGAAGTGACCAAATTGATAAATAATAGCAGGAACTAACCTAGTTGTGATTGTGTTAGTTAGTTACAGGAAGCAGGAGAACTAAGGTGAGATAAGCTCCCCTCAGTTACGTGACTCTTGGCATTTATACCTTAGGCATCTATTCCAGCCTGCCTATCTAGACTGTACTGTTTAACACTCCTACTCAGGCCAGTATGTGCATCTCTAAATGAAATCTAAGCGACAGTATATAATCTAAAAGAATTTTCCTTCATCCAATTAGGTGTTAGAACTTATTCTACTGCTATGTTATAGTAGTAATAACCGTGGTTTAACTCCTAGGCCTGATGTTCTTTCTCTTATAGTATTAGGTTGTCCCTAATACTATAAGAGGAAGTAGTCTTTTTCTTCAGGCTATCTAGAGCTGTCTTACAAACTCCTGAAATTAGGGCCTATTCTTTGGCTTTGTAAGACTATTAGCAACTATCTCTTTTGTTAGAACATATTTAACTGTAATCCTTCTTTGCTACTAAAGTCTTCTTACAAAGTTGTAGGCTATATTAATATGCTTTGATCTGTTATGGATGTGGGCATCTTTAACAAGTGTTAATGCTGCCTAGTTGTCTCTATTCAAGATTACTAGCCTTAGGCTCTTAACTGTGCTTTAGTCCGCTTTAACAAGTAGTTAGAATAAATATTCTCCTACTAACTCTGTATAGTCTATCTCTCTTAAAAGTGCTAAGAGAAATTAAGCTTACTTTGTATATGTATTTATTACTATGTACTTAGCCTCTATTATTAATATTACTACAGACTTCTGCTTTCTGCTTATCTAAGAAACTAGTGCTCTATAGAGGAAGAACATATACCTAAGGATTAAAACCCTGTCCTACTTGTCTATTGTATAGTTAGAATCTAAGTATCTTTATAGTTTGTTATTCCCTCCCCTTCTGAATATGATTCCTAGATCTAGGTAAGATCTAAGGTATCTTCTAAGCTTCTTTAATGCTTTTATATGTCCCTTTAAAGGATCTGAGATATATAAGCTTAATCTTTCTTCTAATATAGAAGGTAATATCTAGTTTTGTTATTGTTACTAGCTATATCTAGGTTCTATTGTGGCTCTAGTACTCTAATTTGTTATATCTCTTATCCTAAGGACCTAAGGGTTTTAGGCTCTTATAACTGTTAATTAGAGAGTGTGTTAGGTGAGCTGTTTCCTTGTTTATGTTTATTTTAGTAAGGCTCTCTTGAATATAATAACCTTAGTCCAGTTTTAGGATTCCCTAGTGCCTATCCCTTATAATCTTTATACCTAGGATCTTTTTAGGTTTATTAAGATCCTTAATCTTGAAAATCCTTCTAAGCTCCTTCTTAAACTATAGAATATCTTTTAGCTTAGGTGTAGTAATTAGAATATTATCTACATAGGTAAGAATTATAATTCTCCTCTCCTTATAGATAAGTAGGTATAGGTTAACCTCTAATTACTAGAACCTAATCTGCTTTAACTTTAAGATATAGAGGCTGTTCTAGTCTCTTACTGCCTACTTCAGCCTATATAAGCTTCTAAGGATCTTAAAGACTATATTTAGTAGAACCTCTACTCCTAGGGGTAGGATTATAAAGATATCTTCTTATAGGGTACTCTCTAT